AGATGTACCAAAAAATCTATGTATCAAACGGGCAAATTACATATAGAAAACCATATTTCAAGAAAAAGAAAGTTTTTACCAAAATTGACCCCTAGGGGACCACAGGCAAATATTCTGACAAAAACTGCTGAGGGAGAGTAGAGGTAAATTTTGGCAAGACTTGTTTTCCCTAGAAACTCGGTTTTCTAGGTGTAATTTGTCCGTCTGATTCTGAATATGCTATTTGTTTTACTCACAGATCAATATATGATAGTGAAATTTCAGAAATACAAACGATTGTTTCATGTTTTTTCTTAACGTATTGAGATTTATCTCAGTAAAATATGAATTTCTCGAGAATGGAAAAACCTATTCTAAAATCGGTGCATAGATTTTTTGGTACATCTGTGGCGCGTAGAATCAAAGAAAAACAATCACTCAAATATGTTCTTGTGAGAAGTTGATGTGTTCGGAAGTTACCCCACTGGAGGCCAAAAAAGCTATCGATAGTGTTCTTCATGTGTGGCTGATAATTAACCCGATTTTACTTTATCGGTCAGTTTAATTGTACTCTTCTATACCCTCCAAACTGTTCCTCGTGTTAGAAAAAAATTATTTTGGGAGGGTAAGAACAATGCTAGATGTAATAAAATAACAATATATCACACATATTTTAAAATGATTGTATTTTAAGGCAATTTTTGGTAAAAACGTATATCAAATTTTTTTTCTTAAAAACTCAGTGGAAATTATTTTATTATATACACATAAGTAACTCGACGAGCTCTATCCACCCAGGTCGAACATTCCGGTCCCGGAAACGGCCGGTTCTGTGGTATTTCGCAGATTTCATGGAAGCAGTATTCCGGTGAAAGGATCCGGTTCCGGCCGGAATCGACAGGAACCTGCCAAAAACTGGTAGCTGGATACGGTTTCCGGATTCCTGCATCGAATTCCTGGCAGTTCCCGGTAGGTTCCGGACGGAAGCAGCGAGTTTCTTGCAGGTTTTCGCCAGAAATTCGCGGAATACTGCTTCAGGAATCATTGTCCTGGGCAACCATGCTAAAAATTCCGCGAAAACAAATTTTGTGGAAATTTCGACTTGTCGGCACCTTATATAATATTCTATAAATTATTATGGATGAAAGTAAGATCATGTACCAGTTGCGCTAAAAGTTTTTTATTTGAAAAATTTCTCAAAAAGCTTTTTTTTGTCATAATAATAATGTTTTCTCTAGTAAGCAAAATATTATATAAAATGTATTCTTTTCTCGTTTCTTTTCATTTATTCAGCAAAATCAATAGTATGTAAAAAAAATTAAGATTTTATCAAATATTCGAAGCATTCATACGTTGGAAAAATTTTTTCAATGTTTCAAAACTTGTAATCATAATGGCACAGGCTAAACAAATAAAAAATAACTGAATAAATAACTGAATAAATATTTTTTCTTGTCACCTGGTGCTACTTTTAGTAACCGAGGTACAAGTCCTAAAATATAATTAATTCTGAAGTAAGTATTTCGACAAATAAATAAATGTATGACATACCGGTGAATAAGCCTTTTGGACCTTCAGCTCGAAATATACGTATCAATATAGAAAGAGTTTTAGTTGATTGCACGGGTTGATTACTATTGATTGAGGAGCTGTGTTTGCATCCAGAATTTGGTGATTTTTCAATTCGTCCAAGTTCTATTTGTCGGAATGTTTTAGCAACATCGGCAGGTGTTGTTAATGTTGCTGCTATAGTACCGGCTAATGCGCCACAAATGAATGTTCCATAAGTATCAACATTTATTTTAGATCGCACAAGATACGCTATACAAAAACAAATTACAAGAAAACGAAATAAAGAAGATGATTTGAAAAGAATTTTTACCTCTGAATGTTTCATAATGGAACCAATAGATCATTGAAAATGGTATATCACGCCATATGGTAGGTATTAGACCTTTCCATAGAATACGAGGTCCTTCTTCTGATAAAGATTTACGAAGTAAAAGAAACAATTGACGATAGAGGACTTTTTCCGACTGCACCTTAGTTCGAATTAATTCAAATGGAGAAACAACCGTCACAGCAAATATACGTGAACTTGCGCCTAAAAATTATAAGATAGAATAGATCGATTACGCTTGTTTCTAGTTTTTGTCTTTCACACAAACCAGCGATAACTGGTAATATCGGATTAGGACTTAGTTCATTATATCCAAGTAATTGTTTTGCTTTCATGTACGATGTAAAATAGATAATAACGGTTGGTATTGATACACATAAAGCTGGTGTTAAACCCGACCAAAGTACAGGAACTCCTTCGGCTCGAATTAATTTAGATAATGTATCTAGTGTACCCGTATAATGAATTGTTGGTTGATGTGTCATATAGTGTTGACAAGATGTAGTGGGTGACAACAATGATGATGACATTGCATTTGCTGGTAAATGCGAAGATTTAGTAGGAAAATGTCGAACAGCATCTGATGTTTGTGATTGTAATCGAACTTCTGCTCATTTGCAAATAAAAATATTTTTAACATTAAGTTATAAATAATGCATTTGACAGTAGAATTCATATTCGTATGCACAATTACAACATCTATGCATTAGTACTGTCTTAAATAGATATTTAGCTTAGATATTTCAATCAAGGAGATAAGCTCCTTGTGATTAGATCTCGGATAGTTTAAACATTAAAACTTCTAATAGCATGACAACAGTGCTTTGTACTAGAAAAAACTTTTCATACAGTGGACAAGCATCGCCTTTCATAAGTGAGAAAATTTAATTTTAAATTATCCATGGTAGACTTGTCGATAACATCTCTATTTGAGTGTTTAAAAAAAATATTAATTTAATCTTAGACCTTATTATTAATTAAGTCTAATGGAAACTAATGCCAAAATCTTAATCTTACTTTTCATTCTAATATGTAAGCATTAGCGTTTTTCTTTGTGTAAACACTAATCTGACATGCTTAGGATAGGTTTAGATTCTTTTTAAAAATATATACATACTGATGACATCGAAAGGCCTAGAATATAAAACAGAATATATTAGATAAATTTAAGATGAGTAAAAAAATACAGCAAAGTACAAAAATTATTTGTTTCTTTCTATTCGATAATTTAATAATTACATCAAATTGAATAAAAGAACAAACTATAGACTACAAGGTATTCTAAGTGTATGATTTATTTTAATGAAAGGATTTAGTTTAATTGGTTTTCAAATGGGGAAAACAATGTCAACCTGAATAGAAAGGTTATAAACAAATAATCTTTCAAGCTTCTGTATGTTTGATATCTAACGTCATGAAAAGTGCTGTTAGTACGGCGCCAGAACCCGACGCAATAATTTGTTGGTATGGCTTTATCGGCGATAGTGCTGGATCGTTAGCCATATCTGAAGAGGAACAGAAATATAATAAATTCGGCCATACTTCTCAATCCACAGATCTAAATGTTATTTTTAGGAATGAAATTAAGTGATTGTATACGTGTGTGCCTTTTTTTGTTTTAATTCTTAATTATCAATTATATGTAGAAAAAAAGATAGAAAGAAGAACAAGCAAAAGAAGGAAAAGAAATGTGCAATATAGATGAACAAAACAACAGATAACACAGACACATAACATGAAATAAAAAGCACGTATATGAAACCAAGTTCATAAATCGTCTTTTCAACTACTGTTCGTTTGCCTCGCCTTTAAATACTAATACACACATACACGCAACAACAACAAAAACCGAGTAGAACTCGATTGTGAGAATATTATATAAGAAGAAATCAAAAGTCATTCAATCATTTCGTCGTTTACACGAAAAACAAATACAGAAATAGAAAACAGAACAAAACAAATATAGGTATTCTTTTCCTTCCTCAATACACACACACACACACACACACACACACACACTGGTAATAGGAACACTGAAGGATTTGGTTTTTTTTTCGAAAATAACTAATCGACATAAAGACAAAAAGAAAGAAAACCTTTTTATATACGTATATCAAGGTAGAGATCATAAATAGAAGAGACTGTTCAATAGATTCATCAAATAATAACATACACATGTACTCTATCAAAAAACAAAAGCGAAGAATATAGATAGAGAGAAACTGTTCTGTGTCTGTTTAGTTGAATAAAAGAAATACCAACCAACCGGGAATACACAAGAGCCAGTTTTAGAAGAAAAAAAAAATAATAGAAATAACCCGAACACAATGAAAGTAGATAAAGAAAAAAGTTGGGCTAATCATGAGTGATGAAAATAGAAAGAACTATTTACATATAGAAATCATAATTTAAAAGAGGATGAAGACAAATGAATCAAAGGGAAACATACGACATATAAAGATTGACCATCTTATCTGATTAAGAAAAAAAAAGAAACTCAAGATTGCTCATTTGATGTTTGTTCAGCGAAATCAATATCATCAATATCTTCATCTGCACTAGCGTCATTTTGTTCATCAACAATTTCAGCAAATGAGGGATAGTCATCAGCATTTGTTTCATCATTGTCATCGATTTCACCAATAAAAAATCCATTTTTTGAATTCGATCTTGACTTTCGATTATTATCATTTATTGATGGTGATGGTGATGGTGATGATGATGATAATTGCTGTTGTTGTTTAAATACAGCAAGAATTTGAGGATTACGATCACAACGACGCATATGTTTTTCTAATGTACTTGCAACTGAAAATGGCATTGAACAATAACGACAACGAAATGCTTCATTCCCTGCACGGCCATGCGTTTTCATATGACGTGTTAATTTAGATGATTGTGCACATGCATACGCACATAATTCACATTTATAAGGTTTTTCACCTAAAATAGGAAGAACGTATGAAAAAAAAGATTGATTAAAATAAAATAATAATAACCTGTATGACTTCGACGATGAACGGTTAAATTTGAACAATTTTTGAATACTTTTCCGCAATATTCGCATGTATCATTACGTCGATCACGTTTTATTAATCGTTGATTATTGTTATTAGATATATGATTTAAATTTATAGCATTATTTGCAAATAATGTTGATGCTGATGCCTTTGAATTATTTTCATTTCGATTTGTTTGATGTAATATCCGTGATTGATGATGATAGATACCATCAGGTGATGTTAAAGAATGATCAATCATATTCGACTGAGATGGAGAATTTTGATCATTCATATTGTTTCCATTTGTAGCTGATAAATTTAGTACAGATGTTGAACATGGTGATGATGTAGACCGAGGCGGAGATGAACGTGTAGATGCATGACCACCACCACCACCGCCGCTATCAATCATTGAAACTAAAACAAAAATAGATATAGACACCTATCAGTGGAAGAAATTTTATATCTACTTGATTGTGGTGAATGTTGCATTGTTATATCGATATCATTGATTTGTAATTGGCCTGGTATTAATGAACGAAATGCTTGATGAAGCCATTTGTAAGTTGATGAATTATTTAATGATGTTCGATTGTCATTGGTCGATTCATTAGAAAGATTTCCACCGGTTTTTAATAATAATCCAGGTTTTTTCCATGCTAATGATTGATTCTCATCACTGACAATATTTAAACTAACACTGTTATTATCAGTATCACATGGTTCAGCTTTTATTGATTTTGTTATTGCTTGTTGAGATTTATTAATACCATTTAATAATTGTGTTGATTTTTGTCGTGTTGGTTTACGTTGATTACGTTTTCGTTCTTGTGATTGATCGATAACTATAGACGATGGTGGTAGTGATTGTATAGGCGTATCATTTAGAGTCGTTTTGTCTTCATTTGTTCCTGGATATGTCATTGATAGTGTTGGTTCATCTTCGGATGATGATAAAGATATTGAAGGTGTTGATGAAACTGAAAGACGACGCATTGGACCCGTTGAAACTCGATTGGATGAATTGGAAAGTGATAGTGATGATATTGTACGTTTTTGTTCATATTCATCGTTTTGATCAGAATCTGCTGGCCGTGTTCTTTTTTGCTGTCGAGCATGATGATTCAATCCTTCTACAAGTAATAAATAATAATATTTATATATAAATTAAAAGAACTAAAATTACTATGTTGACTATATACATTGTTATTTGATTCATTTTCAACCTAGAATTTAAACAGAAAATGCAAATAACATTTTATTTCGATTGATAAAGAAAAATTTACTTCTGCAGTCGTAACATCGAAAGATTTTGGTGTAAGAAATTGTGAATCTGTATTATTACTTGATTTATTTTTGTCATATATTTTAGAAGTTTGCTGTTTAGCTACTTCTTTCAATAATTGGACGATGGAATTTGATCGAGCAGTTTCTTGCAATAAACTTGGATATGTTGCAGTAGAAAGTGCTGAAAATGATACATTTGCCTTCGGGTTAGCACCTGCTGAAATGCTACCGCGTGGATTACAGTCACTATCGGCTGCTGTTCGGATCGATAGCGAATGTTGTTGTTGTTGTTGTTGTTGTTGTTGTTGCTGCTGCTGCTGCTGCACTGATCGAGCAACATTAGCCGCAGCGATTAATTGATTTGAAGCGAATGTTGTTGACGATGTCAGAGAACGACTTGTTGGTGCAGCTTGTTTAAATGCAGTTTCAAACATAGCAAGATCTATATTAAGCGTCGATGGGTCTTTTGCCAATAATCCGCTATTTATCAATGTTGCTGCTGTGGCATTGTTATTATTACTTTTATTAGGATTCGAAGAAGCATTTTCATTTAGACAATTTCTGTACATTTTCAGACCATGCAAACGTTGATAATGTTGTATGAGAAACCAAGCTAAAAGATCATCAATATAATTGATTAGAAGAATTATTATTTTTGGATATCATTACCTGTACTATACACATCACCACATTCATTACATTCTAAATTATAAGGTTCACCTGAAATATAAAAATATTTATATGAACATAATATAAAAGATTCTTGTAAAATATAATATTTACTATTATTATTCAATGTATTGGCACTTGCATCAACAAGAACTTTAGAAAATTTGGTTCGCTTTTCGGATGATGTTTGACGATTCGATTCATGATGTTGAATATTATGCTCATTGTCACTTTCACTTGAATTGACACTATGTTGACTTTTATCATCTCTGTCATCATCATCATCGCCATCATCATCATCACAATCATCATTGTAACCTTCTCTACGATGTCGATGTCGTTGAGGAAAATGATACGGTATATTTTGTTTATTTTCTTTATTTCCACACTTAGCTTTATGTTCAATAAATTTCAGAATATCCGATAATTGAAAATCTTGTTGACAACAACCACATACAAGCATATCAATAAATTTAATGCGATTGTCATTGTTTAATGGTGAATTATTATTATTACTGTTCATTGAAGATTTCACATGTGATAATGATGAGGCTTTCATTGCCGATCGTTTTGATGATAGTTCGTGATTAGTACTGTTGGCATCGCCATTGGTCATCATTATTGACATTAATGGATTACTACTGCTGTTCAATGCCAGCAGTGGCTCAACATTATTGTTGACCATTCACTCTAGAAATAATTAATTATTGAATCGTGTGAATGAATCATATTACATGATGAGAAGAAAAAAAATTAGAAGACAATTTTAGTATCAAGACACATACATGAACATCTTGCTTATAAGCTAAATATAGCAGAACAACAACATTAATAAAAGTAGTAAAATAAAAAAGAAGGATCAAGTGTAAGAGAGAAAAAAAGTATGCTTTTGTCATACACGAAAACATTCGATTGTGTTCTATGGAATTATCTTGTATTACGCGCAATAAGACTTTATATTAGTAAGTAATACTATGAAAGAAGACTATAGACAAGACATGAGAAAGCTACGAGTTCAATGTTATAGATAATGGTGAAAGAATAAATGTTCTGTCTTGCTCTGTATGTGTGTGTGTGTCTCTCGCTCTCTCTCATACACGCATACACATAATATGCGCATACAAAAGAGAAATAGCCTTGTCCTTCGCATTGGATTAGATGATAGTTGTGAGAAGAAAAGAGAGAAAGGACGAGAATGAATGTTATATAGTCTAAGTCGCCATGACGTAAATTAGACATGCAATCATCTTTTACTTGCGTTCTCTTACTCTCCTTCGTTCTCGCCCGCCGTCGACATTATCGTCTCCCGTCTTGGACTCGTATGTCCGCCATATGGAAATAAAAGAGAAGGAGAAAAAGGACGATGAGGAAGGGAACAAAAAAAAAGAATGAAGAAAAAGAAAGAGTGTGAGAAAGGAAGAAATCGCTCGGGCGTTGGTATTCAACCCCACACTACTATCATCATCCGTTGCAATAGTCATTCGTTGATGAAACTAGAGTCCGCAGGCGAGCGCTACCCATCCGGTCTCAATTTTCTTCAATCTATTCTTTTTTTCTCTCACATACTCGTTATTTCGCTAGAAAACAGTAATAAAAAGATATGTTGAACGATTCTCATAGTACTATACGTCCAAAAATGAATAATAATGTACTCATTGAATACCTATACGATTGAATTCAATATTATAGAACATTCAATGACAATAGTGTTGGCGTAGTACAATATTTTAGGTTCAAATTTGTGCATATATATAAATCGGAATCGAAGGGTCAGATATTGATATATTTTATAGAAACATGTGTGTATTACATACTCGGCGCACATGTATTCAAATGGTGTAATCGTTGTCTTCGTTGTCAACGCAATGTATATATGTTAGTGGATGAAATGACCGTTAATGACGACGCTCTTCTCGCTCTCTCTCTTCTGTCCTTTTCTTTCTTTTTGCGATGTCCTTGTACAATGATCGTGTGCTTGTGTGTGTCGAGAGAGAGAGACGAAGTGCAAGTCGAGAGTAGCGAACAGGCGAAGGCAAAGTGAGAGGCGAGTAAGCACGCGCGTGCGAGAGAGAGCAAAAAAGGACAGGACTTCACAAGGATGAAAAGAACGCAAAAAAAAATGCATTACAATCGAACGGACGTATATTTGATGGTTTACCGTTGGCCGCCATTCGAGTGTAGGTTGGTGATGGTGACGACATTCTCTTCTATTCTTCCCTCATCGTATTTCTCGCTCGCACTCTTTTACGTAGTATGTAACATCTGGTTTGTCCAGCCACTCGGCGTTGCTTACTCTTCTTGCCTATGCCCCGTTTTCCTTGTTCTGCCTTTTTTCTCTCTCTCTCTCTCTGTCTCTCTGTCTCTCTCTACAAAAAAGACCATTAATGACGGCACACGATAAAATAACAACTTATTTTTTTCTTCATCCTCATCATCTGAATTCCACGAGCATACAACACGTCCACTTAAATCGTGCCGAATACGTATTAGATCGATATAATTTATATATCATACATATAGAGGTACATCTGTCATGTTCATTTTTCTTGTCAGAAATATTTGTCAAAAAAAAATCTCTAAGATTAAAAATGACCCTGCTGTAGTATAATATATTAAAATAATAATACTGTATCTATACGATTCTCGATGAAGAACACCTGTTTGTTGTTTATAAGCAAAAAAACCATAGATGCATCAACGACCATGATGACGATGATGAAGGAGAAATCGTGTTCTTGTTCTATTCATTCTTTGATTATCCTTGTTGCCCGATCTACTTGGCCTTTTATGTGTGCAACTCGTACTCTTTTTCTTCTAGCTTTGCCTCTCTCTCTGTTGCTTTCAACATGCGGATGGTCGATGGTAATGATGAAGTAATCCGCGTAGATTAAATCAACATGAGCTGGAGGGGAAAGAAAAAGGGAAGACTCGACCAAGACAAACGAAGGAAAATAAAAGAGAAAGATCAAGAGCGAATAGTACGCGTGTGCACGGTTGGGACACCTTCTATAGTCTTGTTTTCATGTCTGTCTGTCTCGGTTTTTCTCTCTTTTCTTTTCTTTACCTCATCTACTACTGTTCTGTCTTCAATGTCAAGCGACAACACACGCGCATAAACTCATTACATTACACTAGTCGCCCAGTGACTTGAACGCTCGGAAAACCTAAGCCGTAGCGGACGAACGGAACTTTTTTTTCTTGGGTTTTTCCTTTTTGCACGGATCTACTTAGCCGACGTTGACACAAAAATGCGAAGGACAACTCAACAAACACAAATACATTCAAGTATTAGACGAAATAGGAGAAGAAAGACAGAAGCAAGGTGATGATGTAATCTATGTGAATGCAAACGCAGTGGTGCGGATATTGGATTGAACATCAATGGTCTTTCATAAGTTAAAAGTAGAACAGGATAGAACAGCAGCCTGTCGGTGTCGATTACTCTTGAGTACAAAAGAGAAAAAAAAGAAAGAAAATGAGAGTGAACAAATGTCGACACCATGTGGCTATATGCAGGTCGAGTCAAGGGCACAAATTCTTTTTTCTTTAATAAGTTTGTTCTTTCTCTCTCTCTCTCCCTCTTCCTCTATTCAATATTGACCATTATTTCAAATGATTCTATCCATAATAGACAATCAAATTGAGTGTGTGCATGCAATTATATGCAACAAAACTATGATCTAAGAGAACCATTGTCCGTTCGAATGATTATCAACAAAGAACACACACTAGCATCATATGACATCATCATAAACATGAATTTTTAATCTCAATAGAAGAAATGAAATGCAATAATCAATCATAGAAGATAACGAAGATTACCTCAAAAGTTAATTAAATCAATAATTTTGATAGGTTTCATCATCTTCAATATTAATAGTTCATACGTATCTACAATGAATTGTTAATCTAAAAAATGAACATAAACATGATGATGTACAATTCAAGATCATTAGATTTAGGCAAAGTAATAGCAAACCACACTATCATTATAATACTGATTAGAATTTTTGAAAATTTCTCTTATGAATAAAAAATTATTTCACACAAATAATCAATCAATCGTATTCGAATAATCGGTGATAAAAAGAAATTCTTTTACTTATGTCTACAATTGCGCTCAAAATACATCGAATCTAAATTGTATAATTAAACAATAATATTTGTAGTAGTAAATGTAAAGATTTTTTCAATTACATTTTTATTTTTATTTTCAATATCTAAAGGCAGATAACCATTAAAAATTTATGGATCTCAGAATAACGTATAAAATATCATTGAAAAACAAACAATTACACTCATTATGCATATTTAGTAAGAAGTTGCTCTATTGCTTATATGTGCTTGTGTATGTTTGAATATAAGACATAAATATTTAATTTATTTAAACTCTTTGTTAATGAGGGTTAGTAAAACTAATACCTAACAAAATTATTAATGCATTTCAATTCGTTCTTGTCGGTCTATCATTGTTGAGTTTGATTGTGTACTAGATTTAATCACTAATTCTTTTTAGTTTAAATCTAAAATAACTTCATTGACATTTTTTAACAGCTTGGCAATTTAGGATTTTCTTACTATTGATATAGATTAAGTTTTGTTTATTTCAGATGAAATTTTAAATATCCCCACTTTCAAATATGCCTTTTTAATACCTGACTGACAGTAAATATGAGAAAATTATCGAAAAAAAATGAAAACGGAGTAGAGAATTCATAAAAGAACTTCTTGAAATATGTGTAAAACTGTCCTATCATCATCATGTTCTATAACAGATCTATTGATTGAACTCAAGGATTTATCCACATATATACAAGGTTAATAGATGACGCTGTTTGACAAGATCATTCATATTTCAATTTTGTAATTGCAAAAAAGTAATTAACAAACTGATACCAAATAAATAGAAAACTTTAAAAAGAAATAAATTACTTCTAATTGGTATAAAATCTTTAAAATAAAATCTTTAATATTTAGTCGGAAGTTCATTTCGTACACTGTAAATATCTCCGTCTGCTTTGTTATAACTATTGATGCTAGTATCCGATTGTTCTCACATTAGTAAGATTACTTTAGTTTTATTGATGTCAATTTATTTTTATGATTTTGAGTGATATGATAAATTTAACATGGAAAATTTTAATCAAAATTGAATTTTATAGTGAATTAATTCATACAATCTCTACGAAGAGATGAATACACAATTTCGTCCTGTGTAGATCGTCGATACATGAAAATCTGAAGAAGTTTAACATGCTTTATTTGTTTATGATTATTTTCGAATACATCGATCATACTCAATGAAAACAACGTGGTAAAATACATAAACGAATCAACATATAAAACTGATATGGTTACCGTTCGAGCGTGAAAGGAAATTTAAAATTTTTTTATCATACGCATCATTTTCTCCAAATATACATAGATAGATATACTGGCTGTTAAATGCATAGATTCTTGAGTGCTTTGTTATGTCAACCATATAATGTGACATTCATATGGCATAAAGGAAGTCATTGATTATAGCGCAGCTGTTTCACATAGATCAAGATATATAACTATTCGGGTCAATGCATTTTTAGTATAATAAATTTAAACGCAGAACAATCACCACAGTGATTCTCTAGTAGCTATAGGAATAGTTAGCATGAGAAAATATATGAAAAAATCTGATCGATGATATCAATCTAAAGTACGATTGAATAAACATGAATAAATAAATGCTCCTTAATTCGATGAAAAACATGTGTGAAAGACAATAATGACAATGATGTGAGAAATATTTAATGTTTAGTCAATAAACTTTTTTCATTGTTGATCTGTCTATTCATGATATAAGAACAGTCATTGACATCTAACCAAACTTTCCTTTTATGGTTTTAATAAACTAGAAAACTATCATGTTTACAGGTTTGTTGATATTTTCGATTCTTCAAGCTCTTTACGTGAATTAATATTTTATTTTAGAATAATTTTCTTTTTCAAATCAACGTTAATGAATTCGGATCGTTTTGGTTACATTTATTACTTTTACGTGATCCATCAATAGATACTTTTCACGCTGAGAATCTCCATTAGTATTTGTTCAACCAAGCATAGGTACACTTATCTTTTATCGTTCCAAATATTTCATGCAATGCCACAAAAGATTTTAATCCAGCGAAAGTTTTGCGTACCATGAAACCAAACAATTCATTTGAATCATATTTTTAGTCCCACCACAAAAATGACTTTTAATATAGACTACAGAAATGTTCTCTTTTTTTTTCTATCTTCTATTAGATTCATTTTGAATGTTGACAACTCGTGCAGATTTATTTACTTATGTAATCATTTGTCAATAAAGTAATTTTTGGAACTTTTTCGAAATAGAAATCGACTTAATTAAGAATTGAGTAGAAAGAAACATAATAAAAATGAACTTAAGATGAAAAGAATAGCTTTGATCGATTAAATACAACTAAAAGATGAGAGAAAAATAGGTTCTTATCATACGTATGTCTGAATTAATTAAAAAATAGATAGATGATTATTAAATTATCCAAAACAGAAATCATCGTTATCAGTCATGAAGTAGAATATTTATATATTTTTTTTGTTAACAGGCGAACTCTTTTTACTTTTTATTGAGAAAAAAATAAGCATTAGAAAAATTTTCCTGTGTTGAACTTGTTTCAAAAATGAAAAAACCCTAATACTTGGCAATATAAAAGGAAAATCACTTAGACTGCTGTTGTTCGTGGTTCAAATAAAGTAGAAGCGCGGTTTTTAGTTTGCTTAGAATATCGATCAATTAATGTGCCATTAGTCGGTAAATGTGACATTGATGCATGTAAAGAACGCAAAGTCACTGTGTTTGATAATGGACGCTCTTGATTACAACCACTACTTATATGATTTACATGTTCAAAATTAATCGGTCCTGATATAGCTGACTTTTTAACTGTTCGAATTCTTGATAAGCTACGACAACGACGCGTATTAGATTCTTGTTGCTCTTTTTCTTGATCATGTTTATTTGATATTGTTCGTAATCGTGAATAACGGCGTGGAACTTCTTTATTATTACTGCTCGTTTTCGTTGTCTGTTGTTGTATCATTATTTCGGGTATTAATGACGATTGATTTGCTAAATTCATACGTCTTTCATGTTCTAATATTTCATAATAATATCGAAAAAATAATCGACATGCATCATTACATTCGAATAGAAATACAACAAATAAATTAGATTCTGGCAACCAACATGTCATGTAATTATCTTTTAGTAAATGTAATTCAGCTTTATCTGAAACTAAACTTGACCAGATGCCAAAACAACTTTCATGTTGAGCTAATAATAATCGAACTTGTTGTGCTCGTTTTAAATTAGCTCCCTATCGTAGAAATAAAAATAGAATGCATGAAAATCTTAAAATAAATATCTCGCAGGTAAGAATACGAACCGTATTATATATCCAAACAGGTACACCACGTTGTTGATATGACCAATTTTTAAAATTGACTAATTGTCGTGTGGTAGCCGTATACAGACGAGCTATTGAACAAGCTGATTTAATTATTGTACCAACGCTTCCATAAAACATTTCAAGACGCTTAACATCAATAGTAATTCTATCCTCATTTTCTTGTTGTTCTTGCTCGTGCTGTTGTTGTTGTTGTTGTTCAGTTTCATTCGATGATGGTGGTGTTGCTAAGAACTCATTAAAACCAAGAATAGATGAGGTTCTTGATGTTGTTCTTGATGAACGATGAGAAGAAAAAGATTTACTATTATTGATTGATGAGTGTCGTCGGGGAACCATAGGTGGATGACTATTTAAATTGTTATATGATGAAATAGGACGAGATCGATAAACGACTGCAGACGTTTCAGATGGTGCATGTGACATTATTGATGATGATGATGGATATAATGAACGTTTTAAAATCTGACCATAAGAACCCGTCATTAACTCCGGAAATTTACTTTCATTATTAGTATTGTTTAATTGAGTGAATGAACGTTGATGAACCATAGGTTTAACAATACCAATTATAGCTTTTGATTCAGAACGTTGTCGGAGACTATTTCCATTAAGTACTGCTTGATTTATTGATTCAACATTCCAAACGATTGATGATTTAGGACGTTGAAAATGATGTAAACGTGATGATGATGATGATGATGATGGTGATGGTGATGATGATGATAACGGTAGCTTTAATGGTAGCAGTGGTGAAGGTGGAGTATAATTAACATAGTTCGGTGTGGTTACTTGTTTGGCTCGTTGTGGTTGAGAGAAATAGGAAGTAGAAGAGAGTGTTCCCGTAGTTTGCAATAATGTAGGAGTAATGGCTGTCTGGATAGTTGGTGTGTCCGGTGACCAATGACTGTATTGTACACGGTACGGATGAGATGGCACATTATTGTATGAAGGCACGCGAGACTTATCATACATTGTTCACCTGCCACTAGTAGGAATTCATTGTTATAGTGAGTAATATTTCTCGCGAGAATGGCCGATTTACATATAAATTAGCTAAAATACAATAGAAAATGAATAGTACAATAAATTATATAAATCTATTAGAAAAATCGAATAAATTTATCCTACTATAAATTAGGCAAAATGAGTATGCACATCATTTCTTTAAACCTCTCATCATCGTCATCATGATAATCAATAAAAATGAAAAGCTTCGTAGGCAATGCATCTTACATATGTATATTTATGTATGTGTGAGCAATAGATTAGACAACGACAAGCATGAGTATTCGTTGTGTTGAAGCGCACATGTGTAACATGTCATTAAATACAAACTATGTTTACAACACCAAGATCATGAACGGCACACAAAACATTACAGAAGTTCAATGTACGTGTCATATGAGAAAGAGAGAAAGAGAAAAGGAGAGAAAAGGAGAGAAAGAGAGAAAGAGAGAGAGAGAAAGGAAAAGAAAGGGTAGGAAAAAACGAATTAATTTGCATAAGTATGACAGATTTTGATAATCGTTTTTTGTTCAATAAATTTCTATATGAACGGTAGTTGTTGATGCATGCACTATTTAACACTAACATAGCTATTGTATTTTTTCCCTTGTGTCTGAACAAATGCAGAATGCGTAGCTCAAAAATATATGGCATCAATACTTAATGAAGACGACAATGACGGCATCCTCTATTCTGTTCGTGTTCTTTATCTGCCACTTTTTTTTCATGATGCACTACAAATGCACGAGTTAAGAAGAGAAAAGACAAATTGAGATGACTATCTATTCAATCATATCATGACAGGATATCTGAACCTCTTTATTTTGTCTTGTTGCAGTATTCCAACCACTTCGACTGATTGATTTTACTTACTTTTATAGAATAAAATTACGCAAAAAAAACAAAGAAAGAACTTTTGGTCAATGAAGTTCAGTCAATCGACCAAATTAAGAAAGAAAAGAAACTCATATATACATCGCAAAAACGCAAATAATGTAAATAAGATATGAATAGACTGCAGGTCACTCAACATATGGGAAGTAGATAGAAAATAAGTACTCAGCTGGACAACGACAAAACGAGCATCATTATTTTGTTTAAACATTCTGTTGTCGATCCTAGAAATGGATGATGCAATTTTTACAAATATAATAATAAAAAAAATTAGCCCAATTGTATTCGCCTCATCCCAATCAACCTTGACATGCTAGCATACAAAATAGTACAAGACGATCTTTTAACGTATGTTACCGAGTTATCCATTGTCATTCAATATCACCTTATGACCTTGTCAGAATAGAATATTGGAAGCATCAAAGAAGACTACTAAGATTTGTACATACATACATACGTACTTACGTATATTTATATTTATATTTATATTTATATACACTAGATCATTTGCGGTGTTCTCTCTTCTCACATGTATTTGTTTGCCGTCATTGATGGCATTGAAGGATATAAGTGTTGCTTGCCTGACTTTCAATGTCGTCGTCTTTTTTTTTCGTCTGTATAATTAGTATGTATGTTTGATTTGCTAGTATAATTATTAAACTGATGTAGATCTAAAGAGTACTATTACATATACTCACCACAATAATAATTCAGCGTAATCCAGTTAAATAAGCAACTACAAGGATGCAAACGATTTAATAAAATAAATTTGCGTAATTAAATTCTATCTTATGTTCAATATCGATCAACGTTACTTCTTTGTGTAAGCTTATCATAGTAGAATAGACGAGAATGAGGTCACGTATATGGATCCATCAATACCATACGTATGAAGAAAGAGAGTAGAAAAGAAGAAGAAAAAAAACTCTTATATTTATTTCTCAATGGTGGTACCACACGAGAGAAGAAAGTATGATGATTGTTGATGTCGAACAGGAAAAAGATTTATTCAATCAAGCATTGTAAAGATATTCTTTTGTAAATGTTATAATTTTCCCCCTTTATCGTATTGTCGCTCACCAAACAGTTACGGTTACAATTGTTGAATCTTACCTCGTCTTTCCTATGAATGCTAGATAATCATAGTCATAATCCAAGATTATGTTTACATTTGTTCATTCATCGGTGTATGCAACATAATGGTTAATATAGAAAGAACTGGAGAAAGTCATAATATAAACTGAGCGAAAAATAAATGGAAATTATCATCGTCATAAAAAGAAATGGATGTTATCATTCGGAATGTGTATGCGCAAAGATATCGATCGTCTATGCAGCAACAATAGTAAATTGAATAACCTAATCAAGTTGTTCGGATCGATTCCGGCCAAAATACAATTAGCACTCGTTCAACGTTAACTTTAAACAATCACATGTGCATTACGGAATGTATTGAATTTTTAAGATACGACTGTCTAGTAGTGCATCAACTTCTATATCGAATTCATCGTAGACTATCAGTCAATTTTATTTTAAATATTAGATTTCATTCTCAGAATACATATCAATAAATTAGAGAGAGAGAGAGAGAGTGAGGAAAAAAGAAGACTTTTAATGCATGAATAGTTTAATATATTACATAACCTATCGTTTGAAGAATATGATACCAAGTCTAATAGTATTCTCGTGTTGAATGTCAAGTTTTGATAGATATAAAGATTTTGAAAAAGAATTCAAACTAAATATTATATACAAGAGTACGTCTCGATGGAACATGCCTTCTTTATACATGCTTAAATGTCATACTCCTATATTTGTACCATAGGAGTCTGTTATTATAGTGATCATTACTTTCTCACATCTGTCGGAATGAGCTATGTATGCATAAGACAATAATCAATTGAGAGCGAAAGGGAAAGAAAAAAATATTCACTCAGAATATTTCTTTGAATGAAGCCGCCGATGGTCATTATATGTAGCTTTTTTTCTAAGTCTATTATTGTTCTATACAGAACAAATGATTCGTAGTATTATTATTGAATATATACAAAAAAAAGTTCATCAATGAATGACTTGTAAATTCTCCTGCAATGTAGATGAATCAATCCAATAGGTACATATATATATAAATATGAACATTATATTTCTTTCAATGAGATATATGAATTCCTCATCAAAATGATCATAAACTAAGTATTCATCATATTTACTTTACACATAGACAATATATTGATCTCCAAGATAAATTTGACTGGACAAGCAAGTAAATAATTGTGATCTATTCGAAGATGTGTCAAATAACTAGAAGATTATCAGATGATATCGAAATATCATACTTTTTTCTTTTTAGAAATATAACATACTAAAATCAAAAGATTGATATTATACCTTATTGAAAGACAGATGTAAACCATGAATATTAAGACATTCAATGCATTTTTTTTCTCTTACACTTCAAATACTCAATCTACCGAACCTTGTGTATATTTGTATCTTCTATTTTTCTAAATATTCTGAAGGATAGTTTATTATATACAGTGTTGTAGCTGACCTTTACTGACAAACTAATGGATAATTAGTAACCATTTGTTTAATATAATTTCATTTTCATAAGTCTTTATTTATTGTCTAATGAATTATGACAAAAGTACAGGCTTTATTTTTTTTTTCATACATAGAAAAAAGCATAGTTCACGTATCGCAACGCATTGGCTGCTCTATATTAGAGAACTATTTTATTATATATATAAATAATGAAAAAGAAAAAAAAAGCCAGTTGCCTGAGGTGACAATGAGGTTACATTAGTGTCGAGACGATACGCGCTTGAGATTCTTGATGAATTGTTTTTCTCGGTAAAGCTCGTCTATAATCGTCAACTTATCGCAGCATGCTCAGCATGTTGATTATCTATCAGTTTATTTTTGTATCTAAGTGGTTAAGCAATCTTTCATATGTTTTCTTTGAATCTATGATGCGTCTTATCCGAAGATCTGTCATATTCTATTCTTTCATTTATCAACAATTTATTGTACATTTTGATTCATCATATAAATTTCTTTATAGTTTCATATGCTAAATCTGTTGAAACATATCATGAATCATTTCACTGTGAGATTAATTATTTCGGATAATCAAACAATGGAAATTAATTACAATCACTTTCGATGCCAACTATGACGTTATGACATTGATTATGTTGAAAAAAAAACGATCAAGATTTAATACTGTAGAGATTGTGTTACTATTTTTTTTACTACCTGAGACTTTTATAATGTCATGCCTTTCGATCTATTTTGTTGCCTATGGATTGTTTCTGAAGTCAAAGATAATTTACGGTTCACCTAATATTAAATAATAATTGCTTTTTTTCAGAGCACAGGTACTTTTTAGCTTTATCCTTTTTGATTAAAATAATTGCCGCTGGGCGCTATTAATATGTACGCTATTAGAGAATCTGTCTGTAATCTAAAGTCATGCTTATTATAATGCTGTAAGGTTATTGTTATATTTAAATACCAGTATTCCTCTTAATAGGGAAAAGTAATGGCATATGTATAATTTATCGTCAATCAAAACTAAATCATTCGGTTATGGATAGAGAATGTCTGACGAAAAAATAATCAAATAAAAACAATCCAAAATGTATCAAATTGTCACTGGCAAATAAATGGATTCGTTATTCTGTTCAAACACGTTCTGGATAATATAATGGGAAACAGAAAGCCCGATAGATTTGAAATCGTATAGTATTATCTAACAGTAATAGTGATCATTGCCTGGTAATATTTCGATAGGTGTACTTACAACAAATGAATGAACATCGAACATGTTTAAATTAAATACTTATTTATTTATTTTAGATCATTAAATGATTATCTCGCAATAGTTAACTTGTGACAGTAAGACTCAGAAAAATTATTACACATACCAATATCGCCATTCATAATCAAGGCAGTCTTTCATACAATATAATGTCACTTTGTATAATTTTTTTTGTAGTGGAAAATATGACATAACATTGTTATATTATTACTTAAATATACAGATACTATATCTGCTAGATAGCATCGACTTTGAATGAAGCAAGATACTGATTAGTTTTCAGTGAAATAATCGTCATTCAAACTATTGTAAATTTTATTTTTCATGTATCAGTTTGATATTGAATGTAAATTGCAAATTGTTAATTATGGAGACAAAATCTCATATCATAATTTTCTATTACACAAACCTGAATAACATTTGATTTCGAGTGAATAAACAGAATAGTCAAAAAAAAAGAATTCATTTTAATGTGTCAAATAACCTATTTATTAGATCGGTGGCCGTCGTTTTTTTGTCAATAAAATAGCTTGATAACGTTTGACTTGAAAATTTGTGAGCTCATCACAGGACAGTTTTATAAAAATTTTAAATTGTACAAGTAATACAATTAGTTGTAGCTTATTTCTTGCTCCCTCAATTTCTATATGTCAAAAACAATCAGAGAATCAATTATGTTGAGCACTTTTTGAATAAACACAACAATATTTAAAGACCAAGATTATCCAAAAACCAAAAAAACGAAAAGATTAGTAGATTTATTCAGATTATTTATGTCACAGTTTTCACTCTGTAAAAAAACATATTATTGAACAGAAGACAGAATGCAACTCGTGCTTTGTATAATTTTCAATGATCAATTCTTAATTGAATGACATGAAATGCTAAGAGTAAACTTATCGACCAAGATTCACAGGTTGATTGGCTAGCGCTTCTTCTTCAGTAGCTTCATCGAATGTACCTTTTCGTTTTCTGCTACAAGCAAAAAAGATACAGGACGATACAAGCAATTGGATAAAAATGATCCAAGCAAATATGAAGCAAGCTCCATATGAATATTTTGTACCCGGGGGATAAACATAATGTAAATGTTGATTTGAATGACGATATATTGTAGTTAATACCTCGATGCAAACAACAAGCGATGCAGCTAAAAAAACAGTAGAAGGAAATGGTTATTTTAAAGTAAAAACCAGTCATATGATTAAGAGAATTATTACCGGTTAGGATATAAATCATGGCTGTCAATCTTTTATAGGTATATCGATAATCACGAATGCTATACAAACCACAAATAAATGTTATGATTGCAAGCAACATATAAATAATACTAAATGAAAGCATTGTACGAATCATTCCTACAATGAAAAAGAAAAACAGAATTAAAAAATATCGTGTTACGTATCAATTTTTTCGTGAAATTGACTTTGAATAAATATGAACGATATCATACCGACAAGTGTTTGTTCGGCTGGTACGGAGGCATTTTGAACTTGACTTTGATGATAATAGCATCTAGTTTCTAAATAGAATAATAATATGTTAGACAACACTTAATTAATAGAAAGTTTTCTTTTCTCTTAATAATAAATGACGCAGCTGTTAATGATGCATTACAATCTTTCGAATCTATTAATAGTTACATCAGAACGAGACTGCGAGCGATGTATCGAAATCTATTGGTACTCACCATAGGTAGAATTCAGTTTTGATCTACCGATTATACATTCCCAAATAATACCATATCTAGATCGGCTCACGTACATATTTTGTCTTGTAGATAAAAATTCCGATGGATAACTAATAATTATCCAATAGCTTGATGTTAGTGTTATTAAAAAAATAATAAATGAAAGCGCAGTAAGAGCAATTGTGATACGTAAAATTTTTGTTTTTCGTTCAATAGATGCTTTCTTTGCAGCCGAGGTGTCTGTCATTGTGGTGATCATAGTAATATTATTGTAACGATTATAGATTATGACATCGATAAATTCTGATTAGAATACGCGATTTTTCAACGATACTAAGTCTGTCTTTCCAGATATAATAAGAATTGTAGTAATCCAAATATGACTTATTTATCAGCATGCAAGTAAAGATTATAGCACTAGATCATCGCACATATTTCATATGTTTATTTGTATGTAGTTTTTGCGTAGGAGTAAAATCAGCGAATAGTACCTTAAATAAATAAACAATACGAAATAACCATTCATTCCATGAACTTTGAATAATAATTGAAAACGGTTTTTAGAATATACTATACTGATCGCTATTTTTCATTAGCTGGACGTTTTTATTTTTGTCTACTGAAAATGTTAGTTATTCTGATGTTATAGAAACTATACATATATACGGATAAAATATTTCTCTCTCATGTTGTTTTAGGGTATTAGAAAAAGAGAGAGAAAAGTAATGATCGTATTGAGGACGTATGTCTTCTTCCACATAAAAGAAAGCTAGCAAAACGATCTCTATATTATAAAAGAGAAAAGAAAAGAAACTACGGTCCGCGATAAACATATCTAGCTTTTTTTCTGATACAACTAGTGAGACTAACATACGGAAAATACCGCTGATAACATTTGTATACTACCTGATAAGCTGTACATTCTATTTATCTATTACTATGAAATATCGAGTTTATCAAAATGCCTGTTGTAATATTTTCTGATTTAGAGAATTTAATCTTTACGATCAGAATGTGATAAATAAAGTCAAAGAATAAAAATATGCTTTAAAGTCATTAGACAAATATAGACTTTAATTCTGATAGAATATTATAGAATAAATGAGTTTGCTTATTAAAATAAATATCTTCAAAGATGAAAATTATTTATGATAAAAGCATGCGGGACACATAAAAATAAGATGACGTACTTAGATCGATAATAAATAAATCTAATTAAAACCCTAGAACTATAGTTGACAAATAAAAACATCACGTTCGTTCCAGACATACATGCTTTTTTCATTATTTACACTGATATGATTTTTTAAAAAGAAATTTAGTGATAATACCATATGTTCTGCTGGAAAATATCTTCAAAAACAAAGAAGTAATATCTTAGATCTAGATTATTAGGATTTGTTCAAAATAAAGACAAAATGATTGATCTCTATTCATAAATGTTACTCAAATATGATTCATTAGTTTGATTAAGTCGAACACATGCAGCCGCAATCGTTAGATATTACTATAGATTAATGAGTATCGTACACACACTCGTCTAATAATAATCTATTGTCAATAGATCGTTTAGAATTTCATGCAGAATGCTTTTCTGCTAAGCTGAGTTATGCATGCAAGTAGTGGTCTTATTTATAATGCATATAACGTACAACTATGATCGTTATATAATTACTACTGTTAACTACGATGCATGAAAAAGAATGCGAACGAAATTCATTGTTACGAATGCTATTGTAAAAGTTGCACATTATTGACAGCGCGAGAAACATAAATCAAGCGGAGTTTTTTTTTCTTATTAATGCTAAATAAAAATTTATCGAAGCTTTGCATGTTTTGTGTGTTGGTGACAATTAGTATGTATTTGAATTTTGATTTGTTTTTATTCATGTATGAGACTGATCAAATCTTAGGTTTGAAAGTCGAAACGAACTCTAATTGATAATATCTTTCAATTTGCATATGTAAACAACATGACAAATGCACATTATTTATTCATTAACCTTATAGTGACTATTGTACAGATAGGAATTCTTTTTTTCCTCAGATTCACTATGTAAGATCTTCAATGACTATTTTACATTACTTTTCAACTTTTCTTAGTCTTTCTATTAAATGAATTCTTTTCTACGGTGGTAAAACATGTTTTCTAGAATTGAATAAAATGATACTACAACACATATCGAATCATACACTTATATGTATTTAGGATCGCAAAAAGTACGAACGAATGTCAAAGTGTTTTCACCTTCAAGCGTTATGCTTGATTAATTTAATACTACTCTTCAGTATTCATTTAAAATCTATTTAATAGACAATTCATCATATTAGTCGTTAGTTTGTAGTCTATTTAAGTGCTCATTACTTCTTCTTTTTTTAATGGGTGGCACGCTGGTTGAAATTATTCAATAGATGTTTCCGTCAAATATGATAAACAGAATAGAGAATAAAAAATCTTAAAGCATATGCAAGGGAAAATTGTGAATAGATTTTTGACTTCTCCAGCTGTTTGACAAAAGATAGAAATCAACGATGTCTATAGTTCTATCGCGTACTCAAGTAAAAGTTTTTCACCAATAAAAATAAGAGTAAACCAATATTGTGGAATGTATTATTAGTATTCAATGAAAAAAAAACTTCTAAAAATACCGAAGGAAATTACTTTGTGTTCTATTTTTCTACTGATTTACCTATTTATCTATTAAACTGATCACAAGCCTGCTCACTAATATTTCCGCCGAATGAGCAGCTTTCTTCATTACCGATGTAAAAAGAAATCACAAAAAATCTAATTATAAGTGATTTTTATGCGATTAGAAATCTCTTTTAATGGCATGGCACTATAACAATCTCAGTTCAATCAGATTTTCCAGCCTTGAAAGACAGATTATTTTGATTTTATTTTAATCGATTTTAATTGATTACCTACGAAACTATAATAATCGATTAAAATTCAAACAAATCAGACTTTTAACGCTGAAAAAACTGATTAAAATAAAATTATGATAGTACGATTATAATAGATTTTAATCTGATTATTAATCCAATTCTTTTTTACATGGGTAAGAAAATAATTCAATCGAATGAAGTTAGACAAAGCACGGTACGTTAGAGAAAAAGATAACTCACAATAGAAAAAATGATAAAAGGCTTCATTAAGAAAAAAGAGAAATGCACTGAAAACTCTTGAAATAGATCAAGTTCAATACAGACTATTTTAAAGTAAAACAATGTGATAGAAAATGAAATACTATTTCATGTTCCCTATATATGTTGATGTATACGAGTGGATTAAAAATGGTTTTGTTTTGTACAATTATTGCTTTGAAATATCTACGCTACAGCTTTACTTGTATTAGAATGACTTTAAACTAGCTTGTTGATTCCTATTGTATTTCTAGGTTAACCCGCTGATATTGAATTCTATGTATCTGTCTTGTATCGTTCTTATATTCCAAGATGTACAATAAGAAGAAAATATCGCTTTCTACTGAAACATATGCAAAGAAAATGTTCTATAGACACGAGAGAACGATAGCAGAGAACGTGTAAAATAGACCTTGTCGTAAAGCTGATGTCACTATATCAAATCGTGTGATTCACTAGTCCATATATCTAGCCGTTTGTATACTTTTGTTCCCGACATTTTATGACAACTACTGTTTCCTTTTCTATGTGCTACGACAAAAATAAACAACGTCCACTCCTACATATGACAAAAAGCTGGCATAGAAAACTAATATGCCACATAGTAGAAAATATTTTCAAGCAATGCACTCGTGTAGAGATATTTACTTTTTCGTGTCTCTATAGAGAGAAAAACCGTGTATTTGCTAATTTTATACGATATCGCTTTGAACTTTATTTAGTCTACAGCTCATTCACAGTCGGTCTGATTTCAATTTCTTTCAACTGTCCAACCTTTATTATTTTAATAATAATCAAGCCATACGAAAAAAATGCAGTCTATCGTTGTTGAAAAAAACAAAATACGTTTTGAAAATACTTTTATTGGTGGCAAAGATCTATAATTGAATCTAATCGAAAATATTCTTATGACGTGTAACTTAAATCCAAAGAATTCAATGAACAAATCTGAATCTTTAGTTAGCTATTGTTGCCTACTGACTTACCATATAATACTGACAAATGACTACACATTTGCTGAAAAAATGTCTAATTTACTCATATACTCTTTATCGATGTAGACAGCTGCTGCGACAATTTGGGTGTATCTTAATGTTGAAATCTTTATTCTCTTCCCATTGTGTCCCTTATTGAGAAGGTTATTGATAAAAAAAATTGCTTCATGTATGTCGATAATTATGTGTGCGTCAAGCAAGTTTTATGTTTCTCGTCTTTCTCAGAAAATAGAAAGAATCTAAGCGATGTAGTGTATAAAGAAATAGATACGATTGCGATCAATTTAATAACATTCTCTGAATCGATTGCAGCCAATCAACTAGTTACTATTGAAAACTGTATAAACTTGGAATTTTTATCAAAGTAAAAGTCATCGTGAACTTTAATTCCATTATTACTGAAATAGCTTCTCTATGTATTGAAACTGTTTAATAAAAAATTATTATTGTCTGAACTTTCAAAAGTTGGATCAATATTTGAAACGATATTCCCAGGCCTGTTCTTTCATATAAACGATCTAATTCTTTATTTGGTATTTCCATGACGTGTATGAAAATCTTTGATGGTTTCCTTCATTACGTCGTTTAGAAAAGCAATGTTGTTTTTCGAGGAAAAAGGAAATCTGTATGTTGCTTTGGTGCTTACGCGTCTTCCATCGCGTAAAGTAGATTTCTCTGTCTGCATTTATTACTGACACATTTTATCGTTTGTTTACTTGAAAGACTATATCAAGAAGCAGAATTTAACGAGGTCTGGTTTCTGAATTAAACTTAGTTGCTAATAAGCACAAGAGTAATGCTAAGATTAAAACATTCATTTTTGACTAGATCTCGATCATGAAAACTTCAAGACATTCTGTGACTGTAAGATAATGTATTTTTATCTTTGCTTATTTATCATTTCCCGAAGGGGTGGTCATAAATAGTGCTGACAGCAAAATTAACCTCAGGTTCTTCAATACTGCTTCAACATATTCAGAAAACTTCATAGTATTGAAATGTTACTAGTGCACGATCAATCAAGAAGGATCGGAGGGAATTCGTCGAGGCTTCATCTTGTGTGAAGCAAAAACAAATACTATTTACACTACGCGCATATGTTAAAAATATTTTTGAGGCTAATACCTGTTTTTTCTAATTGTTATCATTGGTGTTTATTTTATTAGTGCATGTAATTACTTGAATCTTGACATTAAAAGTTAAATATCAATTTGTTAACCAATTGTTTACGAGAAAACGATGAAGTTATTTTCGACAGTATTATTTTTTCATATCAAGACGGTCTATTAATCTTGTGAAAAATGATCATGAAGATTATTTGAACTTCTCAATACGCTTTCACAAATCAACTTCAGACCATGAAATCAATAAAACTAGTGACGAGATGTATTTTTGCATCTATCAGAAAACATGTTTCTGTTGTATAAATGTAACAAGCGAGGTTTTGTTCTTCCTACACCGATGATAAATAGACTAGAAAGACTATGATGTATACGCTTATTTCCATTCTTCGTTTACGATGAACAACAAAGAGATTTTACCTAAATAGAATATTGTCTTGGCTATTCGAAAAAGAACAATTTAGAAAACATTCAGGTATTTGATGAAGTGATGCCGAGTATGTTCTATGTATAGAGAAAAAGCAATTTTGAATCGAAAAGAAAGCATTCCACAATAGAATGAAACTGTGAATGATATTGTTTGTCTAGTCGAAGAAAACTATTTCCATGTCCTTTCAATGAAAAGAAAAAAGATTTTTTTATCAACAAGATCACCTTTCATGTTCTTTGGATGAGTATTCTTTTGATTTTTTTAAAATATTTGTCGCATGTAGTATAATTGTATTTTCGTAGCTAGGAAATGAATTCATTATTAAAGCTAAATCATTCTATTATGAATTTATTAAACCATCTAATTTAAAATGACTTATTTTATGGAGTCATTAAAGAAAATTTAAAATTCTTTCTTTAAGAGATGCACTCATAGATTCTTGAGTTCATTTATTTTTCATTTATATTCTTTCATTTAGAGTATATCTTTGATACGCATCAGAATCAAAAGTTAATATCTAGATCACAGAAAGTTTCATGTAGCAAATATTAATATTTGCACTATAATTCACTCAATCCAAACAAAAATGAAGTGTTGTTTAACACGAATCTGCAGAGTAAAGTTCGATTCTAAGAAATGTCATATTGACTTATATTTTTCAACAGTACTACGAACGATCTTTTCAATTATCAAGATTCGAACAACTAACAGCTTCGCTATTCTGTAAGCATGTTATTACATGTAATAAGAAATTGTTTGAGAAATCGCTCTAGTTAATAGTTCATATGATTTCTAGTCTAGTCAATGAAGTCTAATATAGTATGATATTAAACGTTCTACAATCAATCAAACTCCAAACTACTTGAAAATATCATTCGACAAATTTAAGAATAACAGAAAAGGCATATATAACAGATTAATTGTGAAGAAAGACGAACAATCATAATAATCGATATATTGAACTTGTTATTTTCTAAAAACTTTCTATTCGTTTTCTACCGTCAATTTTGGTGCAACAAATAAATTAGTTTTAAGCCAAAAGAAAACATATTTGCATGCCAAGGAAAATCTCTTTTAATTAAATAAATACTGTCGGTACTTCCAAAAAGAAAGTATTCACTATTGAGAATTGTTCATCGATGAAAGATATCATATATATACATATTTATTGATGTGAAACGAAAAGAATTTTTAGAACATAAGCTTCTTTTCAAGTTTTTAAATAATCAGAGATCATCGCCTATGTTATTCAGCTGATCTCATTAGAATATTTATTAATAGAAAGTTGAACTTTATTCTACAAAGTCTTGAATTACTGTTGTATATCCTGAAGTATGTTCATCAGATGTTATTTAATCAAACGTGTTGAGTTTATCTGTTGTCAAATGTTAGACAAAGCTAAGCTTCAAATATTTTATTTTTCTTGGTTGCATTTAAATGAACTTCTATGGACGACTTTCAAAAAAAATGTAATGCAAGATAGTATTGTGGTACTGCTAGTTTTTCTAATATATATATATATATATATATATACAATTATATAAATAATGCATAGTACTTTTTTAATGCTTTAATCAGAGATTTTCAAAAGAAGATACAAAAAAAGAATTTTTGCGTTTCGATCTAAAAAGTTAAGCACGCAGATAGAGCTATCTATGGAAAAATTATTCGCAATGAAAAGTACTTCATCGGATCGAGACTCGTTCAAAATGGCAAATATCAATTGTATGTTTACAAGGTATACAAAATCGCATACTGATTGGTTAGTTTTCATTTTCTTTAACAACATTTTTATGCGAAAACTTTCTTTATACAAGTTATACGCGAACTATCATTATAAAATATCAATCCTTGTGAGTTCATAGACAGAAATTACCTCAAGTATTTTAATTAAATAATTTGACAAAGCGTTCAACATTGAGATTTCACCTTTTCTAATATGAACTGATTAAATATTCACGAAAAAGCAAACGTTTGTGAACATATACAATAAGTGGAAAGACCAAAGTGAACAATAGTACATAGATACAAGAAAATATAAAATTTCGTATCACAACAAAACAAAACGTCATAGAGATTCGCGTTCAGGTTTAGTTAATGTATTTGAACGTGACTTTGATACATGTTGAATTGGTTTTCTATCTAAGAGAAAATAAGTACGCATGTGGCCTTTCCCTTTGACTGCGATTTCACCTCTATCTTCAAATGTATATTGATCACGATTAATCAAACATGCGTATGTATCGCTACTCAAATGAATTCTTTCAGGTAGTCCACTTGATTCCATTCGATTAGCTACATTTACAGTATCCCCAAACATACAATATCGAGGCATTTTAGATCCAATCACTGCGGCACATACAGGTCCTATGAATTATAAACAAGGAAAAAGATATATTTTACAATATTAATGAAAAACTAGATGGTTGTTTGAATCATCATTTCTGACGATGTTTTGTTAGCGATTAAATATCATTTATGTCATATTATGTTTCTCAATAACTGTAAAATATTTGCACTCGGGCAAGTAATTTCACCGCCTATAAATCTGTAGACATGTGTAACTGTAATGTAAGTGTGAATGCCAAAAAAAGCTGTTCTTATTATATAATGTATTATTAAAAAAGAATTTCTCAAGTCATAATAACTAAAACACTTTCTCATATCTATATTTGTGATGAATGACAAGCCATTCAAGCTGCCATTCCGATACAAGGATATCGCTTACGACGACTAGGGTATTACAAGAAAGTAGCGAGACCGATCAACAGTATGATGTGGACAAGAAAAATATCAATATCAAATTACAAATTTATCATAGCAGTATTTTTCTTCTACTTTTCATTAGATTATTAAGAAATGTATACCAAGTAATTACACCTTTTTTCTCCGTATATAGACTTTATAATAAAAAAAAGAAGAACGGTAATGCAAAATCTTATTTAAATCTCATATTCGCGAATATAATAACACACTAAAAATACTCACATTCGCATTACTATTAAAGATTTTCTAGTTTGATTTTACCACAATATTTGCTATTTGATTTACATTTAGATACACGAAAACTTTCCTACAGCTCTAATGTATCTTGATTAAATTTTTATCAAAACAAAAATAGCAGAGAACAAGCTTTTTAAAATAATTTCCAAATAATCTATGAATTTTGTAGACAATATTAACATACCCGTATGAATTCCAATACGTAATTGAAGTTGAGCAGATGTACGAGGTACACGTACTTGTTGTTTACAACGTAGCAATGCTAATGACATGTTTGCAATTTCATTAGGATGCTTAAATAAATCAAACAACAGAAGTTCATAGTTATGTAATTATCTCTTCTTGAATAAACAACAAACTTACTTTATCACCATTTCGTTTCGGTGCTCCCGAAACAACCATATAAGCATCTCCAATAGTTTCAACTTTATAAACATCAAAATTTTCCAATAGAGAATCAAATATAGAATAAAGTCGATTTAACATATCACAAGTCTCATTTGGCGAACACATACTGTATTAATTAGAGACAAAATTTCTTTTTTTTTAAAAACATACTATTATAATATTATCTTTACCTTGCTATAATGGTAAAACCCACAATATCTGAAAAATAAACAGTCACTGATTCATAGTATTCTGCAGGCGCTTTCCGCCCATTTATTAAATCCTTGGCTACACAGGGTGGCAATATTTCATGAAGTAATTTTTCTGTCAAACATTTTTCTTTTTCTAGTTCATCTGTTTTACGTTCTAATAAACGTGAATGACGTCTTGCACGAATATATAACGTCAATATGGTATAACATAATGTTACAGTAATGCCAATAAATACAATAATTACTAAACCTTTCATTACGCAAACCTTCGGATGGCGAAAGCAAACTGAAGTGTTATTTTTAGTACTGGGACTAATGATTGGTTGATTACTAGGATTTGGCATGGCATCATTTAAATAGGCCAAATCAAGAAAAATCATGAATATAAGAAGACCAGCACTTGCAATAGTAATAAAAATCGTTGTAAGTACGTGACTAATTTCTATACGTGATGATGAGTGTATTTTCTTAGTAGATTCTAATCCATCCGATTCGTTAGTTTTATTAGGTAACTCACGTGTTCGTCTTCTTGTGAACGCATTTCGCATAAGATAAAAATGACGGAATAATGGAAATGAAGATGGAGATATACATTGTGAATTAACAGGTCCAGAGTTTATTCTACCTCGACGAAAAGATGATCGATATCGACTTAAACTGGCATTTGACATCGTACTTCGCAATATTCTTTGGACATTGTTAGTTGATGATTTAGTAGACAACGATGACGTTGATTGTTTTATGATACCGTTGTTTAAATGTTGTGAATCATTATCAAGAAGAGCACGACTAATGCTCTGACAATCACCATTCACCATTTCGAAATTCGACGCCAAATATAAACTTCTATTTTCTGCCAATCTAAAAGCCTGTCAACGAAATCCAAAGATGTCAAACTACTAAAAAAAGAAGAGAGAAATGCGATGATAGTTTTGTAATTATGAAACTATTTCCTATATTCTGTCTAGTTCTTTTCTCTCTATCTTTTTATGCTGCTAACAGATCCGTTACTGATTATTCTATATGCTTGTCGGCCTCTCTTTCTCGTCCTTTTGTTTACGTACATGCATGCACACGACCCTGATCTAGGCAACTTCTGTCTTTGCACATCTAACAAATAATTCAATTCTCTGCTCATCAACAAATGAAGGCTAAGTTTTATGAATCCAAGCAACTTTATATACATGCATACCGCCTGATTGACAGAAAATGACAGGAAAAAGTCTATACAAAAAGTAATATGGTATGAAGATAAGTTTGTTTTCTACTGGTCTACTAATTGGTGCTGAAAGATATTTATATGCAACAAAGAAACGAGAAGTTTTGATTACGGTTATGACGTCAATGAGTTGTACGTAATGTTACTCGATGTGATGATCCAAAATTTTATTACTTTTAGTTGATACAATATAAGTGTCAGAAAAAAGCATTATGAGTGTTGTCTTCTTAACAAAAAGAAAATAAGTACATACTAGAATATGTCAATGTTATTTTTATTTATGCTTGATTGCTTGTTTTTCTTGTTATGGTTAAACAAGGATATAACATTAGCTCATGCATTTGCAGATAGACTTATATATGTCCTCCACCGTAAAAATGGATTAACAGATGAGATAGCGAACATGACTTCTTAAGCTTTAGAAAATATTATTAATCTAGATATATACGGATGGAATAGCGTTTCTCTCTCTCTTTCTTTTTTTTTTCGTTTAGTCATTTGATAGCAACATCTCAACACCGTCTGTCGTATCTTCTTGTAATAACAATAATAAATTGATAAATCGTTCGAGTAAATGAATAAATCTCTGCGCGAATGAGATATTTCAGGCACATAAAAAAAGATTTTACTCAATTTGTAATCGCTATTTGGCATCATTGAATGATTAACTTAAGAATTTCTTTACTTTTCTTTTTACTATGGTTTTTAAGAATATATATATATGTATATTATTTATTTATGAATTAAATAAATAAATGAAAATAAAAGACAATATACAGTTATACAGTGCACTGTAAATGTGTGACGAATATTATCTATTTCTAAGCGTTGATGTAGATAAGAACGAATAAAACAGGGAATAGGGCCAAATTCAAGGTCAATATGAAAGCAACACGTCGATTTGTGTGCAAACCTCATCATCATTTCTCTTATAAAACAATTCTTTTTGTTTGTTTGTTTGAGTAACAAACGTGTCTTACTTATATTTCATTTTCTTCTTCTTCTTCTTCGTATTGTTTTCGTTTGCTGCTGCGAACGATATGATAAGACAACTCTATTCATTAAATAGTCGAAGATAAAGTGAGCTAAATCGAGAACAATTCTATTAAAATAAAAATATACAATAACTTGTCAAAAACATGGCTACAAGCTCCGTCTGCTCTTCAAAAGTTATTAACAAATTAAAAATAGCGATAAACATTTTATACTTATTTATATTCCTTTTATTGTAGCCATTGGTGGTGTCGATAAATAATTATTCGTACAATAATGTAAATAAAACAACAAATGTTGACGATGATTTTGACTGTGTCAAAGTTGAAGTAAGTCAATTATTACGTCACATATTTCTAATTTGATCTAGACTATAAAAGATTTGAATAAATAATTAAAAAAAACAGAAAATATTTTATTCCATATTACATAGAACTATGTGCATTTGTATGCTTTTTATAATGATTATATATTTTAATTTTGTTAAGATTTCGGATCTTGATAACAATTGCTCAAATTCAACAACACTTAGTTTAATGAGATGTAAAACACAAATACTTCATCCATTTCGAAAGTTGCTGTGCTTTGTTAGTCTTATATCACATTTAAACAATTATCAAATCATGTTCTCTGTTCTCTTTTATTATTATCGTTAGATTGGTTGGAGACCATTTGGTGCTGACAGTTGGCAACGTTCATCAGTTTTCTTTCGTATTATCAATATTATTTATCCGATTTTTATATTATTATTACTTTTGTTTAATTATACTTATGAAATCATAATTTGCCAAGGAAAACTCAATGTCAGAACAGACACACAAGTATAAATTTCTTATTCGTGTGTTTTTGATTAAATTCCTTAGCATATTTTTTAAATAGAAGACAACAACTACAACTACTACTGTGACTAGTTCACCAACAGAACATGACCTAACAACAAGTTTACACAAAAATCAGTCAGCAGGTACCTGGGCTACATTGCAACCTGGCATAACTAGACCACATACAACAAATGCTAGTCTGACTTTGATACATGCACATGCAGAATGTGGTCATATATTTACTACTTACATTTTACCTGATATCTTTCACTGTGTTGCTTTCATTATTGGTTTTATTCATTTTCGTGTTACTGAAGGCGAACCTATGTACTCTCTGATGGAAAAAGTAAGATTCATTTACATTATAATCATTCACTTCTACAACACTTGTATTGTATCTATTTATTCTTTTTTTTTGTTACCTTGAAAAGGTTTTTATTCATGCCGATCAAAATGTTCGTCTCTCTGGTACAAATCGAGCTATTCGACGATTAAAGTATAACATTTGATAATTACATCTATCTATGTATATATAATTATATGAAGTCAGCAACTCCGATCGTACTCAAAAGAAAACCTACATTTACAAAAAAAATCAGAAAAACACATGCATGAGAAGATAACCCGAGGCTTGATTTGTTTTCTATTATTCAACGCCTGTTTGATTACCAAATATTTTGAAGACTTACGCCGCATTTTGTTTAACGAGATATGCTGTTTTTCTTTTAGGACAACCTAAACATTTTCGAACTCATTTCTGCTTATAGTTTTCTACTTGTACATGCACAACTGAGAATTCTCGAGAGATCTTTATTGCAATGAATTAATTGAAAATGAGGGAACATGTCACAATTTCAGTAACTGACATAGTCTATTCTAGAATTAAGCATTTTTATATTTACTTAATAAAAACACATGCTATAAATAGATGAGGAATATTTGAGTGCCTTTCAAGGCATCGAACCTGTCCTATTTTTACTTTGGATAAAAATTAGAAATTGCAAGGTTTCGGTCATGCCCTGAAGCATGGCATGCTTTTTTGAAATAAAAATAAGATAAAACTATAAAATACGATGGCTTACAGACAATTTTTCTTTGGTGACATGAATTAGGTTTTTATCTTATCAATTGAATATCTCTGAAAAACATCTTGATATAGGAATGAAGATTATGCGAGTCTTTTTACTAGAAATCTAATATAGCTTGAAAAATACATGCAATTTCGATATACCTAAGCTAAGATTGACTTGTGAAAAAATGAAATTTAACTTTTCTATACTTTTGTTTGACTAGGTTATTTTTATTGATTGGTTGTATATGGGTGATCGTATCTGTAGCCACACATGCTCTTTCAAATGCTATGAATGACTTTGCCCATACGCTTATTTTTCGTGAAACAACACTTCAGATCGTAACAGAGTGAGCTTATCTTGACGGAATTTATTCGATTTTCTATGTTTCATTTTGTTTGTGATTATTTAGAAAACCGATGCGATATGCACTTTTTACAATTGATATTATTTGTCTTCTAATTTCGAATTGTATTCATATGGCTGTTGCTATGAATTATGCGTGTCACTGTGAAATGATTCTATTTTATTGTAAAGCGATTCGAATACGTTTAGAAGAAAACTCAATACATCTTCTTGAAGCTATGAAACGAATTCTTGATCTTGCAACATCAATCAGTCAATTGAATAGTTCAGCATCCAGAATGATGTCGATACTAATTATTTTCTTTCTTGAACGCTCTATACTCGGTATGAAGCTATAAATTTTCAATAAGCCTGACAAGGGAACATTCCCAAGTGATTCGCACCGTTTGGTGTCATATTTTTCTCATAGGAAGGATCTAATGAGCAAAATATGAGACCAAACGGTGCGAATCACTTGGGAATGTTCCCTCGTGAGAGACAAAAATTAATAACTCATCTTATTTCGAATGAATATCTTACCTTAGAAAATATCAATTTTGTAAGGTCATCATTATTACATTTGTAAAATCTCGATGTAATATTGAAAGGTTCATAAGTTAATTTATGTGCCAGTAATATATTTCGAGAGAAAAATTTCAAACGAGTAAATAATGAGAAAAAAATTCTTGATTGTTTTTCTGCTAAAAGTATCAACTAATTTATAATTGCATGAAGTAATAACATGCTTGCATTTTCTTCATAAACTTTGATGTATTTAGAGGAAATAGAACAGATTTATTTGGATATGTAGTTCATGGTTTTTCTACTTGAATGTGCAATATAATTTTAAGAAGATTTAAAAGAAACATCATTAGAATATTACTATATACTATTTTATTTGTGTCAAAGGGTTCATCTTATTGGTAGTCAATCAAATCTTTCAAGTTGACATGTGGATTTATCGATCTTTTTATACTTTGGTTTGGTTATCTATTCTTGCTTTTTGTCTTGCACAAGTAGATTATTGGATTTTTTTGTATAATTATATTTCATACTGTGAAATTTTCATTTTAGGCAGCTCGAGTAACATCTAAATGTGATAAGTTTTATCGTATCAGCCTTTCAATGCGTGTCTATGGATATCATAATGCTACACCCGGTGAACTTGATGGTTTTCTACTATTTCTTTCTAAAGCTGAATTACGTGTGAAATTATTTGGAATAACTATTCGGCCGGGCACAATCATTTTTATTAGCATAACATTTTTTCTTGTATTTATTGTTCTTTTACAAACAAGTATCATATCGAATGCAAATTCTTTCTTATAATTAGTGTTCTTTGTCAAACGAGTATTATTATTTCGGTTGCCATTTTTTTTCTTCTTGTAATTAACATTTTTTGTTCGTATTCGACAAAAAGGAGTATTCTTTTCGTTTTCAGAAAAAAAATATTTCCAACGAAAAATATAATTTCTCGTTGAACCATGGAAAGAATTAAACCTTCACTGGAATTTCAAGTCAAGAGTGCTGTGTTTAAATTTTTGTTTGAAGAACGGCGTAGATTTTACATCTAATCCATACGAGTAGTTGAAGAGTCGATAGTGATAATAGAAATGCAAAATATTTCTACTATTTTTCGAAGACTATATTAAAACAGTAAGAATTTCATCTAAACTAACAATAGGGTTTTTTTAGTTATTTTTCGTTTCTATTTCAGCAGACTGTTGTTGATTGTATCTGATTTTACAAAGTCCTTTGAGATTTCGGTTACTTGAGACTGAGTCTACACTCACATCTAATCAAAAATCATAATTAGATAGTATCAAATCCCAAGTCATTTGACTTGCTTCAGTTCTAATCTAGAGTGCATAATTTGCATCTGATATGTAGTTGTTTGCTTTGAGATGCGAATATCAATAAGAGTACGATCGCTATTCCACCCGAATTGACACTTCTAAATGACATTTAATAATAAAACTTATGAAATAGCAATGTTTACTGCTGCTTTAAGTGTCTGTCTGTCTGTCTGTCTGTCTGTTGGCCTTTGGATCGTCTCCTGTTGACTAAGAAGAAATTTCAATTTTGATTCAGTGAATAGAAAATAAAATTTTTTCATGAAAACAACATAGATATGTATATGAATATAAATAAAATTCTACAAAACAAAACAAAAAAAACTTCAAATTAACAAAGCATTGAAGATAGATGATGACGCCGTTTAGTATTATTAATAGAATCATCTACTAGTTTCGTATCTATTGCATCATACATAGTAGTTGATTCTTTGAAATAGTTTTCAAGAAATTTTTCTGTATATAAACGATAAACAATTTCTGTTGCAACAAAATCTGAACTATTTTCTTTAATTAATGTTAACATAAAGAAACCATCAGCTTCAAGATAATCATTAACAAAAATTTTTAGTTTTTCTTGATCACTTGTGTTGTCTGTTAATGGATATTTTTTTGAATGAAGACGTTTAGAAATGAAAGCACGACGATTATTTGGAGATATCGTATATAACCATAGGAAAAAATCACCAATATTCAGTAGAATAATAATAGCATACCAAAAATAAAGTGTTGTGAACATTTGTTGATTAAATAAATTTTGTGGTAAAACGCACGGAACAGTATATTCATGAGCTTGCTTTGGATGACCGAATTCACGTACTGTAAAATCACATAATGTTGTTTTAGGAAATAAACGTGTTTCTGAGTCCCAACTAATACCTAAAAACAAATAATAAGAGAAATTTTGGTTTTCTTATTCGAATCAGCTGATAAAAAAATAAAACGAAACTTACCCCGAAATAAACGATCAATAACTCGTATACCATAAGACGCAAAATTAGATCCTAACAATAAACTCAATATAAATATTTGTAATAGAGATATACTAATATACATTAATTTTGTTGTTGTATATAGAACAACAAGATAATTGCCAAGATACATTCCTGATAGACACCAACCAGTTGCTAACTTTCGTTGAAGTTTATTTAAACTTTTTCGTGCATTAACTTGCCGACGATGATCATTGCAATAATCATCAATCGTATCTACAACATATTTCAAACAGGTTTGCCGATATTTTGCATCTGTTGTCGGTAGTTTATAATCAAAAGATGATTCAACAAGATCAGATATTTGTACACCACTTTTTAAACCAAATGTATTCCATGACATGCGTGGTACATAGAATAAGAATGCTTTGATAAGTAAAAGAAATGGAATCCATTGATAGAATAATATTTCATTTTCTTTTTTACTACTATAAATTGCTGGTATTTTATCCGTATGTTTAACATAATAGGTATTTTGAACAAAACATACCGATCGAACATATTCATCATAGTTAGGCGTAAAAAATGCTGGTACCTATTTTCAAATAAAAATCAAATGCACTGATAGATTAATAAATATAATAAATTGCAGTTAGAGATCTTTTTTTATTTACCCAACATTTTATCTGATCTGTGTATAAACGATTCATATTGATGATAGCAAAAATAATCAAAATTGCAACTGTGTATCGATAATTAAGTCGATCACACATACTATCGTCGTTTCGTTTGCCTGACATCATAGTCGAGGCTCGACCCATGAGTGAATTGATATCCATTAGTTGATCTGAAATTTTAAAAAAAGAAATAATTTAATTTAAATCTGTATGATATTTATTTGTTACCCTTCAAATATTTTATAATAGAAAACAAGCAGAATAACTAGTCCTCTAGTAATTGATCATGGCACATTGGCAGCAGACTTCTTTTTCTTGAAAAAGTCATCGCTATTGTAGCCACTTGTGTGTATTCTATCGGCCACTGAAAAAAGAATAGAGAGAATACTCGTTCTCGTCTTTCATCTATGTGCGTGCTATGCCCAGAAGAAGAAGAAGAAGAAAAAGGAAGAAAATAAGCAAGACAATCAGTCTTAATATGTGTTCTAAGCGTAGTGCTTCATTTTACATCTAACTAGTGAAAGAAAAAAAAACGATGTAAAGTAAACGAGCACAATGCTACCAAGTTTCTTCTTCTCTCTCGTTCTCACAATTGCTCAGAACTAAGTAGAGCAGCATGATTGGTTAGATATTCTTACGTCCTTTAAGCGGAAACTCACAAAAAAGATGTAACAGATGTATAGAGAAAGGTACGTACGGCATTCATAGAGAGAAAATTATAGATTTTCAGATAAACTGCAATAGAAAAAGTCTAACGTGAATGTCATTTTTTTTAAATAGTTCTACTTAAAAAATGAATGTGCTACTCTGAAATAGCTCGTGCAAGTTATTGCTAGTACTTGATTACATGATTTGTTCAATAGAATAGAATATCATAATCTCAGAAATAGACTAATATAATTAACTGTGAAATTCAAAAAAAGCATAGTCTAACATAAATCGAATAATAAAAATGAATTCTTTTTTATGGCATTACGATAAATTTCATAGTAACCTTATTGAATTTAGTGATAATTTCCTACAACAAATCTCTTTCATTTAATGCTTAATTTCTCAGTACAATAAAATTCAAGAGATATCTCGTATATTTTGACTATGTTTTTCTCTCTCTCTCTCTCTCTCTCTCTATCATTTACACATACGACCTATGAATATTTTTGCGTCGATCATTATTTAGATATTCATGAACATCAGTATTTCTTTTTATTAGGATTGTTTTTTTTGTCAGAATCAATCGATGTAAAGATCTTCTTAATAACATGGTGAATTTTAAAATCGTCCATGTATTGATTAATTGTTCGCTAAATAAACACTTAAGTTTAACATTACTTATCTAGAAATTATAGTATAGTGCAATTTGGTGTATTACAGAAAAAAAAATAATGCATTCTTTTGAATTATCATTCCTATTCATAGAATTTCTTACTTCGTGTGTAACAAGTGATTAAGACTAAGTGATCAAGACGTCTATGTAAATACACTAGTGTAATGTTATAAGTTTGTTGATTGCAGATGCCAAAGAACAAGTTTCCGTGTTGTTAGTAATTATTTTCCTGTAGCGTTTCACATGCACCTTTTCTCAGACTTATCTTGCATGATAGTTTGAACTCTAATTTTCTCGAGAGTTTTCGTAAGAAGATTAATCTATCAGTCGACTTTTTAACTTGATTTATTGTTGTACATTTCATTTATCAACACATATATGTTAATTGAACTATCGAGTTACGTTGCCTAGTTGAAGAAAATGTTCGCCGACAAAATTTTGTTGAAGATTTCATATTAATTCTACTTAATAGTTCATCAAATATAATTTCACGTGCATATTTACAAAACAAGAAGAAAATCTCTCCTAAAAAGTTGCATAAAAACTTAAAATTAGTAATTTTAAAACACACTATTCAATCGAAACTAAACTATTTTCAGCAAACAGACTTTCAAAGAGTGTTCTCAACAAAGAAAAATAGTTGTATATAGTAGAATTCTGTTATTGTTTTAACTAGCTACCATCATTGAAAAGCTACTGCATTCTAAACACTCTTTTTTTCATATTGAATTGTCCCGAATTCTTATTGTTCTAGACTTTTGATATAGGATTTTATTTTTTCTTGAACGCCGCTAAGATGATTTCTACTGACAATAAACGGTCACAAATCATTGAAGATGTCTGGAAGCATTTCAGTTCAGAAAACTACCTCTTAATTACATCATTTGTCAGAGTTCTTTTGCCTGTATCGACTCATAAATCTTCCTTCGAGAAATTGTTTTCAGATGCTTCTTATATTGTATTTTAACGAACTGGAAAAAATCTTCACTCGAGTAATTAGTATTTTAGAATTTGTCCATGACAAAAAGCATTGAAATAAATAGATAATGTTAATATTTAACGGATAGAAAGTTCGATTAGTTTACAGTCATATTTTACGTATTATATACGATATGAAAATTTCAAGTTTACTTTTAGAATCGTTAATTTGAAACATTTTTTCATAACTAACACTAATTACACATACTGCACATGACTTAATCATTCTTATCCTTCGAGAACAAATAACTTAACTCGCCGCTTTGCTTCTTTTGTACTTTGCTTACAATATTTACATTTGTTTATATATTTGGCATATAAGATGGGCAAGCCCAAATTATCTTTCTAGGTCATATAATATCTAAAAAAAGAGTTATGCTATTCAATATAACATTAGGTGGTAATTGTTTTGTAAGCAATTGCAATGTGTATCTTATGAGCAAGATTTAGAATGATCAACATGATAGAGACATTGTCTGGAAGTAATATACTAATTGCTCGATTGATGCGTGTCTGTCACTGTAACTACATTGATTTGTATAATTGAAAATCAATAGATAAATGTCAATGCTAATGAATAATTGAATATTCAATGAAGAGAAATCACGATGTGTTACAACAAAAGAAAAATTAATTATATTTGATACACAATCTTATTTGAAATTCCTAAGAAAAAATCAAAGAAAACGGGATCCTCTCGGTTGGTCACCATTACCAATTAACTCAACTCGTCACCCCCCTTAATTGACTCTCAATTCGTCCCCCACAAAATTCNTCTGTTTATCAAATTAGTCACCAATTAGTACGAATTTTTTTGGGGGACGAGTTGAGAGTCAATTAGTGCGGAGGGGACGAATTGGGGACGAACCGAGAGTAATCCAAGAAAACATTCGAAAAATGACAAGTAATTATATGAAAATGCGATACCGTATTGTTTCAATAAACATAAATTTACAGACAAAACTTAATAGATTTATACTGAAAACAGATTAATTTAAACGTCCATTTGTTTTACTATTCATAGAAAATATTTTGAATAATGTTTGCTTTTTTCCGAATTGCTTTATGTTCATGAAGTTCTCTTCTTCCATAAACTTTGATTATCTTTGTTTGTCGTATAAAAAAATAATTGATTTTCTTTCCTTTAGAATACATCAAAAACAGTAAATTATTCGATTATATTACCATTGATTTCGGAAAATATATACTGAACCATCAATATATATATATATATCACATAAATATAATTTATTCAAAGAAAAAGAATGGCAGAATTAAAAATTAAATTAAAAAAATAGAATAGACACATATCACCCACTAATACTACTAGAGCAAGTTAGAAAAAGTTCTTCTATTAAGAAATATCCAAACTCATAATACGACTTTCTATGTTATTATTCACTAATCACTAAAATAGAATAATTTGTCAATGTTAAAATGAATGTATGGAATAAATGTTTCTTGGATAGCTTATATATGTTCTTCTACATGACTTGGAAATAAAGAAGCATGTGCGTCTTGATAAAAATCATCTGGTGTTTCCCAGTGCACATGATCATTGTGATAAGATGATGGGCGTTCATCATTTAAAATTGGTAAACGAAGTATAGCACCTGTTATTATACCTCCAACAATAGCAATTCCAATGGTAACGACTAATGTAGCAGCTTGATAACAAACTTGAGCTAAATGTGATCGATTTTCTCCATGCCAACATGTGCCAAGTAAATTATCGGCATGAAGTGAAAAAGTAGGAAAGAAAGCTAACACAATACCAAAAATACCAGCAAGTAAGCCCGGCATACCATGAAGATTGTTAACACCGCATGTATCATGGACTCGAAACTTTTGAAGTTTAGATTTAATAAAACAAAAACCGATTGTTGATAAACCACCAGCTATTGAGCCAATTATCATTGCACCAACTGGACGAATAATTTTATCAGCAACAGTACCAACAGCTATATGAAACAATAAAAATTTAATCTAGAGAAAAAAAAACTTTTCTCATTCGAACATACCAACACCACCGGCTAATGTTGCATTTTGAATATGAACCATGTCAAATTTTTTCTTGTTATGAAATAAACACGAACATATATAAGTAAGTAAAACACTGGATGCAATGCTTATATAAGTATTAACAATAGCTCGTAGACGAGGATCACCTGATGCGGCTACACCAGCATTGAACGATGGCCAAAAGCAGAAAAGAAATATAGTACCAATCATAGAGAACAGATCGGAATGATACACTGATTTTTCTCTTTCAGATGCTTCGGTTGATGTTAATTCTGGATCATAAAGCATGAATGCTACAGCAAGACCAAAATAAGCACCTGTACAAAAGAAAAGAAAATTAGTGCAACACACACTGTTTATTTCTATTTATGAATTGTACCAAATACATGAACAAACATCGATTCACCAATATCAAAAGCACAAAAACGTCGAAGCCCAAGAAATTCATTGGCTGATTGAAGTAAAACCTCAATAAAAGCCATTATAATCAATTGTGTTGGATTTGTTTTGCCTAGAACAGCACCAAACGAAATAAGTACTGATGCAGCAACAAAATCAGCAACAATAATTCGTTCAACATCAATAGGAAAACTATTTGTTTTCATATCATAGTCAAACATATAGCCACGAACAATCAATGCCCATTCAAGCACGAATGCAGCAACAAGAAAATTGAAGCCAACAGCGCTGAAACTAAAACATTAAAAATACGCATAGATTGTATTAGTTATTTCTTTTATCATTCAATAAAAACGAAATCAAATTTAGGCATATTTACCCATAACGTCTAAGAAATGTCATTAAAAATCCAAAACCAATAAATATCATAACATGAATATCTTGAAACATCGCATAAAAATCTGTAATGCCACGATGTGCTGCTGGTTCTTCATGGTGGATTTGAACAATAGTTCCATTTGGATAAGTAGTAGTTGATCGAAATGTTGATGATAAATGTGTTGTAGACGTAGTAGTCACTGGTTCATGACCATATTCAGCATTGACACCCAACAAAACAATGAAAATTGCTTGAAGAGCAAGTAAGAGGACAGGAAAAAATATTGGCTTCTTAGCAGATTTGATCTGAGCGATTGGAACCAATTTAATGCTCTTTGTTACCAATTCGGTTTCTTCAGGACTAAGTAAAAATGTAAAAACTTTTTAAATAAAGCTTAGTCGAATAGTCTGTTGAAAATAAGTATTTAAAAAAAATATATATATAACTAACACAATACACATTATACAAAATCCATTTACCATTCAGCTATGCTTAATATATTAACGAAATTGCTAAATTTTCTTATTATGAGAACTAGAAAAAATATTGTTTCTTTCGTTGTACAAAGAAGAAAAAAAACAAAAGAATATCATTAATAAAAATTCTTACTTACTGCGATGTGGCCATTATGCAATAAACGTATGAGTAACTATCTAGAATTGGAAAAAAGACATCAGTAGATTCATTTATTGCAATATGATATATATGTATTTGTTTCCATCTTCAATTATTATTGTGTAATATAAAATGATGATGAGATACGGCATTACAAGAACTATATGAAAAGAAAAATGAAATGAACTGAGACTCGAGTGAAATACAAAACAACAACAAAATGAGATTATGTGATAAATATTGAATCTGACAGATAGAGGCTAATATGAAATCTGGATAAATGAAAGAAAATATGTGTTTCTTATGAACGACGTTTTAAAGAACTAGAATCAAATGTAATAAGAACAGGACTAGGTTGAACTGAATGCGATTGATTAGCAACATTATTTGTCGACGACACTGATGGAGTAAAACTATATCGACTATTGGGTAGAGTAAGTTCACTTAGTTCAGGTACAGCTTCAAGTGGTAGACGAGAACTGTTTTTACGACCCTCAATTTCACCGTAAGACACAGGGGATAGATCTCCAGCAGAGATGGGCTGAAAAAATGAAGTCATTTTATTATCCTCATTAGTTATTGATACTGCAGCAAACGTAAGAGGAGATGATACTACCACATTAGAATTTTCTGTTGATATAAATCGATATGTTAATTGTGGTGTTTCAACTACTGTGTTTGATAATGTTGAGGTACGACAACGTGGAATTGTTGAAATTTTAGCTACAGATACAGACGAATCATTAAAACTATCTGAAGGTGATGATGATCGAAGTGAATTAGCAATTGTTTGACTTGTAATTTGTTGTTGAGCCATATAAACTGGCGATGTTTGAGAATCATTTGATGTAAGAAGATTTGTATTATATCGATCAGGTTCCATACGAGAACAATCATTTAATCTAAATAAATTAACAATACTCTATATAACAATAAAATAGAACGTATAATGTGTTACTTATTCTCAAACTAAATCAATAAAAGACATTCTTAGTTTGTTCTTCTCTAATACGTCGAGATATCCATAAAAGGAATTGTTTTAATACCACTTCCCGTTTGTTATACTCTTATATATGAACTTTGTGATAGCATCTTTGATGTACCTTTCACTGCAACATAATACTATTGTGGCTCAATCTTCAATTTATTCCTATATCGCATATTTTTCTATTATAATGTTTACTTTATTTCTAAAGGACATTTTATACTACGAGAGATAGTGTATAAGGAACGGAGAAAATACATATGGCACCTTTTTTTTAGTATATTAATACAATATATACATAATAACTCTACTACAGTATCTATTATATCAGAAATCGTCACACTCTACTCAAGATATTACTTATTCGTGTAATATCAATCTGATAAAAGAAAAAGTTTATAACAATTCGAATCTCATATACCTCGATTGAATTGAAGGACAGCACCAATATAGTAACTTCAAATCTATGAAATAAATTCATTTTGTATCAGAAAATAATTAAAATTAATTTTTTTAAAATTTACCAGTGCCCAGATCTTTTGGATAAGATCGTCGATAATAATAATATCTAACGGTAAAAAATGCACAGATACATAGTGTTGCAACTGTTAATAGAGTCAAAAAACAAAATATCGATACTAATAGATGACGTGAACCACGATAAGCAAGAATTGCATTGAATTCTGTGATCAAAATTAAAACAAAATCCTGTATAAGAATTTGATGCTCATCATTATCAAATAAAAATACATACGAATTTGAATATCTGATTCAATTGGAGTACTATATGTTCCCTCTTGTGAATACGATATGACTTGTATGATATATTTCGATTGCTTAATATCTTTTAATGTAAATGAGCGGCTAGGATATTGAATAACAATTGATTGCTGAGATTGTTGATTATTAAAAACAATTGATGAACGCCATTGTATAACATAATAAGCAATTTTTATGGATGATTCAACCGGATTTGGATGATTCCATGTTATATAAAGATTTGTTCCTGAATATGATAAATGAAGACCAGTGGGTGATAATGGTCGGACGAAATTTGTTGTATTTGAATAATAAAAATATCCAATAGATAGATCTTGATGATTATTTATATAAACTGATACTATGGGACTGAATGTCCCTAAACCAAAATCATTTTCACCTACAATTGTTAGTTCATATGTTTGTTGTAATGTCAAATCAAATAAAAGAAATTCAGTTGCATTATTGGGCAATACACGTATTTGATTCCAATGTCCTTTTTTTGTTTTTATCACACGATACCATATAATAAAATGTTGAATTCGACCACCATCATAACCAGGTTCCCAAGAAAGTAGAATGTTCGATGAAATTTGTTTATATTGAACATTCACAGGTGCTTGTGGTGTTATATCTAGTAGTGAACAAAAATATTGAAAAAGAGATATTAATCATGCATTTTAAATTTAGTGTTCCACGTTTCATAAATTCTGACACACGGTAATTCAAGCAACTACTTGTATCTGTTGATCTACGATGAGCGAAAATGCTAACTTTCAAGATTATCATAAATCATTTATATGATATTATATAAATATAAAAGAGAAGAATGTCTGTTCGGTTAGTACATGGTTACTAAACTGTAATTACATTGGTAGCTGCTCGTTTTGTTTTTCTATTTTGTTAAATTCTTGTTTACACTCTGTAATTCGCTATCATTAACCGATAACATCTCTTTCATCACATAGTCGATATATACACTGACACGGGTCTCATTTACAAGAGAGGTTTCTCTTAAAACGTCGATATTTTCTTTTTCTTTCCTTAATTTCGTCAAGCAAGCATTATATTACAGTCAAAAAATATTTCTTTTATGCATATTGTTTCAATAAAAATGACCTTCATGATTTCGAAGATAGTCAATCGTTCTACATTCATCTAGTTACTATTATCATATAACTGTATTTAGAATGAAAAATAGCTTTTCACAATTATTTCTGAAAAACTATCTTTGTCTCATCTAGTTAACATTAAAATGTACAATTGTGAATGTCATATGAAATCTGGGCATATGTCTCTCGATGTTCATCATAAAAATCATTATAGACTAGAAGATTTATCGGATTTTAATTTCAATTTAAACAAAAACAAAATTTGATTTCTTTCAGTTGTATTCAGTTATGTCTGCATCGATCGTTGTATACTTCGAATAGCAACAACAAACACTGCGCCAAAATATTTATTCTTTATCAATATAAACTTTTCAAACTTCTGAAACCATGAGAAATAGTAATATGATTGCTGCAAACGGGCTCGATGTAAATTTCAGGCATCTTCCTCAAAAGAATTCGCCTTTTTCAACGAAGCTCGATAAATAATTATAATATGTAAGGCATTTAGAGTAGAGCCCTGCGAGAACGACTTTTTTCCGAAATTCCCGTTGCGACTTCGGGAACGGGGACACGGGAACGGGAACAACGTTAAAAATTGACATTCCCGAAAATCGATATAGACTGGATTCATCGAAAAAAGAATGTATATTTAAAATGAGAATCTTTAGTTTTATGGTTAATCCAATGAGCCTCCAACCCAAAATTTGTTCTAAATTTATCGAAGAACACATTGGGAAACCTGTATTAACACGGTAAACTCGTGTGCGACATAAAAGTTGTTTATTTTAGTCTCACAAAGTGAACTGGTAATATAAATTATAAAAGCACTACGGGAACAATAAAAGTCGTTCCTGCAGGACTCTAATTGAGGGGCATAAGAAGCTGCGACAGAAAATAAACAAGTTATAATAAGTTCTATTAGTTTGAACGATCTTTTCATTTATGGAAGACATTCTATAATTACGTTAACAAGAATAACTCACTTTCAACAACTATAAAAGTACTAGTATTTGTTGTTGTATACTCATTGGATGCTTGACATCTGTATAAACCATGGTCAGTTTTTTCAATGTACTCCAAAGTTAGATTTTCATTTATTTCCTCTAATTCAATTGAATCCTAATTAGTTAAAATATATTTTTCTGACAAGAAAAAGAGAATTGAAATAAACACTATTTTTACTTTAAACCATTTAATCGTAGGCTGTGGTTTACCAACGGCCACACAAGGCAATATCAATTGACTTTTTTCGTTAACATAATAAATAGAATCTGGTTTTGAAATAAATTGAATTGGTTCTAAAAGTTTTTTAAATCGGCATATTTTTATAGTGAAAGAACGAATAGGAAAGAAAAACAAATTCAAACCTTTTATTAGAACATAAAATGGTGTACTGTCACGACCGAATCCTTCTGAGTTTTGTGCACGACAAAAATATTCACCATTATCACGCGTGTCAGCTGACTTTATAAGTAAAGAATATTCAGAATTGATAGTATACGCACCGCCTTATGTACATAAATCATAAATCATAACTCATAAAAAGAATGTTTTGAATTTTGTTTTCGATTATTTTTACCTTTCGACTCGATACGAATAGATCTTCCATTGCGATACCAAGAAACAGACTGAATTGGTGGATATGCATCAAGTAAGCATGGACATACCCCTAATGACCCTTCAATTAATGTTATATTAGTTGCTTGACGGCTAAGTGATGGAATAGGCGGATCTAATTATTCGTTATTTTGTTTTTAATATGTATAACAATTAAGATGTATGTTCAAAATAGTTTTACTCACATTTAACAGTGATAAGAGCCTGTTTACTACGAATACTTGTCGAATTCGATGTACTAATTTTACATACATATGATCCATGATCCGAAGGTTCAATATTATTAATACTCAGAAGACCATCACTGTAGGTACGTATACGATCTTGTAATGAGATCGTATCCGATAGAGAAACCTCATCTTTCAACCTATATTAAAAGGACGTGATAGTTTATACTGTTTTGATTTATAATTGATTTTTACCATTGATATTGTAATGGTTCACTACTTTGACCTTCACATTTGAGAGTAATACTATCATTAATTTTAACTGTTCGATTTTCTGGAAAATGTCGCCAATAAATAGATCCTGTTTTGTTTTATAAAAGACAAAATTAGCGTTCAAACAAAGATGAATTCGTTTTTGTGTACTCAAAAAGTGAGTACACTCTAGATTCGGTCAGTGTGTCCGTCCGTTAACACGATAACTCTTGAAAGCCTCATCCAATTGTCATGAAATTTTGTACACAGAATGATCTCATCAATATCTCGGTCGAGTTCGAAGATGAGAAGGATCCGTCAAGAAATGGCTGAGCTATCGAAAAGATTGTCCTTATTGACCAGACCATCCCTGGGGGGAGGGGGGTACAGAAAAGTTTTTCTCAGAATTATTCACAACTTATATAAAGCGACTCAGTTTTTGCAGTACACATAACAATCGAATGTAAATCCGATGTTTCCACATTTATTCTTTTATATAAGTACCTCGAATGAGTAGTTGAAAGTCATTTTGTATGAAGCCAAGTCGATTTTTTCCAACACATCTATATTTACCAGCCATACTATCATCTACATTTTGAAGTGTAAAACTGTAGCGAATAAAAAGTAAAAGACCCCTTTAAGCAAACAAAGACACGAAAGAAATAGAATACGCATACTATTGGCTATTTGCTAACAGTAATTGTAAGTTTTCTTCATCAATCGTTTGTTCTCGTTTTTGAATAACTTTATACCATGTAACCGTTGGGTTTGGAATGCCATAAATTTGACAATTTAAATTAACTGTTGAATATTGTACAGCAATTTGTATTGAATTCGATAGATTAATAAAACGTGGACGTTCTATAAAATAAAACAAAAATAATGAAAGTTTCATCTTTCAAAAACCTAGACGATCGCGTATTCAACTATACCATTCACGCGAAGCGTTAGAAAATATTTTTCTTTTACATCAAGTAAACCACGATCGATTAAAATCAGTCGACATTCAAATGTATCATTATCATTTAATTCAATATTTTCAATTTTTAACGAACCGTTTGACAGTAGGCTATATTTATTAACAAATGAATCCTCGATATGAACAGGATAATCATTAAATTGACTAGCTATTGGTATTGTATAATTATTTATTGAACGATACCATTGAAGAATTGAGGGGAGTGTCCATCGTGTTCTATTAATTTGACAGTCAAGGACATTTTCATTACCTGTTTGGCTATCGATTATTTTTCTGGATGACGACGATGACAGTAAACATATTACATTGACTGTTAGTTAAGGGTAAAAAAATAAGTATTAGAATCAAATGCGAAAATATTTGATGCTATCAAAGAATATATTTAACGTTACCTGTATGAAAAATAAGAAAAACGTCAATAATTAAAAATAAGATCGACATAGAATATACACATAATTAATTAAAAATCAAATAAGCCAAAAAAATTATTTTTTTACGCAATGACATCTAAATGAAATAGTCGATTAGATAAAATTAATTAAAAAAATATGTTATTTTCATTCAGTTAGTAGTCTCTCATTTGACGTCTATATAGTGGTGTTCATTTTCACTTGTGATTATGATTATAATCGTATTTTTTGCGTATTTATGAAATGATATATTTAAAAATGGCTAATGGACCAAATAAGAAAAGAAAAGAATAGAAGTGAATGTTGAGAATATCATGAGTTTGAAAATAGAACAGATGAAAAGAAAACCGATAATGATAGTTAGTGTTCACATTCATTTTTAATTGTGCTATTACATCAAACAGTGAGAAGTAAATTCTACTTTAATTTCATTTTATCGATCACATATCGATGCGTCTCTGTTTGATTTCTTTCATTCTTTTCTTACACAACAACGATATGTATTTTGCTCAAGGGATATGAACAATTACTATATACATATATATATATATATATATATTGTTGTTTCATAAAAGATATAAATTGATATAAGACGCTAGATCAACTGTTCAGTAGAGAATATACGATTAGATGTGATCAATTGTATCAAGTACTGGAATTCATTTTTTTTTAATACGAATAACCATGTNGAATTTATAGAAAAATTCAATGAAGGAATTTCGAACTGAAATTTTTCCTAACAAGAGGCCTCATCGATCTTAGGTTCCAAAAGTTTCAGCGAAAACAGATGCGTCATTCTCTTCAATACTGAATATTGATGAAAACGGCCATTTTCAGAAAAAATGCCGTAAATTGACTTCTCTTCAATATTCAATAGCTCGAGAATGGTGTATCTATTTGCACTGAAACTTTTGGAACCTTCTAACATCGATGAGGCCTATTGTTAGGAAAAATTTCAGTTCGAAATTCCTTCATTGAATTTTTCTATAAATTCCTTGTCCAAGGTCGAAAATTTAGTAAAACGGTCATAACTTTGAAAGAAAAGTTTAATGGAACGAAATCTTTTAGACTTTTTCTAGTCTGATTGGGTCCTAGTTATGAGTACAATATGAACCCGAATGGTTGATATCATTTGGAGACGTTCTCTCGTGAGAAATGATAAGAAAAACGTGCTGATTTTTTGCTGGTAGCCAACATAAGTAAGCTTACATTATTCTAGGTCAACAAAAATATAATTGTAGAGTTGTGAAAAAAATGCGAGACGAGAGAAAGGAACCGATGAAGAGGAAAAAGGACGAGTGCCCGTCTTCGCACGATCATTGACCAGCGATAAAGAATTACGACATGATGACGATGAGAATTTGCTCTTTTGCTTTTTTTTACAGAGTATACTAGAACTAAATGCATCGTTCTTTTTTTCTTTGGCTACTACTAATAGTGTCACGAGTACAGGAAGGGAAATGATTAACTAATTCTGTTCACACACAAAGAACAATGGACTTCATGAGTAAAAGAAAAGAATGCTATAGAAATACATATGAAACTGAAAATAAATTTGATGAAGTGGAATAACATCTATGTACGTGGGAAAACGAGTGATTATTCTTTAAATTTGTGGATTGATTAACAGAAGGAAAAAAGCAAGCGAACATACTAATTGCTTGTCGTTAGCTAAACATAGACAGATCGATAGATAGCTAGATAGATAGAACTCGATGAACATAAAATAGAGAAAGACTAGATTATGTCACAGTATGCAAAGTTTACACTGAACATTTATATGAGCGACGACAAGAAACAAAAGATGGAAGAAGCCTTTTCATTACTTATTTGTATACAAAAAATATTGATGAATAGATAGATATGGCATGAAAACGATACAGACATGCAGATGAGACATCTCTATCTATCGTTGTTGTGTATCATCGGATTTTTTTCTCATGCATTCGTTCATATTCTTTATTGCCTATACTCTTAAACATATCTCGTTCTTTTGCGCCCATCAGAAATGAGTATTAACGAAGATAATGACCAGCAGGCCAAAAAACATTTGTTCGCAATGATGATTCAAATAACACACTTTTGCTCTCCTTTTACTCGAACATATGGATGGATGTGGATGTGTTGATATGATTGCGTAGTCACGTAAGTAAGTATGAACGGAAAAGAAAATGTTTTAACAGCACCACCACATAAGGTATTGCTTATAAACATGAGCTAGCAATGAACATATAAATAACAACAACATCGAACATTCGTCTCGATGTATAAAATATATGTATAAATTTGGCATCAGCTGGAAAAAATTGAGTATCTACTGTGAGGAACGAGGTCATCGAATTGATAAGACGATCTGCTCTACTCTATGCCAATCAATATAATCTACTGTATTGATATGTCCTTCTCTCTTCTTTTGTCTTTTCACCCTGATCTCTTCTAGTATTATCTATAGATCGAATTGCTTTTCTAAGAATAATACCATCGTAGTTATTCATAACAATCATCAAAAATATCACAATAAATGATGCGTTCACTACTTCTCAATGATTTGTAATAATAAGAGATCCATATAAATAGAGAGAAAAGAAAAGAGAGAAGATATTTTTGTAATTCATCTATATATATATTACATACATTCGAATAGATAAGAAAATTTTCGATTTATTTCTCGATTAGATTCCCTTTTGTTCATGATCAAAATATAACACATATCAATTTCATCTTTGATAGATATTCTAGAAAGTCAGCTAATTAAGTAAAAACAATTCTGTTTAATCTATTACTGATTAATTGTAAAGAGTTGCTCAGCACTGAACTATGCATATATATATAATATAAATTATAGTTTGCAATTGATTTCTAAAATTAAAAAAAAATCGTTATGTAACAAACCAAACTCGTTTATAGATATTTTTTCTATTATTATATCTTCTTTCTATAGCACTTAATAGTTTGAAAATTGTTCTAAAAATAATAATTTAATAGTTTTTGCTTTTTTAGAGAAACAAAGAAACTATAAAAGAAGATAAATAGACAACTTTTGATTGTATCAAAGCTTTCGTTTGTAACATTCTTGAGATTTAGTTGCAATAATTTAATTAGCTATTTACTATCACGATGTCCTTCATTCAAGTTATCAGTATGTTAGCGTAGAAACGTTAACAAGATCGAAGAAAGACACTGGAACACTAATTATTAGGCTATTTTTTTATGCCAATAAGATTATCTTGATGTACATAGATCAATAATTAGCATCGAATAAACACTATATTCTAACTATGAATCATTTATTAAGAAGACAGAAGACGAATAAGACACACTTGATTGCCTTTAATAAATAATTTAGGAATATGTCTAGAGAAAAAACGAACTTTAGCTCGTTTTGATGTTGGTAATATGGTGGCAGTTTCTATTGATGAAGTATCAATATTTTTAGTTGTATTACTAAGACGTTGTACAGTCAAATTATTAATACTCAACAATTCCATCGATAATAAATTTTCAGGGTGGCATTCACATGTTTGTTGATGGTCATCGTTCTCATCATCATCTTCGTCGTCTTCGTCAATAAATGTTTGTCGTGGTGGCTTAGCAATGACTGGTTGTTTTTTCTTATTACGTAAAAAATTCGCTAATTGAGCTCGAAAAGTTTGAAAATCATTTGTAACTTCTGTAGGCTTTTTTGTCGATGTTTCGGCTAAAATATATTAATGAGTAAGCAAAAATAAAAACTATTTTCTAAGATGGCTTACGTTTAATTAATGGAATAGTTTGTCTCTTTGAACCTAATTCGAGATAATCGTGACCATCAGTTAACCGTCGAAATACTTCGTCCACATCAGACATAATTAAATTCATATGTTTATCGAAAACAATGAGCCATCCCACAAGTATCCCATATATACCTCGACAATCACGTGTCAACACTTCAATACGTCGTCGTTCGTTTATCGCTCGTCGTAGCAAATCGAATATATCTGCTGATGATTTATTATATTTAGTATTACTATTTGATACGATACGAAAACCATCCATAAAATTGAGTACAGTTGGTAGTACTTTTCGTTTTGGCATACTATACAAATGAGAAGATGAAGATGCAGACATCCTCACATTGGAATTTTCGCTCATGATCTGAATACAAATAATAAAACGAAAAAAAGACTTTTTTGAAGAAAAATATTGGACATTGTAAGATTTTCAGCGTGAATTCAATTTAATCGATATTATTTTTAGATATACTTTCTTGACATATGGAGATATTTTATAGTATGTAATGGTCCTTATATCGACCAGCTGAATGATATGCCCACAAGGAAAACTGATAGGCAGATGATAGAATTTTTGAAATTAGACCAATAAATGATCTTATTCGAGAAATAAACAGCTTAATCATCTTGCTTGGCTAGTGATAAAATAACTTTTTTCTTATCCATTTAAACAAATTCGTAGTTGAATTCAAAAAGTAAATTATATAAGTTTATATTGGTTGTTTTCTTTTCTATGGAAGTGATAATATGTCGTTAGATGTCGACTAAGTTTTGTTTTTATATATTTCAAGTATACTGAATTAAATTTTACTAAATTATTTGACCTGCTGACAAGAACAAGAAACTAGATAAATTAAAACATGATTGACACAAAACAAATAATTTTACACACTATAAATCATTTTGATAGAGAATTGTGTAGATTTCAATTTTTTAGACTAACCAATAGTTTTCTGAAGGATAAAAATTCTAATGAACCGTTGATACAATTCTTTCAAGAATTAATTTTTAAATATTATGAGTATGAGCAGCTATATAGTCATCGAATCGTTTTGATTTATACTCTCTGAATAGTTATACATGATCTTTTTTCAACATTTCTTTATAATGATTTGAGTTTTAGATAAGAGGTTTCCATAGATCGTTGTTTCATACTATCCTGATAATTATCACGTCATTTTGTACTTTTACCCATGTCGAGTATATATTGTGAAAGTACTCTTCTTCTTCTTCTTCTTGGTAGTATTTATTTTATGTAACTACATATACTGTGAACGTAGAAATCCTTCTTCGATCTTATATGTTGAACGCTAAAAGAAATAGAGACAATTTCTTGTGCTATCATAACGAAATCCTCCTTTCAATGAAAGATAAATAGTCAGTTTAAGTATTATTAAACTGAGAATGTTCAAATCAAAATATCAGATTACATATGTAATATTAAAAGAAATTAAATTTTTATTGAATTCGACTTATAGTGAATGAATATGAATTCTACAAATTTCACTCTTGTTTATGAAAGTTGAATCCTTCAAAAAATATCTCGTTCTTATCTATCACATGTTCGCAAGCATCATTTTTTTCCTTTAATACAGACAATATATTCGAGTAATGATGAATATAAACAAGATAGAATCAAATATGGATTGCACCGTTTTGCGCAGAAACTTAATCAAAGATAATTATTTCGTTCATATATAATTCTTTCTTGCTCTGATATTTTGATATATGATTACTGATTTTACTACATTGATTATTCTGGTTGCTTGACGTGCCATCTGCTAATAGTTTTCATTGCCTTTTCGTTTTTCAATCAGGAGGTTTATAATTGAAAAAGAAACCTTTCAAACATAATATTTCATCAGAATACACATGACAATATCATGAATTGAAAATCATTTACTTACATAATCGTGTTCGACTTTGCGAATCTTATTTCTTCAGTGAATAGTTTGATATAATTTCTTAGCGTTTAATGGAAGAAAGAAACCAGTATCCATGATTATTAAGGATACATTTTCTAGATATTTAAAAAATTATCATTTCTCTTACTAGCGCTGACTTTTGTATTAAATTACCCAATTTTACTATGAAAAAAAGATTGCTTTATTGAATATCAAAAATAACTGATTGTCCATTTTTTTTGTCTCAACTTCGATACAAATAGGAACGAAGAAAAAATAATTGTCATACTCTCTACAATATATATATATATATATATACATACATAATAATTCATATACAGAGAATCAATCACAATAAAATGTTTTCATAAATTTTTCTATTGAAATAAGATTCTTTTTAAATATATTTTCATTTTGAACCACCGGTGGACGCAGCATCTTTGGAGTTGGATACAGAATTGATGATTGATTTAATAAAGTGGCACGACGTGTTTGTGGTCCAGTGGATTGTTTAGGTGTTGACCGTATTTGTTGTCGATATTTTTCATCTTCAGCTGATGCTCTATTGAATACACGTTTATAAACATATTCAATGGCATCAGTAAATAATTTGTTTGATTGCAAGATCTATTTAAAAAAAATTAAATTAAATTAAATCAACATACCGAAAACAAATAGTAGATATTTACTTTTCGAGCATAGGAATCGTTGACAATAGATTCAAGTAAAGAACAAATTTGTTCGAATAATTCACTACGATTGTTTTGATAGTATTTAAGTAGAAGCATAATAAAATCTTTTATTTGTTCTTGTTTATCAATCAATGGCATAATAAGACCACGTTTAACAGTAAATAACTGTAAAATACTCAATACTTTGCTAAGTAGAACAACTGATGGTCCACTTCGATTACAACATCTCATTAATATAAAAAATAATCGTAATAAACCTTGTTGAGCTATTAAATAACGTATTTCAAGACAACAAGCAACAATAGGCTCAACATCTCGCAAGAAATGTAAATATGCCGTAAGAGATGATGATGACGCTTCAGAATATTCTTGCACAATTTGCATCATGCGTTCGCGTAGTGTAACGGATGAACTACTTGTTGGATCATGTGAACGAATTCTGTCGAGAATATCAACGACTGGATGATTATTACGTTGATTTTCAGCACGAACTTGATGACCACGCCAATGAGCCTATCAGAATAAAATTAAAAATTAAGTTTCAATATTTTGGAAATATTATTTTTGGGAAAAAAAACATGATTATTTAGATGATTCATACTAATCAGATTTGTGGATATAGAAAAATAAAATACCTGGACAATTTGTGCTGCATGTAATTCACGTTCAGCTTCTGATTTAACGATAATTTCAGATTGCTGTTCACTTTGTGTTTGTCCAAGAGATTCATTGTTATTTGCAAGTGATTCTTCATATTCAAGTGTTTGTTGTTGATGTGCCAAGAAAAGTGTTAATGTTTCTTTAATCATTTTTGTATTAACTGGATCGGCAAATGAAGCCTAAACGAAATAGACCATTTTCAAAAGAAATTGTTGTTTTGTTTTATTAAACTTACATCATCAAGTTTGTTCATTTCAACACTGTCGACTTCAGATGGTGTTGTTTCATCAACAAGAAATAGAGATGTATTATCCAATTGAATTTTTGTGTCATCACTTTCTATTGTTTTTTCTAATTGAACAAAATCATGAAATGCTTGTGTAGTTGTTAGTGCTGCAACCGATGTACAAGATGGATTCATCATGGTTGATAAACCTGATCGTACCGTATTGAGTGAATCGTGATCTTCATGTTCAAGTTTAGGTTCCGACTCCGGTTCAGATTCAACATCAGTTTCATTATTTAATTCAAGTAATGGTTCAAGGTGATCCAGAATATCATTATTCATCGTATGAACTATTGATTTCGAATGTAATGATGTTGCTCGTGGTGGTGTTTGATAGGTAAACATGGTTTCAAGGGACGCATACAAAGAATCGGATAATGTTTGATCGTAAACAACTGCTGGTGGTTCAACAAATGACCAATCTTGCTTTTCTGGTGATAATGAAGATAGCATTGTTACTTTTGTTGTATCTTCTTCCTCTTCCTCTTGGTCTTCAACTTGATCGTCATCTTGATCTTGAATTTCTTCATTTGTTAGCATTGGTTCAGATTGAATTAAAGGTAGTGAATGAATTTTACTTGATAATTCTTCAATCGGAAAATTAATTGTCGTTGATGATATTGACGGCTTAAGAGATTTTTCATCAAAATGTTTCGTTGTCGTTATTATTTCATCATAAACAGAAACAGTATCTGTTGTTTGAGAAATATTTTCTGTTTGATTAGAAGAATTATTTAAACTATACTCAACACTATTCATCTGTTGTTCATCGATTGTTTGTTGTTTACAATAGTGCTCTTTTTTCGTTGGAACAATAGGTTCATCATCTTCTGAATATTTATCTTTTAATTCTTCGAATATTGATTGATTACGATAATCAATATCATTATCAATATTATTGGAGAAAATTAAATCATGCGCAAGCATAGATAACACGATAATTGTATAGCGTTCATCAGGCACATCTTTACTATAATATTCATATTTAATCAGATCATTTGAAAATGTGCCAAATTGTTTAATACATTCTTCTAATAAACGAAAGTTCGATTTAACATTTCGTTCGTAGGTATTTATCAGTTGCTGTTGTTGTCCCAGTTCTAAATTGAATTGAATATGTTCATCTCGTGTTTGACATGTTGCTAATGTTGTCAAGTGTTTTATATCACGAGAATAATCACATAACGATGGTAAATAATAGGATATTATATAAAGAAACGCACGACCATCAATAAATGATTCTTGTAAATCATATAACCAAAATTTATAATGTGCACAAATAAGTTGTGCCCATTTAATTAACAATTGAATAAACGGTGTGTATTCAATTTGTTGCTTTTGTAATAGATTTATATCTGTTGTTAAGAGTTGTTTTTCTATCGAACGGCAATTGAATTTTGAGAGATTTTCAGTTAAAATTGAAATTTCTTCATTTAATTGTACGACTGGTGATAAATGTTTTGGTAAATAACAAACGGTAAATATACGCCAGAGTAATTCAAGTGTACGTTGTTTATTCCCATTCATGACGTCTTTATTAGAACTAAAGTAAAAGTTAATAAGATTAATTTAGTAAAGAATCATTTACATATATAGTTCAATTTCTCTCCCAAGAAAAGAAACCTAGACTAGTGTATACCATATTCGATAAAAATGTTAAATAATTAAAATATAAAAAAAAGAGAATTCTAACTTCTAAGCTGAAATATACAACATAGATAATCGATTTGGGTAGATAAGAGTTTATCTGTCGTAATTATTACATTCAAATGCAAGAAAAGAAATGTTTCGTTATCCAAGAAGGCGTTGGCATCGTTCATTTTAATTACTACATCCAGAATGACGGTAAAATTTCAAGATATTTTCAAATGAAATGCAATCGTCTTCGTACATTTCGTATGAAAATGAATATTTAATATTGTTTACAATAGACATCTATATTTTGAAATAACTTACATTCCAGTTAAATTGACATGCCCATATGTTTGAAGTAATTCAAAAGCTTGATCAATGTTAAGTAACTTATGCACAAGATTGACAACTGGACATTTTAATTTCGTTGATAAATCAAATCTTGCAACTTGTTCATTTGTTGATGATAATAATATTTGTGCACAACGTGTTAAACGTATGCCATCTTTTAAATCATCAAATAATTTATTTTCATTACTTGTTATTAAATAATTATATTCGTCTAATGATGTTTGTCGATATGTTGGTTCAAAACCTGCTAATTTAAGGCGACGCATAAGATTTGTATCGGAACTAATAAAATCACGTGATAAGATATCAACTGATTCTTTTGTTGATTTAAATTTTGATTCACGTACATATAAACATGGATCATTATCAATTAAACGTAATAATTTCGCCCGTTCAAGAAATATAATAATTAAAATTAAATTTTTCATTGTTAAACGAATTTGTGCTGATGCTACCTTTGCATTTGTATGATTTGATTTTTTTGCAGCAGAATCATTCGATGGTGATGATGTATTACCATTCGATTGTATAAGATATTGTTCAATAGATAATTTCATTTGTTGATAATTTTCAATATTTATTGGAAAAAGAACCTCCATAGCAAGACGAAACCATATACGATTGTATGAAGAAATAAAATTTAATAATGATTGTCGACTAACGGTTCTTGCTGAAAAATTTAAATCAACTTTAGGATTTATTCGGCAATGATCTATATCAATATCAGCACTAATTTTTGTCGCTATCGATTGTACATCACGTGTAAATAATTCTCGAGCACGATCTCGCAGTATATACCAACGATTTGATTCAGCTAATGTTTTTAATGTTTTTATAGTTGAAGTTTCATTTGATAGGGTTTGATTCGTTGTTGTTGATGTTGTATTACTACTCATAAAGTCAACTGGTGCAAAGAGACTATTGAACCATATTGTATAAGCATAGGCTTGTTTATCAATCGTATTTGTTGATGTTAAATTAAATGGAACACGTGGTCGAATACCTGGTTGAAATGATACTACTGGAGCTGCATTAGCAAATTACAAAAAAAGAAAAACAGAATTTAGTTTATTGTTTTTTTTATGGCAAATAAAGAGAAACTGACTTTGCGGAATAACCGAAGCAGCTGTTAAGTTTTCAGAAGTTACTTTCAATGACCTTTGAAGTGGAAAAGATGCTTTCCAAGTTGATGATGGAGCTGGTTTAGCTTTTCTACTAATATAGGCTGGTACATATGAATCATCATCATTATCAATAATTGTTGTTCGATCTGATTTAGGAGGACTTATAATAAACATACAACTTTCACCGACAGATATCGTTGATGGTGATTGAACATTTTTAACTATTGCCAAAGGTGACTTTGGTAACGATGGTCTTTTTGTTGGTTGAGGACGAGAATTTCGATCAGATAGAGGAGAAACTTCGATGAATACACCTGCACCACGATCTCGAGAGAGCAATGGTCGTTTGGGTGTAATCGATGATTGATCTTCATCATTATTGTTTTCCAACTGATTAAGAAATAAACAATCACGAGATTTTTTAAACCAGACAATGAATAAATAAATCAAACCTTTTTTCGAAATGTCACAAACGATAATCTCTCCTGATCGAAGTCGTTTAAAGGTGGTTTGTTTTCTTGATTCATAATATCGATAAACAACTCAATTGTTTTCTACAAAATGAATTACTGAAGAATAACCGATCAGATTAGACGATTTCTATATTAAACAAAAGAAATATTTCATCTTCGCTTTTTTTGTTGCCTTTCTTTTGCGAGACAATGCAGCGATATGATTTGCCAATAGAATTTGGAGCGAGACATGATCGAGTGAAGCAAGAGGTCACTCTTATACAAGAATTATTAACTATAAAATAACTTGTAAAGCTTCGAAAGAGAGTACAAAAGAGTTGAAACTACTATTTTACTGTTTTTAAATAAAAGAAACCTGATGTCACAAATAGTCAGATAGTCGACATGAAGAAGAAACTGTTTATATTATAGCCACTTGACAATGCATCATTAGGAAAAATCTTTTAAAAATATATATCTAAAGTATTTTAACGAAATAAAACTATCAACTAATGGCACAATACTCCCTTTGATTCAATAATCATCAATTTCAATCAATTTTTGAACGTCTTCTAAATATTTGGCTATATCCGAATTGCGGCCACTGCTGTGCTAATTGGCTTCATTTTCGATCGCACTTCCAACACAACAAAAGTTTTAAGCAAGTCAATTTTTTCCTCCTCTCTCCAAATAAACATTATTTGAAATGCACAATTATCATTACGATCGCCAAATTTACGGAAGCCTAGTCTATCCCAAAAAAAAAAATATAAGCAAACAGGCATTTGAACGTATTTAATTATGTCTATCATTGGTTACTAATCTTTTACATTTTTCTTCTGGTACATGAAGAAATTGAAGTAGAGATACATTCACATCACAGCATGGCCTTCTTTTATTAGCTGGTCGATATGAAGAAGCTCATTGTTTTATATTTTCTTATAGTCGATGTCTTCGCCATGGTTTAATACCAAATTTATTAGCTGATGATAAAATAGCTCGTTATAATTCATGTTGTTCTATTTGGTGGGGGTTATGTACAACATCAAATTATATCAATACTGTACCTGACGGTGATGAAATATTTTCAGATATAGTTTCACGTGTACATCCAACACATAATAGTTCAACTACTAGACAAGTCCGTGTTAACGAAGAGCGTTGTCCGTGATTGTGTAATGATCTGCAATTGTCATATTTTTCTTATTAATAACACTTAACAATCCGTTCACATGGAAATCAATTAAAAAAGCTTACTAGCTATCATATAATAATATCACATTATTTTCGTCCGTACGAAACATCGAATTGAAAAGTACACTAAAAATTAAAAACATAAAAATGTAACAGATGATCATTGTTGTCTATTCACTGTAATAAACGAGCCATTTCCAAATTTTTTGTATATTTTTTCCTATTTGACCGATACGCACTCTTTTGGGTTGTTTTTCTGCGTTCCGATCTTCTCATTTAAAAAGAAACATAAAGAGACGGATTCTTTCTGTTCTTTTCCGTTACTGGACGACTATTGAGCGACCACACATCGTCCAACGTGATATGTTAATAAAATATTCCTTAAAAATTTGTTCAACTCTAGTTATTTGGTAAATATGCTACAGTGCCTAATAAATGTTTAAAATAGACGTACGTAACTATAATAAGCAATATATATATCATGTTTTTTCTTGGTAGCTAACAGTTACACAATCGAAAGAAGAAGAAGAAGAAGAAACGAAAATAGTCAATCAAGGTCCTTCATCTTTTCATTTGTTTTAATGAGTACAAAGTTTTGATAGTTTGCAATTTTCGAACTTGGAAAATTCATTTTCTGTGAGTTTCGAAGTATTTAAATTAGTTTCGTTTTTCTCAATCGCTTCATGTTATCGTTATCAAGTATTTATTTGTGCCATTTTCAACCAATACGACTGAAAAAAATAAGGTATTTTTTTGGCTTAAAATTTGATGATTAAAACAGAATGTTATTGTCTATAATAAAAGCTTCTGAAAATAATATCGTTGAATTAGTCTGATCAAAAAATTATGATACTTTCAACTTGACGAGAATGATTGAAAAGATTCATAAAAAGAAAATGGTTTATTTTAAAAGAATTTTTCATAGTTCTGTTAAGAAATATTTATCACAAGGTTTTATCTTCTATAACAGGTGCTGACTTTTAAGTGCAATAAACATGGCAACAATTTTATCACTCTCTGTCCAACAACAATATTCATCAATGACATACAGCTCTATATTCAGTTTTCACAATCACTTCGAATACGATTCTTATCTAAATCGTCACAAAAATATAACGAATACTATTGTACAGATGAAACGTTTTCTAAACCATCAAAATCAATGGATTGGCTGGTTTTGAGGGGTTCTCATGACGATACTTTACAATCTTTGTGCTCAGAAAAGCGGTTTTGGTGCATCTCTAACAGTCATAGCTTTTGTTGAGCTCGGACGATTCTTACAAGTAAACTCTAATATATGACAATATTTTCAATCATCATTTGTCTTAATGTATATACGTATGTAAGCCATTTGTATGTATATATATTAGTGCTGCACATATCTCTTTTGTAGACAACGACAAGAGCAAAACACATCAATTGACAAATAGAAAAACATAACACTATGTGAATATGTAGAGCTACAATAGTTATTAAATTCTTTTCAAAATGAACAATGCTTTGTAAAAAATTATTCGAGCAAGATAAATGCAATTAGTAGAATACTTTTGAGAATTGAAATGAATTGTATTGTACATTATACTCATGGAATAGTGTGCAGCTGGTTTCGATCGAACAATGACAACTGTGAATTCATCAACGCAATACAAATAAATATTATTTCATTGCGAAAGCATTGTTAAAATTTATTGAAAAATTTCTTATACGAAAAAAAAAGAATTCCCGTTCATTACAGTAAAATCCTGAGTACTACAGAAAAGCTATGCATTACAAAAAGAAAATTTGAAATACTGTTTCGAAGAAAAGGATACAAATATTTTGTATATTATTTGGACGGATACATGTATCAAACTGAGTAAATTCATCTGACGGTAATATTCTTATTATCAGAAATTATGACAAGATAAATCATGTCGATTGCCGTGTTGATGGTCGAGTACTTGAAGCATTACCACCATCGGTAAAACTACAACGAAATGTTTTCATCAGAAAACAATCTATCGAAGAAATCAAATTGAACTTACTAATCGGTAACATCAGTAATTGAAAATGCTAAATCATTTTTATCATTGTTTAGACGATCCTGTTCAGATGGTGTTGATTCCGATGACGATGATGATTGATTCAATTCTTTTGATGCATCATAGCTTGTTGTTGATGATGATTTCATACTTGGACCAGTTCTTGGTTGTAACTGATCTGATGATGATGATTTTGGCATACTATTTCTATCGATCGTTGCGCTATCTATATCAACTTTGTTTAGAAGAGAAAAATGTGAAAGCGTGCCAGTATTCAGTAATTGAGGTGACAATGGAAGAATACGACCATTCGATGATGATTCTTTTCGTGGTGATACTGGAGATTTAGGTGGCGTAGCCACTGGAAGTTCATAAGCAGCACGACGAGCTCGAGCAAATTCGGTATACAATCGATGAGCACGTGTCGTGCCATACGACAGTGGTGGCTTTTGTGTTACTATACTCTTATGAGTAGAGGTCGGCTATTAACAAGAAAAACAAAAGAAAAAGATGATTTAATATATTAGAAAGAAAAGATTAAAGGCGAAATACTTGAATATAAACTGGTTTTGTTGGAAGGCGTGGAGTAGAAACAGTTTCATCAACTCTTGTCATATGCTCTGCTAGAGCAATTTCTCGTTCCAATCGTTTATTGAATTTTGGTTTGGAAAGTCGATCGACTAAATTTCTTACATCATTTTTTGTTACTAACAAATGTCGTGTGTCTTGTGGAGGTGGATAGAGTCGACGAGTATTATTGATATTTCTTGTGACAATAACAGATTTTGTTCGAGCTGAATGAATATTTGCTGCTGATTTAGGTCGAGTCGAACTTCGTTTAAAATTTTCTTGTCGTTTTTGTTCAGCAGAATGTGTTCTTTCAGTAGAATCACTACGTTTGATTGATACGGGTTCACCCTGTTCATATTCTTGTAAGGCTAAAGCTTCTTCAACTAGTGCACGAAGAAGTGGAAAATTATGTAGGAAATCTTTTGCTAATGGTCGTTCTTTTGATGTCATTTTAGTTTGAGAAACAACAGCTGATGGCGGAGGTGGTCGCACGGATAATGACGATGAAGACAAATTAAAACGAACATTATGCACAGTTTTTGATTTCGGTTGTTGTTGATGTTTAACATTATTATCGTCATCTTCGTCATCAAAGCCATAATCATCGTTAAAACTAGCAATTGGAATTGATGCAAGATAAGATAGACGATTTTCCTTTGCATGATCAACACATTTCACGTTTGTTGGTGTCATCATTTGTAGAAAATCCGAATTCGAATTAAAGTAAAGTGGTGGCGGTTGATACGAAGTAATCAATCCATCATCGAGTAATGGATCTTCTTTTGTACGTAAATATCGACCTTTGGAATGATCATAACCAGTTGGATGAGATTTTGTACTTGTCCAACGTGTCTGAGCCGATTTATTATTAGTTAATGATGATGGAAGATCACTACGTGATAATTGTAAACCAACATCTTTCTTTCCATTTACAAAATGAATATGTTTAACAATCGTATCTGTTGGTTGTGATGATGATGACGGTGGTGGTGGCGGTGGCGGTGGCGGTGGCGGTGGCAGATGTGATGATATCGGTGCATTTATTTTTTCTTTATTGCCATTCACAGCTCTAACAAAACAAAATATAAAGTAGGATCTAAAATAGGTTCCTTCTTGTAATCTTACTTTTTATCAGTTTTTACCACAGCTCCATCATCAAGCATAGGTAAATGTGTTACAATAGTTGTACCATAATGACAAAAACGAACAGCAACATCGCAAGTACCAATACGCGTACCCATTAGATTGAAGAGCGTACAATTAAATGTTTCTTGTTCAACAAGAGGAATATCATTGCCATTTTTTGTAATTGCCTGATTTAATTTTTCAATCAATTCATTCAATTTGATATTACAACTACCAATAAATTGTGTTGTATTTGGATTTACATCATCTTTATTATTGATTTGATCAATAAGTAAAAGGAAAAGTGGTACATTTAATAAATGTGTATATAATGTTTTAAAATAAGTTTTAAATAAACACGATTTTCCACGTTTAAAATTAAATTTTCCATTGGCTGACCGAAGTTCATAAAATTGATCCGAGAGTAATTGTCGCCATGTTAGATTTGGATGATTACGCTTTAAATCATTAAATTCTTCCAGTTGCCATTGATCAAAATAAGGTATCGATACAGCAGGATAATCGAGTAAACGAAAAACTATACATGGAAAATGACATTCTATATTGAGATCAAGATGAACTTGATTTATGAGTACTTCAATTGAAACAAGACTTAAAAGATTCTCATGCTCAGTCATTGTTCCTGGCATCTAATAGGAGATGAAAACAAAAAGGAAAGACAGTTAATTTGGATTCATATTATTCAGTAAAAAAACAATTTAGCTGGAGTTTATTGCGAGAAAAAAATGAAAAACAAACAATGTATACATATTTATTCGTTCTTTGAAAAAATAAATTTTGTTTTCAATGTGAACTAAGGTAAGAATTATTAATTAAATAATTGATCATTTAGAAACAGTAGAAAGAATAAATCACTGTGATGACTCGGATGTACTAGTTGGAGTGCCAGCATCAGCTATTATGTAAAGAAATAAAGTAAAAAAAATTTTAATTAGTATTGAAAAGAAGAAAAATTTTCACTATACCACGTAAACTTTTTATTGGTAATATGGGATCATTCAATGAAGATGATTGATTTAAGCCACTGAGACTATGAGAAAAAAATAAAAGTACTATCAAGATTTATTCTTTACTTTTTCTTCTACAAGAAAAAATCGTTGATACAATTCGTCCGATTAAAAGATTAAAAAGAACTGCTTACGGATGCCATCTGTCATGGCCTGTGTATGTCTCTCTTTACTTAGGAGAAGAGTTATTTACTGAGTATTTTATAGCAAATATTTAGTTTTACATGTAACGACTACATTTCTCGTTGAAATTTTGATCATTTTTTACTCACTCATAATGAGTTATATAAAAGCTAGTATTTATAATAATTCATTCTCAACACACACACACACATTCACACTGATGAATCATCACAACCTTTATTCAGTAAACACTACTAGAATGAATAAATTCAATTTTATACGAGTCAACATGAATGATTCATTTTGTGTTCTCAAAGGATTTAAAGGTTTGAAAAGACATTATATTTCAATCTGATTTCAAGAGTACTAAGGGAACAATATTGATCTCAGTCAGATCAAGGAACCATTATTTTCCATAGTATTATTTTCTAATATTTCTATGCATCAAATTGATTAGAAAATATAACAATTCTCATCAAGTAGTTTATTCATACCTTGCAGTTTTATTAAGAGAGGAATGTGAATTTGATTGCGACGATACGCCAGCACTTAGACATGATCTACCACTAGTACCACTATTATATGATTGACTCAATTGTTTGCCAGATAGATTCGGCATTGTTGTTAATGTCTGTGTTCCATTAGTTGGGGCTAACGACGACGGATGTGGCTCATGATCAGGTGTCCTGTATCAATGAAAGCAAACAATTATATTTGCCTGTCTTTCTTTTCAATGTTGAATTTCAAACCGTCTTCGTGTCAGTATTGTCAAACTGTCTTGTAATGAACTAATACAGGATTGAGATATAGAACGCAATAATAACATATCCTAATAATATGAAAAAATAAAAATCGTATAAATAAAATTCAAGATTATATACTTTCGATAGAGAGTTCAGTTGATTCTTATCTGGTATTGACTATAAAATAAAAACAACAACTAGTATATATCATAACATAAATTAAGCATAAAACTGTACATCAATGGTTTCTACAAATTCTCTTTGATTTACTTCTACACAACGTATGACTTCTTTCATTTCTTTTAGAGTTTGTTGATGATGATTGATTCTATCAAAGTAGAAAAAAAAGCATTAAAAAGTACAACCATTAAATTTTATTTTTTATACTTCGAATCTCGCCGATTCAATGAATCAGTTTGTACATCATTGGATGGTTGTGATGAATTAGTTAAATTAGTTTTCGACGATGATAACGAAGAAACAAACTGAAGAATAATGAGAGAAAATGTATTATCGTTATGATTATTTTCTTATGATCGAATATAACACAAAACAATCAACAATTACAATTTCAGCTGCATTCAATCCAGAACATGGTCGTAATTTATCAATCCATTTTTGTCTATCTTTAGCATCACTAGCTAAAGAAAAAGGAATCTATATATTTATAGAAAATATGTACTTGAAGACTGTAAATGTACCTCGAAATTTATATATATCACTTGCTGTTTGTACAGTAAAAGTAACATCGTCTTCATTCGATGGTGATATCCAACAATCTGTTAATTCAATCACACCTCTTGGACCTTTCTTTCGAACTTCATCGGGCTAAAATGAAAATAACGAATGGATAAGCCAAAATAAATAAATAATCTATTATTTACCATAAAATAGAGTAAAGATTTAGTCTCGGAATCTAGCACAAAATATCGACTTTGATATCCTTTAAATGCATTTGTATATTTATTCAGATGTCCTTGAAATCTAATAAATACCAATATACACATACACATAATTACATATACATATTATATAGTATTTTAATAAATTTATCTTGTGTTTAAATATATATATTGGAACTCACGTTGATTCATCAATTGTATTCCAATTAAAACTGAACATCTACAAAAATGAATCTTAAAAAAGTTTTTGTCACCTATCTTTTGTATTTGAAGTTTTCAGTTTATTTTTCTTAAGAAAAGATCAAGGAAAATGAAGATACATTATTTGACATTGAGATAGAATACAAAAGAAAGAGTAAAAAACGAGAGAAGAAATTGCTATGAACCGTGCATATGTAATTGTTATCTCTTTTGTCAGAGAATCGTGTTTGAGAGAAGAAATATGTATAATGGACAGGATTCCAATGCAAATCGTATGTAACTTGAGTGTACTCGATGACATAAAGACAAAAGAGGAAAAAGTTATATAAAAATCACAGCATCGAAAGATCAATAAGAAATAAACACAGAAAGAAAATTTTCCTATCTCTAGCTATGTTCCTTCAAGCACGTTTTTATCATTGAATAAGTACAAAGACATGACAAGTTAAAAATGATACGATAAACTAACCAGTTTGATGTCATTAAGCGCGCATATAGCTTTTCAAACACAAAAAGCATTCATTCAACAAATAGACATAACATAGAAAAACGAGAAAATGTTTATAGACTTTAGAAAAATATGGCTATATGGAAGCCAAGAAAAATATCCACAATAATAGAAAAAAAGATGATATCGTTTTCGTTTTAATCAGTATCAATTTTACAGACAGCTTTTATATTAGGACAAAGTGATGAGAGAGGTTTTGCACGTTTTATAAAAGGATGCTGAAGAAGTTCATAGGTATCCGCACGTTGTTGAGGATCAATTGTGAGACAACGTTTGAGAAAATTCATTATATCTGCTGATATGCGTGCTTGCGATTCAGCAGTTATTGTTGGTGGCTCTTCTTGCATTGCTATTTTACACATAGCACGAAATGGTTGTTCATTTATATATGGTGGTGACCCATCAATCATTTCAATCATTAAAATCCCCAGTGACTAAATAAAATTTTAAAAACAAAAGTGACTATTACGGTAAATAATATAAGATTGAAAACTAACCCATATGTCAACTTTTCGATCATATTTAAGTCTAAATGTGGAAAATGTTTAGTTGCAATTAAAACAAAATTAAAGAATTTTACTTTTTAATCACTTCTGGTGACATCCAATAGGGTGTTCCGACCATTGTTGTTCGTAAACTTTCGGTATTGGCTAATTGAGCACAAAAACCAAAATCAGTTAATTTTACTATTAAAAATAAAATAGATTGATGTTATTTTTTTCTTCATAATAATTTATTTTGTGCAGAAATTAAATTCTATATTTACCTGAACCATCAAATCCAACAAGAACATTGTCTGATTTAACATCTCGATGAATAATATTTTTACTGTGTAGAAATTGAAGTGCTTCAAGACATTCTTTTGTAACAGCAGCCATTTGACCTTCGTCAAGTATGGTCTGTTCGACCATTTGCGTTAGTTGTCCACCATTCATATATTCCATTACAACTAAACGAGGAATTTATGAATGAAAATTTATATTAATCAATAGAATAATATACTCCATAATTCATTCGGCCGTAAATAACAATCGAGAAAATTAACAATAGAACGAAATCGGCAATCTTTCATGACACGAATTTCACTAACAATCAATTCTTTTCGTGGTTGTTTTGACCAAAGCATTCGTTTTATAGCAATTTTTGTATTTGTTTTAGTATCGAGTGCCAAGTCAACATCACCTGCAGCTCTATTAATGAATAGGAGAAACATAGAACAAGGTATAAGATCAAGTTTCCAAAAGTAAACAATAAATTTATACATACCCTGAACCAAGTTTTTTCTTTATGATAAATCTTGACATAGGATCATCCTTAGCAGCATATGGTTCTAAAATAAAACAATCACACTTCAATATTATTTTAATAAATATAAAAATAACTAACCAAGTTCTTTAATAGCTTCTTCTTCGGTCATTTTTCGTCGATTATTTTTTGATTTATGCCTTGTCACAAGCTTGGTTTGATTTGAAAGCGATTCTGATTCTGGCGTTGCGACATTATGATTTTCTTTATTAACAATCGGATTCGTTTTAGTTGTGAGTATCATTGGATGAATAGGAGATGCAACTTTGCCTGTCGTAGCCAAAAGTCGAACAGTTTTTGGTGGTAATTCAGGCGCTTGTTCTGCTTGTTTACGGTATTTACCACTATTATTATTATTATTATTATTATTATTATTATTTGCAATAGTATCATCATTAATATGATTACGGCTTGGTATAGGAGGTGGAATGGTAGGATGAACAGGAACAACTTTTGCTATCGATGATACCGCTGGACTTCCGCTACTTGGAAGGATATCATGTGGTTCATTGACAAGTGTATCACGATTGATTTGATAGACAAGATTATTAACGCCGACTTCTCTAAGTCGATTTGCAACTGGTGTAGTAGGGCGAGAATTAGTTGAGGTACTAGATTCTGGTGAGTTATCTTCTTCGTCAGATCTTCCATTAGAGATCTAATAGAAAAATCATTAGATTTTAATTCATGTCAACAGCTATTTTCAATGCTTACTTCTAGACTCTGTTTACGACGTGTTGTAGCACGTTTGAGTTCTTCAACAAAATTCGTAGAGGGCTGAAGAAAAATAATATAAAAATATAAAAATTCTCCTGTTGAAAACAAAATGAATACACTTACAGTGGCGTTGCCATTTGAAGATGAGAAACCAGGAGGATATTTTTTAGAGGCAGATCGATTACCTATAAGATTAACGTTTTTTGGTTTATTTTCAACAAAGAACTATTATACTTGTCCATACCAAAAGCATCTTTAGCTGGTGACGAAAATGGCCCACTAGCATTGAGTATTTCTGTTGATGATCTAAGATCACTTTCAGTTTCACTTAATTCATCACCTGACTCATATGATATTCCGTCTGGATGAAAGGTATCTTGTATACGCATATGTTTTGTCTGGTTACCTAATACAAATTTAGTTTAGAGAAAACTAAAAAGAAAAATAATTCCATTTAAATATACTAACGACTTTCACGGATTGTTTGCTGAATCACTTTAAGCGCACAAGTCATAACGCGCGCCTTGTCTTCAGGTTTGGAATGACTAAATAATTTATATTGTGAAGTAAACAATGATTAGATAAGTCAAAAAATAATGTATCATACGCAAATAAATTTTTCACTTGATCTTCCCACTCACACGGTAAACCATGAAATGTATTCGTATTTGGGTCATAAGAAACATGGATATTTTTTGTTACACTTATTGGTGTAGATATTTCTGATATTTGTGGTTGTTTTTTTTTCGATAAAAAATTACGAAATAAACCGAAATCCATGTTTATACTAAATAAAAAACAACATATTAGAAGTTTGGGTTTTTTTTGTCGTTCATATTAATTCATTCATATTTTTAATTAACAAACCAAGTAGTTTTTTCAACATCTAAACCAGATGATGATGATGATGAAGATGACATGGTAAATTACGGATTAGATTTGAATAACGAACGGGCAAAATTTGATGTATTATTTTTTGTCCTACTCTCTTTTCAAGCAAATGAAATCGAAATTATAACGGTATTATGAATGGTACTGAATTTCTTTTTTGCGTTCGGTCTATCGATAATTCATTTCAGTCAAGTAAAAAATCCTGAATGAATCATCATCATCATCATCATTGTCGCTGTAGGATGTGTAACAGAATAAAATAAACATCGCGGAGGCGGTTATGGGAACCTACTTTAATTTTGATGATTATAAAAGTCGCTTTTATTCAGACATTAATCTCGACAATCAATTTGTGATACGATTGCCTTGAGCACGATCGATATACGTACATACAAATAACGGAAGTCTCTTCTCTTTCTTTTTTTTTTCTCTATCGCAAATTTATTATAAACTTTTGAGCGACTAAACAACGAGAAAAGCATTGACAAAAAGAACGAAGAGATCTCATAATGTATCAAGGACAAACGATGTCTACGTATGTAACAGATGTCAAATAGGCAAGTATCCTGTATCTCTTTTTTTCTTTAATAAATAAGTTCACGCAAAACAGATCAGTGAATATAATAAGACCTTGTTAGGACATGATGTAAGAATCAAACATACCTTAGAGTTCTATGCTAGTAGACAAATAATAATACTAAATGGGTGAAATAAGCTGTTGTAGTAGGTGGTGAGGGCATAATACTAAAAAAGAAAGAATATATATATATATATATATATATATATTCATATGTATGTAGATATAAAAGAAATCTTACGTAAGTAGCCAAAATGTTTATTAGAGTTTTAAATGTGTTAAACAAAAAAAAAGGAATTCACAAATAGAAAAAAAAGAACAATGTCAATCATTTTCTTTCTAGCATATATTCATGAACAATGATAGACTCTAGCAAGAGAAAATAAATAAATAAATAGTGAATAAGTTTATGCTAGTAAATTTTCCTATTGCTGCTTAATTATTTGTGCCCATTCATCGATGACTTCCTAGTCTTACAAGATGAGTATAATGACACGAAAGTCAATGTATCTACATCGACGTAGGTACGAGAAAAGCAAACAATAATAATTGCTGTGCTGTGAAAATTTTTCTTCTCTTGCCTGAATCAATAACAACATCGAAGACGACGAAGAACACAAAAGAATGAACTTCAGCGATTGTATTTCGCTTCATTAAAGAATAATAATAAACCAACTGTACAAATGAGAAATAAAAACAACAAAAAGAAAATTATACTTCTTTAAAGTGTTTTTTTTATTTAATTTAAAAACGATTTTGTCGATGTTTCCGTTGAACATCATCATTATTTGAAGATGATGATGAAGCTTTACGTTTAACTGGTAAAACATGTGGTAATGGAGACTGTTCAATTTCTTCAATTTTTGGTGTATCATCTGTTAAATCTATTGTATCCGAACGATGTAATTGGGATCGTTGTGTTGAATTATTATTTATATATTTCGAAGATTTCTGATTATGTCGATGAGATGCTGATCCATTTGCAGTAGATTGTTCGATAGCTAATTGTGGTTGAACTGGCCCTGATGATGGATAATGTAAACGATTTGGCGCAAGTTGACGATGATGATAAGGATGATGTGGACGACGAACAAGACCAGCTAAAGCCGAACGCTGACGCCATTCTCTTTTAAAACTATCCGTTTCGTCTTCATCGAGATTTTCTAGTTCAACATTTTCAGATATCTGACCCGTTTCAACATTCATTTCACGTTCAACAACATGTTTACGATCACCAATTCGATGACCAATATGTACCTAAATATTTTTTCAATTAATCAATAGTACTTCAAGAATTTTTAATCACTAATTTTATTTGAAAGTGATTTTCATCGAACAATCTATCATGTTCATTTCTTTTCTATTCTGTCAACAACGGATTATTGTTTTTCTTTTACGTTTTCTCTTTGAATAATATTCGAAGAAAATTTCTTTTTTAAATCAAATTGTTTTATTAAATGTTATAGTAGACTTTTTCTTTTTATAAATGCATATGACCTACCTTATTAATTCCACGTTCACTGTCACGAACAGCTTGTCGTATTTCCTCAATGCCTCCTGGTCCTCTACTATGTGATTTTGATTCGTGATAAACTGTTGGTTGTCCATCGGCACCATTATAAGACATCACTGTTGTTGATGTGAATGAATGTATTGGTGCATTTGTATTGATACTTTCTCCATGATACAATGAATCGTTTGTTGCATGCATCATTCGATCCATAATTGCAAACGGTGATGAATTCATACCGAAATTATCAAAGAAACTATTTACTCCAACAAATGGAGTTGGCATCATGAAAGAATTTCCAAACAACGACTGTTGATGTGGTATTAATGAATTACTATTCGGTCGACGGTTATTTCCACCTCCCATGCCAAATAAATTTGTAGGAAAACCAAACATCTGAAAAAGAAAGAAAAAACATGTTTCATCGTTTTGTCTTTTTTCTTTTAATCAAACGAGCATACAAGTACGCCAACGAAGTTTTCTTTTACACAATTAATAGATATTTGACAAGGATGACACACAAGAAGTAGGAGAAAAGGCTAATACAAATATCAGAAAAATGTGATTGAATCACGACAGAGAATTATCTGCATTAAAACTACAAATAACTGATTTCACACTAATCTAAATTGAATAGAATAGAAACAGAAAACAAGAAAACTTATAGTTTAACAACAAATGTATCCATATTAAGTATTTCTTGTTGAACAATACTTTCAAGAACAAAATCAATTGATAAAAGTTTAATTTCAAAATCGGTATTATTATGTTTATGTAAATCTTTTAGTAATAATTTATCAATATCACATGTAAGAATTAGACAATTGGGAATCTTGGTTCGTTCATCAAATGTTGTCAATTGTTTAATTGTTGGGAATTGACGACGCACATTACCACCGTGTGCATAGATAATTGATTTTAAAGTTATTTGTGATGGTTGAACAGTTGGTGTTAAAAAGAATGTATAACCTGTAAATAATGGTTTGCTTTTACGCAAAATACGTTTATCAATTGATTGTTTTAATAAATTTCTTGGTGGTTTCAAGTCATCATCAAGCAACCAATCTGATTCTTCAACGGGCAAAAATTTATTCGCATCATTACATTTATCTAGCCATTTTTTATTTAATATAAATGATACATAACCCATACATTCATATAATTTTTCTGTACGCAAAAATTTATTCATTATTAAATGTGTTGTATAATTTGGTAATGTTGAGATTTTGCCACCTAAAGATTTAATTATTGTTTCGTATTGATTTAACATTTTAGCATTAAAACCACTGAGCATAATTAATAGCGGACCATTATTAGATGCTGTTGCATCCATCGATGGAATAATTGCGTCACTATAAGAACTCTTCATATAATCATCATCATATGATGAACATTCTTGTTCGTTATGATGACGCATAGCTGCATGAAGCATTTCATCCGATACACGAATTGGTTGCGACCAAGGTAAAAGTAATTCATGAACAAAACTTTGATCAAATGAAAAATGATCTATCGCTGGTGTACCGCTAAGACGCCGAAAACGATCATCCAATGGATCTTTAAGAGCGTTTGTATTGCCTAAAAATAATTCAGATAACCATAAACCATTTACAACAGGTATAGACCATTCTAGAGCTTTTAAATATTTTTCACTCGTTCCACTTTCACGTGCAATTATATGTGTATGCCATCGACCTAAATGACCCGAATATTTACCACCTAATGAACGTATCATATAACGTAGACGAGCACGTTCAAGACCTAGGAATAACAAAAAAAAATATTAATAATCCTATTTCCTTTCTTTTCTTCAGTTGAAAATTGTCTATATCAATACTTGGCACAACAATGCAATGCCTATATACATGTACGAGCAGGTAACGAAAGGGAGACCCATAAAAAAAATGCTAAAACGTAAGAAAATTAGGAGAAACGGTTAAAATTCATTATACATAGGCGGGGCATGAAAGGAAAATATTTGACCCGTGACTATAGAAAAAGAAACACACTTTAGGAAATGACTAGAATCATATAGTTTGATAGTAAGAAAATTTAAATGGTTTCATCTAAGAAAGAGAAGACTCCTGAAAAGAATCAAAGTTATTCTGGTTAATTCGAATCGAGACTAAAATTGTGACTGAACTTTCTAATCTCTATTCTATTCAAAATCAGAAATAATTTACATGAATCAAAATTAATCTGAAACTTCAATATGATTATCCAAAAAAAGAAAAGAGCATTTTCTAATGCATAAAGTTTATCATTAGAATCAAATATCAAATAGAATTCAAAAGTGAATAAATACGATATTTTGTATACCTTCAAATCCAGTGATTGTAATAGAAGATTTTGCTAACGGTAATTTATCTGGTTCACTTGGTTCATATAGGGATGGATAATGAATTGCTAAATTCGGAACGAAGAGTTTCTTCTTTTGTAACACATCATTTAGCCAATGTGCTGTAACCATTCGAACACTGCCACGTTTTGAAACTTGTCGGAAAAGATCACTTGTAGAATAAGCACATACAAAATGTGTTAAATTTGGATTCATAACATCATTGGATATAATAGCACCTTGTTTAGTTATTGTTTGTGACCATGTTGATAAATCATTTTTTGATACAGTTGCTGAGTATTCGCGTGCATCGATATAAATAACACAACCTAACAAACATTGTGATGATGGAATTCGATCATGTTTATCTTGTAATGAATAATTCAATTCATATGACATTGTCTCTGGTGGTGCATGGCGTGATAATTGTAAATTTGATTTATAATTTGCTAAATTAGCTGAAACTGATGGACGAATTAATTTTTCTTCTAATGACAATCCAGAACTATAATTATCTTTCGTCGATGATGATTGAATGTTATGACTATTTGTTAAAGTAAATTTTGAACTACGTTGAGTTTTTGCTGTGGTTAATGGTCGTTTCGATACAAAAGATTTTGTTTGTGGAGTATCCTGAAGAGAAAAAAGATAATAACTTAAATATGTGAATTTCATAATTAGCATTTATGAGACTTAGAAAAATTAGTTATTATTGGTTTTCAATCGTATCATTGAATTAAACAATTAAAATGAGTAAACTCAAAAGAATTCCAATCCAATTTTCTTTTACAAAGGAGAAAGGATCTTTTCAATGAGAATTAAAATGTCTATATGATATACTTGATTGACTTACTTTTTTTGATGTAGATTCATCAGTTGATCGCCTATGAACATTGCTACCAGTATTTTCATCAATATCCATTGATTCATCTGAATTTTTAAGTAAATCCGGATGATAATTGTCTTCATCAAATAAATGATTCTCATTTATGCAATCAATAATCCAATCAGGTGTTACCAGATGAACTCTTTCGGATTGTATTTCATATGCATCTACTATCTAAATTTGCCATCCAACGGCCACCATAGTATGTAGCTAATGCATAGATTTTATTATGATCATCATTTAATAGATTAGCATTGGCAAATGTACACGAATGAAAAAGACGTTTAATATTATCTTTGTCACCTTCTTTGGTATTGTCATGATTATTAGTATTATCAGCACTACGATATGAATCAATTGGCAGTAATGTATCCGATTTTAAACATGCTTTTATCCAATCGGACGTAACAATTGGTGTTTGATAAATTTCGATAGCTTGTTCTAATTCACTTTTATTACTTTCAAAATCATCACAAATAACATGTGTCGTTTTTTCAGTTAAATAAAATAAACGTGTGGCACCATTTTGTTTGAATTCTGTTTCAATCGCTGGATCACGAAAACCAGTTGTAAAATATTTGATTGATGAAAATAATTTTGAATCATTCGTCGACATATTCAGTAAGAATCAAAACTAAATGAATAAAAAAAGCGAGAAGAAAAGAACGATCCAATGAATAATAACGGCCATATTGTTTATTTCTACATTCCAAGTGCATATGCATAGCAATGCACTTTGATTATTTATTTCTTAATATGTGCATATATTATCAAAAGTAGAAATCTATAAAATATTTTTTCTTTCTAGAATTTTTCAGAAGGAACTTTGCACAAATTTATTTACTTTACTTCAACGGTATATGACTCATTTCAAGTGTACTCTGTCTATTGGTTTTCGTTTTTTTAAGTTTAATGTATCTGTAAAAATATGACGAAACCTACAAATTGAACTCTGAATCTCATTCGTAAATATTGATTTCATGAAAGTTTATATTTTACTTGAAAACATACGAATTTCCTAGAATATAATCTTCGGTTCTATTTAAATCTTGATAGATTTTTCAGCTTCATCGAAAATTACACGTTGTAACAATTTTTGTCATCACATACATAACTGACATAATTATAGATTTTATTTAAAACTTTTTTGGCGCTCGATAATGATTTCTATGAAAACGTAGTCCACAATAATCGACTTGCTGTCCTAATATTAACTATTTCGTTATTGTGTTGAGATGTGTATGTTAGAAGCACAAAAGCTGTGACTACAACAAAAGGTTTCTCTGTAATAATACGCATGCTTGTAAAATATTTGCCTACTCTGTGAAAAGAAAATCCATATATACTTTTCGTCAACTTGTGTATTGAAAGAACACGATTTATGTAAAAAAAAGCCATATATAATATACTAATTGTTGGCAATTGTCGATTGACAAAAATAGGGTATGGTCTAGCTAAATAGAAGAGCAAGCTGTTTCAAATTGTCTATTGATAAATACAGAACAAAGACTTTGGATCAATTGCATTTTGTTAATGGAAGTTTGAGGAAACAATCTTTCTGTATAGTGCAATTAAGTATTGTTATTTATGAGACACAAATTTCAGGGCTATTAGAAATTGTCCGATTTACTATTTTCAGCAGTGCCCAATATTTCGATTTTTACTGTAATTTGAAGTTAAATTCTTGAACAATCCCGTTAAGAAAAACGTGATAGGATTTTTTTTGAAAAATATTCTTTAAAATTTAATCGATGAAAAATTCTTGAAAATGTATTCTTCTCTAAAAGTATGCATCCTGACTCACGTCATTGAAAATAGCACATAACAAGATTGCTTCACGACCATTATGATAAATATGTTTTTTTGTATAGATTATCTCTGCTATAAAAAAAACAAGAGATAAAGCCTATTGATTGTTAAAAACGGAAATATATGAGCAAAGTTTTCATGACATTGTCTCGAACATCGAATACTTGTTTTATTGATTGAATAAATCGTTTGCTTATAAACACAAATACAAATAGTAAATGAAATAAGACCATAGATGCTAAAATTCATTAATATATATATATGTATATATCTACTAGAGTACTTTATCAGCATGTGTAATAAGAAACTATGTGTTAATGTGGAGTAACTTTTTACCGTGTTACGTGTGTCATTTATCTAACTTGAGCGTTTATTAGAGATATTGAAAACAAAAATTAGAAAAGCTAGTTCCATGAAACTATAGTCTATATGAGAAATCCGATTGCTTTTCCATAAAATTAATTTGTTTCATTGTTATTTTTCATATTTTCGATATTAATCAACATTCGTATGTACGGACTGACGTTTGAGCCATAGCGATCTTGAAACCATTTTTCTTTGTACTCATCAGGTTTGAGTCGACGACAACATTCTAGTGCTCCACACCAACACTCGAAATCTGGTGGTGTATTCATAAATGTCGAATAATCCATAGTTAATGGTTCATCAGACATCTAGTGGCGTAAATAAAACAAAAGTTAACGTAACATGATTGATAAAAGTTCAAAGTGCTCAAGTCTTTTTAAAATTGTTTATAAGAACATGACTTGACAGAGAAAATACAAAAGCAAATAGTACTTGTTGAGAATTGTCGAATGAGTTTCTATATATTTGGAAATAAATCACATTATTTTCTGACCTATTCATCCTAATAAATCTTGAAACAATGAATAAATTCCGCAACAAAAGCAAATCTCGGTAACGCCTTGCTATAGTTGATAAAACAATACAAATAGATTGTTTTTATTTTGCTTTGATATCATAAATTCAAATCAAAGCACATAGATGCAATGTATTCAGTATGTTTTCAGTGTATTGAACTACGTTTTTTGTTTCCTCATCGAAATAGTTCTTAACACCTGTAGAAAGTGTTTCACTAGCACGGAAAAAAGAACTCGATGATCGATTCTATGCAAGACAAGCATACAAGCAGTTCAGGAAAATTAGACGATTATCAATATATAGAGTAATATTGAATTCGAAGCCTAAATATGACCGAAATAGAAATTCGCGGTGAATGAGAATCGCAATGAATTATATCCAGCAGATGAGTTCAATTTGAATAGTCAAACAATTATAGTGACTAATTCTTATCTCAAAAGGTAACTACATGTGGGAAAGGTAAATCCATCGATACGTACGGATCGATCTGCGAGCAATATGATGTAGACCCTCCACCCACATGTTTGGGTCACACGAGCGATTCAAAAGGTTGCCATCGGTCACTTTTTGCATGCCGAAGAATGTACAAAGTATTACAGATAGGCCATGCAACAAGAAATGGAACGCAAGAACGAATAAATAGTTAAACAGTGAAGATGATTTTTCAAAAACAAAAAAAGATATGAATTTTTGGAGCGAAAAGAAAAATATGCATCAAGATGAGAAAGTTTTTTCTAACACTCAAAAGCAGTACGAAAATTCTATTATTAACCACGGTACTATCAGTGAAGCGTTCTAATAATTACTCTCTCCTTAATAACATTATCATAATGCAAATAAAATGAAACATAGTAGCGACTGATATTTATCTTTGGTTTTCAGCGCTTCTACATAGGAAGATGGCTAAAGGAGAAGTAAGCACTGTGCTGTATCTTAATTTAATGTTTTGCCTTGATTTTTTAAAATAGAAAGTAACGTGCAGTTTTTATCTATTGTAGTTGGAGTGCTCTTTTTACTATATATATCATTGTCATCGATCTGAAAAAAGCTCAACAGACGAGGACGCTTACCGTAATTTTTGAAAACAAGCATGTCATTGTCATTGAACGTTTCTTCAGCATACTTTTTTGTGGTAAATTTTAAAGAAGCACTTTCAAGTGAATAAATAATTTCGCCCGGAATCAAACTACATGATGAATATAGCCCAAAGCCAGATTTTTCAGAGAATTTAACCACATTTGAATGTATCAAATGATATTTTCGTTGACGTTCTAGAGCATCTTCTAAAGGAAATTTCACTAGTTGAGCCTTGAACCAACCACTGGCTTCGATGACACAATCGATTGAGTACGAATCTCTATAGAAAAGACTCAGGTTCGAACTATAGTCTAATATAAAGAGTTTCTCTGTTCGTCTATCTTGTCAAATATCAATCCGAGCATATCCATCACCTTCGATTGCTTCGTAAAGTTGTCTAGCTGAGATCATGAAATCATTTATGATCTCTTGTTCTTCTGTATTTTGTTGTCCTTCCATTAGACGCCAATTCGATCGAGCATAATTAGTACTACATTTATCTTCAAATGTTATGACTGTTTTATTGACATAAAATTGATATTCAACTGGAGAAAATACATGAATATTTTGACCACTACCAATGATAAACACAGTAAACTCACGTCCTTCAATATACTGTTACAGCAATGCGGCACCAAAATCATTGATCAAGACAGAGCAACGTTCTTTCATACTGGCAACATCATGAATCATAGATTTTTCATTGATTTCAATATCTAATATTAGAAAGTCATACATGAATATGAGTTGATAAGAAGATTTTCTAATCCCTGCTACGGATAAACTCTTCAACATGAAGAATATGTTCCATGAACAGAATGAATAAAAACGAAACTACAATCGTCCTCAGAGTTTAGATAAGGTCTCGTATCATCTCGCTATATCCAATAGTGAATGAGGATTAGGATTTTCAACAAGTAATTGTAGTCCAAGCAATATCGTTAGTTTTCTGTTGTCTTATTTTATATTATAGAATATGTTGAGATATACAATTAGTTCTTTAAGTATTTCATTTGCATAATGGATATAGCAAATAATTTGCTTTAGTAAAGAGATAGTCGAAACTTACTATCATTGTGATATTCGAATTCAACAAGCAATGGAAAACCACCAATTTTCCTTACTAGTTGATTCCAATCATCGATGTAGTACTGATTGAGATCTGATATGAGTGCAAACTTAGCTACTGATAATTGATTGTATTGACACAATCGCTTGATTTCAAAACGCGTAAGATCACAACAACGTAAGCTGGAATCAGTAAATGCTATGCCTTGGTTTACTTGTTCGACATTATTTGGATACATTATTATATTATAGGTTTTTTGTCGTTTGAGTGTGGCGAACTGTTAGACTTATCATGATGAGGAATTTCCATTGTCTGACGTGTCTCAGCATTAATAATGCAAATATTCTGTAATTTATAATAATCAGTATTGAAATCAATTGATTTCTTTTCACCACCAATCACTTCTATTTGTGATTCATCATCATTGTGTATCATATTTGATCTAAAAATACAACATAAAACCCATAAGATGCGGTATGTGTCATATAAAACATTGTATTGAACTACGAAAGGTCATATTCGGTCATTACAGTAAATGCTCTATCGAACAAATTTGACTTAGAAAACATTCATTTTTAATCATTTCTCGAAATGTTCAATGTTTCGATCGCAATAATCCGATCTGTGTAAGCAGACTTAGGGATTCTATTCAATCAAAATGATATTGTTAGTAAAACATTCCATTATCAGCCATCAAAATAAAGCTTGATGATAATTGTATAAGTGGCCAGTAATTTGATAGATTTTATGACACTATTAGACACGACATCGAAAGAGAAAGTTTATCATATCCTATAGATGAGCATTCAAGTAGGCTACGTTTACTTGTATACAAGAAGTTTTACTGCCATGATTAGTTACTTTATTACTCTTGAATGAAGTGTATATTCGTGATTGGATGAATTTCATTTTCTTTGGTGTATGATTGCGTCTATAGAAAAGAAAAGATAACTCTAAGGCCGATGGTAATAATAAATTTTATTCAAAATAGTGAAATCGTTTTTATCATTCTTTCGTGTCGTAGGGCAAATTTTAATCTTGATTACACATTAAAATGACGTCGTCTCCGACTAGATCGAGATAAACTTTTTGAACCGAAGGAAGAGACACCAATCACTGGAAAAAAATGGTACCAAATGGAACCTAAATGGCTAACTCATTCAAGACCTCTTCAAGGATTCTAGTGTTACAAGTTTTTAAGCTTGATAGATTTCTAAAAACAAACTTGCAAATATTCCGACTGCCTTCCATTTTGTTTTGCAACACTTTTAAAGTTTCATAGCATGCATGAAATTTAACCTGATTTTTTTCCTATGCGCGAAGTAACTATTTGGTTGTGTATGGTACCGAAATTTTCAGCGTAGTTTTTATGTTTCTTATTTAAAAGTTAACATTACAATTTTGTTTCAATTGAATCGGACTGAACTTTAGAATTTTTACATGTGCGAACAGAAGAGATTAATAAATTATTACATTTAGGATAGAAAGTGAAAGGTTATGAAATCCTATCAACTATTCAAGTAACGTATATTTTCATTTGTATACCGTCCGTTTCATGTTCATGATTAATTACGACGTAACTCACGGATAAAGTATATATTGATTATTTAACGAATTTCACCTGTTTAGCTATTATGCTATGACGTAGTCAGAGGCAATTGCTGAAAAACTCTGTTTGTTCATGTGATATTGTGTGTTTCTTAGCTCTTAAAATAATTAACTATTTTTATGAAAACTTAAACGATACGGAAGACGATGCTGATTTCAAGCTGATCATTTTTGCAAAAACACACAGGGTTGCATATTTTTTCCATCGATGGAACGATAGACATTTTGATTGTGTTACTATGCATTGAAATCAAGTATAATCTAACCAGACTAAATTGACCTGTTCAATAAATACGTGACACTAATATTAAGAAGCAGTACAATTATAGACGACGGGAAAGGTAAATAATATCTAGCAGAGTGCCTATTGCAATTTAAGTTTCATGAAATAAGAACTCGTTTTAGTAATGATAAAAACAGTATTCTTAATTTTCCAGTATATTTTCGTTCAAAGTCAATCACTACTTTTTTCTCTCTCCTACTATTCGCTATGTTTTTTTTAGTACAGTGCAGTTTATCATTCGGTCATTCGTTGTTAATAGTTCTTTACTTGTAGTCCCTTTGATAAGAGTTGATAGAGGAAACTATTTCAATAAGGCTATGTGTATTTAAATAGGTTCGGCGACGCTTGATTAGCGTTAAACTGTTTTTTTGAATAAATGATAAAAATGAATAGAGATATTCGATACTTGAAATTTTGGAAAAAACAACATTAGACATTAGAGATGACTGCAGAGGGTGCTAGATACTGGCGACAAAACAAAAGTTACGTCGACATCGTCTCGATTAATCTCAATCTGGAACATGTTGAGTCGAATCCTGATATTGTCGTATCGAGCTACAAAAAGTCAACTTTTGATTGAATTGAAACCTGATTTTAATGCAACTAAAATAGCAGTCCGTTAGCAACTTTGCCATGACGGCCATATTGTTTATTATTGTACTATAAATGAATATGCATAGTAATGCACTTTGATATTTTACTTATTGGATTATTTGAAAGATTATACCGAATAAAAAGATTTTTTTCAAAGATTATTTAGTAGAATAAAACTTATGGAAAATTTTTGATTGAAAACTGAATGATTCATTGAAAATCTTGCTATTGATTTATTTATTCAATGGATTCAATAATCACATGATTGGACTTTTTAAATAATTTTAACGATCCTATAAACTTATTTTAGATCGTATAAGAAAGCGTTTTCTACTTTCGAGTCTCATACGATTTTAAACACATACTACTCTTATGAATATTAACGGGTACAATCATTCATTCAAAATGAGCGTTAAATTAGAAATCGAATTAGGATGATTCAAACATATTCTTAAGATCTACAGTAGTGGCATCTAAATTTAATTTAATTTATACTAGAAAATGCAAAAATGACTTCTTTTTCGGCAACAACGACTACTTTATGTACCATACCGCTATCAGAGATTTATGAAAACTCGATAACTATCACGGGGAAATGAATTTGATTACAGTATTAAATATTAAGTATTTTTGAGATTTTTCAAACATTTAATGTATGTATTCTTGATATATGGTACATATTTATTGTACTTGCTATTCTACTACGTTTTCATAAACAATCAAAAATCAGAACTTCACTATGAAATAGAAAAAGAAACAAGCAAGACCTAATTTGTCTTTTTTCACTATTCAGATATACTACTCAGTTAATATCATGGTTTTGATCGATTTCTACTTAATTATGACAATATTTTTACCATTAATTATTCATTCTCGTGATCAAAGCTATGATCATTACAGAAATGTTTATTTTGAAGTTTTAGAACCATGTATGTCTATTTATTTTCCTATTGATTTCAAAATTATGCATAAAATTTCTTTCTAGTCGATATTAGTTATACATTTCGTTGTCAACCAGCAAATGATTTTGGTACTAGCTTTGTGAGTTGATAAACCAGCTCAGAATGTGATCTTTTTTAATCGTATGTGACAACGATATATTTAGCTCTTTGCTTAATTCACTGGTTTGAATTGTTTTTTATTGCAGTATTTTCTTCTTGTTTGTAGAACGAATTACTCAAAGATGTTTATTTAATACCAAGTAAACCACTGGAAGCATGTAGTAGTTTACAAAATGATTTTATATTGAAAGGAAATATTGCACTTGTCGAGCGTGGGTATGTTTGATGATGATTTATGATTAGATTTATTTGATCAATACGAATTTGTTTCAGTGATTGTTCGTTTGTTACTAAAATAATAAATGTACAACGAACCGGTGCTTTAGGTGTCATCGTTATGAATAATGATCGTACAGCAGACGAACGTTTTGTTGACATGAAGCATGATTCGACTGGACGCACTGTTCTAATTCCAGCTATATTTTTACAATACAGAGACGGGTTTGATTAAAAAACATGCAATCACTTTCGATAAATGATAATATTTTCTTTTTTTTGTGTATGTTTTATAGACATATGATTTTGAAGTCAATTGAAAAGAATCATTTAATTGGTGCTCGAATAAACATTCCATTAAATTTAACCTACGATGAAATGTTGAAAGTACATCGAGCTCCAGGATCGTATTGGTTATAAATAGTAGAATAAGTTTGAAAATAATGCTTTTTGTCATGTTGTTACGTTTCGTTTATTAGTAAAATTTGTTTTCTACGACGTCTGGTGATAGAAATCTGAATAGTTTGGTGATTTGTGTCATTTTGTTTTTGTTGCGTTTCAAAGTATCTAGGCGACTTTGTTTCATCGATCTTTTAGTTTTTCTAAAAAAAGATTTCTTTATATATGTATACTATATTTCTATGCACGTATATATGAATGCTCGTTGTGCTAAATAATAAGAATTTATTTTCGCGTAATAATTATCTAAAGGATTATTGTTTTGTTTAAGAAAAGTTTCTTCATGAAAAAGAACAATATCTATTTAAAAAAGTGTAATTTTCTCTATTGTTACTGGTTTTTTTTGTCATAGTAAATAAAGATTTTGAGTCGAATACTGTGTTTTACAGGAAGTTCGTTTTTGTCTAATGACCTTCGACAGAACGTAAGACTTTACCTTTTTCTCGAGTGATTATCATCCAAGCGATAAAAAAAATGAATAGCAAATATTTGCTGATAACAAATTTGTTCGAATAAAAAAAAACGAGAGAAGATATGAAACAATGCAAACCATAACGAAATGTTCATCATATATTTTCTTGTTTTTGATCTGTTGGAAAATTTTAAATAATTCGAATAATATCTCATTTATGAATTTATTTCTATTTTTTTATACATTTTAGACAATTGAATAGTGAAACTGCGCGTATATTATAACAGACAAATTGGAGGTCAACAACTTTCGAATACTGAGCATGTCGTCTATCGAAGTCTCTCTGGTTGCTTCAAATCATAAAAAGAAATCTGATGCAGAAAATGCGCCTCTACGACCTCAACGACCACCCCCACCTCCACCACCCTCGCAATCACAACCGTCTGCAATATCTATTGATCAAACAACAATATATCCACCATGTACAATAATAATAATCATATATATTTGTTATAATGTTGTATTTATGTTTTTAGCCGAAACTTCTTCATCGTCTATAGACCCACCAAACGAACCTACTGATAATACGAACAAAAATCAAACATATCTTTTGTAAAAATATCAAAAACTCAAGTCTATTGATTCTGTATGCTTATTTATTTATTTGTTAGAGATGAATTTCAACGTCTTTTTGATAATTTCGATTATGAGTTCGTTCGTGAAGAAATTTTAAATCGTCAAATGATTGAATGTAATTTTACAACAGTATTATGGCGGATCTTTTTACATTGTTTACCACGCAATTCAAGTCAATGGGATGATATGCTTAATGCAAATCGTAGTCATTATGAAAAACTTGTACAGCAATATAAAATTGATCCATATAAGATGAGTGAAAATAATAATAATACAGATGCAGAAAATCTTAATCATCCACTTTCAAGAGATGAAAATGTAATAAAATAGAAGAGAAAATCAGATAGTTATATTTTTTATTTTTGCTTTGTTGCATACTTATTCTAGAGCACATGGTCACAATATTTTGCTGATGAGGAACTCAAAGCAACTATTACAACAGATGTTCGACGAACGTAAGTGATATTAATTTAATTTTTTTTGTTTAATTGATCTAGTATTCTTCTTCTCAATTATAGTTGTCCAGATATTTCATTTTTCCGAAATCCACGTATGGTAGATCTTCAATTACGAATATTATTTACTCATAGTCGACATCATCAAAAAACAACTCCATATCGACAAGTAAAAACTAAATTATAGGACACAAATAAATTTCGTTCTTTTTTATATTTACATTGATTTAAGGGTATGCATGAAATTCTTGGCATTGTCGTTTATGCTATTCATCTGGAAGCTTTAAAAATCAATGAATGCGAAGAATCAAATGAATTAATGAAAAAAATATACGATTCACAATATCTTGAGCATGATGCTTAGTATGTCCAATTAAATATGACTGGTTTATTTTTGTTTAAATCAATTAAATTTCTTTTTTAGTGCTATTTTCGAAAAAATTATAGATCATCTTCGACAGTTCTATTCTCTTACGACAAGTAATACAGTTATACGACGCAAGAAAGTAAGCTTGATATCATTTTAATAAACATTCTATAGTTTTTACATACATATGAATATAGCATGGTGGCATAAATGGTGCCAAGCAAATACCATTTCAACGGTTGAATGATACCCATATTCCACCAAATGATACTGTGACAAGAATGAATTCTATATTTGAACGTTTAAGACATTATGATCGTTTCTTACATTGTAAATTAGAAGAATTAAATATTGAACCAACAGTTTATGGCATGTAAGAATTATATTTGTTAGTAAATTTCTATCATGTTAACATTCAAGAGGTTTAGAATAGAATTCTATCTTGAAAGTTTATAAAATAATTTCTCGCTAGTATTTTATCAAATATATTCTATAACAATTATATTTCTATATGATTCAAGGCAGAGGACAAAAACCCTGAATAGTTTAAAACTAAAATAGTCGCCTATTATCGCTTATCTGATAATCTTATAAACAGAAGTACAACATACATGTAGAGGAATCCCCCCCCTCTCTCCCTATATATATATATATATATATATTATTTATCTTAGAAAAATTCAGTTAGTAATAGACTGAAACTATATAAAAATCCTCTGACATTTAATATTAGTATTAAAAATAATGATTCTATAGATTTTTCTTTTTCAATAAGCTCACTTTCTATTACACAGACGTTGGCTTCGACTTTTGTTTGGACGAGAAATTCCATTTGACTCTATTCCAAGTAAATCATTGAAGCAATTAAATAAAGATTTACAGAAAATTAAATGATTTCTGTTTTCTTGTGTAGATCTTTGGACAGTGATTTTCTGTTTGGATGAACATTTTGGATTTGTCGATTATTTTTTTATTGCCCTTCTGATAGAAGTTGGACAAATAAGTATGTATACATGTTTTCCTAAGCTATATATGATAAAACAAAAACAAAATATTGATTTTCTCCAGTTTCAACACAAGAAGAAAAAGAACATTATAATTATTTACAATCGCTCATGAAACAAAATGTTATAACTAATGTTGAACCAGTCATTCGGAAAGCTCTTACTTTAACTGGAAGACAAGTAAAGAATATAAAATAAAAGTATCATTGAAAATCTTCACATTTTTCTTGTTTTTTAAGTTATCATCTTTACCTGAACCAGCGATTACTCCAATAGAACGACAGAAACCGGACACTCGAATTAATCCATCGGGAAATGAGCGAGGTTTGCTAAATAGTATTATTTTTTATACATCAAAGATCGATTCTAACTTCTTTTTTAAATAATACATTAGAAAATACTGTTCGAACAAAAAAACTTCAACGGATATTGGTACCTCCTCCACCAAAACCGCGATTGAATCGTCCACATATAACTGAAACACAAAAATCAGCATCGCCACCTGAAACGAACTTTCCGATGGATTCATTGAAACCGAGTTCGTCTAGCAATTCTCCATTTACTTCAACACTACAAACAATCAAAACAGTCCCATCTAGTAGTTCTTTCTATTCCGAAATGGATGTATGTATCTTTTCTTTGATTTTCATCATACTGATTTAATAAAACTATTCATGTCTACATCAGTTATGGAATGAAAAATCAATACGGCAACAATATGAAGATAATATACGGATACAAAAATCTTGTGGTCAATACATGCATAAATTTATTGGTAAATTTAATCATAAATATTTACAAAAAAAAAAGAAAGAATTTGAAATATATTAGAATCATTTATATTCTATATTAGAACGAATACAAGCAAATATCTGTGATTTAGAAACAGCAACTGAAGATGAATTACATATACAACTGTCCGGTTTGAAACAAGTATACTGAAATAATGTTCCCTAAGAAACATTGATTTTCATTATTTCTATGATTGATTTAGATTGCTAATGTACTGGACGGAAAATTAACATTTGATAGAGACTCTTTACAAGCTCTTATCAATTATGAGTGTAAAGAAAAAAAGATCGAAACAAATAATAGTGAATTATCTTAACAAATGATTTTTGCTGGATAATTTTGATTCTTCAAGTAGTTTCTTTTTCAACAATTCTGTGATGTAATCACTCATGATTCTTTTTATCATTAATATATTTGTTTTATTTTCTTGTATATAATGTCTTTTATTTTATTATCATACAAAACTAAAAAACAAATACCAAAACACTCAATCTTTTGATCGATGATTCTATTCGAAGCTATGTTCAATTGTTGAATTTGTCTTTTTCGTTCTTTATAGGCTTGTAATGATTTGAGAGATTACAAAAATAAATTAGCAACAAAAATATTTTGAATTATATTCTACCAAATTTAGTATAAAGCTAATTGGTGTTACGTAAAAGTTAAAAATTAGTTTTCCATTTTTCAAGCATGATTTTTTTTATGTTATTTTAAAAGTATTATATAATTGGATGCTAGATAAGGATTGTTAAATTAGAAAATTCATAGTTTTATATCAATATTGATAGAAACAATAAGTAATCCATTGAAAAATAGCAGAGTAATAATCAGCATAGTATTGATTTTTTTTCTTTGCATCATCTATATGGCAAATAAAACTCTGATTGTTTCAAATTCTTTACATTATGAAATGCACCATCGATAAAAGTGTACATCGAAATATTAGGTAAGAGGTTACACATTCAAAACAATGTTTTAATCGACTGAAATCATCATAGCTGAAATCTATTAGAGACGCCACCATCTTGCTATACACTTGACATCGGATATGTATTGAAGCTAGCCGTAGATCAAATTTAGCTGTCAGTATTATTAGCTTTAGAAGAATTGAATTAAAATTTTCGAAGCAATCATACACCTTATTTAAATATTGGATAGAAAAATGATTGCAAACCTCATTATCATACTAATCTATTCGTTAACGATAGTTGTTAAAGATAGCAAGAAGATTGATAGCTGAAAAAATTGTTAATCAATGTATATATTCGATATTTTATTTTTTAACATCAATATTGATATTTACAAATAGAATTAAGTATTATAATGTAAGTTATCTTTTTCTTCTTGTTTTTATTTTATGAAAAAAATGCAAATCTAACTGGAACAGTTAAGAGTATATCATATAAAATAAAAATCACAAAGCAGTTATTTTTATTAAAAACAAAAAATCTTCTCACGCATTAAGAATAGTCTACAATTTTTATACATATCTGTCTAAAGAAAATAAAGTCCAACTTGTCTATTATAAATAATTCATTTTTAGTAGTCTTATCGCGCTGGAGTAACATTTGCATATGATAAAAATCGTATGATCTCATTGATCTATGCTTTTCTTGTCGAATGAACAAGACACAGCACAATTTGTATTTCGCGTGATTGCTCCATACAGCTCATTATCACGCTCACTCGAACACTGGCTATGACTACTTGTGGAGTTCAGCTTGAATTAATCAATAAATATGATCTGTATTCTGTTTCTTTTACTGTTTTGTTTCTTCTTTTGTCTATATTGATGACCTCATGTTGTATTAGTCGGAGAACATAAAGATTAGCCATTAAATATATACAAAACACAAAAACAGCACAACACTCAGAACAAAAAAAAAAGAGCGAATGAAGTTAGTCAATCAAATTTAACGTGATTATTTTGATTTGTATATTAATAAGTCAATTTACATCACGATAGAATGTGATGAAAGGCAAATTATTTTTTGTACATTTTATCTCGTTTTGTATGCATATGTGCCAAAAGATTATTATTGATCATAGTGATTGTTGCGTACAATACAATGTAGTTAAAGATAATTGTCAACACTTAGCTTTAGGTTTATTTTTTCTTCTTTTATAATGCGTTATAAAAAATGAAATATTGAAATCTATTAATACGGGATCTGTTGGTCATTTTGTTTCATATATTCGACATTATGACAGATGTGACGGCACTTGAGAACAAAAGTGATTGAATATTCTCTCACACTGTTTTTTTTCTCTCTCTACTTTTTTTGTCTATTGCTTCCTCACTTGATCTACTTTTCATTTCACGTTCAATATCGGCAGTGACCATTAAAATCATCAATATTTTCTCATAGAAGGTATGTATGCAGATATAATCATGAAGAAAATTTAAAAAAAAGGAAAAAATTTGCAATGTATTTCTTCTAACTTTATAATTATTATAGTTAGTTTTGATTTTTTTTTCTATCATAAACTAGAGTATAGAGTGCAAATATCTATTAACATTCTTTGACTTGAACATCAATGCAAAGTGATCAATCATTTATTTCTTCTTCTTTGTTTTCTGTGAATTACCGATGATTGCAACTGTGAAAATATGTCTAGTAGTAAAACATCAATATTGTTTTCTCTCTTTTGTGCGCAATGTAACCGTCGTCATATCTATTATTGTAAAGAAAACTTGCATGCAACCTTATCGTTAGTGTATTGCTAACTATATAGGATGAGAGACAGAGTGCGAGAATGTCGGTAATCGGCTTCTTTAGTAGATGCCACATGCTATTTTTCCATTAAAAGAAACGCCTAGTTTTGCTACATATCGTTATTATCATCTACATCGTCGCATTATCGACCACAGCAGCAGCCATCTTGGCTTCTGTTTATAACCAACCGATGTTACTATCCATACTTCTATACGTACAGAGTATTGCTCTTTGACTTCCTCTCTCTCTCTCTCTCTCTCTCTCTCTATTTCTTCTTCTTCTTCCTTCTGTCAACCATTCATCTCATTTATATAGATTGAACGTTATTGGTACCGTGAACAAAAAAAACCGCACAGACGCACTTATAGTCATATACATATATGCGCCATAGACAAATATTGTACTACGATCTATCTCTTTTTTTGTTACTTCATAATGGATAAATTATATTGATTAACGTATACACCCATCGCAAGTCGGCTTAGCTTAAACAAACATATTGACCGTGGCTACAATTAAGTAAGTAAGATTGAAGAGAAGCAAAGAAAAAGAATCGATAAACTTCTCGATACGTAGAAATGTCCTTGCTCAGTCGTATATTTTCTTCGCGTGGTTGATAAGAAAAAAGGTTATTGAGATGATTAGGAAAGAAAAGATCGAGTAACTTGCATAACCAATACACATTGTAGAAGGGCGAAGAGAGCATCTGGCGCCAGTATTGGAATCGTTAGCCACATGAATCGTACTATTCTCAATAAATGTATGTACATTAAGTTTACCAATCTGATTAATGTCGCATATGAGACATAGAGATCACGTTTTACTATTTTGTTAAGAAACATACATCTGGAAAAAAAGGAAAAAATGAGGAAATGCTGAAAGAAAGGGCTCTTTCCTTGGGGGAAGCTCGTTTCATATTCTTTCAGACATTTTGTAGAACGAGACAAATGCCAATGTTTGCCATCAGACAATTGTATGTCCAATTCAGCATGACTATATATCTATCTCTCTCTCACATACCCTACTGTGTATAGTACTGACTACTCTAATTCTAATGATAGTCACTTGAGTCTTTTACACAGCATGTTAGTAGATTAGTATTTGTTATTGTTTAACTAGCATTACATCATATATATATATATATATATATATATATATAATACTATTTTCCACTTGAATCCCATTATAATATTATCAAAAGAGAACTCAGTAGAGAGAGAGAGAGAACAAAAGAGTATGAGTAGAGTCAGTTTTTATTTTATATATAGGATACATATCGAAACCTAAAGTGGTTGAAACATAATAGTAGTAGCCAACAGCCGTAGTCAGTATCGTTGGTCCTTCTCATCACTTATTATTTATTCCATTAACACTTCTTCCTATGTTCAGAAACATTGTTTGGTCAGTTCATTCATTCATTCATTCATTCATTCATTCATAAGAAGGTTACTGATCGATATTTTATTTGTCGTTGAAATGCACAAGCACGCGGTGTTGTGATTACCTGGTTATTCATCTCGTAGGTTTCTCTTCTCATAATAATATTGTGAATTGTTGTATTCTCATAGCCCGGCTTCAATTTTTTCACATCAAAGAAAATAGGACAACAGTCAAAACTTGTTATTCTGTCTCTTTCCCTATTATATTCATGTGAATACATACATACACATACATATTCTACGACATCAATGGTTTGTATATACATACATATATATATATATATATATATATATATATCGTTCGTTTGAACCTTGACCGCATGCTCACTGATATCTCACTAGTTGTTGACTACTCTTAAAACTCTAGTACTAATTTTCAATTGCTCTATGTATCTAGTCACACTTGTCTATTGATATAAACACGCGTGATCAATTGATTTTCTAAAGGCAAGAAGAAAAACTAGTTAGGTAAGAAGACAAAGAAAGCAAAGATGCTTGAACGTTGTGGTGTGAAGGATGAAACAGAAAATTTACGCTATGATAATAATTATGTATATTAATAGATACATTGATAAAAAACAATTAAATGTCTGTCACCATACAAATATATTGCATCACGATGATGATGATGATGATGATGATGATGAACATAATAACAATGATGTATTACTATTGAGGAGTAGAAAAAAAAGTCAATTTTATTTTATATTGTATTTAATTGAATCTTAATATGAATAGTTACATCCAATGATGACGATAATAATAATGAACAAGGTTTCTTATCAAGCATGTCATCTTATTATTTTATCATTGCTATCGTCGCCATCACATTTCGTTCTTTTATATAAACACTTGTCCTATCCATTTTTCTTTGTTATATATATATATATATATATATATACATTATAGATCATATTTCTTCATTTGTCTACATATATATATATATATATATACGTATATGATTAAATAATATGTTTGTATGTAGCAGCATGTAAAGAAAAACAGCTCAAAGCAATATTATTATTCTTGTCTTCATTTTTTTTACTGTGATATATATAGTAATTCTAATCGAACTTAATTTTTCTTTCTCTTCTTTACTTTCTCATAATCATTTTAATTTGAGCGGAAAAATATAATGAAGACCGATAACAACGGTCATTTGTTTTTCTTTTGATATTTTTTCAACAGTTAAAGTTTACCTACTCTTTTTTTTCCTGATGACTCTTAACTTTAATGTGTCTGATATGTTATGTGTAATTTTCCAGATGATAAATTCAGACCGATTTGAATCAAGAAATGACTATGCTGTTGATTTATCGATCAATATAAAAAACAGTGGATACTAATTAAATAATTATAATGTTATTATTTAATCTTATATTTTCATCACTGGTTGCCTCACTTTATTCATTCAATTATCAGACTGTTGAACATTGGAGATATTTAAGACAAGAACAGTCCATAGATCATCCATCGAAAGTACCATCGTATTTTGGTTATTCATTAGCTGTTCATCGATCGAGGTATAAAAATCATAAAAGATTCGATTAGAAGATAAAAAGCAATCTTTTTTTTAAAGTTTATTGATCGGTGCACCTCGTGATCATTCTCCACATGATATAATAACTAGACGAGGTAGTGTTTGGAAATGTGAATTTCGATCCGATGATCATTGTCAACGTATACCATTTCGCCGTGATGGTAAAAATAATAAATAATATTTCTTTTATAAAAAAAGAAGAAAAATTTTATTTTATATTAATTTTCTTAGGTGAAGCTAATGTTCGTATTGGTACTTCATTTGATAATAAAACAGATCAATGGTTAGGTGCTTCATTAGCAGCTAACTATGATCATATTATTGTAAAATTGTTTACTTCAAATAATTTCATTGCAAAATTCGATTTCTCTCTAGGCTGGTGCACCCTTTCTTAAACATCGTATTAATGATGGACATAGTATTGAATATGAAATACCAGGTGGAGCGCGTATTGGTAAATATGGTACATCATTATCGATGATTGATAATACACAAATCTACTCCCCATCATTTCTTAATTGGTGTATGATGATTTTCGTCTCAATCGATATTTTTGAAAGAAAAAAAAATCCTTTTCATTGATTTAGATTCTCGAAATTACAATCAAGAAGGCTATGGTGAATTTGGTTTTCAAGTTGCGTTAAGTAAAAGACCGGAACGTATACTTATAACTGCGCCAGGATCATTCTATTTTCGAGGTAGATTAAAAATAAATATTGTCTATATAAATAATTATCAAATATATGAAAACAGGAGGAATACATTCAATTCCCATTCTTAATTATAACTGGATTGATACACGACATCCATTTACTGCACCACATTATCCCTGGCATGATGTTGGCTGGCTTCGGTATCCATCAAATTATTCATCGAATGAATACGATGATTGGTGTTATCGAGGTAAAACAAAAGGAAACAATCAGAATGAAATTTACCATTCATTTGTTTTTGTTTCTTTAAGGTTATGCTTTAGCTGTAGGAAATTTTAATGATGATGCTAACCAAGGTAGAGAGAGAGAGAGAGAGAGAGAAAGAGATGAACTCATAGTTTTTCAATAAAAAGACAAATGTTGATATACATACTATTTATTTACTTTAAAATAGAAATTGTTGTTAGTATACCAAAATTAGATAATTATCGTGGAGCTGTTGAAATAATGAACAGTAATCTTGATGAATATTCAATTCGAACAATACATGGTATACAAATGGGGGAATATTTTGGCGCATCACTATGCGTTATTGACATTGATAATGATGGGTAATAATAAAAATGTTTTTTTTTAATTTTTAAATTTTCCTTTGTCTATTATAGATTTGATGATTTATTAATTGGTGCACCTTTATACACAGTTAAGAAAGATGGTCGAATTTTAGCCGATGCAGGTCGTGTAGATATATTTTATCAAACATCTGAGGTTTGTTCTTATTTATTTTTCAACGATGTATTTTGTATCGGTTTATTATTATTTAGCATAAACTCATTCGAAAACAAACAATTGAGGGAACACGTGATGGTGGACGTTTAGGACATGCATTAACAAATTTAGGTGATATTGATAAAGATGGTTACAATGGTAAGACTTACAATAAATATATATGCAAACAGAGAAGGGGGGGGGGAGGCAATAATGATAAAATGATTTTTTTAATATTGTTATAAATAGATGTAGCTATTTCGATACCATTCACTAATTCTGGTTCATTGAGTATGATACATATATATCGTGGTTCAAAACATGGCTTGATTTTAAAACCATCACAAGTAAATAATATATGAGAAAATTATGTTTATATTAAATATTCAATTATCGTATTAATCACTATTGTAATGTGCTTTGTGTTTAGATTTTACAAGCAACCGAATTAAATGGATTTGGTTGGGCACTACAAGGTCTATTTGATTATGATAATAATGGTTATTTAGGTATAGTTAAAAATGTTTTTCTTTCATAAATGCCAATCAGTTTTTGTTTATGATTTACAAAATTGTAGATTTAGCCGTAAGCAGTGTACGAACGGAAACTGTAGCTATTATTCTGTATGTCAATTGTATATATTTTATGAATTGATTGTTACTTTTATTGTTTTCTTTTGTCCAATAGTTCACGACCGGTAGTACGCATTCAAACAAGATTACAACATAGTTCACCAACAATACCATTGAATTGTACATCAAATGCTGATGATAAATGGTAACATACAATAAAGAACGATTCCTTTTTTGTTACATTCATATTTGAATATTTAGTTTTATATTAACTGTATGCATTTATTTCAATGATCAAAATTATCAACATTCAAAGCGCGATGGTGAGTATTAATTAATGCATTTTACTAATGTAAAAAATTGAATTCATATTATTTCTAGCTTTATCGTATGAATTACAACTTGATAGTGATAAAAATCTGATGGATCAACGTTTGTTCTTTCGGGAAACATATCGATCAATAAAAAAAAGACATTTTAAAGTATCTGATCGTATTTGTCATGATTATTCATTGTATATGAAAGTATGTTTGCTCACGTTTTAATCTCTCTAGAGTATTTCCCACTAGTTAAATGCTAAAGATCACGAGTCAGGGTCTTTACTTTCTTTCTAGAGTTATGCGCACTAGTTTTTGAAGGAAATCAAAAGTTATTTTGCGTGTTGAATTTATTATATTTTCTTTTTGCCTATAAACCCTATTAATAACATTCTAGACATTTTCAGTCCTGCTCTCAGGTGCAGCGCACAATTCTCTGAAAAAGTATGCTATTGAACTAATAGTTTTAGCTGTTATTATAATAAGCTTCCTTCAAATTATAAGAGCTTCTTTAAATGTAAATCTATTTATAGACAAAATTTCTACTGTGCAAAAATGATTCATAGCTTCAGTTTTGTTGCTACTATTTTCATGAGGGCTCAAAGTGAACGAACAGCTTATTTAAAAAAGGGGACTTTTTCTTGTATAATTGTAAGGATACATAAAAATAAGATATACAAGTAGAATTTATAATAATTATATCGTTCTTGAACATGGGCAGTCGTTTAGCAATATGAATATTTAATGATATTTTTCAAAAAATTTACACGAAATTGTTTCTCTTTACTATAGGACGATGTCACCGATAAACTAAGTCCAATTCGTCTTCAGATTAATTATATACTTTCATCGAAACCAGATCCAAATATAGTTTCACCAATACTTGATCCGGACAATGTTATATTTGATTATAAGGTATGAAAACGAAAATTTTCTTATATAATATTTATATAATCGATATTCTATAGATTTCGATTAAAAAAGATTGCGGCTATGATGATATTTGTATACCAAATCTTCATTTGTCCACGTCAAAGTAAATATAATAATATACGCTTGTGCTTCTTTTTTTTCCTATGACACACGAATTCTAACTGAGTGAATCGTATCTTCGACGTTTTGTTTCCATGAAGATTTATTACCATCACAATACCCAAAAAAGATGCTCTACTAAATCGATTTTCAACATTTTTGCTTTGACTCTTTCAGAAAAAAATCGTTCAAAATACACTAACTCATTTTATAAGAAATATTCAATTGAGAATCACCATTGTCTATTCCAGCTAGTATTTGAGTTTGAGTCAGGTACTTGGTATTACAGAAAAAAGCTCATAATATACTATTATTAGAAGTTCCGTCACTAATTCATATAAACAATGAATCGAAAAACTTGAATGCTTATTTGTTTTCTTCTTTTTTTAATAATAGATGGCCAGATGAATATAAAGTTGGTTTAACTAAAAAAATTGTGCTCACTATCGATGTCATCAATAGAGGTGAGAATGCATATGATACTCAATGCTCAATACAATTACCAGTCGGTGTTGAATATGTCCGTTCAAATTCAAGTTCAACAGTATAACAAATTTACCCTCATTTTTTCCCTAAAAATATTTATTCCTTTTTCTTCAGATAAATATTTATTGTAATTCAATGAAACAATCTGACCGTATAATTGTTTGTTATCTTGGAAATCCTTTCTTAGCAAACGCAAATGTAAGTTAGATCTTACATAAATATTCTCCAATAGATGATATTTTTGTTTTAAATTGAAGATATCATTACAAATTCATACAGCTGTTAACAATTATTCAGCAATACAAGCAGATTCATTAATATTTGTAATTAATGTAACCAGGTAAATACTTGAGAAATTGCAACAGATAGATAACGAGAATATTGAGCTTGTTGAGTGCGATACGAGTCAATTCTTCTCTGTGGCATACTTATCTTAGAAATAATCATAGTACTTCAACAGGTGTACCTTTATTTGAAGTATTTCACGTCTTGCTACTCTTTGAAAGGAAATCAATGTTTGTCAAGATAATGGAAATTCTGATAAATGTATAGAAAGATGGCCAAAATTTTTGATTTTACATAAACAAAATGTCTTATTGTATTTAACATCTGAAATGTTTTTTAAGATTTTCGACAGTTTTTGCATAGGAAAAAAACAAATTCTCTTGGTTCTTTCCTGTTTGCATGGTTTTGATTATCTAACTCAGTATTCTCTATAAGAGTGCATTGTCTATGCTTAATTTTCATTTTTACGACTCCATGCCAAAATTTTAGATATATCTAAGTCGTGTTGTTTTTCAAGTAATTTTTGCTTCTCTTATATAAAGGAGTCCTTGATAATTTGTATGCGAGTTTTTAAGAGTTTTCGAGACATTCGAATTTTCTCTACCGCAATGATAATCATTTCAAAATAACAGTTCTACCATGATTTGCACTCTAACATGCTATTTCAAGCTAAAAGAAAAGAAAATATTCCTAATCGAGGGTGCACAGAAAATTTCCCCCTTGTCAAATGACCTATTTTTGATCTTGATTTGTTCAATAGCTCAGGAAAACATTATGAGAGAGGTTTGATTATAATAATCTAGATTGTTGAGTACAGAGTAAACATATCTTGCTGGAATTCACTCGATTAAAAGAAAGATATAAATGGAAGTATTTTCAACATTTTGTTTTCATTAGATTAATAAATTGAACGCAATAGAATGAAGTATTTTATATAATCAATATGAAAAGAAAGATTTAATCTTGATTTAAACTTATGTTCTACAGAAAAACAAGTATCTTAATTTAATAGTAAGAACATCAATCAGAATGATTAGCTCTTATCGAAAAAAATATAAAATTTGATTCTATTTTTCGTATTAAACACAGCGTAATTATACGTTTTTTTCAATAGCGATAATTCAGGTTCAAACAAACCAACAACAGAAATCAATATACCCATTGCAAGTTCACCAGAATTAGTATTAATTGGGTACGTCAATAAATGAAAGGTTCTAGAAAGTGAATTTTATTCGTCTCTAACTTCAGTGTTGCTAAACCAGAACAAATATCAACGGACACGGCGGACAATCATGAATTTATACATTCATCTTATATGAGAAAACATGATCTTGAAATCATACATACATATACATTACATAACAAAGGACCAAGCGATGCTAAACGTACAGAAATTAAACTAATGTGGCCTATGTTATCATTATCAGGATTTAATGAACCAACACCCTTATTACATGGTGTAGATCTACCATCTATTATTCGAACATCAGATCCAAAAAATAACGATGATCGATGTCATATTTATCAATCGGTAAGAAAATATCTTGTATCTAACAGACTAATGAATACAAAAATACGCAGCAGTGTCCAAGGACTGAGAAATAGGAATTCCTAATGTGCCGAGGGATTGTCAGTGTCACTGTGATCGTTTCTACAGGAAATGGGAATCAACTATCGGTTCCCTCACAGTTTCACCATTCACGAAAGTCACGATATTGCTGTTTCAAAACTAATTTTTGCATCAAATTATTGATTCTCCCAATTTTGCAAGTGAAAATGAGTGTAAGAACAAAAATTATCGTGAATATTCCATATTTTTACTTTTAGTATGCAAGGAACTGTAGGAGAACTGATGATGGATTCCTAATCCTCAGTCCTTGGACACCCCTCATCAGGCTTAAACAAATTATATTAGAAGTCTTCCCGCTAGAATGAACATATCGGATTACATGTGCTTAACTGTTGCTAACTCCCGGTGAAAAAGAAGTAGCCCGCAGCTATCATGAATCCTCCCAGGACTAACATATAGTTTATAATTAGAGAGAATAAAATTAAAAAGTTTTAAAAAAATTATTTTTTTATTTTTTTCTAGACTAGAAACCATAGATCTGATATAGAAAATGAAAATATCTATGGTTCATCGATTGATAAAATGCGTTCAATAGTATCCAATAATCTTGTTATTCCTGATGCATCTTCTATTAATCATTTTCGAGAATCTATTCATTGCCTTGGTCCATTATGCAAAAGTTTTATTTGTTCTATTGATACATTACCAATAGGTCATAGTGTTTTAATACAATTAAAAGCTTATTTACGACTGAATCATTTTCAATCAGTAAGTTTTTCTTCAAAAAAATTAATGTAGATTAATATTTCATAAGAAATTTTCTTTCTGGTCTTGTATTTTCATATAATTTTTTTTTCTTATTTTCTCACCAATAGAAATGATAATAGTCATATTTTCATAATTACATAAGTTGGAAGCATCGACAGCGATTTCCTTTTCTAAATGAGATATTAACCTAGGATAAAAGGGTTAAATGTTATACAGAATGTAGAAAAACTAACATCATCTGCTCAGGAGCTTCCTGCAATTATACATTTCTTTCCGTTTCATAGCATTTATTACCCCTAATTAGTTCTAATATCGTCATCTTTTTGTCAGTAGCGTATAATGAAACCGTCATTATTAGCACTGATCATAAATTTTATATTCGTTTTTGAGTCTATACCAATATATTTAAAATTAATATATATTGTTATGGTCGTAACAAAAATTACTGTAATATTCATAAAATAGTCAGTACTATAAAGATAGATTAATAATGAAAATGTAAAAGATTAAAATTATTTTTGAAATTCAGTATTTAAACTTATAAGAAAGCCTGGTGATTACTTTATCAATTATTGTTTTGTTTTCTCCTTCAAATAAATCAACAACAAAGAAAAACATGATATTTCTGTAAATTATAATGTGAAATTGTCTAATTTTTATACTTGGATAAACAATATTTTGAAGACTCTCATAACTGTAATATGATTTGAAAAGAATATTAACAGAAAATTTTTCATTTCCTAATATGAAACTCAAAAAGTCTATTGAAAAATAAAGTTAGTTTGCTTGCGAGACATTAATTATAGAAAACAATTCTACTGAGCCGTATAGCGTAATTAGTTCAATAAACAAGTTATTGTTTATTTTAATTTAATTTTTACTTTCAGAAATTTGATCGTTCAAAATCATTTTTTATTATTTCAAATGCAAGTGCACAAGTTCGAGAAATTCCATTGAAAATTTCTCGAAATAAAACGTTTCAACATCCAGTCATCTATTTAAAGGTATAGTTTCATAAGCATACGTACATGCTAAGAGCAATTATTTCTTTTCATATACGATTCATACGGATCATTTTCCTGTAGTTTTTTCCTGTCATCATAATGCACTTCCGAGTATATTATAGTTGTTATGTAGAGATGATTAGCTATGTAAATATATTTATTTTTATTAAAACATAATCTGAGTACAAAGAACATGTACAAGTGAGTCAGCATGCATTTTTCTTTCTCGTCACTATATTCTATGTTCTGTTAAACGACGACCATGATTTAAATTATAAAAACATAAAATTCGATAGAAAGCTTTACGAAATTTTACATGAAGAAAAGAATAAAGAAATGGATTAATTGTTGAATTTAACCATAATAACCAAAATGTTATTTCATATATAAATTCTGATATGTACTTATCGGGCTGTTTACGTAAAGCACGCACAAGCGTTAAAAGTGTATACGGACACCAACATATAACGAATGCAAAAACGAGTATAAATAAATTTTTCGCTGCTTTCCGATCACGTGCTAATGCTAACGATGAAGAAGATTTTGCGTATGTTGTTGTAACAGGCAAAGGATTATTATTTGTTGAGTTAAGTCTTTTTAGTTCTTGTTCATCGTAGTTTTTTGTTTTTTGATGATAACCATTTTCTGGATAATTAAGGATTGATCTGTCTGTGTTTGATGTTAGACTAGTTTTGATATGGGTTGAATTATCATTTTTTGTACGTATAAGTCCATGTGAACGTTGACGAATATTCAAATAAACAAGAAGATTGAGTGTTGTTAAACTAAAAAATGGCACAAAAAATTCAACAAATGCTGTTGTTACTAAATATGGAAAATTATTTGCAAACGGTGGATCACACGAACGATCTTGAAATGGTTCATTATTACCCGGTAATAAATCCCATAACAATATTGCTGGACCTAGATAGATCAAAAGAAGAAAATTAATTGAGCATAAAAATATGAAAGACAAAGTTCAAAGTTTTTCTTTACCATAATTAAGCATTGCTATAGTCCATGTACCTAAAACGAATTTTAATGCACGCCTTATTTTTGTTTTTGATATATAATTTAATCCTTTTGATACCATTTGATAACGATCATACGATATAACAACAATACATAATGTCGATGCTGAACCAACAACATAATCAAATACAAGCCATAATTTACATAAGAAATAACCTAAATACCATTCACCGAATATTATTTTATGAGCATACAGTGGAATACTAAAAATGAAAAAGAGATAAATTAGTTTTTGATTAAGACTAGATTTAAAAGTGATATTTTCTAAGTGAACTAAATATTTAAATGTTGAAATAACTGTAAGATCACTTTTTTTGCTTTGTATTGTGATTTTCTAAAATCATTTCTAGCAGTTTATAGAATAGATTTCATTTTTGTCTCAAGAAAGAAACAATCATTTAACTACGAGAAAATCACTGATGTCACCATAACTCAGGAACATAAAGTATGTTTTCTTTTTTTAAGTATGTAAGGAAAATATCTTTAAATAAGCTCCATCATAAAAGAAAAAATAATACCATGTTCATGTCGAGAGTTTCAGTGAAAACGAGACTATCAAATATTCACGCAATTTAGAGCAAGGATTAAGCACCTGAACACGAATCATAAGATTTTCAGATCCTTATCTTAAATCGCAGACAATATCATATGATATAAAAGCCAACAAAGACTGCTAGAAATATATATGTCGATACATACATTTTCAAGCAGGGAAAATAAGTTTCTTTCCCCTTAGAAATTGTCTTTAAATATTTTCTGCATACATTTTATAATTTCCTATAGTGTGAGAGACTATAAAGAAATAGAACGTTGTGATATCTAAAACTTTTTTATTCAATGAAATTTTTCCAACTGGAAAAATTTCAGGAGAGTAATAAATTACTATTTTCCTTTTATTGAAATATTGAGGTGCAAATTCTGGTAACTAACTTACCATATAAGACCAATAAGTAAATCAGCAATTGAAAGATTTAGAATAAAATAATTTGAATAGGTTCTTATAGTTGGTTCACATATAAAAGCAATAATAACTAATGAATTACCCGATACAGTTAAAAATGCCATTGTTGACATTAAAAATGTAAGAATAAATTTTTCAATTGGTGATGATAAAGCATTTGCTTCGAGATCTTTAATAATTGTACTTTGGTTTATATTTGAAATCTTCTGAAATGCATGTGGTGTTATTGCTGACGAGGAAAAGAATGATTGATATATTATATTGATATCATTATTGGTATCATTTAAAAATAGATCAGCAGTTAATAAGAAATTATTATAATCATAACGTTTAGTTAGTCTATCAGTATTTGATAAAGAAATCCATGTTTGATTCATTGCAAAACATTGCTATTCAAATTCATATATAAAAAAATGACATGTATATATTGATAGAAAATATATAATAATCTATAAACAAAATCAAAAGATAAAGCTAATATATATATATATATATATATATGAACTCACAGATACACAAGACAATGCGGAAAGTTTACTGTTTGCAAGTTATTCACGAATGAAGAAGAAAGAGAAAATAAGACATGAGCAAAAAGAAATTGTAGTCTCAATTATTAACATTAGTTCAGTGAGAGAAAGGAATAGAGAGAGAGACTGGAAAAAGAAGAAAAGGAAAGAATCTGATTTTTTTTTCTTAGTGCTTTTTTCTCAGACAGCTTGTTTTATGAATTCGTCTAGTACTTTAGATAATATATCAAGCCTAGCGAGACATAAAACTAAATTACTAGTTTATTATACAGAGAGGTCCTCGAATAAATAAAATATAACTACTTCAATTAATTAGTTCTTTTTTAACCTATAATACTAAACAAAAGAAAATATTCTTATTTAAAGAAAAGAAAGATCTCGATAAGTAGTTGTAGATTTTACGAAGACAACAAAAAGAAAACTTGACAACTAATATTAACAGTTTTTGTTTTGACGTTTGACTCAAGCTGTTGTTTGTGTTTGAGAGAAGAGAAAAAGTATGTTATAGGAGGAAACTTTTTTATTTATCATGAATGAAAAAGTAGCTTTTTATTTATTTGTTTGTTCCATTTCAGCGATTTATTTGAATTTTTGATAAAGTGCTTCATTCAATCGCTGTAAATCAAATATGTCTACTAGGAACTTCGAAGAACATCGATCATATGCATGCAGTAATAGGTAGAGAGAAAGAGAGAAAATCGGAAAGGAACAACAAAATGAACGATTATCAACAATGCTAATCAAATAAAAGACAATCATAAATATAAGTACTATTCTCCTCCTCATCATTAATATAATGGTTATTTTTATTATACAATTTTTGTCAATGTGTTATTATCATTATTTGACTTTGACATAATTTTGTTATTGGTCGATTTACTTGATACCAATTTCCTTTTTCCTTAGTTATATGAATACAGCCGTAATCAACGTGATTAGACTTGCTATTCCCACTTCAATGCTCTTCATACATAGAAAATAGAAATAGACAAAATACAAAGAAAAAAAAAGAAATTTTAGTACGAACAGGGAATATGGAGGTTATCTATGCTTTTGTCTTCTGCTTACTTGACTAGGGAAGCAGAAAACTAACACAACCTAATAATAATAACTATGCAAAGAGAAAAAAAGAAAAATATGATGTATTTTCTTCATTATTTATAATAGTATCATCAGAATACGCTGCACATTGAAAGTATGAATAGATATTCATAGGAAAAATTATGTGATGAAAAAATGTCATGACGTCTCTTTTAAACAATTAAAGTATATTCTATTGAAATATAATCATAAACTATGTTCGGATTATTTTTCAGTGCTCATTAATTTTTAACGATATTATTTTGTTAAATTTAAAAATAAATTCCAATTAAATTTTTGTTTTGGTTTTACCTGTTCTGATTAAATTCATCATAATTAGTATAGCAAAACACATGTTGCTGTTGTCATTGTTATTGTTCAGAGAATTGTTCAATCATTATAGTCAACATTGTTGTCTATATATTGGTACTAACATGACTGCTTTTCATCATCTTCTTTCTTTTTTAGTCGCCCGATAAAAAAAGATGAGTAGAGAACAAAGACTGGTAGCTAGCTAGATAAATAGATAAAGGAAGAACTCCGAGAAATAGCCTCAAAGGTTTCTTTATACCGAGCATCTGCTTGTGTCAACTATATGACCTAATAAAAAGCTATACATGAAAGAGTAAGCTTCGTGAAATTATCAGGATAAAACTGTTGATCTCTTTTCTTTTCTCCTCGTTTTCTTTTTCTTTTTCTTTTTTGTTTAATTCTATAGGATAGTAACACGAGACAAAGAGATCCAATGCAAGAGGTTCATAGTATGTTTTGAAAAGAGTAATTAAGGGATTTGAATAGATCTTAACGATAACTGAAATAATGCGACGTTTACAAAAGAAAGACGTTTGTTGAATACGCATGCCTCCGAACTATATCTGTTTTCATTTATAAGCTGTTACTTGTTTGACTCGAATGTAATCGGTACAGATATGCTTTATTTATTCTCTATCGATCAAGAACTTGAGATTCATCTTCTGGGTAACAGAATGAATTGATAATGACCGATTAGGAAGAAGAAGAAAAAAAAACCGATTAAACGCTGTCAAATATAATATTTAATCTGTAAATATTTCTATGGCGACAAAGACAACATAGAAGAAAAAAGTTATTCTTTAGAACTAAAAATAAGACAAATAAATAAAAATTGATCGATGCGAAAAGTGTTTGGAAATGAAGTCCGATCAATTACAATTATAATTTTAAAAGCTATGATTCTAAATCATAATTATTCCATCGATAGAAGAAAACAGCAAAATTGAATTCTAACTAATTATTTATAACTAGAATGTTGTCAACATAAAATAGCGAAAAACAAATTAAAAGGATGGTGATTGAGAAGCGAAAAAAAGAAGAATAGCGAACGATGGATTCTTAAGTTAATCTTTGGTATCACCATCGTGATTTTGATCGGGTAAATCTTTCCTTCGTTTTCTCACTCTATGTCAATTTGTCCATTGATGCCTGTTATTTAGTAGACAGCGAGCGTAGCATATGAATTTCTTCTTTTTTTTCCGGAGCAATTTGCTTCAGTTGTTTTTTTTCTAGTTAAGACTAACAAGAATAATTTCACACAAAGACAACAAATAGCACGTTAATTGGAACAAATAGTGGCGTGAGCGATTTTATATAAGAGCGTGCTAATTTCATTCTATTGTATTATGTACCAAGTAGAACTCTATGACGTACTGTTGTTTAAATAAAGAATATAACAGTATGTAGAAGATATAAAACAACAACAAAAAAAAAACGAATGAACATGGGAACATCTTTGATAGAACATGATTGGCACCCATATAAAATCAGTCAACATCTTTTTAGATGATTATTTACAGAATGATTTTATTGTTCATTGAACTATATAAACAGAAAGACAACGATTTTATGATCATTATACTATGTCTCTTGTTTTTTTTCTAGCTTGAAACCCAAATACCACCTATCGTAGAACGTTCTTCACAACATTGGGTTTGGCTCATCGGTCTTAGTATTACTGCTGGAGTTATTCTTTTAATTATTCTTGTCGGTGTTCTGTGGTGTGTAAGTATCGTGTTTTAAATTTTAAAAAATCTAATAGAAAATCAATTACCTGAGCGTTTGTAAATTTTTGTATTCAGTGAGTATTGTGAATGATCTTAAATATTTATTATAGTGTTAAATAATGATATTAATACAGGAAATGATAAAATAAAAAGAACAGTAATGGTAACAACTGCAGCACAAGTAATATAAGCAGTTGCCAATAAGTCGTCATGTTGACTGTGTAAACTTGAATCTTTGATCGTTTTCTGCTTTCTCTCATAATCTGTGTTTTCTTAATCTCATCTTATTTCTTCATGTCTATATATTTGTCGATAGCTAAGAAAAAACCGAAAATAATGTTAGCTCTAGAAAAAGCAACGTTAATCAGAATAGTGCGAGTAGAGAGGTTCACGATGTTTAATGGGCATCTGTCGATTAACGAAAATGACAGTAGATTTGATAGCTTTTCTTTTCTTTTCTTTTTTAGTAGCTCAAGTAACTTAAACGATGAATATACAAATATTTAGTTGATATTTGTAATTCAGTTATTCAATGTTTAAAGGGTTCGTTTATCAAGATCTAAATCTTGTCTATATTATTTATCTACAATTTATAGTGAGTGAAAAAATTCATTTATCAAAAAAAGAAACTCTTTTCGAAAAACAAACAAAGGAAATATCCTACGAAGAAACTACTTCTATAATAAATCATGAGAACATCTGAGAGAAATATTATCGACCCAAAAATAGAACTACAGATATCATTGTATTTTTTTTCTGTTAGATATAATAAATCAGAAAGTTTTCTTTTTTTCTATTAACGATTGTCTAATTTTATTAAAAAAAAAAAAAAAAACGCTACTGGCAGTATCGGCAGGCAATGCTATTTTTTCTTCTTCCATAATCTAATTAACTATTTTATATTGAAATAATAACAAGACGTCATGATTTAGTTATATTTTGTACAATACTCGTTATCGCTTTGCTAGTAATAACAAACAAAACATAAGGTAGTACTTCAATGTGCAACATATCACATACATCTTATTGATTGGAAACAATTAATCAGCTAAGCCATATTTCCTGAGTGACATGCATCTTGATCGTTTCAATATATCAGATATTATTTTCAAATGGATCGTTAACAGATACCAACATAGGGAAGAGCTTTTTTTCTTTTGCCAACTGTTATTTACTATGTTATTTAAAGTAAAAGATCGATTTCAAGAAATCAAATCACTTTGACAGACGAATATGTTCGATTATAACTAAATCATACGAAAAATATTTATTTTTCTTTTAGTGTGGATTTTTTAAACGATATCGTCCACAGTATCCTATATCGACTCTAGTCGATCCACCATTAACTGAAGGTCATTATTACTTAGCATCATCTCCAAAATCAAGGCAATATCCAGGACATGATGATCATGAAGAAACACTGAGTAATATGGATGATAATCAAATGATGATATAAAATCCTGTCGATAGTTTGCCTATCGTTGTACCACAGCACTCATCACATTTTATACAACAATAACATCATCCATTGAAACGATCTCAATTCTCTAATTAAACAAAACATTAAATTATTAGCCGTGCTTGATTTTTTTCTTCTTTTCTATTCAGTTTATAAATCTTTTATGTACAATTTGTTGTTTTCTTCCTTTGTCTATTTTTTTTTATTGGAAAAATAATCATATTTGACAAATGTTATCCATCATCAATTCTCAAATATGCAAGCGTGTCTTTGTCTAATTATATCATTTGCTAATCGCGAACATGCACATGCTAGAGTAAACGAAGACAAGAATGAGATGTATGCGGTTGAAGCAACAGCAGCAACAACAACAACAGCAGCAGCAGTAGTAGTAAAAACAACATTCATTTGAGCTACTTTTATTCGAGGCAGTAGTAACGAGTGTGCGCGCGCGCGCATCGACATGTTGTTTTATAGTTTGGTTGTCACGGGCTTCTTCAAAAAGATGTTGGTGATGTTTGGTGCTCAAGCAATCGAAGAAGTGTGGCCGCTGCATCTCTTCGAGCGAAAAAAAATGAAAAAAATGTTTCATGTAAAAGAATAGAAGAACAAAAAAGTGTTGAGAGGAACGGAGAAGAGGTAAAAATCGATGATGGCTGATTCTCTCTGACATCGATTTTGTTGAAAAGAAATTTTAGTGACTGCCGAACGATTTCTCCGTTTAACTATCACATACAAAGACATTAGAAAGTTTTCTTTTTTCACGTGGAATAAATGAAACAATATTAAAACAAAGGGAAAATTGACCATATGGCAAATTTACAACGGCCAAGTACATCATGTCAAATGCACAGGCCATCGTTAACTGATGAAGGTAATCAAGTTAAGAATAATAATGGAAAACCTCTATTATCAAGAAGTTATACATTCGATACCATACGACCCATTAAACAACAGTCACCAACAAAATCTATGCGAGTTTCGACACCAGCTGTTGATCAACAGCCATCACCACCCTCACAACAGCAGCAACAACAAGGACAACGTTTAGGTCGAAGTTTATTGAGTAATGAAAATTGGCGACAAGAAACAATGGGTGATGTTCGTCTTAATGCTAAAGTTATTGAGCAAAGTGATCAAAATATTTTGTTTGGAAAAGGTGAGCAAAATTTTGTTTAAAAATTAAAAGAAGTTTTATCTTTTAAATTAAGGTATCGATCCATTACCACATGTACGTGAAATGCTTGCTGAATTGAGTAACACGGAAGCATTTCTTTATGCACGTCAATGTCGTGTTGTTGTTGCTAAACTACGCTTATGTTGGACTGATGTTAATGAAGAAATTAAATCATTATCGAAACATAAAGAATATACTGAAGCAGCTATTGACCACATTCGTAAAGATTTAATTATTAACAAAGAGAGTGTCGATATGCGAAAAAAGCCTAAACGAGAATCGGTATTACATGTGTTTTCTTTCAACTCATACATTCAAAATAATAACTTCAAATTCTATCTTTGTTTTCACATAGGAACCAGACGGTGTTGATGATATACTTGCAGCTGAGAAATACCATTTAAATTCTATTAAAAAGATTTTAGAACTTACATGCAAAAATGTTGCTGATCAAATGCAGGTTGGATAACATTGTTGAATTTCTGTTTCTTGTTTTCTTATGCCATAGGAACTTTCAGAAACTTGATGACGTTCGTCAACGTGTATCAAAAATTGGTAAAGAACGTTCATTAGTTACAGAACTTATATGCCAATGTTTAACAAGTGCATCGAGAGCCTTTGAATTAACACGAGCTGAAAAGTAAATATTATTACTAGTATAATTGAATATATTCTTTAATATATTGTTTATCTAGATTAGAAACGGCACAAAATCGCCGACCACCACTGACTGCACCTCCACGACCAACATCTGCATTAGGTTGTCGACTCGTACGTTCGAGTAATAATAGTGCTCGGTTAGGTTTATCTAATTCAAATTTACATACTGCTACTGGTAAACCTGAATCAACATTATTAGATGAAAATGGTTTACCTCTTATTGGCCATTTACTTGCTTTTACACCTGATGTTATTCAAGTATTTCAAGACGCAGCTCAATTAATTGAAGAATCGCGTGAAATAAAAAAACAAACAATCAATCAAATCAAAGAAGCATTTAATGATGCTAAAGCTTATTCATTAACTATTAATCAAAGCGTTGCTCAAAAACTTGCGGATATTATTACATTAGCAGTAAGAAACTTTGAAATTTTTCTAATTGATTTCTTATAATTTTCTTTTCTTTTCCAGCAACATTTAACCATATCACTCGGTGAGAACATGCTTGCTCAAAATCGAGCTCAACGCTGGTATGATCTAACCATGAGTGCACAACGAGCAAATGCAGGTCCACTCAGTTCATCATATTTGAAAATAGCTGAACGTCTTGATCGACCTCTCATTCGAACGTTTCAACAACATCCAGGAAATCAAATGCCTGAAGCACAAATGAATTCGAAAGTATAACCAATGTTTTTCTTTCTCTTTTGTTTTGCTTATAACTCCTACATTTGTTTTCTTCATTGCTTCAGGCAACAAGAAATCTTCAACAATCAGCTGATATATCAAATAAACAAATGAAAACATTAAAAATTGTTGGACAACGACTACAAGGAAATTTAATCGATAAAGAAATTGCATTAGATATTGATTCGCATCTTTTGCGTCAGCGTCGTGAACGATCAAATCATAAATGGGGTGTTACGAAATATGTACACGTTTAATAAATTTGCAACTCGTGTATAGAGCTTTTATTCTTTTCCCTCTCTCTCTCTCTCTTTCTCTTTCTCTCATAATTTTCTCATTCTCTATTGAGTTTTTCCACCGTTTTTACTATAAAGATTAAAATGAATCCAGTTTGTGTTTCTTTTTGCTTCGCCATGGGTCTTTCGAGAGATGGATTATTACTACTAATTGACAACGTTTTTTTTTTATTCATAAATATGTAAGTGAAACAAAACTAATAATAAAATAATTTATATAAATAAAATCATCACCCAAAATACGTCTTTTCTTTTCTTTTCTTTTTTTGTTTTCATTAGAAGTTCAATTTTCAGTATGAAATAATGATGGATGACCATCCTCTTCAATTAATTTTGCATGCACAGCCATTAAACTTGTGAAATATCGTACTGTTCTCACTTTTAACTCTGTCGTTGCATCTTCATCACAAACACATAAAAATTTTGGATGATTTTGAAGAGCTGATACTGTCCACATATGATTAACACCTTCTTCAATAGCCATATGCAGTGCATTAGCTTTCGATGTACCCGATATTAATATCATTACCTATAGAAAAAAATATAAGAAACAAAAATTTGCCTTTTCTAATAATGATCAAACATGTTGTCATAGAAATTGTTGACTATAAAAAAACAAGAAATGCCTTTGAAGTGCCACCCATTAGTGATATTTTTTAAATTCGGCAGTTAAGTAACACTTCATTCGTTTTGTGAATTAGTCTTTCTCAATTAGTTGATCGATAATTATGAAGTTACATTTTGCATGTTATTTTTAGAGAGAGCATTACAACTTGTTCTTATTTTTACTCAAATGAAATAATAATACCAATGATTACATTACGAAAAAGAAAAATGCATCCGAATGTATTTGTTTCTTTTCAAGTATGATTTACTTCTCGAGCATCCATAACTGTTCCAACGCCAACAGTCAATGCAGATTTTGGCACTTGATTTATGTCGTTGTCAAAAAAACGAGCATTAGCAATAATTGTATCTTGCGCAAGAGTTTTCACTCGAGTTCGCGACACTAAACTTGATCCTTAATAGGAAAACAAAAATAATTTAAATTTATTCTTTTTTTTCATTTGAAACAATAATGCATACCTGGCTCATTAAAAGCAATGTGACCATCAGGTCCGATGCCACCAACAAATAATTCAATGCCACCAGCATCTCGGATAGCTTTTTCATAGTCATCACATTCTTTGATAAGATCCGGCGCATTTCCATCAAGTATATGAACATTTTTCGGATCAATATCAATATGTTTGAAAAATTCATTCCACATAAACGAATAATAACTTGCGGGATGATACTTTATATCAGCGAAAAAACTAGAATTTATTTATTGAGTAAACAAAAATTTTCTTCCGTACCTTTGATAATCCAACATATTCATCCATATTAAAAGTAACTACATATTTGAATGATAATTGTTTCGCTTGTACGAATTCGATTAATTTTTTATAAGTTCCAACTGGTGTACTACCTATAAAATGTTACGAAGAATAAAACATTGATAAACAACAATACAACCAATGATCTTACCAGTTGGTAGACCGAGTACAAATAGTCGATCAGGGCCTGGTTTAAAATCATTTATTTTCTTTTTAATAAACCGAGCACTCCACTCGGACATTTTTGCATAATCTTCAGTAATTACTAGACGCATCTACAATGGAAACAAAAAATTACATGATAGCATAGAAGTTTGTTCGCTGTGTTTCTGTAATTTATTGCCATAGTGAGAAAACAAAATTACAGAATGATTTTCAATGAGAAAAACAAAACATGCTGCTTAATATGATAAAATAAAAACAATAATATATTTAGATTAGTAACAAGAACCAGTGCATGTTGTATTTTACTTTTCGTTTGCTAATACCATCAAAACAGAACAACAATCATCACACAGTCTGTTGTTTTTTGCTCGAAAATAAGAACTACAATAAGAAAAAAACATTTGATAACGATAGAGTCATTCTCTATTGATCTTGTGGCTTAATCTTTGATTTCAAAAAAGCCTTTATAATAAAAACGAAAATTTACACGCATCTCTATATCGTGATAATGATTTTATGACCTTCAGTTGAAGGCCGATTGCGTATATCATACATTATTTCTAGAATTTTAATCATGTCTTCTAATTTTAGACTCGATCTGGCAAGACATGATCGGTCGATCAACTGATTTCATGTCATTTCACACATATTTATCGATTTGAGCGACATCGTTAGGCCTATTTTTCTTACAGTAAATACAAATAGATAGCAAATCGATACGTTGAGATGTCTTTTATATGATTCATAAGAAAAGCTCGTATGAACTCACAGTATTTCGCTTCGGGTGTTTATCAGTTGATATAAATGCGAAGCAGCACTGAAGTAAGTTTTGAAGAAAACTATAAAAGAAAGGAATCTATTCTACTATATAGATTAGTTTTAGTTAAAATTTGAAGAGTTTCAATCGCTAAAATCATACAGATGTTCCCAAGGGGGAAAAAGCGATTTATGAGTTTCATGATTTTTCTGAGTTTAGCTGATTTAAAATGAGTTTAAGAAAACGAAAAATTTGCTAAACTAACTAAAAACTATTCCAAATCATAAATTATTACTGAAAATCATTCAAAGGCATCGAAACTCACGCAAACTCATTCCAATACAGTTAATTTATATTGATTGTAAGTTGAGTTTTACTGTGATTTAAATCAGCTTTTTCCCCCTTGGATGTTCCCCTTTATGTGAATTTCGGAACATAAAATTTAGATTATTGCAGCAAAAACTTGATAAATAAACGATTTGGAAGAATCAACAATCTCCATTGAATAATCCTCGTCATTATCGGCAGAAGCTAATTCAACTGAAGAAATAGAAATTGAATCAGATTCTCATACTAGTTTCACATACCATGGAGCTTTTTTATGTTGATAAACATGACCATTAGCAGCCAACCAATATAATTGACGCTTCACATCTTTATCAAGAGTAAATGTCGGATAAAGAGACAGAAATTTTCTTAGTTTCAACCAAAATATGGATGATAGTAGTCGTAACATTGAAAAATGCAGATGGGGTACAAAATGCGTACCTCAGAGGCACACATTTTTTTTTGAGGTACAAAAGGCTCAAATTGGGTACTGTACCCCCAAATGAGGTACGACTGGCAATCCTGTGATTGACGTTTAAGCTGTCGAATACGACGTCTTTGGTTTACTTTATTAGGAAATTAATACATTGATTATAAAGTTAAATCAAAGATAATTATCATTAGCAAGCCGAGGATTCAAGATAAATGTAGAAAGATTTTTAATATTATTCGATAATTTGATGAACCATGATTAATTCGGTCAATCAGATCATTAATAATCTAAAGACAAGGTTGGGCTTGTAATTAATTACTTTAAGGATAAAATATAATAGAATTGGTAGTTCCATTTTCTTAACTGGTATAGCGCCGCATAGAGCGTTACAATAGTTATGACACTTAGCGCCGTTATATCGTTAGAATAGTTACGATGTCTGTGGCACTATATTGCTAGATAACGCCACTATGTGGCGTTTTGGCGCTATAGCGGCGCTACTGAAAAAGAAGGATGACATGGGATATTACAGCTAACATGATAATCAAAAATATAGTACTACAAGAACCACGAATATTATCAACAATACAAAATTAAGAAAAATAGTAAATACTAAACCCCCTATGCATTAGCATACATCTGATATTCTATTATGTCAAAGCGTAGAAAGTTTTCAGAAGAGTCTTTTCTTGTGTCCCATTTATTACCGTAATTTTTAACTAAATAGATTCTTCTGAAAACCACAACGATTTTGAGAATTTGGAACAAAATTTTTAGATTTTTAAAAATTCAGAGATAAGGCTAACCTCATTCTTTTAAAATTCTAAACTATAAACTCTGAAAACTAGGTCCTATTTTGATGCAAATATGCTAATTAAAGTTCCAATTTTTCGAGAAATTAATTAATTAATACGAGGACTCATTTATTACGTCAGACGCATCATTCGTTCATGGAAGCCTTCTAAGACAAGGAGGGTTTTTATTTCAGGGAGAACTTACATCGACCATGAATATTAAAAACAATATCAACAAAGGAAAAAGAAAGAAATGAGCAGTTGTTGTCATTTATTATTGAATGACTCGAAGTAATCATCGAATAGCTGTTTTCTCTTCATTCCATTATCAATAGAAGATATTTTTCAATTGTAGAGATTGACAGACGTCCCAGGTCGAACATACACGGTCGTATACGACGGTAAATCGCCGTATTTGGCCGTATTACATGGCTCCGTATTACGATCGTAAATCCCCGTGCCGTATACGGCGAAATACAGCGCTTTACGGTCGTTTTTTATCGTATTTCACCGTATTACGACACGGAGATTTACGATCGTAATACGGAGCCATGTAATACGGCCAAATACGGCGATTTAACGTCGTATACGGCAGAAAACGGCCGTACACGGCCCGTATTTCACCGTATACGGACGTCGTAAAGCTCGTCCTGGGGTTGAGCATTTTAATAGACCAGATTGAAATAAAGAAAATTTACCCTGAAATATCCTATAGTTTTCAAAATGATCCCCTAGCTCCACTCTATGGCAGGGTAGGTTTGCAGGACTCTATCGATAACACCTCATCAAAATATTTTTTAATTAAATCTATTTCGATCTTGTTTTATAACAACTTCAACTTGAAAAAATATTGTTTTCATTAAATCTCTTCAGTTTAATTGATTTTTTTAATTATTTATCTTTCAATTGAGTAAACTCAGGTTATATATCGAATTTTCTATCATTAATTCTTTAATAAGTAGATATTGGACTACATTTTATTTATTTTGATTTATCATTACTAATGTAGAAGTAGTTTGTCGTAATGTTCTTGAGTAAAAGTTAATTGCTCAGATGATGGATATCGGACAAGTTCGTTTTCTCTTCGAACTTGGCGACGGTATTGATGAATTTCATTTAAAAGATATCGAGCAGTGTTTTTAGAGAAACTCTTTATTCAAGTAGTTGATAGGAGAAAATAAAAAGGAGAAAAGTAGTTAGAAAATGTTTTAAAAATATTCAACACGTCTGATACCAGCTAGAACTGTAGGTTCCGGCCCTGGACCATTGAAGAAATTCATAAATCGACTTTTTATTAATCGCAGAGCATCTAGTTTGGACGGAAACGTCAAGATGGTTACCACAATCAGGCAATATTCAATTCTTCCTGTCAATAAACCATTGTTATAAACAAAAACTTGTGATGCCATGACACCTGCCAAGACGTTCATACAAAAGTCACATACTAAAACAAGATGTAAACAAAATAAATGATAAACCTATGACTGTTCACAATTTATTTCATCAGTTTCTGTTGAACGTTAGACTTGTCCATCCCTAATCATCATTATTCGCTCCTTTGTCGAACTATCTTTTGACTCATAACATGATCAAGAATGTTTCAATGCTACAGATATTATTTGCAACAAATGTTCTGCATTTAAAAAGGATCTACGTGTGAATGAAAAACTCAGTTCAATGTTCTTCCTAGTTCCAAATGATAAGAAACACATGAATGTAGAAGAGGCGAATATAAGACTTATTTCCCGTTCTCATTCCATTTGATATTATCGACAAAAGTATATTAATATTCGTTAATTCGTATATAGAGCTGAAGAATCATTGTTGTTTAAGCAATTACTTTTATAAATCACTCGATAAAAAATTCTATACTAAGATAAAATATCGTTTATTGCTTTTTACAGATCATTAAGTAATGAGCAATTAAACAAAGGCTTTTTTGTATGGCTCGAAATATTTTTCAATCCTATTAAATTTTACTTTGGCTTTCACATTGAATAATTTCGTAGTCGAACAGCCAATTATATTTTTGGATACGAAATAAAGGACAACGAAAAACTATCAATGAAGTAATTCTGCTTTTTTAGTCTCCTTCGCTTTGTCTAAATGGCATCAAGCGTAAATTGATTCGAATCCAACTAATAAGAAAAAGAATAGAGCTGTTTAACGATAATGGAAAAGGTGAAATATCTTCTTTTAGATTGACTAATGTTAATGCTATTTAAAAATATCTCAAATAAATCGAAATTTGTTTTGTGCAGAATTTTTACTCCTACACTTGAGATATTTTAAAATGTAAGACTTTGACGTGTCATATTATCCGTATTGTAACTGAAATGAACTAATTTTTAGCTCTGAATAGAATAATTAAAATTTTCTCGCTTTTGTAATACAGCTCAGTAAACATCTCTTTATACGTTTTTATCGATTAGCATGCAATTAATAAATATCATGTTGGTTGAAAAATTCTTTTCGCATTTAAGTAAACGGAGCACCACATAGATCTAAAGTGTTCTTGGAATCGCCTTTTATCGAATGGGATTCTATTTTTGTTTATTTCGTCAACATTTTCCTTCCATTTATATTCAATCCATTGAAGAAAGTTAAACATCTAATAGAACATTGGTTTTTCTGCAGGTGTGGATAAAAAATATAGAAGTAATTCTTCAAATACGAACTAAAGAATAATTTCTTTCTGGTAACCATATCTGTGAGCAAAGGTCTGTTCCCTAAAATTTATATTAGCCAAGCAAAATGGGTATTTATTTACAAGAAATAAAGCATATTGATTAGCGGCAGTAAAAAACGAGAAAAAAGCAACAGCAAAAATGAATTTCAATAGGAAAGTGCGTTGATGATGTTTACTATTTAATGAATATTGTGGAGCAGCAAGCTATACTACCGAAATAAGGACATATAGTTAACAATTCAGTTCATTTTTTTGCGACCAGTAACAGCTTCTCTATCTAAAATACGACATGAAAAAATAGATTAATATCTACATTGCAGATTGCTTCTAGAAAAATATTTCATAATGAGATTGAAATAAAAGAATCGTATGGTGTCAACTGGTTCTATTTCACCTTAAAAACTATCTCTGACATCATGTTTAACGAGGCAATCATTGCAAGTGATTGTCCATTTATTATATCGTATATTACTCATAACTAAAGCATCTGTAGACTAGGAAAATCACGAGAACATAAGAGCTCATGATAATAATTCGATCAGACATTGGGTTTTTACGGAAATATCTCTCGAGAACCCTGATTCTCTAGCGAAACTATAATTGAACTTTGATCTAAAACTTAGCGCATATGAGATCCTTAACTTCTATGGAAATGTTGAGATCCTGTTTCGTCGAGACATAAATGCGTCAATAGATCAATGTTTTTGCATATATTAGACATAGAACATGATTATTTAAGTAAACTCATATGTTGGCAAGATTACAGCTAACCCATGTAAAAAAATCAGCTTTAGAGAGGTCAAAATCGATTACAAATCGTATTGTTATAATCAAGTTTTTTTTTATATGCGAAGTATTCAAAAAATTTTCAGATAATTCAAACTAGTTGAAATCTAAATATGGGCAAATTATCAGGTTAAAATTTGAAAACATGACTTCGTGATTAAATCAGAGTCATGGAAGAAAATTCTAGTCAAACTTTGATGTCAAAATTAAGTCTTAACACGAATATTATTATTTTCCTCTATGTTGTTTTACTTACGAAGAAATGGATACAGATAGTTGTTCAAGAGGTATTTGCACCAACCAGTTTTATTGTCATCATTTCCATTATCTAAATAAATTATCTTTAAAATCATTTAATTTTATCGTTTGCTGAGGTTGAGATCTCGACCTAGTACATACTTCTTTTTTCTCATTCTATTCGATGTAGAAACACACAAACATCTGAAACGTTATCATAGAAAAAATATCTTTCTGCTTACTTTTTTGGGTTATAATACGATAGATCGGCAGTTTTGTTTCACTATTACACCATAAATGGTTAGGTAAACCAGGTATAACAATGATATTTCTTATTACATCAAATAGTAGAATATTCATATCAAGTGGAATATTTAAATACAGCTTTATCATATTCACCCTAGTCAACTCTCCCTAGAAGAATCCCCAGGGAGTCCCTAGGGATTTCGTTCTTCTATGCGGACTCCCTGGGGACTCCCCGGGGAGTTATATGACCAAAATCGATGAAATATCTAATTACTAATAAATTCTTCTAAATTTTTTAAAATTTAAAAAAATTAAAAAGTTTTTTTTTAATTTTAAAAAACTTCACCAATTCTCCCCAGAGAAATCCCCGGGGAGTCCCCCAAATAAAAAGTCCCCGGGGACTCACGACAGGGACTCCCCAGGGATTTCGTTATTTTGCGGGGAGTCGTCGGGGGAGAGTGGATTAGGGCATCAACCGTTCAAGTGTAATATTGACGTCAACTTCCAGTTCGATCTCTTTAGCTTGATATATAAGCTTCATCGATTTTAAATCATTTGAACACATCTGAAAGTCGTAAATAAGAGAATGGCATTATAAACAAAGCTAAAAAATTTTCAATAATAAAAAATAAATTCTAAATGAAGTTATTCAATAATGATGCTAATCTTAAACTATGGATTAATAGACGATGATCATGTAAAATAATTTTAGGAAATCCGTTAACTATCGCTTTGTCTTCATTTCTAACTTTCATAGATCGATCAGAATCAGAACTGAGAAATTAACGGAAAGTTAGATAATAATTGATTAACTAGTATCATATTTTTATATAGTATCTAACTTTTTGATTCATTTTTCATTGTAAAAGCCTCATGAGCAGCTACAGTACAGTCAGTCTTTCTTTCTTTCTTTCTTCTGTAAGAAATAGCTGATTGCTTAAAAAACTAATAATAAAATGAACATTCGAAAAATACAGATGGCAGCATATGCAAATTGTCTTTTTCATAATACGCAGTGGATAAGTTAACAATTAATTAGTAAATTACAATCCAATTTATTTTTTTTTCTTGTTTATTTAAATGAAAGGTAAAGTTATCGTGTGAATGTGAATATTTCCTATATTCAGGTATAAGGATGAGGAAGTCCGAATCAGCCCAACAGAGAATTGATCGAGTAGCGTAGTTTTCAAGCTACTATCCATTTTCTCCAATCGTCTCCACCAACAAGTGTTCCATCGTTTGATATTAATATCATAATAAAGAACACTTTGGATGAAGGAGAAAGAAGAAACAACACGAATTTAAACTATAACATCATTAACTTGTGTATCGCATCTTAGTGTAGGATATTTACATTAGAGTTAATTAACAGGCACTCAGTGAATCATTTGTGTCAAATTTTCACTTAAAATAATTATGACTAATTAGAGAATTTACCCTCAATTTCGTAATTTTATAGATGAACGTATGACTATAAATAAATTTATAAATAATGAATTTATTTTATCTAATAAAATATTGATGAACTGTACGAATAGAAATCATTTATGGAATATACTTTAACTATAAAAATAAGTTTACTGATACATTTATTTCATTTCGCTTCAGAACGACTTCAATTCAAAAGAAAATCATTCACAATAATATAAAACATACTATCAATATAATTCTTATTATTTTTTTACATGTCTTCGCTCTTTTTAGTTTCCATGAATAACTAATGTCACTTTAATGAGGTAATAATTATAAAAACATTTTAAAATCCCAGTGAACAAATTAATTTTTAAGAAAATAAATACTTTTGATTAAATTTGGAAAGAAAGATCAAGAATCAATACATCAAATAGATGTTTAAGTAAACGACTGAAATCGATGAAAAGATCATTAGAAGAATGAAATGACTTGAAAAAATAATTTCAACAGGTTCTAATAAATTCAATTGGTTAACATCTGAGCGAAAATTTTCATTCAATGAAGAAACATATTCAGTAAATATTAAATATTTCCATTGAAATGATTTAATCTTAGCTAAAAACAATATGAAAATCAAAATATTATTTGAATGAATTCATTATTTTCTATTGATTTATTTCCTTTTCGCATTATCGAGTAGATACATATTTATTAGATTCAATATTAAAAAATTCGGATTTGCTAAACAGAGTTTAAATTTCATTCGGAAAAACGAAACTTTGTGGAAAACAAGCAAGAAATAATATGTAAGAAGAAGTTCTTGATCTACAAAGAAAATAAATTCATAGATTTATCAAAGTTTTTCTTTCTGAAAGAAGTTTTTATTTATAAATTGAAATAGATCTTGAAGCAAATCTTCTAAATCAAATAATAGAATCATCAATTAAATATCGAATTGTAATTGAATTATTCCAGTAGATCAATATTTATTTTTCCATATTTGAAAACTATTAATGTGATTTATCTAAATAAGAATTTTTCTTTTTCAACATCGACAATGATCACAAACAATGTTTCTTTATTTTATTTTGATTAAATATTTTTGATCAGCAATAGTTGATGGAGATCTATAAGACTAAACAACAAAGTTTGTCGTTTGAAATAATCTTCAATCGATAACAGCTGATCAAACTACATGGTATTCGAGTTTCACTCGACTACGAAATGCGGTGCGAAGTACACGAGCCGAATTTTCGAAAGTAGCGAGCTAGAATAAGATTTCAAAACTAAATGATCCACTTTAAATAACCTATATAACTTATCAGGTTTATTATTGTTGTGTAGTTCATATTATTTTTGCTGATGATAGAGACTTTTATAATAGGCATAATTAAATATTTGCACAATATTTATGATTTCATTAAATTCTGAAATAATTGTTTCATCTAAATCGAAAGTTTTCGTTCTATTTGACATTTTATCTTCGTTTCATACATCATCGATATTTGATTCATCATCAGGTACTGCCATCATTATACAACATCACATCATCAAACAACGCCATAGAACAGAATCATCGACAAATCTCAACTAGTATTGCACGAAATAAACAAATATGAATAATAATGACAAAAAATATTCTAGATAATAAATACGGAGGAATTTTTACAGTTTCCTAGTCAGTTGCTCTTAACCGTTCTTTACACTTTTCTTTAGATCTTTGAATAACGTTAAAATGTCATCGAACGAACAAAATTTTCATTTGGGAGAACAAGCTGGTTCTATTGGTCAAGCAGGTGGAGCATTTAGTGAACGAGGTAAAGCAGCTGAAAATGCTTATTTTCATGCACAAGAAGCTGAGCAATTAGCTGCATTGAAAGCTCAACTTGGACAACAACAACAACAACAACAAAATCCACCAAGCTCATGAATATGATTCAAGATGATGACTTTTCAATAGATTCTTCATTATTATTTGTAAAGATTTTTTTCATTTCCTCATTTAGCATCGGATAAATAAACAAATGAACTAAAATTTCAAGCTCTAATATGAAGGAAATCTTTTCTTAGATGAAAACAAGCCAAGCATTGAACTGAATGGAATATCCACGTTTCTTTTGATAAACAGTTTTCATAAAAGATTTGACTTATCGATACTACACTTTGTAAAGAAATACTCATTTTACAACATAAGTGGATCTGACGAATTTCACTATTTTTACGAAGAAACTAATGAGATTTACTAAAAGTCTGTTTGTACGCGATCTAAAAATAATTTTTGGGCTCTTCAAAGATTTTCATACTCCTGTCAAACGAAAATAGGTACAGGGGCTCTAAGTTTATATCTAAAAAGAGCATAGAATTATGGCCACAATCTATATGTTCACTCATGTAAAACACATTCAGGTATGCCAAAAATAAACAAATATTGTATTCGATAAATCTCGGTCAATCCATTTTGTACAGCCAACATTTTTAGGTCTTTCAGAGATTCTCTCGACATTCTTGAATAAAAAAAGATACTCGGAAAGAGTACAAAATTCTCAATATCTTCTTTTGACTTTAGCTCTCGTTAATTGGATTAAAAAGACCGAATTTTTACATAATCAATCTTCTTTTCCTGCAGTAAGGAACAATAAAATAAAGGTGACTATTGCTGTCTTGTTTAAATTACTGAATATAAATAAAAGAAAATATTCGAGTTAGTATCAGCTTTAAAGATAGAAATATTTCGGTTTAACGAAACTTTTCATCCAACTTTTTTCATGCATATTTGCAGCAATAGGAAAAGAATTACCTTGTATTAAACAACCAGTCAGTTACTCAGAAAGCAGGTGTCGCGATATAGTTCTAGATCTGAAAAGGCACACTATTGGCATTTCTTGAAAGGAAGGATTTGTATAGGAATGGGCACTGATTTAATCGCTATTCGTTTTCATCAAAGAAAATACTTGTTAAACATTGTGAATCTGCCCGCGCCCATCTTGAATTGAATCGTTTCATCTAAATCTTGGAGATTAAAGTAAAACGTACTTTTGCAAACTTTTATGAGCCAATATTATAATATGAAATACGATAGAATAATTATTTTAGAATTCAATGGATGTATAAATATTGCGCGAATATTTAACTATGTTTGGCGTAGAACTTTAACGTCAATGGAATTAGTATGAATTATGTAAGTAGAACCAAGATCCTAGGTTAGAATTAGAGTTTGTAGATAGCATCATTATCCATTAAAAAATTTTTGCACTATGTAGTCCTTTGCTCGCTTAGACTGAGATCCACATCACGAAGAAAATTACGAATACAGAAGTCGAGTTGAGACAAAATTTACTTTGTGCACATTGAAGTTGATTATAGGTTCTTTATTTCTCCATTGAAGCTATTCCTGACGAACTAATATTCAACTACTGAGGAAAAAAATAAAAACTGGACGGTATTTATTTCATTTTCATGTTAAATGCAAAAATAGTTTTGTTAAATAAAAATCTATTAGACTAAAATAGAGTCAATTTATATGCTCTTCTCGATGGCAAAATTTGGATTGTGAACGTTCATTTCGATACTAGTCTTGATCGCGTGAACGTTGTACTATCTGGGTCGACGTCGTGCCTGTACCTTGTAACACTTGAATTTCTTCCGATACCTCCTTACCAAATGCATGGGTGTTTTTCTGGCCAACAATCGTTCTCAGTTGTGTCTCATCAGGATAATGTCCAACCATGGATTTAAGTTGTACCACAATGCGTGCAAGAGTTTCACTCTCTGATAAATATTTTTTGAACTCGTCTTCATCGTAATTCATACTTTGCAAATAGTAGAACTTGATTGTCTCTGTGTGAAAGAGTTTGTGATAAAAGTCAGCCTGTTTTTCTTTTGAAAGAACACGTAGATTCGATGGTGTGTCAACGTTGCCATAGTGAACATATTCGATAGTAATGGTAATCGCGCGGTTCGCACGTTTGTTCACGCTCGTTGTTTTATTGTATTCTGGCATGTCACATACCTCTTCGTGACAACAACAGCAAACGTTTTTCGTACAACAAGATTTCACTTTTTCACAACAAGTTAACTCCTCGGGTGGCCTTTCCTTGAGAACCGCATTCATTCTTTGTACGGCTTCTTTCTTAATTTCAGTGGATACTTTGATCGAGAGAATATCTTCAATTGCAAGCATCTGAATGTTTTGATCGACTCCAACTTTGAATTCTTTTGTTTCTGAAAAATCTCTCATTATAGTACTTTGACCTCTCTGTAGGGAACCTCCTGGTGGACCACCTAATCGATCCAGTTGGCCTTCTTCTTGAGTTACATTTTGCGAAGTTTTGTGCCATGTATATATAGCAAGAACCGGGCAAGTGTTTCCATTAGATTCAGTATGGGCACCTATTAGCAAAAAAAACCTAGTGTATTTTACGGCCCTATTCCAAAGTAAAATAATTTGTGAACTTGACGAAAAATTATCTTGGCTCTAAAAATGCATATGAATCAAAAAGACCTACGAATATGTTTTTTAAACGATGTAAAAACCGTAAAAATCGCTCTGAACTATACGTCTTGGCATAAGCGCTTTACTGTAAGTGTAAAGATCAGTTATATGTCGACATACATTTTATGAAAATGTTTACGAAAACCAAATAACGACCATTTTCACTTCTTACTTTCAATCCTAAAGATAATTACAAGAAGTTTGTGAAATCTAAAAAAATAGTTCCTAAACCCGCATACTGTGTCAATTTTACTTTCTATTGAATACAAGCTATAACAACAGAAGCAACTGATTTCTTAGTGAAAACAATGTTTTTCACACATTCTGTGTCGATTAATAGGTATAATCTTACAGGTATCGTGAAATTTTGAGAGAAACATACATTTCTTCGCGGACATGCTTGAGCGATAGAAAAAGAAACCATATTTATTGAAATGAGGTATGTTCAGATTTCCGAAAAGTAAATTCCGGAAAATAACAAATTTCTCTCTCATTATTAAAAGGCATACTAGAATGCCAACAGAAATTTTCTTAAAACGTCCGTAGTTACCATTATATGCGAAAGAAAATTATCAGAAAATACCATATTTTCAGATACTTTCCAAAAAATTTCAGAAACCAGTTTCACATACAAAATGAAATTTCCCGTTAATTTCGAAATCTCATCCCGGTAGTTTTCGAAGTATTCATATTTAGCTAGGAAATTTTCTTTTTTGAAAATCTGACCACTGCTGAAAATTTTCGGTCGGAACATTGCATTCATCCTTTGACTTTTCCTACTGGTTTCCTATCGGGATCTCACCCTACTTATTAACCTGGGCATAGATCTTATAGGCACTGTTCATCGCAGTAAAACTGCTCATCATGGATTTCAATTGGCAATTTTTTCTTATAACTAAAGATTGAAGCAGTAAGTGGCTAAAAGATATTACAAAAATGTCAATGCCTTTATCTCATTTATTAACAGTAGTGTAACCATACAATTTTCATATAAACTTCTAAAAATCTGATTTTTGTGTAGACTTCAATATATCGCAATATTTCCACATGTCGAAACTGGCACATTCATTGGATACTATTATTCCTCTTATGTCTTATATCTTATATCTGAAAATATTATTTTTCATCACGGAATGAAATGGAATTGAATATAAGGAACAAAAATCCTTTTTTAAAATCTACTGCAGATTCTTTCATATAAGAAGACATAGTATCCAGGTCAAAAGTTAATATTGATTGTTGATGATCGATTCACGAATGTTATTCTATTTTACAGGAGTAAAGTAGACAAAACCACAACCATGCATAAATGATAACAATTACAGCAATAGTTTGATATCGTAATAGTTGCTCTGTTAAGAATCAAAGCACATCAACGGCCCTTCAAAAATATGTGCCAATGTTTTTATATATGAATGTATGCGTGCAAAAACAAATTACAGATTGTCTAAATTTAGGCATGTTACAGTATATGTACTTATTTGAAAACGGATACTAGTCACACGGCTAAAATTCATGCAAGATTCATTTGAAAAATAGTAAAGTATCATAACCAAAAACAAAATTCAATAGAACCCAGTGTTCTAGTCTCTACGACTAAGATTTTCAAAGAGAATCGAACTCGGGTAGAGAAGTGTAATCTAGAATGGAATCACAGACTGTCGAATCTGAAATGAATTAGAGAAATGAATTGTTTCATGGGAAAATTTAATGTTGTTTTGCTATTAACAATATAAGTTTACTTTTCTCTTCTGTGTTTTTCAGGTGTGATCCATTAATTCTAACTGAAAGGCTAATAATGAAGACTATTCTTTTGATCCTTAGCCTATCATCATTATTCTAGTCTATTCGATGTACAAATTAAAGTTCACCTTAAAAACGCATACTTAACTAGAAATATAACTCGTACAGATATTTAGCACTAGCTTTTATTCCTTTTTTACATGTTAAATATAGGTGGTACTACCTGCATATAAATTACAGCGTCCATCTGGGATTTTTGCAGACTTTGTTTCGATGGCATTACGAATGTTGGTTTGCAATCCCATCGGTTGCACTGCATTCGGTGATCTTCTTAAAATACCATTTCCCATGATGGAGTAATCTGCTTGGAACTTTACGTTTCAATGCGAATTATTGTTTATTTAAGTCTAAAACATGAGACAAGAGTTTCGTGTACTATCATATCTTTGCTCTTTCGAAACAAAAAAATAGAATTTTAGAACATTAAAACATTAAAACATAGATTCGGAAAACAGTTCATATTATAAAACTGTTCTCGGAAGATGAACTATTATTGTCGATTTGACGATTAGTTTGGGTGTGGGTGTAGCTGTAGTTCTTAGCCGTTGTCACAGCCACAGTCGCGCGGTGATACAAATATGTGGATAAGGATGAAGCGTCAATATCCGTTTATATACGTCAAATCCGTTTGTTGGCATGATCAACCTTTTCATAAGCCCTTTTCCCTCGGAAAAACCTATAAGGATATATCTCCCGTTGCAAATTTATATGGCCTTGTACTAGTTTCTGTGTTGATGAACTTTTTTTCCGTAGTTGACCAGAATCAACCCTAAAACGCAGGGTTTATCATTGCAATAATAAACGCTCAATTTCAGGGTTGATACGGCTCAACTACGCAAAAAGAGTTTATCAACACAGAAACTAGTACAAGGGGATATGAATTTGCGACGGGAGATATACCCTTACGGGTTTTTCTGAGGAAAAAGTGTATATGAAAGGGTTGATCATGCCTATAAACGGATTTGGAGTTCATAAACGGATATTAAGGGTTTATCCTTCTCCACACATTTTTATCAGTGCACCCACGCACATCCCCGTTGCGAAAACTTTTAATTTAGATTGTTCCAGTCGTTTTTATATCATCGAGACTATGTTTCCAGAAAGATTGTTGAGCATTCATTTACCTTTATTTTTAACTAATTTAAGTGTATTAAAAATAGAGAGTATTTTGACAGTAAATATCAATGAATTATTATTGTGATCATTCCTTAACTGAGAGAGATTGTAAATTGATTTTTGTAAATCACTTGATTAAATCTCATCAAGAGAAAATGTGTTGAAATGAAACACCCCTTAAATCTTTAAATGTGCACAGGTGAAAATGTTTTTAACAATGAGCAATTGCCAGTATTAAAAAAAATTAGGTGGCAATAAAATTTGGTTTGGGTGGCAACTGCCCAATTGCTAACCTGAAGGCTAAGCCACTTCTTGGAATCTTATGGTGAGTATATTATTGCGAAATGCCCCTGGAGAAAAAGATAGTGAAGAAAGTCGGCTGTTGATGCTTGCTTATAACTGTTGTACGATGATTTTTTTTCGGTTCAGCTATCTTTACACTGTTTTTCAGAGATAGTGTGGTCTCTACGAGTTAGATAATCGTCAGTCATTAGATAGTAATGGACGAATTTATTAGTAAAATTTTATATTTTGTATTGAGAGATCACTGAATTACTCATTAATGGCCCCCTAGATATCTACTACATTTGAGCCTCTCATGAGTTCTCTCTAGTTTCAATTAATTCTGTTTCAAACATACTGGGTTCCTTGTTTGAATCTGATCAGAATTTGTGTTGACCTTCAAAGAAGTAGCACATGAGAATATTTTTGATCTTTGGTATGACAACTAATTAGCAGCTAAATGACTATAAGAAAAAAATCATGAAAGCATCTAAAATAAATGAGAACAAACTATTTAGATCAGTAAAATAAATTAAACGATCATTCAAGAAATTTGTGAATGATCACACTCTAAATATTGAATGATCAGTGCAAAAATTATCGGTAAGTAATAATGAAATGATCAGTTTATTTGATATAATTACGAGTAAAAATATTAATTTTAACCATATTTAAAGTATAATAGAATAAAGAAAATAAAATTGAATGAATTAGAAAATTTTATAGAAATTCAAAGAACACAGTAGAAAAGAGAAAACAAATAGAAAAATATTTTACTAGCATAGCTAGTTTAGTCTTAACTCGAGGGGTGTCCAAGGACTGAGGATTAGGAATTCCTCATCAGTTCCCCTACAGTTCCTTGCATACTAAAGATAAAAGTATGGAATATTCACGATAATTTTTGTTTTTACATTCATTTCCACTTGAAAAATTGTGCGAATCAATGATTTCATGCAAAAAATATTTTTAAAACAGCACTATCGTAACTTTTGTGAATGGTGGAACAGGGAGAGAACCTATAGTTGATTCCCATTTCCTCTAGGAATTATCACAGCGGCACTGACAATTCCTCGACACATTAGGAATTCCTATTTCTCAGTCCTTGGACACTGCTGGATTTTTTTAACAAATCAAATGAAATAGTTAATTTAATTCTGAAACTAATGTAGGAATGAAAAAAAACGGGAACGGAAGCGGAGAGAAAGGTTTTTTTGCGATCGAGAATGCGGGGAAAAAGACAAAAAATTACTAATAAAAATGTAAACTGAAAAAATAAAATTTTTTCCCACAACCTCAGGGGGATACTTATTCAACCTATACTCGTATATGCGTCCATCGAACTCACTCCATACGCGACACTCAGTAATACTTGAATCACATACCACAACTATTTCTTCATCTATTTATAGTAAAATTGTATTTCATCTTCTGCATAGTTTTTAGAGTTCATTATCAGATATTTTCAATTGATCTTTCTATCTCTTTAGTATTATCAAATGTAGTTTGTTTAATTCTATATTTATGTCTCTTTTTTTCGACTCTTTTGTCTCAATTTAGACTATTATATGCATCTATCGATTTATTTGATAAATCTCTTTCGTTACTGAGCAGCCTGTGTCTCTTTCATCTATTTTACTTATTAGATCTATCTGATGACGAGGGAGACTGGGTGTGGGTGGTATTTCGAATTTACTGAAATTTAAGCATGGTTAATAAACGTAAATAAATTCTTCGAACATAAATGAAGTCTTAGAAAAGATAGCTTCTTACAAAATAGGCCCCGGTAGCCTGTCATATTCAGGACTAGAAAAAAGAAACAATTTCTGCGTATTTATATGTCGTTAAATTTCAAAGTTTAGTTACGCACAATTCGTCATTAAAAGCCATAAGATTAGAGCTGCTCAACTCAGTCGAAACTGAGCGTAATTCAATGGGTAAGGGTTAGTATATCTAAGCATATTGTACATGCTATTTCTTTGAATTGCGCATGAAGCAACGTTTATTTCATGAAAGCTTCAATCAATATGTGGTTTATACAGTGGACTCGCCATTAAGAATCTATTCAGGTGAATGAATCCGACAGGGAATCCTATCGATCTCATGGGATCCGACGAAAACAAAATTTTCTTAATCATCAATGAATAAGCATATGTTGTCAACAGAAGACATGGATCGAATGCTTGTGTTGGATTCTGTTAAATTCCGACACTGGAGCCTATCGGATTCCGACACGAATCCGATAGGATCCTACTATCAGAATCATTCTCCTGGGTAATTCAAAACACGTATAGGATCAATCTATGTAGGCGAAAGATGATCACTAGATACTTGACATTTGTAAAATTATTTTCCTTTGTAGGTTTATTCTAGTTGTATATTTGAAACAATCAAAAATTTAGTCATTTAGATTGAGAGAACCCAGGTCGAACAGTACGGTCCGTATACGGCTGTTTACGTTCACTTTACGACTATTTTCTGGCGAAAGTTTGCCGTAATATCTAGCGCAGTAATACGGACCGTATGATCATGAGAGTACGGAGTACAAACAGCCGTAAACCATGAAAATTCAGTCCCGTTTACGGTGTCGTATTACTGTGCCAGGTATTACGGGCAAATACGGCCTATTTACTGCCGTAAATATACCGCGTTTTGGCATCGTTTACCGTCGATAAACAGACTGTAAACGAGTCCGTTTTTATCAACCTGGGAAGACTTGAATCATTAGTTTTCATTAAATGAAATTTCTAGACTAAGAATTTAAAAGCAAATAAACAGTTCTGGTTCTCATGACATCTAACATTAGCAACGCAGCTAACGAGCAATCATCACACGTCAATGTAAGCAGCAGCGAACCTATAACCATTTCCGAATATTCAGTTGAAAAAACGATAGGACCAACAGGGTCCACGATGAAATATGAAGTCATAACAAACAAAGGGATTATCCAAGATGCTGAAAGAACTGAAGTCAGTGGACCGCAGATTAACAACAGCAAGCAGATTAATAATATTCCCATAGTCGCTGTCGAAGATGATGAGACCGAACCAAGTCGTGAGGTGGCAACAGTGAATCCCACGACTACAGCAATCGTTCCTAGTCAACCACAAATCCCGCTGAGGGGAATAGATTTTGTGCCTATTCCTATGCAACAAGTGGTTTCATTGACATTTCCTATGGATCCATATAGTTTCGATCATTTCAGGCAATATATCGGTAGTAAGTTGTGCTATAATGCTGCACTTCTCGACCAATCAAGAATAATCAAGACGCAAGAACGTGTCGCATATCGCGTTGATATCTGGACGCTAATGGAAAACCGCACTCTCGAATGGACAACAAAACCATATCGTGACGAAGACACACCTAATAGAACCGTTGAAAATCTTTTTGAATGGGACGATATCTCGTTTGTTTGTCCTAGAGCTGATGTGAAAGGAATTGTCAAAAAATCGTATCCATTAGAAGATACGCAGACTAAAATAGTGTGTGACTTTTGCAGAGGACAACGTGTACAAAGATGTGCTCGATGCTATGGACACGGACATTGGATACCTCAAAATGGTTATAGCACACGATGTGTAGCCTGTAATGGTCAGGGTACACTGAATTGTGTTCATTGCGATGGATCCGGTTTTCTTCTTAAAGTGGCTACACTGAAGTTTGAATGGGAATCGATCAACTCAGTAACTTGCTATCAAAACACAGTTCTACCTGATAAATTGATTCGTCTAAGACGTAATAAACCTGTTGTGTTCGATGGTGACATTAAATGGAACAGTAGTATGGTCTTAACAAGTTTTCCAGGTTTGATTGAAACACTTCAGGAGAAAACTCCTGGTGACCTTTCAGACAAATTAATTAAAGATATTCAAAAACAGTATCAAACACATTATATTCAATTGAAGAAGCCCACCCAATTCAATAGAATCACTAAAATAAAATGTTTGATTCGACAAGTCGATGTTATCGAAATAGATTATCGATTAGATGGCTACATCAATAAGGTTGGGCGAAATAAAGGTGAGTACCGATCTACAAACTAAAGGGAACTAGCAGGTGTTAGGGCTTGTGCTCACGAAGAGCGACAAACACAAGTAAAGATGTATTCTCTTTTCTCTGTTTATTCTTTTAAAAAAAGCAAGTGTTTATATATGTCCCATGTGTTTCATTACGATGAAACTGTGGCGCAGTTACGCCTTAACTGCGATCGCACTGTGACCCGTAATTGCGGAAAATTGCGCCGTAACTACGCGTAACTACGATGAAGAAATCGCAATTACGGGTAGTTACGGTGAAAAAATCCCAGTTATGCATAACGGCGTCCACGTTTTTCGCAATTATGGGTTACAGTGTCGTCGCAATTGGTACAAAAGATGACATAGATTAGATTTTCACTTTATTTGTACTTTTATTGTGAATTTAAAATATTTTTGCACAAAATAAAAAATTTAAAACTAGAAAATTAAAATTTTTATAAAATATAAAAAAACAATTTTTAAATTAAAAATTTTCACAATAAAAAATAATTGAAAAATTAAAACCTAAAAAAATTTAAAAATTTACTAAGTTAAAAGTTTAAAGAAATTTTAATTTCAAAAATTAAGGAAAATAAAAAATAAATATCTAGAAAAATTAAAATATTAACATCTAAAATAATTTTTAAAAATTTAATAAATAGAAGAAAAAAAATTTAATAAATAGAAGAAAAAAAATTTAATTACAAAAAGCTGAAAAGCTAAAAAAGATTTAAATCTAGAAAAATTAAAAAAAAATAAAAAATATGTATTCTACTGCTTATAGTAGAATGATTTATGAAAGAAAATGTGACGAGCACTGCTATTTATACTGATTTTCTGTGACTGTATTTTATTGTTAGAGTGTAGCCAATTACAAATAAGAAGGAATAATTTATAATTGGCCATTTATACCTACAAGGGATCGTAAGATGCGATCACTAGGACGCAGTTACGTTGATCTTCATCACAGTACGCGTAGTTTCTTATAGAATCTCCACTACGATCAATGCGCCATAGTTACGCGTAACTGCGACGCAAAATTGGCGCTGCGCGTAACTGCGGCACAGTTGATAAAAAAGAGACGACATGGGTATGATACTTCCAATATATAAAAGGATCTTCTTGTATCCATTAACCTTTTCTTTTTAAATTAATCGATTATATTGATGTAAATCTGTTTTTTTTATAGGGACTGATAATTTTACTTATTTAGTTTATGGTGTTGGTGATAATGGTACAGCAATGATCTACGAAAATGACTATCCTATTAACTGTTGCGGTTGTATAGGCTCGAAGGGTTGTAGATGCAACTGCACGATATCTTAATGAACAAAGCAATGTCGACAAGGAACTTGATAGAAATGATAGTCTTTGAACATCTCATTAGAATTTTCTCTAAAACAGTATCATAAAGTATTTGCTTTCATACCAACTGACATTGAAAACGTGTGCAAGCAGCAAATCAAACTCATCCAGCTTGCCGTATTTTTTCATTCTTTTTATTCGAATAGCTCTATAGAACATATGAGTATCTTTTCTTATTAGAGGATTCACTGCTGAAATATTAAGTATTTTAATAGTGTGGCAATGAAACAGGCATTTATGAGTTGAATTTTGAACTTTTTAGAAATAAAATCGCATCAACTAGCTTGAAGTGGAATTTTTAGCATTAAATAGAATGCACTCTTTATTATACTTTAATGGATATATCAGTAGTGTTTTCGTTATCGTACGACTCGTTTTATTCGAAAATACAAGAATCCGGGGAAATAAGCAGCTCATATCTCTCGTGATATCTGTCTATGAGAACATCTACATACGTATATGAAGTCCCAGAAGAACAATGTGACAGTTCATATTTAAAATAAATTTTCACGATAAAAATATATTGATGAATATCGAATCTAGTGAATATCATCCGGTCTTTCTTCGCCAACAAGTTCTTCACATAGCATATCACGTGCCTTATACTCATATTGTTGTATTTATCGCCGTGAACCAGAAAAAAAGAACTTTGATTAAACCACTTATCTCGTGTTCTTGATAGAAATGGCAACAAGTGAAGAAGAAAACACAGTTCGACTTTGCATCATGATAGAGAAAATTTTCTTGATATTCTTATTCACATTATTTTAAATATCATATTCCTACACAGAAAAACTTCACATGTACAAAACGTAAAATTGCCAGACATGGAAGAGGAAATATGTTGTTCTTATTAAATTGAAAATTACCTATAAACTCCAGACTTTAAACGACATCCGCGTGACTATTATTGAATTATTGTTAATAGTATCATTTGCAATAATGACCTAACTAGAATATTTTACAGGAATCAAACGTAATACTGAGACTTATTAATCTTCTACAATGTTTATTATAATGTTCATTGAATTCATGTTTTAAACATGTTTTCGGCTTTTCATTGAAAATTTCTTTTAGAAATTAGCTCTATCAAAAATATCTGTGCATCATACTGTTTAGATTTAAATAGTAGTTTGCATTGGTCGAAATTGTGAAAATCAATATTCGGTTTTGATTGATATAGATTCACTCAATAATGTTTTTAAACAAAGAGAAGATATTTAAACTAGATGGTATTCGATTTTCACTCGCCTACGAAATGCTGTGCGAAGCACACGAGCCGAATATTCGAAAGCAGTGAGAATAAGATTTAAAAAATAAATGATCCACTTTAAGATTCATTAGAATCGAGTATTTTTTAAATTTCCATATAAGAATTTTGAATAAAAATTTCGCATTCACTATTCTTAAATCGACCATTTTGAATTTCATCACTAGGAGATCTTTCTGAAAATGTAACAACCAGTTTTCTAACGATTTTTTTCATTGAACGATTAATTATTTTCATGAATCATTATCTTGAATCAGATGTAAGGCAATAGGCTATTGGTTAACAACTATTGATGACGCCATTTTAATTAGCACGAAAGTCTGAAACGGTAAATATCTTTCAAAATCGTCATTTTAGGAGAATATTTCTGAGCAAACAAAATATCGTATTAAAATTTTGAAAACGAATATCACAAGTTCAATATTCATATTTTCACCTCTAGTTTGAATAACTTTTCTATGATTTTTCGTTCTCGAGATTATCGCACAACAAAATGACTATTTTAATGCGAACGCGTCAAGTTAAAAACAAAAAAAAACTAGATGGTATTCAAGTTTCACTCGAATACGAAATGCGATGCGAAGCTCGAATCGGATCTTCCCGAAAAATCTATAATTCAGAGAAATCTTGAATACTTTTTATGTCGACATGATGAAGTTCATCACTGAGAAAACTCTATTCTTACTTAGCGATACGTTCGTAAGGATCGATTTCGATTGATCGATTAATTAGCTCCATGATTTCATATCTGAGATCCGCTGTAAATGAATAGACTATAGTAGCTAACATATGTTCATGACGTCACATTAATTATTTCGCAACAAATTTCTTTCATTTTCGTCATTTTGGAACCACATTTCTGAGTGAACAAAACTTTGGATTGAAGATTCGAGCTTCGCATCGCATTAAAAACTCGCGACGGACTACATAAATGCTTCTGCTTCGCATCGCATTAATAAAATAGTATTGAATATCGGATGAAGATCCAATTGTTTATTCAATGAACAGACATAGCTGTGAGTAAGAACTCCACAAGCAAGTAACTGACACGAGTTCGAACGATTGTAAGGGACAATCGAGTTAATTTGATTGTAAAGAACAATCAAGTTGAAAAGAAAAAGGTAATATGTAATTGATCAAAAAGATGATTCTTTTTGATAGAGAAGAACAGTAGTAGTCAGAGAAGAAAAAGAAGAATTAGTAATATCAAGAAGCTTCTAAGAAACTAGAAGAGAAAAAAAGAGTAATTATTTCCCAGGAGGGTCATCCTGCCGTCTGAAAGGCCATCGGAAACGGCCTGAAACGGCTATAAAACGACATAAAACGGCAATAATTTTCACCCTACTTCGCCGTAATCCGTCAACTCGTTTTACGGGCCAATTTTTTTTGCTAGAAAACGGCCATCGCTTTTAACACTATTCTCTTCGTTTTCCGAGCTGACGGAAAACGGCGCCGTTTTTTAATGTTTTACATCGTTTTTATGCCGTTTACGGGCAGTTTTCTTTCACCTGGGTTATGTCATTTTCTGAGTCTAAGCGCAAAAAACGAAAAAAGGCACCAATGTTGAAAATAACAAGCGCGACAATAAGCAACAAGAGAGAACAACACAGGAGAAATAAACATACATAATATAACAAATATCAAGACAAGATCAGTGACGTTGCTGTCGTCACACTCCTGTCAAAAGGAGAATAAAAGTAATATTAGAAAACTTCATCGTTTCGTTGCATTCACTTTCATCCTCGCTGAGTTCTAAATTTGTAATTGGTTCATTCTCAAAACGCTTTACACATTTTCATATCATGTGTTACGAAGCATTATGTTGATTGGGACAGTTTTTTATTTTCGATCACAATCAGCGATTTTGATCGGTTCAGATTTTCCGTGAGTCCAAATATTTTTGTTCGAGATTACATTTAAAAAATAATCAGTGAGTTAAATACTTCCAAAGTTGCTAACATCACTAGTGATTTTCAACAGTAACATCATTCGTCTAGTTGAAATGAGGACAATCGATCAGGTTTCTTCATAGTAACGATCATTGTTTGAGTATGATTTATACAATTTGAGATTTGTCGCCATACTAACGATCACTCCAGAAATGACATTCATCAAATTCAACTTCAAAAACTAGAAGTATAACGTTCATTTCTTAATTTTATATCTCTTGTTTCGTATTTATTTTTTGTTTTGTATTTTCTTTTATTTTATTTTCTCTTCAGCAATAAACACTTGACATAACATAAACGTTTTGATTTTACAAAATAGAAGAAAAGAAAATTTTGAAGCACTACCATGATGATCCACTATATGATTTGAAAATCTAATTTGATAATTTTGTGAAGACGGTTTTGTATTTAATGTATTTGCTGGTGCTTGACGTTTTTTCATTAGTCGAAATATTCATACAAGTTTGAACAATAGTTGGTATTGTCTAAAAGTTTGCGTTATCTTGTCCAATAATCACCGGATTATTTCTTATAGAAAAACAAATCCGAACATAAGACTTTCTTCTACTTACGATTATATTAAATCACGTAAATAACCATAAAAATAAGGTGTTTCTTCAATGTCTTAAAAAACTGGAAGCGAAGACAATCAAACTTGTGGAAGTTAAAGAGAGAACATAGAGTGAGCAATTTATTGTTACAACAAAACTTCTGTTACTTTATCAAGATTATCAAGACACGATTTATTATATTTTAATAACAGCACTAACTGCGTTTTTAGTTGTCGTATTATTTTCAGGTTCACAACTATTCGGTGCACCTATCATTGTAAATAACCGTGGTAATGCTTCAGCACATGCACATGCATAAATAGGACCCCCATTCATACCCATTACGTCAAATTTATAGGCTTCAGCTTGACGAATCTTTTAATAAATAATCATAATCATAAAACAAACGAAAATTCTAAAATATATTCAAAATTTACTTCAACTGCTTTATCAGCAAGATTTTCAACCATAGATGAAAGAAAAAATTCTGTACAACGTTGTGAGTATGCAACAGTAAATTGTAGAATATCATCAAATACGCAAAATGCCCACTGACGATTATTTCCTCTTCAGTTTCTTCATCACGTCGTTTTCAATATGTCCATTTGAATATTCAAAATGTTTTTTTTCTCAGATGATTATCAAGAATTATTATTAATAACTTTTGTTCGTTAGCTGTTAAATTTGATACGCCTAATGTTTCAATTCACTAAATTATTACTTTACCTAACGAAGAAAATAATTCTCAAACTACTACGTGATCAGGTTCAATTTCAATTCCTTTAAATAATTCTTTATTCATATACTTTTTCATTTGACGAACATAGTCATCATCACGTAATTTGGCATAATCAAGTAAATGTAGTAAAGATTCAACAGCTGCAGCACGAGCACTTACAAATATAAGAATATGTTATTTTATGTTTATTAGTTTATAAATAAATAAAATCTTACCTTCGTGAAAATAAAATCGAAGAAGTGGAATCATCAATTTTGTTGTTTTCTCGACGTTATTAACAAAGCTTTCTTTGAATTCTTTAACATAACAAATTAGCATTGAACAAGCACTTGCTTTTTCTACAAGACCTGTTGCTTTTATTTCAAAAGCTTTTAAATAAAAATTGGAAAAACTCTTATCAAATTATATTTTTCCCAAATACAAAAAATACTCTTACTTGATCACCAAGATCAAGTGTTGCCTAATTATCATCTATTTCAACATCATTATCTCTATCAGCAAGTACAGTTACTTCAGGTTTAAATGCAGCAACTTGAAAAACCAATCGCATAACATTGGGTAAATATTGTTCAACATTTGTGCCTAATATTTTTACATGTACGTCTTCAACCACCAATTAAATATGATACTTGTAGATCATCACATTTCCTAAATTTTCAAAATCAAGTTGACTTTTAAATAATTCTTGCATCCTTCCATAGCGATTCTTAATAAACTAAAATCATAGTAAAAATTTACTTTCTAAACATATAAATCAGTACAATTTTTTTCTTTCCCAACAACTAAATAAATCAAACGAATACGTTCCATTATTTTACCGCGTAACACGTGATAATCAGATGTTATCACATTTTTAAATAAATATTTCAACTGTGGTATAAATCTTTTAATTTTCAAAACGAGAAACTACGAAGTTATCGATCGTAGTAACGTGAAAAATCTTGTCGAACTGTATCAGTAATAGCTGCGAGCAGCAACGTAATTAGGGGGCCGGACAAATTGGCAGTCGCCCATTCTAATTGTTTTTCGTAAGATTTTACCGATGATAATTTTAATTATTCAAATTGGTCATTTGTTTTTTAATTAGATAGTGATAACTGAATTTTGTTTTTCATTCGTCTAAACCCCGCATATACTCTGTGTTGGTTCGTTTTGCGATTAATTAGGAAGAAAACTATGTACATAAATGCATCATATAGTCATCTCGATTTCGGTGTTTGTATTTGAAATATAAGGTTTATTACAAGCGAAGTTTAAAATCGACAAAAATACATCTGAATCAGACATGCCGATAGCGACGGCGCAGTAGTGGCACGTACTTTTTGCAAAAAAAATTAAAAAATTAGGAATTTTCACAGAATTCACATTTCGATCAGTGTAAAACTCGGGGGCTAGCTGAGCACATCAATTCATGTAGGCAGAACTAATTTATTGCACTAATAGTAAGGATTTGCCAACGATTTTTTGAAAATCGTCGCGACAATGACACGAGATTTACCTCTCTCCAAAGTCTGCAGCCCAGTAACAGAAGATTTTCAACTACGATGGATATCTCTGATCTAACACTCAGACATAAGATGTGAGTTTGATTCAGAGTTGATTAAAAGGACCTCATTTCTGTTTTTCTGTGTTCTTTTACGTTATCAATAATGTATTGTGGAATGATTCAAAATTAAAAGGACACATCAACATTATCCCAATCTATTCAATTGAATACATCAAAAATACAGATAGTGCAAGCAGTACGAATGCGTGGCATAAGTGAATCATTTAACATTTAACAACATTGTTTTTTATCAAATAGAATTTGAATGAATATTTCGAAGAGATCTGTACAGTGTTTGCAATGAAAGAGTGTATCCAGGAAAGTAGTTTTATGTTTTATCCAATAGAAAAATAGGTAGAGGCGCTGTGACATCGTCCATGTTCGCACAGCTCGAATTGATTGATAGACATGATATACTCGTAAATATGAATGAGTCCTGTTTAGTTTTGGTAGTCCTACAAATGAGAAGAAAGTATTTATTTATTCGTTTATTTATCACGACATATATATATGTATCCCAAAAAATACTGCTGTGTGTAATAATATTGACCTTGATTTAACCATATCTCTTGATACTCGTATAGAGCATAGCATGCAAAGTAGCAAATGAAAATTTAATATTTTGAAATAAATATATATTTAAACATAAAAGAATCGAAAAATATCTCCATAAACCTCATAATCGGTTTCAAATTGTATTTAATGAGTTGTGTCCAATTATTGATTAATTTGCTTGGAGCTAAACTTAATTCTATTTTATATGATATTTAATATACAGATTTTTATTTTTATTTTTTTTGTTACAGTACAACGATCAACTGCAATTAAAATGAATTTTATTTTTTGAAATCATTAACTGAAGAATTTGATTATGATGATAACGACAATAAACTTGATTAAATGATAAATTAATGAATATTAAAAATAGAGAAAGATACAGCATATGTGAAAATAGTCAAAAATTTATGTTCAGTTACATACATGCTATTACTCTACTTTCATTATCGACATGTAGTAAGAAATATTATTTCCGTTTTTAGTCTAAACTAGATATTCATCAGGCAAGATTTTTAATTATGTTCAATATCATTTCTAAGTTTTACTTGAAAATTATTGATGTAGAAATAAATTGTCTAGCAATGTGTTTCATGAGCGTAAAATTCTGTCTAACCTTTTAATTTCATGTTAATTCCGTTTCTTTAGAAGAAAGATTTATCCCGCGAGAAAAATCAAATGTTATAATTTCAGCAATAGGCTCCCTTTGATTTTAACTTTTTTTAATCGATCAAAACGAGCCTGAATCACTTGGTATCAATCTACCTTCAAATGTCTGAAGAATATAATTTTAATCTGAATAGGCTAACACCATAAAAATTAATATTTTCTCTAATATAAGTCATTGTATTGTAACTTTTTATCAAAATGTTTTTTTCACAGGTTTTGAGTCTCGCAAATGAGAACGTTGTGAAAATTCCGTTTAGATAATAAATCAAAGTAGATGATTGATCTGAACCAGTGATGCTCGTAATTCACATGCATTGCAGAATATACGGTTAGTCTTGGCAGGCATCATGAGTGCTACTGAAGTAGAAAATTTTTAAAATATGTACTATGTAGAACTAAAAATTTGACTAAAACTAGCAACCAATCTGAATTTTTTACATTTATCAGCGATCATTTTACTTGTGAATGAATTTTTATGATAAGGGACAGTTTTCAAAGACTTTTAAGAGTACCCACAAATCCAGCTTGCCCTTCCTGTTCGACCAATAATTCACTCTAATGATACAATTTTTATAATTACCTGATGAATGACAACAACAGTAATGAAATGTTACCGTACAAAAAACGTTTATTTGAAAAAAATAGATTGACTGTTAATGATACTGTTCTTAGATAAGTCGAACAAACGTTGTAATTAGATCAACAGAGTTTGATTGTGCCACATAAATATTGCCTAAATTTGAGACTTTTGGAGTAATAATACTTTTCAGGTCATTGTAATTCAATGTCAGTGAGAAAGAATTACTTAGTGAGCAACTGAAAACAGTTGTAATCTGTTACACATGTGCTTTAGTTGATATCATCATATATAGTTGTCATTCTTTTATAAGATCATAATTGATTTTCATCTATTATCAGACATAGACTTCATAGGGAAAGAAAATGAAGAAAAACAAATATATATATATAGTTAGAAGCTGAAAACATAATAAGAATATTTTATTTTATTTTTAAAGCGAGCATATTTAATGTCGTACTTTCATTACTATCGATTTTCCTCTATTTATATAGTGAAAAAATACATTACTATATTGAAAATAAAGTATTAAGGAATTCGTTTAACAAATAACATGTATGCAATACTTCCAAATCGAATGTTTGCATGCAATAAATATGTAATGTAGAATATTCAAATAGTAAATTAGAATCGGGAAAGAGATAAATAATCCTTCTCTTTCGATGCACTACGAAGAATCATCAACGTCAATCACCACTATCTTTACAGAAAAAATTCACAGCTCTGAGTTCTTCACCGGTAGGTTTTATAGTACGAAAACTAAGTTAGTCAAAGAAGAGAAGGATTCAGTATACGCACGTATTCACTGATGCACTTTAATTTAATTAAAACAAAAGAAGAAAGAGTTTATATGGCATTCACGATGCATTCGAAAAGATATTAAAATATTTCCTAATTTTTTTAAACCTCTTCTAACAATATCATATGATGATAGATAGTTCTAATATTTCTTCCACGATTTTTTCATCTTCGCTCAAATGTTTTTCTTGTTTCTGTTTAAGATGTTGAATAATAGTCACCTAAGATTAAGTACATACCAACGATTTATTTATTTTCTGCATCGCTATAAATCATCTGATTCCATTAAAAGATATGATGATTATAATTATTTTAAACGAAGTATTTTACCAACAGATCACTTTCAATATAGTTTACCAAATTTACCAATACCAAAATTAGACTTAACATGTGAACGTTATTTATCTTCTCTGAAACCTATACTTAATAATGATGAAAAATCGTTTGAACAAACACGTCGACTAGTTAAGGATTTTCGTCATGGCGATGGTAGAAGACTTCATATTCAATTACGACAAAAAAATCAAGCAAATCAACATACATCATATATATCAACACCATGGTTCGAAATGTATTTAAAATCACGTTTACAATTGATCTTAAATTTTAATTTTTTTCTTATTTTCCCTGACGATCAGAAGGAATTAAAGCCAGCAGCACGTATAACAAACTATATCATATCGTCTGTACGTTTTATGAATTCACTTCGAGCCAATTGGCTTGATCCAGAAGTATATCACTTACATCCAACAAAAACAAATACTGAACAATTTCGTAAATATCTTCGATTTTTACCAAAGCGTGTTTCATCCTATGGTGCGTTTGTACAGAATGCATATCCATTAGATATGTCACAGTATGATCGTTTATTTAATTCAACACGTATACCGAAGCATGAATGTGATTTACTTGTAACAAGTCATAATAATATTCGACATATTATTGTTATTAAAAATGGTCATTACTATAAAGTGAATATTCTAGAAAAAAATGGAGATCTTTTATCAGCTGAAAAGATTGCATCGATTATGAAATATTTATGTGAACATTTAAATGAAGAAGAAAATCCATATCCATTAGGATATTTTACAGCTGATAAACGAGATAGATGGGCAACAATACGTGAGCAAATTGAAGCACTTTCACAGCATAATAAACAAATGTTCAAAGAAATTGACAGTTCAATTATGCTTATATGTTTAGGTTAGTTTATAAAAATACTTTCATGAACATGAATTAATTAGAAAATAATTTTATAATGTGAGAAATCACTAATAGTTATGTGATAATATTTTTTCATTAGAAATTGGATACTTGTTGACGGGCGTTATATTACTGGGTGGGGATCTTAGAGTAAAATAAGACCTTATACCTTTTGCAAGTAAAGCTATTTTCATACTCTAATCTTTAAAATAGTTCTAGAACTATGCTACTAAAAAAAATAAATTACTATGAATACAATTTAATTCAAGCAGAATATATTTGAAAAAATTCTATTCGGCTTCAACAGCAGATTTTTTTAGATCTTCTTGTTTATATCGTATCAAAATTTTCAGTATCATATTAAACGTTGTCAACCTTATTTAGTACAATATTCCTCTTTATCATTTTTATATTCAATTCGATTCATCTCTAATCTTTAAGAATTCATCAATAAAGATTTTACTTGATGAATTATTTGTTCAGTGACATGCCTAATTGTATTTTACATCGTTTTTTCTCTTTCAATAGATAATGATGATCCATCGAAATTAAATAAATCACTTAGTAAAAATCAACGTGCAGAATACATATCTAGCAAATATTTATGTGATAATGCATTAAATCGTTGGTACGATAAATCATTTAATATGATTATGTTATCCGATGGAACGTTAGGTTTAAATTGTGAACATTCGTGGGGTGATGGTGTTGCTTTACTTCGTTTTTGTAATGATATTGACAAAGACGCTACAGAACATGGAAAAGTCAGTGCTTCTCATTATCAATCCATCAAAATGTCTGCACATGATTATATTGAAAAACTTGAATTTAAATTAGATGATCAATTAAAGAATGAACATAACATATCAAAACAGAATTATAATAAATTTATAGCCAAACTTAACGTTAAAGTATATCAAGAAACAGTCCTTAGTAAAAATCTATTGAAAAGCTCGGAATTGAGTCCTGATAGTATAATGCAATTAGGCATACAAATGGCTTATTATAAAATGCATCATCGATTTGTATCAGCATATGAATCATGTTCGACAGCTATATATAAACATGGTCGAACAGAAACAATTCGGCCTGTAACAAATGAAACAAAGAATTTTATTGAAACATTAACGAAATCAAATGATGAAAAATTAAAAAAACAATTATTAAAAAATGCTTCCGACAAGCATCAACGATTAATTAAAGCAGCAGCAGCTGGGCATGGTTTTGATCGACATTTATTTGCATTAAAATATTTGCAACAAGTGGAAAATAAAGAAAATCATTTACATCCTCTTTTTACAGATCAATCATATCAATTAATGAATCATACTATTCTTTCGACATCAACGGTGGCTTCAAAACATATTCTTGTTGGTGGTTTTGGTCCTGTTGTTGATGATGGACTTGGTATTGGATATTTAATTGATGATGATCACTGTGGATTACTAGTCACCTCCTACATGGAGAATGAATCAAACAATTTTATAGAAGCAGCCAATGAAAGCTACAAAGAATTAGCAAATATCATAAAATCATAATATCATTGTTTGGTTCCTGTTTATTTTAATGATATTTACAAATACATGAAAGCTCAGCTAGATTGAAACAAAGATTTTAGAATACTAGAAGAAAATAGTTGACCTTTCGTATTATATCACGGTGGTAATAAAAAAAATAATAAAACCAATGAAAAACTGCGAAAAATTTATTTTTAAATTATTGTTTACAATCTATTCTATTTGTATTCCTTTATATGCTCATCGACATCTTCCATGTATTGTGGTTTTTGTTGTTTTTTATTTTTATTTTTAAGTTAAAAATCGTGTAGTCGCTTTCTTTATGACATAACCTCAATTAAAAAAAGCGATTATTCATTTTTTTTCATCTGCCTATTGCATGACGGACTTACTTATGATCTTCTCTCTTTTCCTTTTCGAATTATTACTTATCGATTTCATAATGCATTTTGAATTAATATGAAGAATAAAGGTAGGTAGTGGTATATTATTTCAATTGATGAAATAAAAAAGTGTTCGGGCAAGGCTACTTAGTTTCTTTTGATTGTCTTAAGCATCCATTTTAATCGATCGTTGTTTCTTCTCCTACTCTACTTTGACGCCAACATATTTTTACATACACAAATGTTTTGTCGTTCTTCCTTCTCTCCCTCTTGCTCTCCCTTGGATGTACCACATACGTGTAACTATTCTATTCGAATTTATGTTTGCCAGCGAACGCTGCAGACAAACAATCGAATTCACATCTGATGACAATAAGAGAACGAAAAAAATCCTAATAAATAAATCGCTCTTTTTCGTGCTTCACTCAAGTAGTTTTACTTGTTTAAACTAGTAGAAGCTGCTTTAGATGAATGCAATGCGTGTTACTTATCTATTGATTAGTTGTTCAATTTTTTTACCAACACTTATTTATTCGGCTGAAGATTTTTATCAATTACTTGGAATAACAAAATCAGCTACACAACGTGACATACGACGTGCATTTAAACGTATAGCACTTGAAAAGCATCCAGATAAACGAACTGTAAATAGAATTTTTCGATAATAATGAAAATAAATTTTAATATTTTCTTTTTTCTTATTTATCAATTAAGGGAGATCCAAATGCACATGCAGAATTTTTACAAATAAATCGTGCATATGAGATTTTACGTGATGATGAATTAAGAAAAAAGTATGATACATACGGTGAAGAAGGTCTCAAAGATGATTTCAATCGTGGAAATCAATATCAATCATGGAATTTTTATCAACATAATTTTGGTTCGAATATTTTATTTCTTTTTCTATGATATTTTTTTTTTAAATAAAAATATATCTATTTTGCAGGCATTTATGATGAAGATCCAGAAATTATTACACTTAGTCGAACAGATTTTCGTAAGAATTGTATTTAAATGAAATAAAGATGAATATTTGTTGAATTTTATGTTTAGTACAATCCGTTGATGGTTCACAAGATGTATGGTTTATTAATTACTATTCTCCACAATGTTCACATTGTCATGAATTAGCACCAGCAGTATGTTTCATTGTGTGAACCATATAATCGTTCAATCTTGTTATTGAATAATTCTTTTAGTGGCGTGAAATATCAAAAATACTGGAAGGTGTTATTCGTATTGGTGCAGTTAATTGTCAAGATGAATGGATGATGTGTAATGAACAAGGCATTCGAGCTTATCCAACATTACGTATCTATCCAAAAGTATGCATCGGTTTAGAAATTAAATTAACAACAGTATAAAATTCTTTTTATTTTTGATTTGTACAGCGTGATATTTATCAAGGTCCAAGAGAAAAAGATGCACTCATTCGCTATGCAATGAGCTTTGTCTCTGCTCATGTGGTTAAATTTGATGATCGCATGTTTAGAACTTTAAAAGCTGATACAAATAAACCATGGTTGGTATCATTCTGCCGAGATATTGATGAAGGCGATTGTCTAGATGATGATCAAGTTTTTAAATTAGCGGTTATGCTAGTAAGTTAGATACTCTATTTTGTTTTTTGAACCATGAATCAATAATATTCTTGTTCATATTTATTTTCTTATTAGAATAATCTTGTACAAGTTGCTAGTGTTAATTGTCATGCAGATCCTTATGTATGTGAGCAATTAAAGCCACAAAGTACTATTCTGTTCTATCCCACTAAAGATTTTCCATCAAATAATGGTTATTCCATAACAAGTTTAAATTTAAAAGATATTGTTTCACAAATATTAGCACTCCTACCAAATTTATCATTAATTACAAAAGATCACTTTCATGTAAAGAAGAATTGGCATGATTGAAGCGCAATGAAATTGAAAATTTTTGATTTTTATTTGTAGGAATTAGTTAAACAATTAAAAGAAAGTGCAGATGCTAAACCATGGTTAATTCAATTTGTTGATGAAGTCAATAACGATAAAGACCATGAGCTGAAAAAACTACCATCAATGTTAAACGGTAAGTAATATTGAAAAAGAAAGTTTTTTCTTTAAATAAATATAACGGAACTTAGAAACGGAAGTAGAAGAGACAGTACAGGCAGTAACCACGTTAGAACGTTACATGAATAATTTCCAATCAAATGGGCGTTTTGTGGCCCTCATAAGTTGCACCCCCTAATTAGAGAGCTTAAGCTTTTTTATGAATAGAAATCACGTATGATCGTTTTATTCAGGATAAAAGAAAACAATCATTGATCATACTGATGTATAATCATAAAGCAGAGTTATTTTTGTAGTACGGAAGACTGAATCATAGAATATTTATAGAACGAACTAGAGATTTTATTATTAATTGCAATGTAAGCTAGTAGAACCTGTTTAACAAAATCCACTTCTATAATGTAAAGCAATTTGCGACTCTCATAAAAAAGGGTTTACAGAGCAAATCAAATTTTCTATCTAATTCATTATTTGATAAAATTTCATAGATAGATTGTAATATCAAATTTTTTCAAAAACTCGGCTCTAGATCATATTTTCTACGGCAACTTTCATCAATTTATTTTTAATTATTTAGCGTGTTTTAAAATAAAATCCTAGAAAATGGAATGCGCTTCTCTTTCGTTTAAAGTTTTGTGTTCTCTAAAATTATGTTTCTGTAAACTAGCTTGACTCAGGTATTCATAGATTCGACAACTATGTTGTTTGATTTATCACACATTTTTATATTGTATGTCGTCAATGAAGCGTTCATCTAATATTTATTAAATAGGCAACATAATCAGTTATTAAAATCACTATATAGATTTAAAATGGTTGTTAAAGACTGTAAAAATAAAAACACCTAAAACAAAAGGGTTATATTAAACATTGTTATACACCTCTTATATTGATGACATCTAAGTGAATTCTTTCATTCTTCCAGTGTCTTTTATTTTATGTTCAAGTTCTTTAATAACTGTTTCTCTATTTATGTTTAATATGGATTATTTTAATGAATAAAAAGAAATGATTTTTACTGTTAATGATCTAGTAGACGCGATTGATCGATGATTGCATCGAACACTAATAATCACTTTAAAACTTGATAGCTTAACCCTAGGACTTATGCTAATACCTATGCAGCAGACGCTAAAAAAGGTTAAATCGCTTATAAAATAAAATAAAAACTACAAATATTACGTTAGTTGATACAGATCAGTGTTTCTTATCGAGAGATTTATGAAATATAATTGAATAAAAGAAATGTGTCATGTTCCTTAGACTATAACGTTGGCCGATTCGATTGCTCATCATCAACCGATACTTGTACGAACTTATATATATTCAAAAAGCCGGCATTTATTTTATTCAAACAAGGTGGTCACTATGAATTCTATTATGGTAAATATCTACTTATTGAAAACAAGTAAAAAAAGACGAATAAATTAAAATCTAAATTAAAGGTCGTCATACATCCAATGATATCGCTGGATTCGTTCGTGATAATGCTTTTTCACCATTACGTGCTTTAACTCCATCTGATTTTCCATCAGTTACAACTGATTCAAAACCATTTATAATTGATTTCTTTTCACCAGTTAGTATTCGTATTAAATTTAAAAAATCTAAATTCATTTTCTTTTATTAATAATTTTTGTATTAGTTCTGTCCACCGTGTATGCATTTATTACCCGAGTTTCGAAAAGCATCAAAACGTTTAACGGATAAAGTTAGTTTTGGTACAGTTGATTGTACTATACATCAACCATTATGTCAACAATCAGGTATAAATTCATATCCAACAACAATTTTATACAATCAATCAGTTCAACATAATTTTCATGGTCAACATCAAGAACAAGCGATAATAAATTTCATTGATGATATTCTTCATCCAACTGTCATAACATTAGATAGTGATTTATATACAAAATTAGTTGAAAATAAAAATTCCAATGACATGTGGTTAATTGATTTTTTTATGCCATGGTGCTTTCCATGTCAACAATTAAGTGGTGAATGGAGAACATTATCAAAAGTATAAAACGCAGAGAAAAAAAGAATCCTATTTTCTACAACGAGTTCTTTGTGCTTTTTTTAGCTTTTAAAGGGTATTGCTCATGTTGCACAAGTTGATTGTACAGTTCAATCCCAATTATGTCAAAAACAAGGTGTTTATAGTTATCCAACCATTCGTCTTTATCCGCCCAATGTTGATGGACACACTTTCATGTAAATATAATTATATTGTATTTCTTTTTCAAACAAAATTCAAAACCATCCAGTTTTGAAGTGATAAGGTAGAATTTCGGAACTGCGACACTCACATGTGATATATCATAGTTGTGCGTCAATACAGACGTGACAAACATGTTAGAAACGATTCAACGTAGAATGCAGCAATAATTATTGATTTACAATTACACACTCTATATGAATAGCGTGCCTTTATGGCTTGATAAGAGAATTTCTGTTGAAGTACATGAAAAATAAAACATGGAACTCTGGCGAAGAAATATATCCTACAGCAATCTTTCGCTGATTGGTAACAATAACTACATCATGTTTTACATGTTAATCTGATTGACATTGTACTGATATCTCTTTATTTATTTTTGTCTATGTTCTATTTAGTTTATATAATAATGGATGGCGTGATGTAAATTCATTACGCTCATGGGCATTTCAATATTTACCAAGTAAAGTTACTGAAGTGGATGGAAAAAATTTTTCGACAAATATTTTACGTGATTCGAAACCATGGTTGATTGATTTTTATGGTAAATATATTGTATGAAAATTGATTCTACGTTCATCTATTCATTTTTCTAGCACCTTGGTGTGGACATTGTCATCAGTTTTCACCGATATTTGAGGGCGTTGCACGTGTAAGTTACTTATGAGTAGAAGAGCAAGCAATGAATGTTAGGTTTATTTTTTGAATTTTTTATAAAAGAGACTGGATGGAAAAGTAAATTTGGGTAAGATAAATTGTGACAATCATCGGCAAATTTGTGAACGAGTATCAATTCATGCTTATCCAACAATTAAATATTATAAAGGTTCAAATGATTCCAAGCGACAGGTAAATTTTCAAGGAGATTATTTAACTATGTGATTTCATTCATAAAATGACATTTCGTATTTTAGGAATTTCTCGGTGATGAAATAGGCAATTTAGATGAAGATTTTATTGTTAATTATATTAATGACCAGCTGCAGCAGCAGCAGCAACAACAACAACAACAGCAACAAGCATCAAATGTACATCATACAACTGAATTATGAATGAATCTCATTGTTTTCTTTTTCTTTTTGATAATTTAACATCTTTTTAGTTCTGTTGATGTATCGTTTGTTGATTTTTTATATTCAGAGCTGCAAAACATGTTCTCTAATGATGGAAGCTGTATCTTTTTTTTTTATTGTGGTATTCGTTAATAGTTTATTAACAATACCTATCATTCATTTCTTTTATATAACATTATTACTGTATTTAAACGGGTTTGCTTTTTTCTTTTCTTTTTTTTTTGTAGCTGGATATTCTTTTGTTGGTTGTTGACTATGAAAATTGTTGGAGAATGCATTGCTATCAATAAAGTGAAACATTTATGTGGAGAATGTATATCGCAAAGATCTTTTTTTCCGAATGCGGCGTTAGTTTTATATGATATTTTATTAATATTAAGACTCGACTTATATGAACGATAATGGAAAAAAATTAAACTGGTTCTTATTGATATTATGCTAATAACGAATAGGATATACAGACCCCTGATTGTTTAGTACATATTTTTATTTGTCAATCTATATCAGGAGAGACTTCTTTTTGACTATATGAATTAAACGACGCGTTGCTGCATGTCAAAAAAAAATATATTTATTAAATTCATTTATGATAATTGAAAGATTTCATTTTGTAACAATGCCCATGAATATTGATATTACAGCAAATATTTGTTAATGTATATCATCTTGAAAAAGGATAATTATAAATCTCATAAAACGATTGAAATTTATGCGTGTATGGTAGTAATTCATGGAATGATTTTTCATACTATCGGTTCTGGTGTCAAATCTATTTTTTTTTTGAATAAATTGATATTATTCAAAACATGAAAAGTTATATAAACTAATCAAATACAAGTAACAAATTTTTTTGTCGATTGTGCGGTTCAAATATCTTAATCTTGTTTCAAAATTTTTAGGTCTGATTTCTTCGATTAAATAATTAACTATCAAAAATATCCATACGATCATTCAAAGCAGTTTACTTTAAAATTATATTCAAGGCTAGTCTAATCTCGTATGCAAGTAGATTTTCATAGCAATCAAGTTAAGAATAAATATTTTTGATTGAATCGCATAACAAGTATTATATTTTTTATATGAGATTGATGCAGTAATCATGAAACAAACCTTAAAAAGGTAGTTTTTTTTGTATTCTTTTCTCTTAGTACTTCGCATTCATTTCTGTGCATAGTAGGGGAAAGACATACACGTATACGTTAATGGTTTTATATATATATACATAAAGAAAACGAGAAAAAAAGAATTAACTCTTTTTCGTACCAATCCTTTGGTTGTTGGTTTGATTATTTATTTGACCAATATATCATCTGTTCTCTTACAAACTCATAAAAAATAATGTGTAACTCTATCGAAAGCAAATACATGCATATGAAGAAAAAAACGATGAAAGGATCACGTACTAGAACAGAATTGCTATAGAACAATATTTATCATCATACCAGTATAGAATATAATCGATAAGATGCAAAAATGAACGCATTAATAGATAAGAATATTTCACAATCTAAAACTTCCAGTCAACATCGAATTCGTATTGATAATCAACCAGATGATAATAGTGCATACAATGATTCTCTTGTAGAAAGATTTAAGCAATGGTTATATGGAAAAAAACGATGGAATCATAAGTCTATGTCAGAAGTATGTAAACATTTGTAAATATCATTTTTTTTTATCGTAGAATTTCTAGTCTCCAGAAAAAAAAGTAGTGTCACATGTCGACATGGTGCCTTGCATTGAGTATAAATACATAATTTTCTAACAGCCTATTAACCATACGTACGTATGTATGGCATGACGTCTATCGTAAACAATGTGTACTTGTTATTTCTATGAAGTAAAAAGGGATAAAATAAAAACAATATTTGCATTTTCTTAAGGCTCAAATGGTCGTGGGAAACAATACTATTGATCATAATAACGAAATCGTGTGTATAAATGATATCCCATTTGTCATTCCAAGACGACTAGAAGAGATCCGACAAGAAACAACAGAAGATTTTGAACGAGCAAAACTTATAATACGTCGTATGGATGAATATCTTGTTTCACCTGAAGAACAAGATGAAGCTAAACGACAACGTCATTTAGATACATCTCTTGGTTTATGTGCTTTAGCTTCAGCAGCTAATTCAATACAGAAAATATCGTTTCGTGAAGTACTAAGTGTTGACGAATCACTACCAGATACATCAAGACGTTTATCAATAAAAGACGGATCTGTGAAAGATATTTTTCGTAGAGTAGAAAAAAATGATCCAATAACAGATTTTCAAGAAGCACATGATCTAATTGAGTTTGAAGAGGCACTTACTGAACATAGCAAAAATTTACTGAGAAAAGATCCATTTAAATTATCAGATATGCTTTATTTAAAGTTTTGCTTAATGCTTGAATTACAACGTGATGAAAATGAAAGTTGCTTACGTATATTGTTACATGATATTATATTTAAATTTCATTTAAAAGGTTTTCGTCTACGTTGTCAGATTCATGTAAAAAAACCGATTGAACATGAATTAACTATTGAAAAAGTTGTGAATGAATCACATTTAACTACAAATTATGCAGCACAATTTATCATTTGGTCAGGCGATTGGATTGTTCAACAAGAAGTTGACTTATATATTGTTATGAAGGTTGAATCCTTATCGATAAATAAATATATAGGTCCGAAATTTTGGGATATGGCACATTTACATGTCAAAAATGTTCCACATGGAGCTTCGAGAATTTTTTTACGTGAACTTACACCTGTCACTCGACCATCAAAAATTGTAAGTTTAGCTTGTCACTAAAAATAGTTTTAAAGAAAATTTCCCTTTTCGTTCAGCTTTCACGTGGTATTAATGTTGGTCAAGTAGAAATTGAAGCCGGATATTGGCCTGATAAATGTGAATTATCGATTCATATTGTTAAAGTTAGCCACTCACAAGCAGAACGCTTATTGAGAGCACCTGGTATTAATGTCTTTTTTTTATTTTTTGTAATTTTAAAAATTTAGTTGTCTTGTTTAGAAACATTTGTTGAAGTAGTTTTTCAAGGTCCATTTGATATATTTGAAATCAAACAAACAAAAGTAGCTGATCGTTCATTAAACCCAAAATTTGACGAAGAATTTTTCTTTCAAATTCCAGACAAAACAGCAGTCAGTGATATAACGGTTGATTTGATATTTCTTGAAAAATCATCCATATCTTCTCATCCTGGCGTACTTGGAGTATTAACAATATCAAAACATACAGATTGGTATCCTATGAGAAAATTTTGGGCTGATGTGGAGGAAAATCCAAATATGAAATTGAAAAGTAGTTTTCTATTTGAAGGCAATGTCGATGAGTAAGAATCGTTATAGATGCTTTTCTATTTGTATTGTTATTTCTTTTTTTCTTTTAAACAGATAGAGCTTTTATTTTGTTTTTGTTTCTTATAGAATTTATTTAGCTCTATTTCAATCTTAAAATAATTAACAAATAATTTTGTTAAAGACATAAATCTCAGGTTGAATAGTTTGGTTTTATTTTCTGTATAATTAAATGTTGAATAGATGAAATTAATATTTTATCAAAAGAATTACAATAAAAACGAATATAATCGCTTTCAAGGATTAAAATGCATACTTCAATATGAATATTATTGAATGCTATTCAATCTCGATTAGTAATACGACTTTTCATTTAATATGCATAAAAGAGTTTTGTAAAATATCTAGCGTTATTTCTGACTTGAGTCGTGATCGTTCGATGACGTCAGGCTTTCGTTTTTTCTCGTTTAATACATATTAAAAAAATCATGCATAAAATAAGTGTTTACGATCAGGAAAAATAAATAAAATGAGTCATAATTAAAAAAAACCGATTTAATTTCATAATGTTAATTGAATTAAATTAGAATCGTGTTCTTCTATGGAAATTCTTGGTGTAAATCCGAATACATTTGTCTATATAAATCATCTTCAGAATTGAATACACCTTTAACCTTATGTTCATTTAATAGTAATGATCGATATTTCGCTGTATTACCACAAAAGATATAAACACTATGTAAAGAAGTCCGATCAGATACAGCTGTAACAACAGTTTTCGCAAGATGACCGGACATAATAGTAACAAGTGTAATATTAGGATTTTCATCGATAAATTGGATGAACTTATCGCCTGAATCAAAGTAATGCCATTTTTCAATGCGTTCTGAAACACCGCTGAATTGTTGCTTCAATTCAGGATATGCGCCGGTTACACCAATATTTGAATCAAGCCAACAAGCCACAAGACGAGAAGCTGCCGACATGGTGTACTGAATTTGATTGGTAACGAAAACGTTAATATGGCGTAAGATACTCGTGCATTCTATATGTGAGTCACATATAGAATCACATAATGTGACTAAAAAAGGAAGAGAGAAATACCGTTGGCAATGTGAGTTTTATTTTTTCACTGAATTTATCGAAATAGTTTTCTAAATTATTTGATTTAATTTTTCTTTTGCTGTACAATATATAATGCTTTACATCTATCAATTGTTATACAAGTAGAATCTTTTTAAGAATACATGTCATCTTGATTGGTTAGATAAAGAAAATATTATATTTTCGAATATTTTTTTTCAATTTGTTAATTCTAGACCAGTTAAAATTGAAAACAAATTCATAACAATAACGATAACGATATATTTTTTTAATTATTATATAAAATCTATATAGCCATCCTAAAAATGATCAAGATTTCTAGACAGGTTATCATTATCAATCTCATCATTAATCATATTCTTTAAAAATTTTAGAAATGGAAACATGAATATACATATATAAGTTTATATAGAAGTGTGATTGACCAGTACGAACACTGATGACATCTATGCAATACAATATGAATTAATTCTTTCCAGTCTAATTTTAAAGTTACTATTGATATTCAAGTATATTATAAACAAATCTACACGTTTTATTAATTCTAATCTTGAAGCTGCATACATCGATTAACTCAGCCTTTGTTCCCAACCAAACAAAATAGCCAATATGTAAACGACAATTGAATCTTACATGCCATATTGCTAGAATAATCTTTGTCCATTTGAACAGTTTGTTTCTACTTTCGAACTCTTGATTTTTATTTCTTGATTATAAATTTTTTTATAAGTCGTTGAATGTTCTAGTATTGAATAAATTTTGCCTCCTGTATAATTGCTTTTATTGAATTAGTTGTTCCAAACAATGGATACAACAGATGTAGGAATGACATCAACGATAAATGATACAACAACAACCGCAGCAGCAACTGCAGTTAAACGCCGTGAACCTCCTCCATTGAATGTCTATGTGCGTATTCGTCCGTTTATTGGTGACGAACTTGAACATAGTGAAAATCAAAAGTTACTTGATATTATGGACGAGCAACATATATCTGTGAAAGTATGTCCAACAACTAACAATAATATTCGGAATATACAAGCATCATACAATGAATATGAGGTAATTTCTTTTACTAGAAGTTTCCTAGGCCATGATAACTAACGTATGTAGAGAGTGATTCAGAAATTTCCTTCTCATTGTCTATCTTCGATTCGCGGATGTAGTATGCATCTGATAAAACAAAAACTTCATTCCCTATTGAAATTTCTTTTTGTATTTGAAATCAACGATTCATACAGTAGAGAAAACAATTAGAAATCATCAAATTTTGAAGAAGAAGTCTACAGAAAAGATAGGTATTCATAGTTTCTATCATCTTAACTTATTAACAAGACAAAATTGTGTGTTTCTATTTTCAGGTATCGCGAATATTTGATCATCGTTGTACGCAACAAGAATTATTTGAACAAATTCTCGAACAACCAACGAATGAAATTTTTACTGGTTCAAATTGGCTTCTCTGTACACTTGGTCTTACAAATAGTGGTATGTATTTTTCTTATTGTTGCTGAAATCTATTGAATTGAGTAATCACATTCTAGGTAAAACTCATACAATGTTTGGTACACCACAAGAGCCGGGTTTAATTCCAAAATGTCTTCAAAGAATATTTTTAAATGTTGGCAAAAATATTGATGATAAAGTTCTTTTTAAACCAGATGGTTTGGAAAATTTAATGCCAACAAGTAATGGTAATCTTGATATAGAAATCAATGCAAGAAATTATATTTTTAAAGATGACAAAAATAATAATGTAAGTGAACATTTTAGAATGCTTGATTGATTGATGTTATTTTTCTTTCAATTTTCTTAGCGTCGGATACGTTTACCGAATATTGCACAAGAACAAAATAGCTTCGAAGATCTATCAATTGAGGGTAAGTAAAAACGAAAACTAAAAACGAAATAAAATTTTTATGTAAATAGATGAATATTATTCTGTATGGATATCATTTTTTGAATTATACAATGAAAATATTCTCGATTTACTTGTTCAACCAAAAGATATGAAAACACGTAAAAATCTTCGTCTAATGCAGAATGATCATTCAACAATTATTAAAAATCTTATACAAATTCCTGTATTTGATATTAAAGAAGCTGAAGATATTATTAAATTTGGTTATGCGAATCGTGCGACATCAAAAACAAATCTCAATGAAGCATCATCAAGATCACATGCTGTTTTATGTATTACACTTATTACTATCAATGAATTTCATGAAGACCCAATAATGAGTCATATGTGTAAGAAATTTTCATTCACCATTATTTGCTTGAGTTCAGAAAATATTTTTTTGGAGTAAACCCATAACGAACCTGAGGTTTAAAATCGAGTTTTTTAATGGTGTTCTCTGGTTGTGACACTCTAAACCGTTTGTTGCTCATAGCCTATGAGGATAACAAGTATTGCTTAACAACGGAAACAAATATTCAATGATATGTAGAAGAATGATTTGATTATCCTATTTGGAATGTGCCAAAGTCTTCATCAGTGTAATTAAAAGACTTCTATGCATGTATAACTAACTATTTTAATTTGTTTACATTTTGACTAAATAAAAGCTTATACTCGAGATGTTAAGTAAAATTTTGTATTGATTTGATACAATCATCATTTGATAAACTTAGTTTTTTTTATCATTTCGATTTTATATTTTTAAATTAGATGTTTGTGATTTGGCTGGTAATGAACCATCAACGGGTACTGGAAAACAGCTTGCTGAAACTTGCAACATAAATACGTCATTAATGACATTCAAAGATTGTATTAGAACACTAAACGAAAATCAAACAACTAAGTATGAAAAATAGAAATGTTGAATTACTTTTATTATTTTATTTTTTAAAGAAAACAAATGCTTGTTCCCTATCGGAATAGTATATTGACAAGTATATTTCGTCCATTCTTTGTTGGTCGTGGTCGAACAATAATATGTTGTAATGTGAATCCATGTGCAACATTTGTTACACAAACAAATGACTTATTGAAGTTTTGTGCATTAGCACAGAAAGTTTGTTGATCAGAATTTAATGCTAATAATTTCTTATCGTTTCTGTTTGTTTGCAGACAATCATTGTACCAAACGAACCAAAATCAGGTGCTGGTGGTTTAATAAGACAACAACGAAAATCGAAACAGAAAGGTCCAAAACGTCTGGCTAAAGATGGACCTCTAAAAGCGAAAAATAAAAAAGGCATAATTGCTATTGATGATGATATTGAAGGTTAGTATTCCATTGGAATTATTTTGTTTTTGTTCAAGATCAGAATATAGTAGTAAGATAATGTACTATCGCTCGCTCAAATAACTAGATTTTCTATGAATAATTTATTTTTAACTAGAACTTGGTACTCAATCAGTTGATGGTTCATCATCATTTACTGTCCCATCAAATATCAAATCGGTAGTAGTTTTCAATTGTGTATCTCAAAATAATATTGAACTATTGATTTTAGATGAGCTATTGGAAATTTTGTACAAAAAAAGCACTGGATTTATTACAAAAACAAGCATCAAATCGACGCTTTTTAATGATTCAAATACAGTGAGTACAAATCAATATTTCTATTCATTTTTTGAGGCACTTACATCATATTTTCCAGTGGAATTTTCTAGAAAAACTTACTACTAAATCGAGACTCGCACGACTACGGTACACTTGTTAAAAATTCTGTTCTTTTCCACATATTAAATCGTATGTTGACAGGTTCTTTATCTATCAGAAATATCTATCCCAAACCTATTTGTTAGTTAAATAATTCATGATAAATATTAAAAAACAAATCGGCAAGGTAAAAGATAGTATCAGTGAGATGAAAGAAATATTTCTGTTTGATATACTATAAAAATAATTGGGACAAAGTGTTTTCATCATAGTTGATTAAATTTGGAAAATGAAACTGGTCTTCCATAGATCATTTTACTGTAAATCTCATGATCTCATGTTTCTATTTAATTTTTAGTCAAGAACGTGTTCAAACTGTAGAATATCTTCTTCATCAACGTGATGTAATCGATGCATTTACTGATGAAAAGCAAACAGTAAATAATATTTAGCGATTTTCTTAAATATCTTGAATATTTTAGTTATCTGAAAAATGCGAAACATTAATAACAAACCTTCGTCAAGAAGAAGATAATCATCTTCGTACACAACAGTTATACAATGATTTGATTATCAGTGAAAAACAATATCGTCAAAAACTGCTTAAATTAGAAAAAGAATTTAAAGAAAAGAATCTTCATTCACGTAATGAAACTGATTCATTGAAAACACAATTAAAAAATCTTCAACAGCAATTTAATGAATTAACCAGTGAACATTTGAAAACTATGGAAAAAATTGATCAAAATCAAAATCAAACAAGCGAACATGAACAATCTTTACAAGAGGAAACTCAACGTCTAAGACGTGATCTTGGTCTTGAACTTTATCGTAAACAAGATGCTGAGAAAAAAGCTCGAAGTTTTGAAGATAAATTACGTCATGAACAAACAGAATTACAAAAAATTCAGTATGATTATACTAAAACTAGACATGATTTTAAAACTTTACAAGTGAAATATGATGCTCTTCAATTAGAATTAATTGAAATGCATAAAACTATCAAAACTAGTTCACAAGCAATGCTCAATAAATGTAATAATAATAATATGTCAGCAACAATAACTAATACAGAACAATCATTTATTCCAATACAACAGGCTGTTACTCGAACGAAACGGCGCACCAATGATGAAAGTCAAAGCGAACAAGAAATTAAAAAACCAAAACGTGTTACACGTAGTCGATCAGGCGCTAGTTCAAATAATACTTCAATAAATATTGCTCAACAAGACGAACAAAATAATGAAAACCCAACAAAACGAGTGACACGTAATGGATCAACACCTTATTCTTCTAATACCATTCCAATGCCAATCAAACAAACCAAAACGAAATCATCGAATGTAAACATGTTTTTCTATCTTGCAAAAACCTTTTTTCCGTGATACACATCCAAAAAAAAATACGTTTAACTATACGTATAAAATGTTAGACTCCTGTCAGTGACCTCAACAGAAACTACCATGACAAAATCGAATGTTTCTTTTTACAGATTTTCCAATCTACAAGAGAAATAACTATTTCTAGAAATACAAGAGATGTTGTTGACCAATGATCAAGTATTCTTTAGTTCGAATAAAATGAGATCTTTACAATGAGTAGAAGGCGTTAAATCGTATTTTACGTGTAAAATTCTGAAAAACTGTACTAACATGTTTTCTTTTATTTAGATTGGCATTACTGATTTTTCAACTGATGTAAAAACTAAAGCTAGAACAGCTATTATACGTGGTCGAGCTAAAAAACAGACAAATCAATTAACGTCAATACCTATTCAACAACAATCACCATCACATACATACGCTACTATTGAACGAGACATATCACTTGATAGAGCATCTCTTGCTACTGTCGATGCTAATTCAACAACTGCACATGCTGTTTCATCGATCGATACAACACATGCTACACCTAAACAATCAACATTTAAACGGATTCAATCACTATTTCGGCCAAGTCCAAGTATAATTTAGTTTTTAACAGTTCGAGAAAAAAATGTATTTTTTAATTTTTCGTTTTTTCTTCGTATCGATATTTTAGCATTAACAAGTTCAGCACGAATTAATCGAGTTTTACAAACTAAATCAACTGTAATAGCATTTGGTTCATCAACACCAACACAACGTCAACATCCGACATTAATCAAAACATTAACACCAGCACCGACAAGTTCAACAGCGCCGCATCCGACATTAATTAGAGCAATAACGCCAGCAACAACAGCTCATACTCCATCAATTGTTAAAAAGATTCCATCGCCAAAAGGGAAGTATAATCTTCGTACACGTCTTTTTGCTAATCCGACATATGCTGAAAAAGAAGAAGATGAGGTGAGTAAAATTGAAAATACGATAAATTATTTATATTAACTTGAATTTCTTTTTTTTTTAGAAAAAATCTCGAATAAAAAAACCGTCACGAACACGCAAGTAAATATTGCATTGAATATCTACTTCGATCATTGGTTTGCGTGCATTGTCTCCATTATCTTAAATATTTCTTTTTATCTTGCTTGATTAATAATTGTATTTGTTATTATACTATGTTGTACATGTATATGTACAAGTAGATATGCTATCTAAAATTCTTAGCATGTACAGATATATATATATATATATATATATCTTATTTTTCTTTGCTTGTTTATTGATTTGTTTGATAGTCATTCTTTTTCCTTTTTGTCTAGAAATTACGAATAAAAATCTCACATGCTAAAGAAAGAATTAAAGAAAATATGATAGAAACTCTTTATGAAAAATTAATAATTAGTCATTTATGTTTTCGTTAACTTAAAAGCTTTGATTTCTGCGTATAAATAATATGAAGAATAAATACAGTACTTTATGAAAATTGATTAATATTATACACTAAAACAAAAATTCATTATTGTTAATTTCAATGAATATTAAATTCTGTCTAGTAAAAAGGAAATACGAGAAATTTATTTCGATTCACATGTATTGACAATTACTACTAGTACGATTAAAACATTTCTCAACCAAGTAGTCATTGATTTCGAGAATCTATTTCTAATTAACCGTGGAGATTGATTGGGCTGTAACGATAAATAATATTCGTATTTAGTAAAATGAATTTCTTCAATTCAAATTCACAAACTATTGTATAACGTAAACATGGTAATAAGCTATTTAGATTTTCCATGAACTATATACGAGATAAATAAAACCTAAATTCAAACAAGTTGTCGAAAGCAAATATCTACGAGTAAAGTGTCTATATGAATAATATCTTTCTTCATTGATTTCAACTTCAGTGTGATAAAAAGTCAACACGATCAGTTATTAATTTGTTCAAAGATGGAAATATTATTTATAACAATTTATTTTCATTTATATTTAGTTGTGTATGTCTCTGTGTAGCAACACAGTTTGACCTTTTGTGTTTCACGAAAGCTTCAATTATGCAAAAAATAAATTTCATGACATATTCATCTTCTAAAGAAAAACTGAGTCCTACTTCATTGTCTATGGTCCATCAAGATTTGTAAATAGAGTCCGAGTTTTGTTAATGTTCTTTTATTTTGAATCTGATACAATTCTTTGTTCGAATCAGATGATAAAAAAAAAGAATTTGATTCGAAAAATATAATTTGTAATATGAAGAACTTGCACACCAAACAAAACTAATATCTTGGCCATTTAATTTCAAATTTCAAGCACAAAATTATGAACATGTACAACTTGAAATACCCCAGATATCATTTTGATGGTAATGCAAAAGTTAGTCTTTTGTTTCCAATTAGTAATGCATCTATGCTGATTCATCTTTTGTTTAGGTATCGTGACCGACGCTGGTAGAAGCGAATGGAGATCAATACAATTTGATCGACATCAATATAATAGATGATTTAGAGGATGCAGTGCAGACTAGATTATTTTGAACCATGCGAGCCTGAAATACATAGAGATGATTTCAAAATGAAAGTCTAATAGAAATAATATTCTTAAAAGTGAATGCTTCAACTATATTCATTTACTTTTCATCTATAGGAAAACACGTCTTGAAATACTAAGATTTATTTCACATTCGAAAATGTAGTTTTTAAATTTCTTCGTTGAGTTATACTCCTAAATTATTAGCTACATTGAAAAATTCAGAGTCTTTATCCAAAAGACTATAATGCCTTGTATGATGATAATCTTATGGTATCATAGAAACTGAGCGGTAAAAATACATTCAACAAAAAATAAAAATATCATTAGGAGGACGTAGTCTTTCTGTTTAATTCACATTTTTCAAATAGTTCAACAAGAAGTAATCTAAGATAGGAATTCTATATTCATCGACTTACGTCAGTAATTTTAGCCCAGGTGGAAAGTTTGTGGATGCTGACTTGACAAGAATTGCTGAATTCTTGCCTTACGTTTAAACTTTTGTTGTTTTGCTCTGAAGCATCGTCTGTTTGCACATCAACTTTCTATTGGTTAGATTACTTGAATTATGTGCCTTGCACATATTTTAGAAGACACTAATGACAGCGACATCGTACGAATTTTTTCGTTTTTAAGAATTATTTTCAGATGTACTTATCGAACGTCCGATGAATACAGGTAGTATTTCTTTGACGGATTGATTATGATGACAAAAAAAGAAACGAGAGAAATTGATCTTATAGAGTAGTGATTCTGTACAAAACTGAGAAGCTCAATATTTTTGCGAAAACTTTGAGCATCAAAATGATAGCTATTAAAAAGAAGTGCTTTCTGTTATGAACGTATATTCCAACCTATGAATAAAAAATTGAAGGTTTTCATTCATTATGCATTAACATTTCATTCAATGATTACAATTATTTTATTTTGTGTTATTATCTTCTCCGAAAAGACTACTCTTGAGATTATGTCGTAATATATCGTTTATATTATTACAATCATTATTTTCTTGTATTAAAAAAGTCGAGAGAGAAAAAAACCGACTAGGAGCCATAATATCCCTTTGGATTAACTAATAAATTGTCATCTCAATTCAACTTGCATAAATTTCTCTAAAGTGTTATGAAAATCGAATGATCATTTATTGAGCATACCTATTTAGTCATACATCTGTTCAATATCGTTGGATCTTCACTCCTTTTAGACATGAACATAGAAAAGATCACTTACACATCTCTCACCGACTTATTAGTTGTAGTCGACTTCTTTATTTTAAACAAAACAAAAAAAAGGAAAGATGAAAACGGTCATTACTACTATTATCATTATTGAACTGTGAAAAGAACAAGAGTTCATTTCGTATGCATTAATAAAGTTATTAGTCTATGCTCATGGACAACATCTATCAATGAAAGAGAACAAGACAATGAAGATTCTTTGCGATAATACTCACGCTGCACATCAATTACCACAAAGTCACAAATTAATACTTGACTCTCAAATATTACCATCAAAATTGAATATTAAATTGAAAACGCATTCTCTCACATGTTTAAATGTTCCACTGGAAACATTTTCTGATTTTAAACAAAGTTCGGGAGTAAATCGAAATGATAAGCAAAGAACTTTGGCTGGTAGTGTTGATCTTATTTCAGAGATGCAGCAGCAATTGAACAATGAAAATTTATCTTCTTTTTCATCGTCTAAACCTTTAATAAATATTATATCATCGGATAAACAATTCCCGTCGTCTGACCAACCATGCCAACAAATTATTAAACATCGTTTTCGATTATCAAATTCCTTTTTAACGCATTCATCAATTAATGATTCTGTTGCTCGACTTCGACGTACTCGTCATCTGCACAATTTACATCAATCATCATTCGAAACTATCGATAAAGTACCGAAACGAAAGAACTCTTATCTACTGAGCCGTAAGTATGATTGCAGTTTTCCTATGACATTTTATATCAAATTCATTTGATTTGATTCAGACAATGGGCCCATTCCGAAATTTACTTTTCGTGATCTGCCATCATATTCTCGACAGACATCATCAATTAGCAGATTTAAACCACCATCTGATTTTCAAATGTCTCCATATACTTCATTGCCAGAGCTTCAATCATTCGCCAAACAAAAATCTTCAGATAATAAAACGATTACTAATCATAAATATAAACCATTACCATCAAGTAAATCGTCCTCTTGGAAAAAATCAGGTTCATGGTCATGGAAGTCGTCATGCGATGCTTTAGAAATTCAATCAAACATAACTGAAAAGCAAACAGAATTTCGAGTAAGTCATATTTATTAGCTATTTAAAAATCATATTTCTGTAACATGAACTATATCTAGCTCGACGATCAACATCATTCTAATTTACCTGTTATTATTGAATCACCAATACAACAACATTCTTCATTACAAGCAATCAATCTAAATTCTTCGTCAACAAAATTAACAGATATACATCGTTCAAATCCATCATTTTATAATGATTATACTCAACAACAACAACATCGATTTCAAAAGAAAAAGATAAATTTTCCTCATTCACCGTCAAACTACAAACTTCAACAAGATCGATTTTCATACCCATGGAGAACTCGTTATCCATCAACACCTTTACTTCCTTCTGCATCACGAAATAAATTTTGCAATAATAAGTTTGATTATCATTCATATAATCTAGATATAACACCAATCGTCACGTACGATAATGATGATGATACTGATACAATTTCAAGGCATAGCAGTTTTCGTTCATGTCTTGATAGTATCAATGACTTTTCGGAAAATAATATTATAGATATCTCATCATCATCTTCATCATTGATATCATCTTTAGAAAGTTGTTTTCACGAGGTTGCTCCTATTTATGATTTAAAGCCAGAACTTGATAATGAAACAGCAAAACGTACAAAATTATCCATTCGACACCTTTGTATTATTCAATAATTTCATTGTAAACTCTACTTTTCTTTGTCTTTTTTTGTTTGTTTAGTTCCAATAAAAAATTTCGGTGAGAGGGGTATTCGACTGTCTGTTTCTTTGCATTTCGTAACGTTGTTTCGTTCATGACTATGTACGATATATACTAATTAGAACGATAATGATTAAAATGTAGCATAATGACGAGTATCAATTAAGAACAGCGTTGTATAGGCTGTTCTGAGAAATGAGACGTTGCTCATTCATTATACAACAATTCGTCAATTATCACTGCACTAGAGAACGTGGCACAATATAAAAGCAATGTGAATTCAACACTTTTAGTTATTCGAAATTTGGCCTAACCGATAATTTCCAAACATGAACAATAGCTATTATTCACCTTCACTCCACCAATATTCAGCATCGTACAACTATGTGCATGAGTACCCAGTATCAACAACACCTGCATATTGTTATTCGATTTCGACGCAACCTTCATGTCCTGTTCATTCGCCACGGAATTTCTATGCATCTTCAACATCACCTTCAATGAATATATCACTTGTGCCTTCCAGTTATTATCAACCACAAAACACGGAATTATATTCTCCTTGTGTTCAAAGACGTACGTACCGATGTTTCTTGCATTTTAAATTTTTACGAAGTGTTCAACAGATAAGCTGATTTCTTATATTAACCGTTAATCCATGGGAGCTTAAAGAATCCTTTTTGAAGTCTATATTTTTTGCTTTTTCTTAGCAACACCTGTTCACCATGTTGCTGATCGTACACCGCTTCGTCGACATCGATGCTTTAAAAAACATGAAATTCAAATACTTCATCAAGCATACAATCGTGATTCTCATCCATCAACAGAAACTCTTCGACAATTGGCAGTTCATTTGGAAGCTCCAATTGAGAAAGTTCGAGTGAGTTTCTTATCTTTGTATGTCTTTAATTAAAACTGTATCATTGATTATTGCTAGCAATGGTTCAAAAATCGGCGACACAGCGACAAACAAAAGAAACGAATTATTTCAATGACTGAAACAACAACAACAAGCAATTGAATTTATATTTATTGTTGCTTTTAGTTTTAATTTATTGTTGTCTAATAAAAATTCATAATCTTATCGTTTGTTCCGTTTATTATTTGAAAGAATTAGCAAAAGAATTCTCATGTGAAAAAAATAGAACAAAGGAAATTTAGTTGATGAGATAGATTTTCAACTCAATCAACGATAAAAGATAATGTTATTAGCAGAATTATTGATTTTGAGAATCATTGTATTACGAATACCTGTTTGTGTACTAGTAGATAGATAAGGCAATGTCAATTATATTCGATGTTGATCTAGCAAGGTTCCGTCGATAATAGTATGTGTAACTTATGAATCCCATGATATATTTTGACTCCTACTCGTTGGTATCCAATGCCAATTGTTATGTTTCGCGTTCGATTGTTATTGTTAACAAATGGGACGAACTGGTTTTATTTGTTATGGCTTTTTTTAAACACATCTCAAAGAAATACAATCCGCACAATCGTAACCTTTTTCTCGACAAGCATTATGGCTGAATGATTTAAGGCATATCGTGCATGATTAATCGTATTTAGTAGTTGACTGCTCGTTAATAACTAGTTTTGTTACAACCGTTGAATTCTCATTAGATTTATTCTATTTTGTTGATATCAATGGTAAGTTTAGAGACGTAGGCTCTAACTTGTTTGATTGAAGCTATGTGTGCTTTAACAATATCCTAGTTGAAATGTTTCACCTGTGCCACAGACGCTTAGTGACGTTCGATACGTTGTTTAATATGTGTAGGAAAAGAAAAAATAAATAAGTGAGAAAAGATGAACATTTCATGCTATATTTACTGTTAGCTGAAAATGTTTCTTTTCTTTTTTTTTAATGGAAATTTTATTATACAATGAGTAAGATCGATTACTTGTGAACTATCAACTTTATGATTAATGATACGATGAATATAGTCACCATAAGTATGTATAACATGAACTTTGTTGAGTATTATTACAGATCTCTTGGTATATCACGAAAAAATTCGAATTTATAAAATGAAATGTCAACAATTTTCAACAAACGTTTCCACCTTGCATGAGAATGATAATATTGGATATGAATGAATATCTGATTATAAAACGAAGAAATATCGTAGAACACATTAGTATCACGTCCTATCTAAAAGCTTCATATACTACATTAAGTTATTACTATTCTATATGTTTTATTTCTTAGACACTTGTAATTAGATGTAAATCGATATTTCACGCTGTTCTCTTTGTTTGTTTACAAATGGTCTACAACTACGTATATATGTTTACACCAATATCAACATTGGAACATACAAATATGCTTGGAGTTCATGTGTACTAACGTATCATGAATCTTTTCAATATGTTCCTATTAGATCGAATTATATTCAATTGCCTGGAGAAATAAGTAGAAATAAGAATTTCAAGTAAACAAATGTTTTTGTGCAGATCAGCTGCTAGCTACACCATTCTTCGATTTCTTTTTCCGTTTATAGTCACAAATATTAAACTAATCATATCCTTTATTTTATTCGTGTCAGGATCAATTTTTAAGTAATATCTATTAATAAGCGCGCAGAAAATTGTTTTTGCATTTCTAAATGTGCAAAGAGTTATTCGACTTTTTGTGATGACATATTTTTCCGAGATGAAATCACTATAATGTTAGAAATTAGATTTTTATTATTCGCTGTAAACATATCATACGAGTAGCCTAGATTTCAATATTTCCTGGATATTATACATACATAAAAAAAAAGTCGATTAACGATAGAGAGAGAGAGAGAGACTCCTCGTAGTTTTGTTTGTTTGAAACGTTTGCATTGCGTTAACGTGTAATGAGAAATAATGTGTGTCGACATCTGTACTCTAGGTATTTGTCATTTGATGGTTTTAAAAATCCACTATTTATTAGATTGTTCCATCGACTTTATACATCGTGTCACTGTCAGGACCTTCAAACATATTTGAGTAGAATCAATCGTTCATATTTAACTTTAAATAAAAGAAATGCCTCCGCCACAATCACGATCATCATCTTGGTCGAAATTTTTAAAACGACTCAATCTACAATTCAAACAATGTTTTCATTTATCTTTCTACAAGAATCTTCTTTTAAATCCAAAGAAATCGATTTATATCATGAGTGGTCTTTTTATTTTGGAAGTATTTCTAAATATTCTTATTGTAAGAATAACAAATTATACAGAAATCGATTGGAAAGCATATATGCAAGAAGTGGAAGGTGTTGTAAATGGTACATATGATTATTATCAATTGAAAGGCGATACGGGACCGCTTGTGTAAGTATAACTCACATTTTAAACAGCGATAAAGAATTAATTCGTTTTTTTATGTATATAGTTATCCAGCTGGTTTCGTTTACATTTATCTAATATTTTATTATATAACAAATTTTGGCAATAATGTTCGTCTTGCACAATACATATTTGTTGGACTTTACTTGATTATGATCTCAGCTGTTTTCTACATCTATAACCGAAATGCTAAGGTTTTTTCCGTCTATATTTTATTCAACAATCTAGATGCAATTTGAATGTTGTTTTTATTTTGTTTTAGGTGCCACCTTATGCATATATATTTATGTGCTTATTGGCATATCGTATTCATTCAATTTTTGTTCTTCGACTTTTCAATGATCCTATTGCAATGACATTTTTATATATTTCATTAGCTTTTCTACTTCGTCGACAATGGACTGTTGCTTGCATACTTTATAGGTATGTTAAAATGAGTGCCTAAATAAATCTTTAGGCATGATAAAATTTTATAAATATACAGACAAACAATACAAATTAATCGAATATTTTGGATTATGAGCATTGAGCGTTCTTGTTAATTGTTCTAAAAAGTCTTCTTTTCTAGTGATAAATCGTACTTGTTCCTTTGAGATTTGTCTACACTTTTAATTCACTATAAATTAATAGTACACAGCAGTGACAATGTTTTTCACGTAAATATCGATTAATTTAACATTCCCTATCGAATAAATGAATCGAGATGAATACTTATCAGTTTCGACTAGGCTATTTTTTCTATGCAGAATTATATCAAATTCTACTTAAAAAGCTGTTAGGGCAATCTTCACATGATTAAATTAGGACATATAGTGCAGCTGTTCTTGGTAATTATTGTAGTTCATTGTTGAATACATGTCTTCACCATTCTCTTACGTCATCCTCAAGAGATGTAACAATAGAGTGTGGTTAACATATTACACTAAGACTTGAATCATATACATTCTTAGAGCCTATATTAACAATCTCGGTGATGCAATAAGAAAATTTTGTTGCTAAAACATCTGCCACGATCTATAATAAGCTATTTCATAGGCGTCCATCGCATGCCTAGTAACTCATTGCTAAGATAGCTGTGAGATGATTTCTATGTGATTTAATTATATTTCAGCTTGGCCGTATCGATTAAAATGAATATTTTATTGATGGCACCAGGACTTTTTTTTATTCTTCTACTTTCGGTGGGACTTGGTCAAACATTCAAATATATATTCTATTGTGGTTTATTACAAGTAAAATTAGTAATTTCTCTTTAACTTTTAATTTAATTTTTACAATTTAGCTCATATTTGCCGTACCATTTCTTTTGTCAAACCCTACTGCTTATATTGTTCGCTCATTCGATCTTGGCCGACAATTTTTCTATATATGGACTGTGAATTGGCGTTTAATACCTGAACATATATTTCTTAATCGTTATTTTCACTTAACCTTACTATTGTTACATATAATAGTTTTATTGTATGTGTGTCGATATCAATGGTTGAAGTAAGTTGACGTTAATCAAAAATTAAAATGAATAATTTTTTCATTATAATACTCAATAGAGATATTAAAAAAATACAAGACATTTTTAATTACCATCATAACTATATTTTATCCGACGATACCATTATAACATTGATGTTCTATTCGAATTTTATTGGTATTTGTTTTTGTCGTTCACTTCATTATCAATTTTATGTTTGGTATTATCATATGTTATTTCATTTATTATGGAGTACGAACTCAAACGACAAAGTTAAGTAAGTTATTTAAATATTTTTTAATTGATGAAAAAAAGAAAACTTTTGTTTTTTAGTCTTCTAATACTTGGTCTAATTGAATTGTCATGGAATATGTATCCATCAACATTTGTTAGTAGTTTAATTTTGCATATTTGTCATGGATATATTCTTATTAAACTGGTTCAATCACTCACAACACAAGCAAATATGCCAAAATCAGGAAAAAAAGTGAAATAATGTGAGATAGTTAATTCGAAAATTGAATGAATATAAAATGCAATTTCGATTTTTGTTTTGTTTCTTTATTTAACCGGTTAACTAGAATAAATAACATAGGCTTTCTTTTTCTTATGCTATGAAATTCATTTTTATATTGCTTTGTTAAATGCATGTTTGCTAAAAGTAAATGACCGAAGTTCTCATAGTTTTCTAATGAAACAAAAAAAATCATAACAAGTTAGTTTTATTTCCATAGTGATAGGAAGTTCTTCTTTATAAATATATTCTTCCGAATATAAATTTATTATAATCGACAATTCAATTCGATATTGATATATTTTGTTTTTGACAATAAATGATTGTTAGACCATTGTACCAGGAAAAACAATTGTATTTCTCATTTCTTTTCTTACAAAAGATTCTTTTTTCAAACAATATTTTCTTTAAATTCAATATTCATACAGTTCACTGAAGCTATCAATCAAATACTGTCACACTTTATCTTACTACTCGATCTAATAAGGCCTCGGCTAGCGAAGAAAAAATTTAGTTTATTATTCTCTAATCGAAACAATTGCTTGATATGTCTGAGCATATGTGAGAATCACAATATATGTTTACGAATTAAAAACGCAGTGGAAAAGTGATGAAAAAAATTGATATTTCTAAGTACGATCTTAACCATAAAAATCATCTAGTAAAATTTAAAAATTATCCAGATTCAATTCTAAAATAGTACCAAATAAATGGTATTTACTTATGTCAGTATAGGTATATTTATTATGAAGTATTTTTGATATCATTGAACTGTTATATATTAGAGAAATAAATTGAATTCGTAAATAAACCGTGAAAAGTATACAGCAGTGAATATGTAAATGAAATTATAAAAATTCAACTATAGAAACATCTTGAAAGAAAGTATAATAAAATGATCTAGAACATTATTCATTCAAGATCTTACATTTACAAGAGTTAACTCTCTATACAATAGGAAAAGTATCACCATTAGAAAAACAATAATTCATTAGATCTTTCTCGTATACCATTGATTTCTGTAAACAGTGAAAATGGTTAAATTGAAAAATAAATATCTAATAACTATCTGCATCTTCTATCGAATAGTCGTTTGTTTTGTTTTTTGTCTGTTTATACTATTTTATCATTACTATATAGTCTTATTTGTAATGATTGATTCAACGAGGCATAACTTTCTTGTTCTCTCATTTTTATGTTGTCTTTCTTATTCATTTTCTATCTACATCCAATCGGAGAGAATGTCATAATTTTGTCAAGGTCTTCAATGGATAGCAGACAATCGGTTCTAATACACCAAAAGCAAAACTTCTATGATGTGCCGAATAGAAAAATAACAATTTATTTCTGATGAAATGCTTCTTTCATCGGTCCATCAGCTTTCATTGCCAAACAGTAAAAATTTCTCATATGGATATACGGCAAGAAACATGTACTAAATGCTACTCTTTTTTTTCTATAGAGAGAAACAAAATCATGCGCATTTCTATAGAATCTTTATTTTCCCTTAAGCACTCAAAATAGTTCGCTTACATTCTATTATCATATGTTAAGAAATATTTGCTTGTCTAAGGATAAATACATATCCATATGTGGATGCATTGAGAAGGTATATTATTACTATGTTAAATTAAGTAGCAAGGCTAGTATGAATTAGACTCTGTTATCGAAAAATGTATAAAAACTGTTTTAATCTTTATTTTCAGATGAGTTGATATCAAAATTTGTTTTCATTTTCAAATAAATCTATTAATCAGGATGAGTGACGAAAAAACATCTGATGAAAAAACAGCACATGATGAAAAATCAGCAACAGCTGGAAAAGTTTGTATAAATGGGAAAATATTGTTTAAAATATTATTTGAATTTTTGTATATTTTTCAAAAAATTAAGTTGGAATCAATGTCTAAAGAGGAAATAATCAAAGTGGTTAAAAATCAAGTTTTACTCAAAAAGAAACTTGAAATAAAAATAAATGAACTAACAGCATCAAATACGAATTTTAGTCAAATTGAAGAAGTAATGCAATTTATTCATGTTTTAAATAGAGGAAAATATTTTTTTGTATCGTTTTTAGCAACTTCGTCAACAAATTGAACATGAACAATCAAAATATTCTAAATTAATGATCGACTTTGAACAAAATAAAATTGATCAATTGAAAACTCAAGAAGAACTAAATGTAAATTTACAATTTCAAAAAAACAGACTAAAACTATTTGGTTTCCTATTCTAGACTACGCATGAATTATTGGCACGTTTTAGATTAGAAAATGAAACATTGCAGACTTCATGCCAAAATCAGCAAGTTGAAATAACAGTAAATATACTACTGAATTAAACAGAAGTTGTCTCTCATAAAACAATACTATTCTTTGTGATACTAAACTGATATTTTAGATCCATTCGTGTGAAAATAAGTTCTGACAGCTAATACTAAACGGCCTTCTATTTCTTCATATTATTGACAGTTATTATTTGGACATTATCTTCTGTTTGTGATCCTATTATTGCCACTAGTCTGACACAAAAATTTGCATTCAAAAGATCGCTACAGATACTGTATCTAGTTCTGCCTCTGCTAGACTGAAATGATACTTTATCTGCGCATTAAAAATTTGTTTTGAACGATTAGCGCTAGTCTTTATTAAACGTTGAAAATATCAGCGGTGAGTTCTCAATAGCCGATAGATATGATATGGGACTCATTCTCTTAGAAATTATTAGTTGCTTAGATCTAAAGTGCATCTGTGTGTGAAAGAGAGAGAGACAGAGAGATTTTAGTGACATTAGAACAAAAATATGAGTTTACCTTCAGCATTTGAAAAAAAGCGATAATTAATATCAATGAAATAGGATAAACAATGACAAAACAAATAACTTCTTTAGTATGCATATTTTCATTGACTATATTATTCAGAAAGGGGAAAAATATGTATGAATCATGAATTCAGTATATGTAAACAGAAAAAGAGTCAGTCTAGTACTTCTGCCGGGAATTGTCTGTCACACGCATACATGCAAAAATATCATTTCAATAGCATGAGTAATAATTAGTACGAGTTTATGAAGATCGACTATGCTTAGTCCCAAACTATAGATTTGTTTTTTTATTCTTCTAATATTTTGATTTCATTTTTAAGAATCTTCAAAATCAACTCACATTCATTCAGGCATCATTGACAAATGAATCTCAAAAATCTCTATCTCATTCTGAGCTTTTATCAAAATTTATTTCAACATCAATTGATCGATTACAACTGCCAATATCGCCATCGAATAAGTTCGATGATGAATTTTTGCAAGCATATACAAATGAATTAAACCAAAAACAAGAAAATTTTAAACAATTATTTGAACATATTGAAGAAGAAAAACTTCATTTACAACAACGTATTGAGGATTTAGAATTTTTAAATGAAGAAGTTAAATTAGATTTAGATGATTTAAGATTAAAATCAATAAACTATCAGCAAGATAAAAAATCAATGGAAAAAGAACTCGATAATTATCGTCGACAAATCGAAGATTTTGAAGAACAATTTCTTGAATTACAACGTGAAAGTCATTGCAATCATTTACAAACATATGAAAATTCCTCGAAACAATCGTCAGTATTAACATTGAATCAAATAGATGAAAATCTAGATGAAACTATTGATCAATGTATGAATTCCATGCTCAATCAAATTGAAAGTAATAATCAGCATATATCCAAAGCATCATCAACATCATCGTTACTTCTTTCATCAGACATTCCAACATTATTACATTCTATTGGAATTACTAATTGTACGGATGAAGATTTTTCTGTACCATTAAATTTTGAGAGTGTACTTCGTTTATCTACATTGTTAGTTGAACGATGTCGTGTTTTACAATATATTTTACTTAAAAATAATGATATGTCGATCAATTCATTAAATGATGCCGATTACTATAAAGATTGTGCTTTATTTGTGCGCAACGACGGTTTTGAACAATGTAAAATATTTGTTCGAAAACAAGATCATATTGCATTAGATACACTTTTCGAAAGAATTTATGTCGGAATGAATGAAACGATTAAATCTGATGAATGGCAAATTGTTATTGAAAAATCAGATAATCAGGTAATGGAAAAAAATATCCAAATTTATTGATGATAATCATGATGTTATTTCACTTTTAAATTTTGTTGTTCTGTAGGGAATTTTCAATCGTTTACTTTTCGAGCATGTTAATTTATATGAGTATAGTTTTTATCGAAAATTCGTCTTCTGTCGAGAGAAATCTTAAGCGATTCGAAACACTATTTATACTGAGTGTACAAGTTTTCTGTAAAAGCAAATACTTCAAAATTTTCACAGTTTTGTTTCTCAGGGATATAACTGAATATAATAAAATAATTAATCATTATTTGAAAGTTGTTTGTATTTCGAAACAAATCGATTTTTCTATTCATTGGATATCATAAAAATGAAAATAAGATTCTAGAGGAAATATAGCTTAAATAATATCAAGTTTCTATAGAATTTTCATGAGCGTAGATATTAGGTCACTTTATTCTTTTGTCAGCGGTATGCAGTTTTAAGAGAGTCATGATAGATCATATAAATAAATGTATCGATAGAAAGATTTTCTTCCAGATTTTCAATAAATTTTCTGATTGATGTTGAATCTTTTATTGTTCAAAAAATTGTGCCAACTACTTGATTTTATTCTCAAATATTTTTTAAATACATGTTTGAATTGATGAGTGATATTTTTATTTTTATTTCTATTTAGAAATCGTCTTCATTTCTTCGATTACAATTCGATAATTTCAAATTTGTGTCAGGAGAAATAGAACAAAATCTTATTCGTTTACGTTCACGACATGATGATTTAATAAAAGAAAATGAAGAACAGCAAAATAAAATATCTCTATTAGAACAACGTCTCTATTCAAATCATTCCTATGAACAACTGAAAGAACATCAAGCACAATTAGAAGAACAACTTGCTAAACAATGTGAAAAAACTATTCAATTAGAAAGTATTCTTACGCAAGAAAATATCGGTTCGTATTCATTTAAAATAGCAGAAAAAAAATCTTGATTTTGATTATTCAGATAAAATCAAAGTTGACCAATTGAAACAAATTGAACTTTCCTATAATGAACTTCAACAAAAATATCATATTGTTAAGCAATTAGAGGAACACATACAACAACTAAATCAAAATCTTAATGACAAAGAACTTGAATTGCAACATCAACATAATTTATTTGATAGGTTAAAAAAGGATTATGATAATCAACATCTGCAACTGTTAGAACGTGATGAAAACATTCATTCACTTAAATTTCAATTAGAACAGGATGAGAAATCTAAAGAAAGTCTCATTGAAAAATATCAAAATCAAATGAATCAATTTCGCAATGATTTAGAACAACAAAAATTAACATTAATAAATGCAGCACAAAATCAAGATGAACTTTATTCATTTAAATCAAAACAACAAAATGAATTAAATGATTTAGTTCAAACAAAAATAAATGAGAACAAACAATTAGATAATGATTTAAAGCAAAATCATGAAATTATTTTAGAAAAAAATAAGCAAATTGATCATTATCAGAAACAATTGAATTTATTAAATGTTGAATTAGATCAATTTAAAATCAAATCTCATGAAACTAAAGAAGAGAAAAATAAGTTAATTAATGAAATAGATTCATTGATGAATCAAGTTACTAATTTAGAAAAAGAAAAACTCGAATTGATTCAGGTAATGTTACTTTCTTTAACTCATTGTCGTAGTACTTATTATTGTTATTATTATTATTTTTCTTTCAATATAGAATATTGATAATATAAAACAACAGTTGGAACGAAATGATCTAACAACTGATCAAGACAAACTTCAATTACGACAAGTATATTTCAAAGACTAACTTTAATAATTTAAAAATAACTAAAAGAAACGTATTTAAAGATATTATTACGTGAAAGTTTGTCAGAATGGAAAATGATTACCTAGGAATTTTTAAATAATTACAAGAGTATAGATAAACGGAATAGTTTCCCTAGGTAAAAATAAAATAGTCTCTTTTTTTAGATGATGCTTACTCTAAAATCATCGATCGTTCTTAGGCATAGAATCGTTCATCAGCCACCTTCAGATGTACCCTTTTCTTAATGGTAGGGGGTAATAGTTCCAAAAACCTTTTTTTTTAATCTCAATGTAGAACAAAGGAAAAAGATAATTCTGTAGCGCTTTATTTCCAGTTTTTCTTATTATAAAAAAATATAATGAGTCTATTTTTTAAATAAATAAGATCATGTATTGATCTTTGGCTTGAATAAATGTCAAAAATCTCTATCTTACTTATGTAATTTTCATGATATCGTCGAAAAGAAAAAGCAGAAATGATTTTTACACATTAGAAAATCAATGCATGTTCACAAGTTTACTTATCGATTGAAAAATTTGATTCTTTCACATTTTTATTAAAGAAATATGATTAAAACATTTTAACACACACGAACTATTCCAAAAAATCTCATCTCAATTTGATTACTTGATTAGGAACTTTGTCTTTTGAGGAAAAAAACGATGATTTTTGCCGTGTAGTAAAAAAAAGTCGCTTCAGCTATACTTTCGAACATGACGTTGAACTTCATCATATTAAGTTAAGAAGTTGAATTATTTAGACGATTGAAAATCTCCAACACGAATTAGATTCAAATAAAATTCATATACAAGATGTTCAATTAAACCAGTCCAACAACAAGAGCGAATCGAACCAAGCAAATTTGAATGATCATCATGAATCAGAATTGGAGCATGTACAACACAATCAAGTTCTAAATAATACGAATGATAAAAGTAGAAAGTCAGCATTTGATTCAGAAGAAAATATTCAAGTAAAGTTTTCTTTAATAATAATTGAATCTGTTTATCGTCTTCTATGAATAGGAATTAAAAGAAAAATATCACAAAATGAAAGTTTTATTAACACGTCTTAAAAGAGAACTACAAGAAAAAAATCAACATCAACCAAAACAAAGTTTAATTGATCTTGAATTAGCTGATTACGAAAAAACAATAAACAACTTAAAAGATGAATTAATGAATAAAGATAAAGAAATTCAAGATTTACATGAAGAACTATCTAATAGTACAGATAAATATGCTTGTCTTAAAATTGAAAACAAAAATTTAGAACAACAAAATCAACAAATTGAACAGCGTGCTAATAAATTTAAAGCACTTTTAGATCTTGCAAAAAAAGAATTACAAACTGCTAAAAATATTGAATTGCAACGACATTATAATGATGATCATGTTCGAGTATTACTTGAAAAATTACAAAACGATTTTGATAATAATAAAATATTAATTACGGAATTACAAAATGAGAAACAACATTTAATTGGTAAACAGTTCGATTACTAACTATTCTGTTTTTGGAATTTATGTTTTCATTAAAATTTAGAAAAACTCAATAATCAAAACGAAACAAGTCAACGAACTATTAATCTATTGGAACAAAATTTAAGTATTGTTAAACATGATTTGGATATTGCAAAACAAGATAAGTAAGTTTAGATTTCACGAGCAAAAAGAAACACCTTAACTATATTATTTTCTTTTTCTAGTGATACACTTGAAGATGATTTCAATAGCTATAAAGTAAGATGAAGTAGAATATTTATTGAAAGTTACATCAGATGATTTCAATATTATCTGAGAGAATTATTTAGATAAAATTACGAAAAACAAAAACAAAGTTAGCTTGAATGGTTTCCTATGATGCTGGATAGAAATATTTGATACTCCATCAATAATTATATTTCATAATATTCGATTGGTTCAACATGAATCAGTCGTATTACGATTTTCTTTGAACGAAACTATTTTCAGTAGAAACTCTTTGAAAATAATAAATCTTAAAATAACGTCTCAGTGTCGTAGCTCTGTTTTCTACGATATATTTCCTTCAATTGTTTTCAACTTGAGAGTGAACAATCTTTCTCACAATTTTAATCTACCCATGCATAGTAAGCATTCATTCAAGTCGATATAACGTGATATTAGTGATTTTCAATAGAAAGAATCGTTCTTTGTGAACAATAGAAGGCTGGGTCCGGATCCGGAAATTTTCTGTTAACCGAATCCGGTACGACTCCAACGAGTAACACTTTAAAAGTAAGAGTTAGTTATAATTTGATTCTTCTGTATTCATTGTCAAAATTATATGAGAACATTTTAGGCTATATTAACCGCTAAACTCATTCAAAAAATGTCTCTAATAAGAATGTAAAACATTTACTAGAAATAAAATACGAATTTGAGATATTTCAATTTATGTAGAGTTATACTCGTCTGTATATAAATCATACTGTCGGGAAAAACAAAAATGCAGAATATAAATTTTTATTGCCCATAGATTTAAATGGAAAATAAATAGCTAATTGCCTGTTCTTCTTCAAATATTTGAATAATTTAGATTCGTGCACAAAGTGTTCTTAAACAACATCAAATGAATCAACGTGAACGTTTACCATCAGTAGTAGATAAACAAGTTGAATTAGAAGAAACCATTGAAAAATTAAATACAACAGTTCGAGAAGCAAAGTAACAAGACTTTATTTGTTTTTTGAAATCATTCTATCATCAATAATTCGATCTATTTAGTGATAGAATTCTAGCATTAATCTGTGAAAATGATATACTACAAAAAGAACAAGAGCGTCTTATAGAATTTCAAGCTAAACTCATTAATGAACCTAAGAAACGAGAACAAGATCTTCGTAAACAAGTAATTATTTAAGAATAAAAACCAATAACAACTACAAAACTAATGAATGAACTTTATATTCTTTTTATTCAAGCATAAACTAGAAATAGATAAAATTGAAAACGAATATTTACAACGAATCAATGATACCGATGATAAATTGAAAAGTGCAATACTTCTCAACGAAACGCTTTCGACAGTATATAAAGTAAAATACAAAATAAAATAGAACTCCATTGCATTGCATCGATGTTTTTAAGGAACAAATCGTCAGTATGGAATCTGATTATGAACATTCAATATCAACTTTAAAAAATGAATTAGAAACTACTCGGCAAGAATTGGAACAATTAAAAATTCGTATAGATTTATTACGACAAACAAATATTGATAATGAAAAACTAACATCAAATACTGAATCGTCACAAATCGGTATAAATAATCATTCTAATAGAGATGATACCCTTGCATGCAGTACTTGCGAACGTCAACAAGGAGAAGTAAACATTCATTCCATTTTATTCCTTGCCTATTTATTTAAATAATAAGTATCAATAATTTTCTAATTAATAATAATTGAAAATTCTTTACTGCTTTTTCTTACTCAATTAGATTCAGTATAGCAACATCTAATGTTCACGCTAGTGTTTAAAACAACTGAATTCAATCTCAATAGATCGATAATACCAACAGCTAACTAACTAACTAACTAACTAACTAACAGAAATTTTCAATAATCGAAATATAGAACACTGAAGTTGATCTATTTGAAGCATGTTTTGAAATCAAAATTATATCATAATAAAATATCATTTTCTTGTATTTTTTCCACAATAGCGCACAACAGAATTTTACCTTTTAAAATAGAATAAAATGTAAAATTCTTCTTGCTCGATTTTTTGAAAGCGACGTATTAATAACTGATGCAGTCGTCAAAAAAATAAGCTCATATTAATATTAAGTCAATTCTAATCTAGATACTAATCGAAAACGTTTTGTACACTATCTCCTTATAGAAAAGCGAGAAAAAATGTTCAATATGTTGTACATAGATAATTATGAATCATTGTTTCCTCGTGCATTGCTAGGAATGAGATCCTCGAGACACGAATACATCGTCGTTTTTTTTCTTTTTATTATAATTATATTTGAATTTTTTTATTATTTCAGGAGTTCGAATCGGCTAGCGTCGAACATCAATTATCACACATTCCAACGAAAACACTTGATAATGCCTCAATTGATACTAGTAGTACTATGGAAAATACTACTACTACTACTCTATCATCAGCAAACGATAAATCACTTGATATTTCATTTGAAAAAATTGAATTCGAACGACAACGTTTAGAAGAAGAACTACATACAACAAAAATACGTTTACTCGATACAGCAGAACTTTTAAATGAGTCGGAATTAAATAATGCACGTTTAGATCAACAAGTTACAGTACTCAAAGACGAAATCCGACGCATCGAACGTAATATGGATCGTGCTGAGTCCATATCAAATTTAGAATATTTAAAAAATATTATTGTAAAATTTTTTATTCTAAAATCCACAGATGAACGTTTACAGTTAATACCTGTATTGGTTACAATGCTTAAATTGAGTCCTGATGAACAAGCACAACTTGTTCGTGTTGCAAATTTATCGACAACATTTGATGAGAATTTAAGAAGCAATGAATCACAGGCTGCACAAATAACTAATAATAATGTTAATTCACCTTCTTGGAGTTCATATTTAAATATTTGGTGATATTGACAATTATATTTAAATCTCGAATCTCTTTATTTATTGCTTTTCTTTTTTGTAGAATTTTTATTATAATTTTCTTTTTCTTTTCGCTTTCTTGTCGCCTGCTGTCTTCACTGTTTTTATCTATATGTACGCAAAAAGAAAGTGTGATATTAATATGACTGCAAAATAAGCAACAAGTATTTTTTTTTCTTAATATAAAAGTTTACTAATCACAATATGGATATTTGCATTATAATATGCTTTATCGTTATTACAGTTCGTTTTTTCTATTGTTTTTATTTGTATTATTATTCGTAAAAGAATTTTTACTGACGCGTCATTTTGCCTTTGAGCAACCCTGGCTTTTTTTTTGTATTCTCAAAATACAATAAGGACAAGTAAGAAGAAAAAAATAGTGTAAATTATTGCCTAGACAGTTACAAGGACACAGGTTGATGTATAGGGCGAGAAAAATATCGTCGTGAAAGACACCATCAACATTGATGGCACTGTGCCAAAAGCTTCTTCTCATATATTCCGCACTCTTGCCTACAGCCAATGAAAAAAAAAAGAAAGAAAAAATAATCAGCCTCGCTCTTTTTTTCCATTATTTCTGTGTCAAACAGACTCCCTTTCCACCTACACAATCTATAGAATTTTTATTCGTTAGCACAAAAATGGAAGCCGTATGCATTCTTTCTTCATTGTTTTCTTCTTTCTGCTTTTGTCTCTCTATTCATTGCTTTTGCTTTACATCTTTTTCATTCTATCCTTGTCTAGCTATTTCTATTTATATGTATATACATATATATATAGAATTAGAAACTTCTTTGTTTCCAAACCAATGATTGCATATGAAACAAATGCAGACAAAAAGATTAAAATTCAGCATAAACAAAATATGAGATTATCAAAAAATCGTCGTTGTTTAAACTCCTGAGACAAAATATTTTCCCACTAATTTAATAGCATCGACAGAAACGCATAAATCCAATGAGAAACAATTAATGCCTAAAAACTAGGAATGAAATACGACATAAGTAGTATTAGAAGTAGTTGCGGCGGACGGAATGACGTTATTATAAACAAAAAACACGACGACTACAAAACAACACAAGCCCAATTTATATATATTTTATATGTATATATACATATCGACGAGTTGCAACGATGGGAAAATCGAAATGCGAGAATAATGTATGCAAGCGTATATTATTATATATATATATATATATATATAGAAAGATATATGACGTTGTTTGTTGAGTAGTAGTAACAGCATCAACTACATGAACGATGATAGTATATGAACCTCATATTACTCGATGACGACCAAACGAACAAGAGAGAGAAAGAAGAGAGACAAAAAGAAAGGCATGAGGCTCGTTGGTCGTCGTCGTCGATGCTTGAATATATGCGAGCGAGTGAGAAACAAACGATATGTGCCCGCTTTGTATGATGAAGTTGGAGAAAATGAGAAGCAGAGAGAGTAAGAAAAAATAAGATTTTTTTCTCGTCTCTGGCCGTTCGTTTGCTTACTCTGCCCCGCATACATGCCTGTAATCTAATCTTGTATTCGAGAAGCTTCGACGACGTCGACAACGCCGCAAAATGCTTGATAAAATAAAAAGGAACAAATGCGCTGCGCAATAAGAGAGACGACGAAGACATATAGAGAGAAAGGGAGAAAAAAAAATAGGAGACTCTATTAATAAAAGTAGTGTGCATGCAAGCGAGTAACCGATTGTGTAGACGGGGCAATATATACCCCGAAATACACAACACACTCGGGCTGCTGCATACATCCAATGACGAGAAGAAGAGCAAAAAAAAATAGAAACTACTCGTCTACTTTGTCGACGCCGCCGCGAGCGCCACGTCTAATTGGCGGACGAAATTTTATGCATTCACCTTTTCCTTTCTTCTCTTTCTGTTTCCTCTCTGCCTGCCTATCCAGAGTAGATTTTCTGTGTTCTTTTATCATAATTAGATTCTCAAACAGAGACCACAACCATTTTTATGGTTTTTTGTTGGCATTGTTGTTGTTGTTGTTGTTGTTATTAGTCTTCATTTCATAAGCAAAAGGAAAACAAGAAAATAAATACTTAAGCATAAATGATGGCTCTATATGTCCGTTTTGATCAAAAGCAAAATAATAAAAAGAACCTGATGGAGAAAATTTTCTAATGTAACATAAAAGATACTACTAATTTTGATTAGAATCAGTACCATATCATGTGCCATTAGTATTTTAAATGTACGTAAAGCTGTGCGCATACGCTTGCTCTCCCACTACTACCATCATCATCATCATCATCATCATCATCATTGCCCGACAATACAACATACGATCGTCGCTCCGACCGCCATAGTCGTCGTCGACGATAGTTTGAAGCGCGAGAGCGCGCTCGCACTGTTATACTCTCTATAGTGCAAAATGTATGGAGAAGAAAAGCGAGAGAAAGAGGGGAAAGAATGCTATAGAGAAGAGAAATATAATGTAAGGTGGCTCGTTTTTTTTCTTTTTCTTCTTTTTCTTCTTCTTTTTCTCTCTCTCGCCCGTTCGTTCTTCTTTTCAATGTAGATGCTGGCAACAACAACAATGTTCATCATCATCCCACGTCAACGGCGACGAATATCGCCATTGTTCTGACCTTAAAAATTTCGAAATATTTTTTGTTTCTTGTTTGACAAATTATCGTGTGTGTCTGTATATGATTTACGTTTTTCAACTTGTACATATTTGCATTACTGTATATCGAATGAATTTTTGCCATGCCCAGTGAAACCACGACTAGCAAAGTATCATTATCCATAAAACCAACAGAATCCAGATGGTTGGCTATAGCTAATTTGCCAGAAACGGCTACAGAAGATACAATCAAAGAATGCTTTAAACGGTAGAGACGAATAAAATAAAATTATTAATAGTTAAAAAAATGATAAATTTTTTATTTGATTATGATTATATCTAGACATGGCCATGTTCGATCTATTAAAATCGATGATCAACGTTTTGCTTTTGTCGCTTTTTTGGATGTACGCACAGCATCGAAAGCACATAATGCAGAAAATATTCTCGACGATAAACGATTACGAACAGCATTTCATGATGGTTCAAATTCAGTGCCAAAAGCACTTTTAGAACCATCACCACAACTGATTCAACCATCATCTTTATCGACTAATCTATTACCCGAACAACCGTCACCATTGATTTCTTCGACGGTTGTTGAACCGTCATCTTCATCATCTTCGAACACATCGAATATAACAACAGTGACAAATTCGGTATCGACTAAAACAATAAATGGTGATCGAGATAAACGTCTATCGCGTACACTTGGCAGTCCTGATGAAAATGTTCGGTAAGAAGATTTTCTTGCTTTTTTCCATTTCTTTTTTTCTTATTGTATTTATTGTCATGAATATCTTTCGTTCTGAAACTGATGTTGTAACCACTTTTCTTATTCCTCAGGATCATTATCTAAAAAGATTTAAAAATAGATTGAATCCGTTTTCTGCTTAAACTACGTAACCAATATATGATAGAAGTTTAGATCGTTTCTTTATTTCAATGTTTTACGTTTTTACGTTCTTCGATATATTTTTTTCTTTTTATTCATTTTTTCGCCTTTTGTTCTCTCCTGCATTGTATTATGCGCAACAGTCATCTTATTAGCCTTCAACTTGAGTGGGTGTATGCACAGATTCGTGTATGTATGAGTCAACTTGTCTATTTGAAAAAGAATATGCAGTCCAATAATTGATATTTGTAGCACGATAAAGTTAATACATAAACGAAGGAGGATATTTTTGTTTTTGTTTGTTGGGACGACAAACAAAAAACAACAAGAAAAAACGGACATGTTACTGTTTGGCATTTTTTTTCTCTTCTCGAAAAAAAAATAGTAATAAAAATGAGAATAATAATTAGAATTTTATTTATTTAAATTGGATTTTATTTATTACTGAATTAGGCATCAAGTCGTTCCAGTTAAACGTGATTCTGATTCATCAGGAAGTAAAAGAAAAACATCGTCAACAAAAAATTCGAAGTAAGATTTGATAATAAAAAAAAAAGATCTAGCTCAAGAAAAAAACCTAAAACTCAATTCACTCATTGTTAATTATTTTATTAGAACAGCGAATAGTTCACATTCAACAATACAAAAACCACCACGTCGAAAACATGAAAATTCTTCATCATCTTCTTCGTCTTCATCGTCATCCGAATCCGAACGATCGAGTGATGATAGGTATTTTAATTTCGGAAAATAAAAATATAAAAAAGTAATAAACAAAAGCAATCTTTTATTTAGTATTTCATGTAAAAATCGTCGTCGTAATCCAACAAAAGCTCATTCGTCATTAAATGATCCAATGGGCAAAACTCGAATATTAAAAATTTACCATTTACCATCGAAAACTCCTAGTATGTTTATATTTTTAATTTCGTAAAAATCAATATGAAAGTACTATTTTTTTAATACTTATTATTAATAGAAGAATCAATGCGTGAATCATTATGGAATTTATTTGTTGAATTTAAAAAATCAGGCCGTTTATTAACAGTTAAAATCGACGGTGAACAAGAATCACGCTACGCATTATTAACATTCAGAAAATCTACTGATGTCGATAAAGCTTTAACATTTGCAATAACTAAATCTATAGGAGGTTTACGATTGAAAGCTGAACCATACGATGGAATAATAAATGGTAAAATAAAAACACAGAAATAAACGTTTTGGATTTTTATGATTATTTTTTGTTTTGCTTTGTTAGAAAACGATGAATGTGATATAATGAAACGTTCAGTGTGTCCAGATCCTGATTTTGATGAATATTCTGTAAAAGCAACACGTACTTTATATATAGGAAATCTTCAGTCGGAAATATCTTATAATGAATTACGCGAAGCATATGCAGAATATGGTGATATTATTGTATGTATAAACAAATTTATGTATTTGAAAAGGACATATTTCTTTTTCGTTTTATTTTAAATAGGAACTTGAAATAAAACGTCAAACACAATCTCCACATCAGTTACCATTTGCATTCGTTCAATATGCTGATATTAAAAGTGTTGTTAAAGCAATGAAAGCTTTTGAATCGAAACTTGGACGAGATCACTCAATTAAAGTATATATCGTTCCAAGATATTCATCAGTTATAATCGTAAAATAAAACACATAGATTTTTAAAAGATTAAAACGATTTAGATAATAATGTTTGAATAGGTTTTATGTGACTAATGATTGAATTTGGATTTTGATTGTAATAATCAAATTGATAATAGTCAAAAACTGATTTTTAAAAGGTTTTAAATCTACAGAAACCGAAAAAATAATTCATTGTAGAACTTAACAACAAAAGCATTCGATTACTCATAAAAATATGTGACATATAACACATTTTCCATATATGATTTTATCTACCTATATTGTGATAAATATTTCAAATTATTATTTTATTTCCCTTCTATTAATATCAATCATTAACTTAATACCTATTGATACAAAATCAATATCTAAATCGTTTAAATTTATCAAAAAAAAAAAGATTTTGTTTTCAGTTAATTAGTTTTTTTCGTTATAAATAATTTTAATGTCTTTTTCTTCTTTTTAAGTTGGGATTCGGTAAAAGTCAACCAACAAATGTATTATGGCTTGATGATTTACCTTTAAGTATAACCGAATCGTCAATACGAAATTTTATAATTCGTCACACGAATTTACCTACTTGTGAAGTCGTTGATATATTTATTGATAATCGGAATAGTCATAAAAGTCAAACAGCCCAATGTTTAATTTATTTTACTGAAACACGTGCTGCACAAGAAGCAATTAATTCGATACGTGGAAAAAAACTTGAATCGAAAAAAATACAAGTAGATTTTGCTAGTAAAGTGTTTGTTACCAGATTTTCGGATATTATTGATGAAACTAGTCATAAGAAAAAGTATGTTTAAATTATTTATTTTATCCATGAATATTCGAGTTCTTTTTTTCCAGTTATGGTGGTTATCCGCCTGATTCAACATATCATGGAGAATCTCGACCTGTGTACGTAAAATAAATCAGTAGTTTATCATGATATTTTAGAGAGAAATTTTTTCTTTTTTATTTAGATCAAAACGTAATGGTACAGTACGTGAAATTGTCCCCGAAACAATTCAAACATTTGAAACTGCATCTACTCGAACGAATAGTAGTGATCGATGGTTAAATGCATATAATAATACTAATACTAATGCTAATAATACTAATAGTAATCGATCACAACATAAAAATGATTCAAGACATTCATCCGATCGGTATTCAGATTTAATCCAACTCAATCATGATTTATTTATTTTTATTTTTCTAGACGGCATTCAAAAGAATATGGAAAAGGAAATACTAGTACTTTAATATCCATTCCATCAGGTATAGTTTCTATTAATCTTTATCATTGAAATGACTGTACGTGTTCTTTTATTTATTTTTGTAAAATAACAGTTGATAATGGAACTATTTGTGGTTCGTCAATAAATAGTCGACGACATCGTTTATCAACTTCATCAAAAGACAGTCGTATGTTAAACTATAGTTTGATTACGTTATTTTTCATAATTATCTTGAATTAAACAATGAATTCGTTTTATTGTAATATAGTTCAATAAAACATCAATAATTCTATCCAACCACATGTAAACCATGTGATTTAATTAGCATTTTTCTGTAAATTTAAAAAAGTGGAACGTCTTTATGCTCATGTCGCTCGTTAAAATAGAATTTATTAATGATGAGTGCGACTACAGTAGATAAAAGAGATTTTTTGAACGAGAATCTGTAGAAAATTTTGAGTGAATCAATTTTAAAACAGAAGAGAGAATTGACTGACTTGCACTCTTTGACCTTTAACCTTTTCGCTATTTATTTAACATCAAAATTCAGTTTACTTTGTAACATCTAATGAAGACATACGGTTCGATGAAGTAAAGTTAATATTATATTTTAAAAAGGATACTCTCAAATTTTTGTTTTAAATACAATAACCTGAATAGAATTATGAAAAGATAATAGAATCAATTGTTTTCAAAATAACCTTAAAAATATGTAATAAATTTTATTATTTTCTTAGTTTCAAATAATCTCTCATCCAGTCGAAATATTCATCGTAGTAGTCATGTTCGTCATCATGCTTCGTCAACATCATCGTCAGCTTCAAGATCATCGTCAACAACAAGTCACAGTTCGACTAGTACAAATAGTCTTGAACATCGTTCAAATTCTTATCAAAAACATCATGCAAATAAACATCCACATAAAACATCGAAAAAACCTTCGAAATCTCTAGCAAATAACAATTTGAAATCATCTGGAAAAAAATCTTCATCAAATAAAGAACACACAACTAAATCTTCGAATCGTTCTCGAACATTAAAAACTGAAAAAGATACCGATTCATCAACAATCATTCCAAATTCTCAACAACAACCAAATGTAGCTATTCTTCCTAGTTTAGCACTTGAAGATCATCTAGAAATAATAAAAAAAGAACCAACATTATCACCCAAACAACAACAACAACTACAGCAGCAGCAGCAGCAACAACAACAAACAGCAGCAGCAGCAGCAGCAGTACATTCTTCATCATCACCAAAAGCACCCTTGAAAAATACTGAACGTGTTTTTGATTGGCTCATGCAGAATCATTTACATGATAGTAATAGTTCAATGGGATTAGATCAAAATGATGATGAAGAGCATTCATTAAAACCAAAACCTGACGATGATAGTCTTGAAAATGTGAGTGACGAACAAACATCGAAAACATCACCACCTATTGAAACAAATAATTTAACAACGTCAACAAATATTAAATCAGTATCCGCATCAGCTTTACTAAAAAATGCTAAAAATGAAAAAGCTTCATTATTATTATCATCATCATCCTCATCGTATCGTCTACAGCCAATACGTGCTGGTAGTAAACGAGATGAACAAGGTGATAATTTATCAACAAATGACGTTCATTTATCACCATCACAATCATCAACAACAATAACAAAAGATGATCTTGACAATCATGTGAGTCATCGTCGAATACATAAAACAAAATATCATTTAGCAACAAATCACACAAAAACAATTCCACTAGATTCAGTATCGTCATATGATCAATTAGATGTACGTTTAAGAAGTTATCCATTGTTATTTAATGATCATGTTGAATCTATTCGTTTACCATTTCCACAATTTGCATTTGAACATATTAAAACATCAACAACAGCATCTAATGTTCTTGTTGTACTTAATCCAAAAGCACATTTAAAACATTCATCACTCGGTTTAAATAATCCATCATCATCTTCATTGTTATCAGCAGCAGCAGCAACAGCAACAGCAACAGCAACAGCAACAGCAACAGCAACAGCAACAGCAACAACAGCAACAACAACAACAACAACAACAACAACAACGCCTACGGTAACAACAACCACAACAATAAAATATGATCTATCATTGGATACAAATCTTCTTAATAATACTAATACTACTAATAATAATAACGATGAAGATTTATCAACAGCACGTATACCACTTGATGAACGTATTAGATTATTAGATAAACAAATGTACGAAATGAATCATGGACAACAAAAATCAGCAACATCATCCTCATCTTCATCATCAAGTTCATCACTATCACCAGCAATACTTATTGAACAACAGAATTTAAAATCGACAGCAGTAACAACAACAACAACAACAACATCATCAATAAATCCCAATATCACAGTTAAAAGTGTTAATGAACTTGTATCAACACTTTCAGCATCAGCACCATCGACAACGCTTGCTCAATGTATTCAAGCAGCGCGTGCTGCTGCATTAAATGCTCAGCCAGCACAAACAATATTACCATCTAAAACGACACCAACAATTTCAACAACTTCACCATTTCATTATCCAGTTACAGCTGTGCCAACATTAAATTTAAATCGGCCTATATCAGTAACAACTTCATCATCGGCGAATATTTCAGTATTAACACCACCACCACCGCCTCCACCTCCAGCACCATTTACAAGTTTGCAACGTTTATCTGATCCATCATCAAATTCAATATTAAATACATTTCATGCGGCTATTGCTCAAACACAACTAGCAGCAACAAAATATAATTCAATGTAAAAATTTTACTTTTTAACTAATACACATGAAAATTTTTATTTTTATTTCTTCTGCTCTTAGGTCATTTGCTAATACACTTCATCCTCCACCTCCACCAGTACCACCATCACTCATATCACCATCGCTTCATCTTAATACTTCATCGATAACATCAACACTCGGTACTTCATCGAATAATAGTCTAATATCATCATTAAATATTCCTTCTCATCATCCTCCTACGCCAACATCGTCATTACCTAATCGTTCAATTTCAACAAATCTTCTAAGTTCACCCACATCTAATATTCCATCTGTATCACCATTTTCTGATTCATCAATGAATTCACCTAGTACATCGTCAGCTAAAATTCTTGAACGTCTCGGACCATCTGCTAAATTTAAACGTAAACCTATTCCACCACCATTAGTTGTTAATACAACATCAACGACACCAACAACACCTACCAATAATAAAGATTCTCCTACATTACTATCACCAGAATTGACAACGCCGACTAATACTGGATCTAATATACATCGTTCACCAGCAACAATTGCTTCGCCTGTTCTTCAACACCAAACATCAACTGGTTTAAAATCTATATTGAAACAACGTTCATTATCAAATCCATCACCACCGTCACCATCACCAACAAATGAACGAAAAGCATCAACAAATTATGTATCACCATTAGCATCAAATGAAACACGTTCAACATCACAAATAACATCAACGAATAGTCGTTCAACATCAATTGATTCAACAACAAAACGTACACCGCCATCAACACCAACCGTAACAAATGAAAAGAAAAAATCTCTTAATCAACAAGATACAAATGTATTTACAAATGATATTGATGAACGTCAAGGAGATGATAAAAAATCTACATGGCGTTCACCTGCTACTAAGCAAACAGTTGTGAGTGAAACGAATGCGACGAAAAAACCAACATTAGATAAAATTCCGAAAAAAACATCAACAATATCGAAACCAACTGTAAGTGAATCTATCAAGCCTACACCTAAAGTAACTAAACCTACAAAACAAACAACATCGGCTGCACCCCTTGGCTCAAAGGTCCCACAATTAACGCTTGAACGTGTTGATACAAAATCTTTGAAGACATCAACAACAGCAACAACAACTACTACTACGCCCACGACGACGACTGCTGCTGCTACGGCTACTACTTCTACTACCAATATTGGATCAAACGAAAAATTAGCTAATAAATCGTTGAAATTAAAACGTACTAATATTATACATAGTGATAGTGATACAGAAAAAAGATCGATAACAACTGATGTACAAAAAACGAAAAAGTCTTTACTAAATAATGATATAGCAAAACGTCAACAGCAACAGCAACATCAACAAAAACCAGTTACGACCAAAAAAAATCAATTAGTTAAAACAAAACCTAAAACTTTAACTAATACAGTAAAAAGTTCAACAACTTCAGAAACACATTCATCGGCGTCAGATATTGGCGAAAAGAAAGTTGAACAAACTGTAATGAATTCTGATCATGAACAAACATCGACTGATAATGGTGAAATACTTAGAAAAGAATCATTTAATAAACGAACGAAAACAACAAATAAAAATAAAAGATCAATGCAGAATCTTTCCAATTGGCGAGACTTAAGACAAGATACCAGTATGTATGATAGAATTAAAAAACGAGCCAGAAGTGAACAAACACGAAATAGGTACGAATATGTTTTGATTAATTTTTAATGAATTTCAAATGAAAAATATTTGTTGAAGTCAATAGAAGAACGAAAAAATTTACTTCTGCCTTTAGTTTATATTTACTTGAAACAAATATAACTGCTAATTTGATAAGATTTGTGTATCTTAGAGGTGGATACAGTTCAGTTTAGAACAGTGTTTTATCTAGGTCTTATTTTCTTGAATAACAATTAAAAACTGTTTGATGAACGTATTTACATAGAAATGATAATATAATTACAAAATCCCAAAAAGTCTACATGAATCTTAGAGATGAATAGCCTATTCGGATCTTAAAAAAATAGCTTCAACTATGCAAAAAATTTATCATTTTGAAATTTTATTATAAACTCGAATAACAATATCAGTTTTGATGAAGCCAATTTGATCATTTAGTGAGACATTATATTCAGATTCACGAGAAAAACCAATGAATCACTGTCGAGTTTATATTAGTTGTGCATTAGTTAAACACTGATGAAATATGAATAGCTAAAAAAAATAATTTCAATTCATAATATATTAATGCCGATATGTTTTTGTCTTTTATGGTATTATTTGAATCAATATGATTGTTCATTATCAAGAAACAGAGAAAACCTGAATTTTGAATATTTCAATTCGAAACTTTGTATAAACAGATGCTAAAGAATATAAGTTATTATGAAAATTTCATATCTTTTTATTTTCTTTTTGACAAAAATTCGAAAAGTAATATTTTGTTGGTCTAAATCAATGAAATAGGAGACACACGTCTTTATTGTAGTTATGCATATATGTTGTTCTAGCTGTTACGACAAGAATTGTTAGATTCAAGTAAAAAAAAATAGCATGAAAGTGCTGCATCTCAGCACTAATAATCTATGAATATGAATTAGTTTCAAGATATTCATATTTTATTACGGTTTAAATAATGCTCACCAAGTCTAGACTTGAAAGTAATAGATTACTTTCAAGATTCCTCTATCAGTAGCAATTCTGTACTCATAATCAAAAAAGTAAAGATATTCTTCTAGCTTGTAATTAATATTTCAATTTAAAAAACAAATCTTCAAGTTTTCGAGATGTTTCTCAAATCATTTTTCTTTAATCATAACGTTGACTAAAAATGGTCAGTGTTACCTAAACTAATTGAAATTTAGTTAAATTTATATATAATAATCTTTTCCTTTCTTTTATTTTTTCTAGTTCATTATCAACTAGTGATAGTCATTTATCTGATGGAAACAGTGATGACGACGGTGATGATAATGATGATGATGACGATGACGACGACGACGACGACGACGACGACGACGACGATGACGATGATGATGATAATAATGACAACGATGAAGATCGAATACGTAGTCGACCGGTCAATATAGCACCAAAACGACATGTAATTCTGAACAAATTTTCTTATTATTTAATTTTCTAATAATCTTATTTTGTGTTTTATTTTAGAATGTTATGAGTGACTCATCCGATTCTGAAATCGAAAAGCCGACAAAAACTAAAACTAAAGCTAAAACCGCAACCGTTTTCGATAATAATGTATTTGATGCTGAAGAAAGTGATGAATCAACTAAACCTATGAATCGTAAAAAGAAAGTTAATCAACAACAACCGCAACCGCAACAGCCACAACAAGTGAAGAAATCGGTATTAAAAACAAATAGTGAACAGACTAAAAAAGTTGAACCGATTAAAAAAGAAAAATTACCTAAAGCTAATGATGAACAAACAATCGCTACAAAAAAGAAGATAACTGTAACAAAAACAATCGATAAAAAGAAATCATCTATACCAGCTACAGTAAAATCAACATCAAAAGTAACTAAAACATCAGTTTCAACACCGAAACGACCATCAACAGATGAATCAAATGAACCAGCAAAAAAGATGAAATTGGATGATGAAAAACCTAAAATTGTTGCAATTGAAGAACAACCATCATTAATAAAATCATCATCAACAATAACAACAATTCAAACTGAATCAGAAATTCTACCAATAAGTAAACCATCAATTGTTCTTACAGCACCATCGGATGAACCTTCTACAACTCTACCCAAAGTTGATGAACCACCAATAGAAACGAATTCTCAAACAACACCAACTAAATTTGGTATTGTATTTCCTAGTCATCATCGTCATTCAACAACAACAACGCCGCCGCCACCACCATCATCATCATCGATTCGTGCACAGTCAACTGAAACATTAGTAACTCATGAAACATCGAAAAATGCTGATGAGCGTATGGAGAACGATAATGAATCAATATCTGTTAACATTAATAATAATGATACAACTATAAAAGATGAACTAATAACATCGAATACATTAAAGCCACCAACGGTAACAGCTCAGCCACCATTGAGCGACGATGAAACACTAAATCCAGAGACGATGCAACTTAGCGATTTAATTGGTACTAGTCGACATGAAGAAACAAAGCCTACTCAATCGCGTTCAACAGCTAGAACAACTGGTAAAGGTAAACGTGGACCAAAACCAGATACGACTACTAATAAACGTCAACAAACAAAAGCTAACTCTATAATCAGTCAATCGATAATTTCAAGTGAAAAACAACCCGAATCAATTAAAATATTAGTAGATTCAACTGCAACATCATCTATAGAACAACCAACTCCAACATTAACAACTGTTAAACGTCTTTCTACAACAGAACCGGCATCTGTATCATGCTCAGTTATTGATAAAGAGCCGAAACGTTTACGAATAAGTACAGATGATTCAATGTTACCATCACAACATAAAATTGAAACTACTGAAAAATGTTCGCCATTAACAGATAAACAGATTAAAGAAGATACTATTGAACCAACTTTAGTATCTGAAAAAGCTAAACAAGACACTCCACCACTTCTACGTTCAGTCCCATCACAATCACAACTACAACCACTTATTGATCAATCACAAGTGACACCAATGGAAACTGATCAAATTCCATTATCATCTTCGATAATAGCATCAACAAAATCGCCATCAACAACAAATGCTGAAACTGAAACTGTTATTAAAGCATTATGTTCATCCATTCCAATACCACCACCACCACCACCACCATTACCGAAAATATCGAATCCAGAAAAAATGGCACCAATTATAGCACCGATATCAAAAGAAACTTTACCAATTGTTGAACATAAGCCACCATCTATAACAACGCCTTCTGTATTACCTTCACATGTTCCAATTAAGTCATCAATAACATCAACAACATTTAGTATGTTTTCTTTTTCTCTTCTTTTTTAAAACATTCAGTCTGTTTATATCGTTTTTCTTTTTGTCTATTTTTTAGATGAAAATGTTGAAGAGACATTAAGCGCTGTTAATAGTCTTCTTATGCTTAATAGTAATCCTTCGAATATATCTGGCGATCATCCAGCATTGAAAGGTGCTGCACGTATAACACCAACAATAAGTAAACCAGTCTATTCATTAGTTGCATCGTTACCAAGTCCAACAGATCAACCATCTCGACAGGTAACAACCACAAATGTTTCAAGTATTCCAACACAAAAAAGTGATTTAATAACAATGGTATCAAATATTGTTTCATCATCGAATATTACTGGAGAAAAACAACCAGTCACAGCACCAACGCGTACACCACCACCACCACCACTATCATCATCATCATTATCATCATCGTCTTCATCTACATCCGCATCAACAACAGCAGCTACCACACGGTCTCACATTGAAGAAGTTATTGATGATGTTGCTAAAAGTGCGTCAACAACAGTAACAACTGGAGTAATAACAGAAGTAAAAACATCGATAGTTGATTCAAATTCACTCTCGTCATCATCGCCGGCATCATCATGTTCGTCCACTGTAACTACAAAATCAACCTCAATACCAAATATATTACGTGACGTTATGAAGACACCTTGTTTAACAACATCAAAAACTATTATAACGCCAACTACAACAACAGTAACAAGTGAAACATCAAATCTATTTGACTCACATCGTCATTCGAAATCACCATTAAAACCTACAACAACAATAACAACAACAGCAAATATTCCAGCAGCAACAACACCATCAGCTGCACCTGTTGTACCTATTCTCGTTCGCCCAACGCTATCAAAAACTTCATCCAGTCATAAACGTTCGTCAACACCTAAGACTGAATCACTACCATCACCATCACCATCGCCATTGCTACATCAATTTCCGCATATGCTTACACCTGATGGTAGTTTATTTGCGGCTGCAGCAGCTGCTCATCATTCAAATTTTCCATTTCCATTATTCGCTCCATTGCCATCAAATCCATCGAATCCAGTAGGAAATTCATCATCAAATCTACTTGCCTTACCGCTTGTGTCAAGCTCTCCACCATTATCTGCACGACCGCCGTCAACCAATAGTAGTAGTCCGAGTACAAGTAGTCATATTATTAGCAGCTCATTTCTGAATACAATTATGGCTGGACAACAGAATTCGTTATCAGCAAATCCAAATCCACATAGCCATGAAAAAGGATCAAAACGGTAAAGTTTTTCTTAGTTAAGACTATTTTTTTTCTTAACTATCATTGTATTTTTTAGAGAGCCTGTGAACACAAAAGGTTCAAGTACGCCATCATCATCATCAAATCGTTCAACATCGATTCAACAAACAGTACCAGTACCGATTGCATTGACGATTCCATCAACATCATCATCTTCTTCATCATCATCATCATCATCATCATCGTCATCATCGTCTAATCCAACAACAAATTCTGTTCTTAATCAACAACAGCAACCACCATTATTAAGTTCACTTGATGCTGCGGCAGCTGCTATGCGACAGCAAGGATCACCTTTACAACAATTTATTGGACCAGGTTTGTCACATCTATAGTTTTTTTCTTTAGAATTTTCACTCTATAAGCAATATATAAATATTTTTAAGATTCTGTTGTACCATTTCGAAATGTTTACGCTGATCCATCTGAACTCTACGGTGCACCAACGAGTCTTTATTCATCGCCAAATATGGCTTATGCTGCAGCTCAACAAATGCTTAATGTTATCGGTATGACTGGTAGTCATCATCCATCGGCTGCTGCATTCGCAGAATTATATTCGAATCCAGACTCATTTTTTCGTTTAAATCCTCCTACAAATGAATTATCACGTGACCCATATAATGTTCAATGGCAAGGAAATTTCATACTAAAAAATGATCAAGCCTATGTTAAAACTCAACTTGTTGCTGGTAGTCCACAGATAGCACGTGCATCAATGAATTATTGGAATTCTGATTCACTATCAGCAACATCAACAAATTTACAAACATCATCACATCATAATCTTCGTATATCACAACGTATGCGTTTAGAACAAACACAACTTGAAGGTGTTCAAAAACGTATGGTAATGGATGCTGATCATTGTATATTAATAGCTGAACCCAATGGCTCAACGCCCGATGAAATACGTATACAACAAAACAATTTAAAAAATGGTGTTATTCGATATTTCGATGAAAAAAAAGCAGCCGGCATCGTCAATGTTTTGCTACCCGGTGCATCACAGCCAGCCTATGTTGTACATATTTTTCCACCATGTCAATTCGCATCTGAAATCTTACAAAAACGTGCACCGGATACGTATCGCTGTGTTGTTCAGAATAAAATTGAACAAATTTATTTGTTAATTGTCATAACGAGTACAGTTCAATAGTTCTGTAACATTTTTTTTTTTGTTATTTCAATTGTTTTTTTCTTCTTTGTTCTATTTCCTTCTCAAATCTTTTTTTTCTTATCTACATACATACACACAGTGTTCTTGTGTACTATTGTAGTCAGTATTCGATGTGATGCTTCTTTATTTTGTATAGTTTCTCATAATCTTCTTCTTCTGGCTTATGTTGTTTTTTTTCTTTTTGGCTCTTATATATATATCTATACTTAATTTCTCCCTTCTCGTATAGAAACACACACACACACACACACACACATTCATGCTGATAGAATTATGCGAGTTGTGGGAATAAAAAAAAAGAAAGAAGGGAAGAAGAATCAGTTTTTGTTCTTGGTTTTTTTGTTGTATATTCAATGTTTGTTAGTGTGTGTGATTTAAATAGATGAACGACGTTTATCTTGTATGCTCACCAGGTTTTTCTTTCTGTTTTTCTTTGTGTTTATGGAAGTATATTTGTTTTTTTTTTGTTTCACGCGAATGCAACGCAGTAAAACAAACAGAAAATATTCTAACTTGAAAAAGAAAAGTTAAGAGTATAAGACAAAAAAAATCATTACGTCATTTATAATTGTTGGCCCTAGTGTCCTTTGCCTTTTAGTTGGTATATCTATTGACTCGAGGATTAATTCTATTGATGATCAAAGGCAAAGTGCTTCGATTGCATAGGGGGAAAAAAGAACGATGTCTATGATAATTCACTCGTATACAGTTTGTGCGTAGACAAGAACATACGAGTATGTAGCGCACATGTAAGCTCTCAACAATGTGATCATTTCTATTGACAAATTAATATGCATCCTTGTGAGCACTAACAAGAGCAGAAACAGCACCAATCTCAGTTACTCTCTCTCTCTCTCTCTGTGTTCTACTATTTTTCCTGTTGTCGTCGTCGTTGTTGTTGTTGCTACTGCTACTGCTGCTGCTCATTCGATTTCTTTGCAAGATATTTCCATCATTTAGACTCAACGGATATCCATTATCTCACTTGTATACATATAGTACGTGCTTGATGCGTGTGCAATGCACCAAGGGCATCATTCGCATTTTAATACGCGGATAGATATCAACAAAGAAAAGCTCGATCTCTCTAACAATGAGTCGACTTTAGACGCTGAAAAAAGACCAATTTTTATTCATTCTGCTAACAAACGATCGATCGTTTCAGGGCTTCTCTAATTGAATCAGTCGGACGAACAAATTAGTTTTGACATGGGCTTACTCAACGGTTCTAAAGCATTGTTACATTTTTTGCCATTATCGATGTCGTAGCAATGCGATCAACTAACGATTTCTACGTCGTCATTCTCAAAATATAAGTAAAGCAATTTTGATCGGTTCGAGCGGAAGTAATAAATATTGTGATGGATTTTTTTCAAATAAAATCAAAGACGTAAATACTTATAGATATGTAATAACATTTTTCTACATAGTTTCTAGAATAAGTATAACAACCGATATGTTACCCGATGGATCTTTTCATTTATTTAATCTTTGGCATTGCGCCATGTAATTCTATTTTCTTAATTTCTTCTCTGTTCTTCTAGTTTTTCTTTCGTCTTCCGATCTTTGCTATTCAATTGGATGTGACAAACATGGTCTAATCGATGCCGACCGGCGACTCGCGTTGACAAGGATTAACGAATATGTAGACCACCATATGGCGTGTGTGTATATAACATCGATCAATTAACATACTTTTCGCTTCTCTTCTGATGTACAGTCATTACGATCGTGTTTTTTTTAGTAACATAATAGTAATTAACTCAGTAGTTTATTTTACTGAAATACTTCAAACAAAAAAATTTTCATTGATTAATGAAAGACAAAATTAATGGCAACCTTTTGATCGTTCTAGCATGATTAGTATGGTTAGTATTTCTCGTATTCCCTGCTGACGCAGCAAGGTCATAATCGTTAATAAAAGCAGATGGATTTCAATATAAATATAACACATCTATGAAGATGATGAGGAGAAAACGAAAACGAAGAGCGGTAAGTAATAGCCACTTGATGATGTCAAGTAAAAAGTAAATGATCACAATCGGGTCATCCTATTGACATTTCTAACCGAATGTTATGCAAGGGCATCTATTTTGTATATCTATTGCCCTTCAATTATGTTCTCTATCACTTTTTCGTTACTGTCAAATAGGCATTTAGATAGGAAAGCGAAAAGAAAATGAAGGTATAGTGTTTTCTTATTCTTTGTCTTCGTCTTTATTCGTCATTCTCTTCTCTTGTCATGTCATCTACCAGGCAACAAAAGAGAAAGAAAGAGAAATACGAAAATAATTGAACACTCGTATTGTATTACAGCCCCTCGATTCTCACTTTTTCTTCGTAATACTGTTATGAAATGAGAGAAAGTGAGAAACAAAAATAGATTTCCATGCAACAGATGTCAACTAAAAACAGCATCAAAATAATAATAATAATGATAATAACAATTCAAATGACAAGTTACCACTATATATAGTTGCTTCTACAATACCACCCGCTATTCTATATGTGCAAGAGTAAATGCAAGCAAACCTGAAATCAAAGCTTGTTAGAATACAACTACAACAAAGAAGCGACAGGCGCGCACGTACGTCATTCTTTCTTTCTTTCTCTCTCTCTCTCTCTCTCTCTCTCTCTCGTCTTTCTCTTCGTCTTCCTTCCGTCTACCTTCCATCGAATGAAAAGAAGTAGTGGCAATAGCGGTCACCTTGTTTCTATTCTTCTTCTTCTTTGTCTTCCTCATCTTTTCATTTTTTTTCCAGATACATCATGAACTGATGAATGAAGAAATCGTCGAAAGCAACCAAAACGGTGATGTCCGGTGGCATGTTTATGAATAGCAGCAGTAGTAATGAAAGCAATTCAGATGATGAAAAATGTAATTTACCAACTACTGATTTAATTTTTTCGGAAAATGAAAAAGCCGATGAAGAACCAGTTGTTGTTATACGACGAAATATTAGTAAACTTAAACGACAGCAAGCAACTACATCATTGCAATCCTCATTATCCATTCGAAATATATCTTCACTCGATTCCATAGATAATCATGCTGTTAATGATGATAATGATGCAATCCTATCTGATCAAATGACAATAAGAAATTCTCATAAAACAGTAGATAATAATGATCATGACATAAATCGAACAAGTTTTAATGAATCTGAACGTACAGATAGTGGTATTGGACGTGATAGTGGATCAAGTTGGAGGCTTAGCAGTTATAGTGAATCATTCCATTACTATCAACAACAGCAACAAGTAGACAAACAACTAGGTATTTACATGTCATTGAATAAGATTCATTTAAGTCGGATAGAATGTGAAATTGTTAAGTAGATTTTACTTAGAAATAACAATGATGTTTGTAATCCGTTTGATTTATATGAAGGTCACACTTTTGAATAAGTTAAAATTTATTTTCATTAAACATAGTTGTGTATAATCCTAAACATATATATTCGTATTGTATTGATTTTAGATTCAGAGTCCAATGATGAACATGAACATGATGATGATGGCGATGATGCTACTACGCCAATCCCACAAATAAATGTTAATAGTCAATCGTCTGAGGATTCATTTGAAAATTTTCGATTACAAAAAGCTAGGTAAATATATTTAACGTTCGATGTTTGTTTTCATGGTAAAGTGACTTATGTTATTTTTAAGTTGGCTTCATGTTAAACATTGGTTAACTGTTCAACGTCAGCATAAGGTTGAATTAGCATCCAAACGTCAATGGAAACGTTTTTGGACATGTTTAAAAGGATCCAATTTATATTTGTATAATGATTATACAGATAGTAAAGCGAAAATTACAATAAGTAAGTTCTAAGCATTACAAAAAAGGAAAAAGAAAAAGAAAAAAGAAAATCTTCATTATTAAATACTAAGATTAATCAACCATTTGAGTGAATACTATGTAATTGCGTTTTTTATCACCGTTTCTATATCATATAACTTTTCATCCAATATTTTTTAATTATTGATAACTATTGTTAGCTTATTTACACATATTTTTATCAGGTTGAATAAGAAGAAACATGAAAGAATACATTTGTGTATGCCGTCTGATTTATCGTATTGAACAATCACACTTATTCGACGAGTATTTTAATCTATACTCATATTCTACACCATCATTGAGACTAACACTACCACTACTACTATTATTCTTCTTCTTCTTATTATATACTTCGAAAAAGAATCACTACTGAAAGATTATTATTCGACTTGATTTACTGTTGTAGAATTTTATTTCACATGAAGTTTTCTCATTATAATATTCTTTTTATTGTTTTCACTTTATATTTTTTTTCTCTTCAATTCCTATTTACATGTGTTTATAAAGTCCGAAGCACCCTATAAAGAAATTTGATCTAGATAATATGAGTAGATTGATATCTATTAAATTTCAAAAGTAAATCAAAACTTTTCTCCAAACAATTCATTTTTGTAAAAAAATAGTTTGCTATTTTGTTATTGCAACTTTAATAGTCAACAGTGAGAGGTTTCAATGTCCGTGAACGTGAAGGTAATTCTAAAATTACTCTATACATGAGTATCTTCTTTAGAAACTGTCTGAATTGTCAAAAGACAAAACAAAAACTTAATAATATTCCACAGATAATTTTTATTTTCATATACTTGAATATTGAACAAAACGTAATATCATAGATGAATAAATTAGATTATAGTATATATGTTAGAAAGAAGTACAAAACAATGTGTCTTTTTGCGTTTCTAAGCCTAAATGAATTACAGATGTGTGTACCATTATTGATTAGGAATCTCAGTTTGTTATCATTTAAATTTGGATCATGGTGAGAATTGTATTTGTAAAAGGAGGATAAGAACAAGAGAATAAGAAAAGCAAAATACAATGCACACATTGAATGTATGTAGGACGACTAATCACAGCTTAGTATCCTATAGAGTGAATGATTGCTAGAACGCAAGATAAGATACAAAATAAACATTTCTATTGTATTTTATATATCTTTTATTATTATTATTATTCTAGACATCATTGAAAGTCTTTGTTGTCCATTACCCGAACATCCCAATCGTCAACACGTATTTAGTTTAACTACTCATACTGGTGATACATATTGTTTTCAAGTTTGTTAAATATAATTGTTTTTATATTTTTTCATTTGAATGAAAAATATTTTTTCTTTTTTTCCAGTCATCTGATCAAGTCGAATTGAATCATTGGATTAGTAGTATACATCATTTTTGTTCATTGAAAACAAATGAGAAATTATTAAGAATATCCATAAAAGAATTAGAAGAAAATATTGAACGTGAAAATAAAATGCGTAAATTAGGTGAATTACAATTAAATTCGTCAGCCAGTCAAAAAATTCGTTTACTCATATCAAAACAAATTGATCTCTGGGAGAAAAATTTAGAAGCATTTCATGTTGATCTATTTCGTAATAAATGCTATCTATGCGCATTAACAAATGATCGAGATTTACCGAATCCAAAAGATTTACTTTCGCAAGCATCACCAACCACCAAAGCAGTCTTAAATAAATTTGCTGCATTTACACCGTGTAGTTTTTATACAGTTATTGCTGCCCGTCGTCGAATAGATCGTCAGGGATCAAAGTATAAATCCTCTAGTGCAGCTATGAAAGCTCATCGTCATCATCATCATCATCAACAACAACAACAACAACAACAAACAAAATGTTATTTAACTACACCAACGAGTTCTATAGATTCTATTCAATCTCCAACAGTAGCTGATCAAACTATTCTACAAATGGTTACATGTGATTCAGGTCCTCATATGGTTAGTTTTTAAGAGATATTATGTGAAAGTGTTCGCTTTGTTTTTAGAATAGTCACTTAGATGGTTCATCTTTTTAAGTAAAAATAGGAAAGCTGTCTTTTGTTGCGTAGAGAAATGTGTTAAATAGAGATTTATGACATAAAGAACGCGTGAAAAAGTTTTTTCAATTGAAAATAAAGCCTTTAGATTTAAGCAAACTATTGTATAGATCACAATTCAACAGAGATGAACTAAAATGTGCTAGTCAGCCACAAAGGAAAAAAATAAAAAGACTAGTTATTGACGAAGATTTCTGAATATGTTGTGAATACATATGAAACTCATTTTCTGGACTTCGATTTTGACATAGAAAACTATTTGTTGTGCACATCTCTCGTCCAAGAAAGTTTTGATTTTCTAGTAGCATTTACAAAATTTTTCCACGAGAAAAAAGACTCTACTACTTACTCATTTTGTCCTTTGCCTTTATATGTATATAATTATATGTCTGACATGACCGGCTCAAATTGCATACTATATTATTAGAAGAAAATTGAATATCTTTCATCAGTTCATGTTTTTGTTTTGTTTTTAATTGAAGAGAACCATTGTATCAATTAATGAATCAGCAAGTGTTGGAGAATTATTAAAGCGTGTAGCCGACAAATTAGGATTACAAATTGATGATCATTTTCTATATTTTCATTCGACATCATCTCATGGATTCGTGCCAAGTCGAAATGAAAAACTCAACAATCTTGTATGTTAAATTTTCGAAATAAAAACAGTAAACACGATTCTTCATTATTTCGTTTCTGTTTAGATTTATTCATCAATTGAAGCACGTCGGAAAATTGTGTATCAAATAACATTAAATAGTCAACTTAATATGTCTGGCATTGAAATAATTACGGAATTATATCGAGAATATTCATTACAAGTTATTGTTTCCAATGTTAAAAAAGGAAGTGAAAGCGAAAGATTAGGTACGTTCAAAAGCAAAACGGAGACTTGAATCTAAATATTTAGTAAAAACTCAATCGTTATTATTTTTTTTTTCTAGGAGTTAAAGAAGGTGATGAGATAGTTATTGTAAACAATTCAATTGTACAAGATCTTAGTCTTGATACACTGGATCAATATTTTAGTCAAATACCAATTATGCTAACGATTCGTTCATCAAGGTTAGTTGGGAAACACAGAAATATGAACAATTTGATTATTTTCTTTTTTTTAAATTTTAAAGATTAATTGAATCAATGAATGATCCAAATCGTAAATTTGATTTTTCAAATGCAATCATTCAAAATTTGATATGTCCACCACCGCCACCACGTATCGAAAGATTATCACGACAAGAACTTCGTGAACTTATTGTTCCAAAACCGGACTCCGATGGTTCGAATGGATTGATATCATCTATTAACAATGATTCAAAAGAAAATGAGCAAACATCATCATCAGCAGCACTCGAACGTTTATTAAAGAATGTTGATGAAATAAGCCGATATTGTCGACCGACGACTACTATATTAAATACGAATACAGAACAAATGAATACAATACATCCAACGCCACGTATCAAAGCTCTGTCAAGTGCTCAACGATTGCGAAAAGTTATTTTTGAATTAGTTGAAACAGAAAAATCTTATGTGCAAGTACGTTTAAAAATCAGAATAATTTTATTGTTGAGTAAAACTAGAAATTGTATGTTCTGATTGAAGTTCGAAATCTTAAGATATGAATAGGGACCATTATAGTTTTTAATATAAGTATGATTTATCGAGTATTCATCTTTTTTTCCAATAGTGAAAGCTTATTCTGTGAAAGTTTATTAAGAAAAAAATCAATAAAAACTTCATTTTCTATTCGATAGTATTGACACGTGGGAGAATCGTACTAAAGAAAAAATGATATTCAAATAGTAATACTTGTTAAACTTTGATAGATATATCAAATCAACTTTTGTCACAGAACAAACAAATTTAGGAAATTATTCTTTATAACGTAAATCCATATGAATATTTATATAGGTTCCTTCTTCGTTGGACGACTTTTTAGATATTTTTTTTTATTAGTATTGATAAGAAAACGAGATCCCATGGATCATAAGCAATAGAATAGATATTTAAAATTATTTTCCCTTTTGTTTTTAAGGATATGCAACGCTTACTCGAACGATATATTGAACCGTTACGTGATGATGCAAAACTTTTACCTATGGATGCAATTGAATCATTATATGTTAGTGTTAAATCGATTCATCAATTACAACAAACATTTCTTAAACGTCTTGAATCAAATATTCCAACTGAAATCGTTGCTTATAATGCTATTCATGAATTTCGTGTAAGATGTTTTTATTCGTTTATGATTGTTATCTAAGACAAATTTTATTGATTTCTAGGATATTCTTGTATCAATAGCTGATACATTTCTTTCTTATGCTCAATATTTCAAATTATATTCAACATTTTGTGCTATGCATTTAAGAATAAATCGTCTACTTGATATTCATCAAAATAATCAACATTTAAAAGAATTTCTTGCTGCACGTAATCCACGTCATCAACATTCATTATCATTTGAATCCTATTTGATAAAACCAGTTCAACGTATACTTAAATATCCATTACTTATACAACAAATGTTAACATTTTCTAATTCAAACGAAACTAATTCGAACGAACCCGTATTATGTTTTGAAATAATAAAATTGAAACAAGCTATTAAAATGATGAATGATATTGGTGAATACATGAATGGGATGCAACAACTTTATGAAGATTTTGGACAATCATTTGAATATATTACTAAAAATTATAGCGAAGAACATAATAAAGTATATATAAAATTTAATATTTTTACTTTTATAAACGAATATAATCAATTTTCCAATTGTTTACGATTGTGTCCTTTCGTTCGATACTAATCACTAGTAAAAATCTCTATTTTGTGTTCTATAAGTATAGAGTACTTGAGAGCTAGAATGATCTACTATCTAGATAAAATTTCGTTCCTATTCATCGATAAATCTCATAGACATGAGAGACAAGTAATAGATTACAGCCAACACGAACATATTCCTAGTGGACAAACAAGAACTTGTTTCAAGTTCCACTTAAAAAAAAAAGAATATTTCAATAGAAAGTTGATATTTCGATATGAATAGATTTATTTAGCTTAAAAATTTGAACTCTGTCTAGTCATCATGAAAGATATTTATGGCTGAAATTACCGCTTTAAAATGAATTATTTAAGTTCTCAATGATTCTATACTCATAGACTCAAGTATGAGTAAACATCTGATAGCTCAATAAGTGAAGATCGAAAATATCAGTAAAAAATAGATTGTTTTTACTATTCATGACTCGATTGATTGAACAATTCAAAGCACTTACCACAGTTGTTATTCTTTTTAAATGTGTCTTTTTTCTTTTAAATTAAGAGTTTACAATTAAATTTACCTGATCTCTATGCTTATGGAGAACTTGAGTGGATAAATATGCATTTATTTCTACTTGGCAAACATCATCAACGTTTAAAAGCCTACTGTTTCGTTTTTCGTAATGGATGTCTTATATTAGTACGTGAACAATCCAATAAGAAAAAACCAGTAAGTGTTCATTTGAAATTATTTGATGAAAAACAGTTAAAATCAATAACTTGACTTCTTTTCTTAAGGATTTATTATCCATTCAAAAAGGAAATAAAATCATATCTGATCGATTCATTCGATTTATTCCAATGGAAGATGTAAATGTTGAATTAATTGAAAATGATGAAAGTAAAGATAATAATATTCCCACATGGCAATTAATTCACACTGATTCAAAGACTCGTTTGAAAACGTATTTTCGATTTGCTAACAAGTATATAGCTGCATGATAGTTTTCTTTTTCGAAAATGAAATCATTTTCTATTCAATAGAGATGCTCAAACATTTATTAAGACAATCAACAATTGTATTTCGTCCATAGCAACAACAGTCGAATGGCGACAAAATTTATATGATCGTACAATAACAAGTATTCGTAATTCTGAACCATCGTATTTGACAAAAAAGCCTTCTTCACAACGTTTATCATCAAGTCGTTCGTGTCATGTTTTATTAACATCCAATTCAAGGTCACTACCTCGACAGTCTGATCACAGTCGACGCAGCCCTTCACCTATTTGGAAACGACGATCAACACCAATCCGAAAACAACTATTATCAATGAATATTCGACATAAAAGTATACGAAATTCGACTGATTGTTAATATTTGTTTTATTTTCTTTTTCGTTCTTTTTTTTTCATGCGTTATTTTTCTATATAGTATATTGATGGTTTCACTTTTTTCTCGGTCTTCTTGGTGCTTTTGTATAAATGACTGATGTATAAGAATTCGACGATCTTAGAATAACGAGTTGAATAGACTTAATTCTGATGATGATAATGATGACGTTGAAAATTGTAATGCACGTTTAGTTCTAATAGATTCTATTAGTAGTAATGAAGATGTTTCTTGTTTGAGATTTTCGGTATTAATTAAAATGTTTCAATCGATGACATTATTCGTAGATGCAATGAACAATGATTCTTTTTGCAAACGATCTACTTCTGTTGTTAAAATATTTTTTTGTTTTTCTTAATAGAACAGGAGGTTGTAGAAGACTCTTTCTTTTATAAAAACAGTAAATATACTGATTGTTTTGTGCTTGAAGAAAGAAATTGTAATCATAGTTATTTACGGATAAGATTGCAAAATATTATTTTAAGAACTGAAATGAAACCTAATTTAATTTCGTGTTTTTCGAGACCTTTCTCAAATGATCATTGGAGAAGAAAACAAGATGTTGTAATTTAGATACTTTTTTGGATTCTATTTTTCCAGTCTTCCCTTAAAATGTATTTGCTTGTATTGCTTGGCACTTTATGTATAAAGTATGTTTATTTAGCTTATTTTGTTTCATTTCATTTGTATACGAACAATATACTTATTAAACAATATTTTTTGACCTTGGACAACATGATGTCGCTAAGAACAATCATTCAACGCTCCCTGGTTTAGAGAACTTCATGATTCAAACGTAAAGGAAACTTTTAAAAAAGGAAGCTATGAGAAAGATCTATCCAATTTTTGCTATCTAGCCTTCAAAAAGGTTTCACAACTTTTTAGTCTAAGCTCTACTTAAAATTCTATGTTTGATTTATCGATAGAAAAATATTAGAAATACATTACTTTTTAACTTTATTGACCAGAGTATGCTAGTAAAAATAAAGCTACCTCGTATAAATTAGGGAGGTAAATATGATGTTTAAATCAACGGATAATAAATGTGTTCTTTAAATATTTTAAAGCAAAATAACTTATTCAATGTTATGAAAAATATAACTACCGATCATTATCAAAGATCCTTTTGCTAGCGTAAAATGCATTAGCGCGTATCAAAAGCATATCAAAATCGAACTTAGAACATCTGTTTTCTAATCTTCAATCTGAAGCTGTGTTCACTCACAAATGTGGTTCCAAAATGACGAAAATGAAAGAAATTTGTTGCGAAATAATTAAAGTGACGTCATGAACATATGTTAGCCACTATAGTCTATTGATTTACAGCTGATCCAAGATAATGAATCATGGAGATAATTAATCGATCAATCAAAATCGACCCTTAAGAATGTATCGCTAAGTAAGAATAGAGTTTTCTCAGTGATGAATTTCAACATGTCGACATAAAAAGTATTCAAGATTTCTCTGAATTGAAGATTTTTCGTGAAGATCCGAAGTTTTACTTCGCATCGCATTTCGTATACGAGTGAAACTCGAATACCATCTAGTTATTTTCTGTTATGCTTTCATTAACTAGTAGAAGTAACAAAAATCTAAGTCAATATTTTTTTCTTTTGCCAGAACTCCAATCACTGTTTGTCTAACTTAACTACAGTCCTATCGTATCCTATATGAGAAGTTACGTGAGATTATACTGAACATTTTTATTTTTAAGTGCAGAAAACCTTAATTTACTCGTTCGGTTGAGTCATTGTCATAACGAGCGGAAGGGTTTTTGAAATTTGCGAATCATTTTTCTTGCAACGAGTAAGTTTTTTCCTACTTATTTCAGGTTTAGCCTTATAAAATAATGAATCATTCGATATGAATATTTGATTCGTGTTTTTTGAAGGTTTTTCTTTCCTATAGCTTGCTTGATTGATTACAAAGTCAATAATTATGATAGATCAAAAACTGACGAATCTATTGGTTTTTTAGTGCGCTTAAAGTCTCCATTACATGGCAATTGAAAATTTTTTTTTCGAATCTGGATAACGTTGTAACTGTTGTTTAAGTTTACAATGTTTATCAAATGATGTTTTTTGTTCATTTCGATTAAGAAAAGATTTTGCATTGATTAATTTTTGACTAAACTGTACATTCTCTTTTTGAATACGTTCGTAAACAAGTTTTCGTTGATCTTGTCGATATTGTAAATTACTTTGACGTTGAAATAAATAATAATTATTATAACATGATTGAGGATTTCGCCTATATAGTTTATCTTCATATATATTATTCGTCGTATTGCTGTTATTTTTTTCAAGAGTTTTTAAAAAATTTTTATATTCATATTCATGTATTTTTTGATATTGTAATGATGAATATTTTGTAGAAAGAGCATTGCTAATATGAAATGGCATTACTACTAGTGAATGATGCGTTCTTTGAGAGCTGTATTTTGGCGCCGACAAAAAATCTTTTTATTTACTAGCGACATCAAGAAATTTTTCGCAAAGAAAGAGGACAAGCTGGAGCAACGCATCGTTAAATGTCGATACAATCAAAAGAATATTTTTAACAAAAAATAAAACTTTACTTGTCGTCTGTTAAAATCTTCATTGATTATACACAATGTCACGAGCAGCAGGAACTTTACAAACAACCTATAATGCTAGTATGTTTTTATAAATAATAACAAAAACAAACATGATATTTTTATTTATGAATTAGCATATTATCCACCATCACTTATGCCTGGCTACAAAGGTAATTATATATATATTATAAAATCACGAATTACAATTAAGTTTTACTTTTTTGTTGTTGTTGTTAGGTCATGTCCCAACTACACAATTTCAATATGGCGAAACATTTGGTAATGCTACAGCAAAATATTTTCAAGATTATCGAAGCGAAGCATTAAACTCATCACAAAGTCTTTATGCAAGAGGTGAAACTTTTCAATTAAGTTTTTTCTTTTTAAATCTTGTTTTTTTCTTTTTCTAGGTGGTTATTTTCCAACTCCATATACTCATCAGCCAGAACTTGTTATGAGTGATCGTCGTCGTAGTCGTGATCAATATCTTTATATACCAAAATATTCACTTAATAATACAAATTTTGATCGAACAAATGAAATACGAAAATTTCATCAAGTTAATTATTCATATGTTATTTACAAGAAAAATTTCACCTTTTATTCGTTTTGCTTTAGCTTTCTCAAGAACATCGTGATACATATATAGATCGCAGCGGTACATTACATCCTGTTGAACATTTTACTTTGCCTGTACCAAATGAAAGAATGTATGAAGCTAATTTACCGTAGTAAGTGAAAATTTCATTTTAACGAGGTTTCTTTTAATATCTTGTTTTCCACTATGTCTAGTTCTTCAATGTTACTTCGTCATACATCAGATGTTAATATACCGGTTGATCGAAATTTTCCACCTGTGAAGGATGTAGCTAAACAATCAGAATTTCAATTATTTCCATCTACAGGATCGAATCAAGGTAATAATGTATCGAACCAACAACAGCAAAGTGCTGTAAATCAATCGCCTACTGTCGATTATCTTTGTTAACGACAATTTCAATTGACAAGAAAAACAAATAAACAGAACCGTTTTCTTTTTGCTTGAATTTATTTTTTTTGACTACTTGAATTTTAACCAAACAGACTATCATATTTTTATTATTAATCACTAATTTATTTATTTGCCTCAAAAAAGAAAAAAAAAGAAATAAGCATAGATAGAAAAATTTTCAAATCCATGCATGAATAGAAATGATTAGTTCCTGCTGATAACCTTGCCAAGAAAAACATGATTACCTTGTCCGATAAAAGAAAAATAGATATAGCTAACATAATTATATCGATATGCAAAGAGACATAAGTGATGGAATATAAAAATATATATTATAATGGAAGATACATGCATCTCCTTCTAATGTATTTGCTGTCAGTTAACTCGCTTTTGAAATTGTTTCTTTGTCTTCCTTGATAATACTAAATGCACTATTCGATGAAATAGTGCTGCTGGCTGACGGAGAACTTGCGATATATTGTCGTATAATAATTACTCGTTCTTTTGTTTTTACTGATTGAGAAGGAAGAGGAATCGATTTTTCGTCTTCTTTCTCAGAAATTGGTTCTTCCTGAGTAGATATAGAATCCATTAAAGGTGATGAAGTGCTGCTGTGTTCCTTTATAGGTGTAGACGAACAATCGGATGATGCTTGCATATTTGAAGCTAATGTAGATGCTTCACTGCTTGATTTTAGATAACGATTGAGAAGATAAACACTAGGTAGTTCCTGCGGTTGGTATCTATATTTAATATTAACATTACGAGCTTCACCAGCTAATTGCTGAGGTAATGTATTTTCTTTGTCTTTTGACGAATGCAATGTTACTTTTTGGTATTCGACAGTTAAATCACTTGATGGTGTTTTTGATACCTGAGAATTTGATTTATTGGATACTGTATGACGCGTTTGATTACTATTATTTTTGCTTTTTCTTTTGGGGGATACACTTCTACCAACTTTTACAACTGCTGGACTTGTTGTGGATATTGTTCCTGATGATACAGTTGTAGATCGATGTTTGTGTCGAATACTACGATGGTGTCGTCTATATTTTCTTGGTGAATGATTGTATCGTGCAGAATAATCGTCTTTGCAAATGATTTCATCTGAAATGAGAATAGCACCTGGAGGAAGTGGAGGTGTTTTTCGTAACCATGGACGCATAAGATCAGATGTCGGTGCTTGAAGATATTGATTTTGTTGTGTTGTTTGATTGGGTATATATTGTGGTACAGTTGGACGACGAAGCAATGGCGTAATTCGTCCACTTGCTGGCCTTGCATTTGGAGTAGAAACAGGAGTAGGTACGCGATGACAAGCAGCACAATGTTGTACCCAGCAATAACCCATAACTGGCACGTTAAGTGAAGGTGGTACTGGCGGACACGCACGGCATGTACTTGGGTAAGAGTTATTAAAATTATTTTGAGATAATGATGAAGCTGCCGTGTCATACGGTGGTGACGACGCGGGCATATTCGCTGGCATCATGGGAGCTGAGGCAGCATATGATTGTAGATCCGGTTGTTGTGATGGAAAAGCTGATATGGGTGCCGAAGAAAGAGCAGTTGCAGCTGATGAAAAATCTTGCATTGGAGCAGAAGGTAGCATCTGTAAATTTGAAGCAGGTGGAAGAGATGAAAAATCTTGCATTGGAGCAGAAGGTAGCATCTGTAAATTTGAAGCAGGTTGAAATGATGAATAATTTTGCATAGGAGCTGAAGGTATCATCTGTAAATTTGAAGCAGGTTGAAGCGATGGAAAACTTTGCATAGGAGCTGAAGGTAACATCTGTAAATTTGAAGCAGGTGGAAGAGATGAACAAGCTGGCATCAAAGGAGGCATGTAAGACTGTTGTGCATTTGAAGATGATTGAAAAGCTGATATCGATGGTATAGGTTGCTGTTGATATAAAGATGCTTGTGGATAACTGGACATCATCATTTGAGGTGTTTGCCAATTTGAACTAAATGGTAATACAGCAACAGGATTGCTATACCGTTGCACAACCATTTGTTGAACTGCAGGTGTGAGTGGTAATGATCCTAGCTGTGGCAATGGTGGTGGTAGTGGAAATGAACATAACGGTTGCGATATGCGATTGTAAAGAAAAGGTGGCATTGCCTAAAATATATGAATGTTTATTTTCAGCCTTGTTTTTAACTTGATTAAATGAATGACTTACTAGGGGACCTGTGCAAGGTTGCTGAAGAGATGATTGACCTGTTGGTATGAAAATGACTCTGATCTTTGGTGGTAAACTCATATTGCTGGTTGGTTCATAATTAAAATTTGAACTGGTACCAAAACCTATACTCGTAGAATTCATAAACAGTGGCATTGGCACATACCTAATCTCTCTTTCATATTCATATACTGGATCATTATGATAATTTGATGTTTCGAATGATGGTGGATACATTGGCAATTGTGCATTGTAGCCGTGTAACTTCGCGTACTGTCTTTCTATTTTTCCTAATTTACGCATATATTGTTCATATCGATATCGCTCATCTAATCCAGTTAAAAAGTTTGAAAGTCTATTACCATAACCAGCTTGTCTGTCTTGATAGTAAGGTGGCTGATAAAATGTTTGAGTGGGATAATGAGGTGAAAAATAAGCTCCTTGGCTTGTGTTCCTATCATGATAATAATTTCGATTGGCAATCTGATTAGGTGAACTGAACGGATAGGAGGGAAAACCTCCGTAACCACGTGGTACCAATATCGCCATTACTACGTTACTTTTATTCTATGTATCTAATATATGACTGCATAATACATCGCTTGTAAATAAAAGAATCAAAGTAATCTACAATAGTTAGATATTGTGATTATTGTGATTTAAAATAAATCATTTGATGTAATGTATCTCTTGATTGTCATATACATCGTGTTAGCCTTGAACAAATAATTGGAGTCCTTATGTAAATTTGATAGAACTTCTATGAAAAAGACATGAGCGTAGGATTATCTTACTTACCTTTCTTATTTGATTTCAGTTTTCAACCTTTCAAGAAAGTCTCACTTCTAGAACATGTGAAAGTTGTTGAACTAAATGGATGACACTCACACGCAACCACTAATAGAGGAAAAAATGTAACAACACAAGGACAAAATAACACATCAACCGACCAAAACGAGTATAAAAACAAGAAAAATGATCGATAATGATGATACGTGAATAGTTTCAAAAGCACGAAATAAGTCATCGAAGAAATGAAAGAGAGAAAAACAGCAAGCTACTATGTGTAAAATGCCTCACGCCAAGAATAACAACGAGCAAGCAACCGTGACTATCGTCATTTTCGTTGTCTCTCGATATGATAGGCTTGCACAAAACTTCCTTCAATATTAACTACAACCATTAGCAATAATAATATGTTGTTTTTTGATTTTTCATATTCTAGTTATCACTGCTTAAATTTATTTAATAAACTTTACTATTTAGAGAAGATTATCCAAACAAGGTTAGCAGTTATAATCAGTTGATGAATGTCATTGACATGTTGGATCAAATAAGTAAATGTGTTGAAACTAACAGAATGATAAATAGAAACGAATGAGAAAAGAATTCATTTATCTTGCATCATCTATCGGCTTTTGACATGCATTGAAAAACAAGAAGAGTAATAAAAGAAATTCAACAGTAAGCATGTTGACAAATGCACATGTAAAATCTAAGCCAGCTCGACCTTTCCTATCGTTGCACATACTTTGCGGTATTACAAAGTATAATGAACAAAGAGAATTATCACAATGATATGTGGAACTTTTACATGGTACATATAATACCCAACATGATCTTTTCAATGTCACCTCCTAGTAAATCATCTTGTCCGTATGAATTCTTTTCTTCAATCTTATGCGACAAATGAACAAAACATATATGACTTTTACTAGTTCAATTCGTAATTTGTACAGCATACTATCATTTCGAGAGTTGACAGAAGAAGAAGAACAAGAAGACGACGACGAAAAAAAGGATAGGTGATCTTTTTCTTTGTTTTATACGCATTGTTCTTTCGTTTTCCTCTTGTTTCTTGTCTCTTGTCTCTTGTGAATTCTTCTTTACTAATATACACACGCCGAACATTGAAGCTCCTTCGCCTCTCTTCACAATTAAGATCGAGTGTAAAACAAACAATCACGTATACTCACAAAGCAAAGGGAATATACGAAAACGAATAAGACAAATAATAAGGCAGAGGGACGAAGTATACCCGCGTGTAAAGAGGGAAATTTGAGCAATTGAATCCGCACACACAGCATCTTGATTAGGCTGCTGACGCCGGTCGTTGTCGTTGTCTTTATTATTATTGTTATTTTCTTTTCTTTTTTTATTGATTAATTGAATATCTTCGAAGAATGTTGAAATGGTGGTATCATTGGTTCTATGCCATCCTTTTATGTCTAATTACAGGTAAATAACTCGATTTCTTTTCTTTTCATAGGAATATTTTTTTGTTTTCTTTTTGTTTCGAAGATCTATTGAATGCTCAGCATCATTCAGTTTATATTCCAAATTATCTTCAAGCATTTGATTATCCAAATGTTGATGAAGCAGCATCTCCACATCAACAACAAGATCAATCTGATGAACAATTTAATGATGGTTTTGATCCATTGCAATTTGATTTTTTCCAAACAACAGAAACATCACCAGACACTCAAAATCTCTTTGACGCGTCAACAATACGCACTGATATTACTACTGAGAATTCAACAGCCTATTCAACATCAACAATATCGACTGTTTCAGATTCAACGACATCAATAGAATATATTTCTTCAATGTTTGATTCAACATTTGATTCAACACTAATAACAACTGAACAGATGACAACGACAGAAAATAGTACTCATTCATTATTATCATTTGATACTACTTCATTCAATAATGAAACGTATACTTCAAATGAACAAAATTCATTTTCTAGTGATAATAATACTCTTTTGTCCACATTGAGTTACTCAACAGAAAATGAATCTATATCAATGTATGAACAAATGAATGAAACAACTAAAGCTATTTTTAATGACACTACTACGATAGAAAATTTTGTTAGAAATAATAGTGATTTAATCGTTGATCTCTTCAATCACACGTATCTGCAAGGTAAAAATTTAATTGATGATAAACAATATGAGATCTACAATACAACAGCTGAAGAAGTAGCACAACATTTAGCAGATAGAAGAACTATGCAATCATTGATTCATTTACTTCCACCGAATTTATGGTCTCAATTACAAAAAAATCTTTCACTTTTTAATTTCAATCAAAGTCAATTTATTCAACCAGCACTACCCGATCCAGATATTCTTGCTGAAGCAGCTGCACAAGCTGGTTTACCTGGCCCAGGACCATATCCAATACCTGATCATGTATGGCATCAAAATATGAATTATTACCGAGATCCTCCACAATTTATAAATAATATTCCGATAGAAACATCATCATCATCAACAACAACAACAACAACAACAACAACAACAACGACGACGACGACTACAACGACAGCTTGTCAGTTGATCTTTTATTTTCAATTAATAATGTTCTTTCTTTTCTATAATTTAATTGTATTTAGCTACAACAACAGAATCAACAACAAAAGTTCGACGACCATTTCCACCCAATATATATTTTAAGTTGCCCAATACACAAGCACCGTATCCTCAAAGACCAATAGCAATAAAAACAGCTGCTAATGATCGATTGATTCATAATCTAAATGAATTTCGACCCGGACCTTTTATACCTGTAAAACCCATATCATCATCAGTACCACCACCGTTAATCAATCCCAATATTCAATCATTACTTGCACAAATTGGTTTTACTTGTCCATCAGGTGTATCTGGTATTCGTTTTCCCGATCAACGACTATGTAATATGTATTTTACATGTACACACTCCGGTTTACCTGAACCATCCCTTTGTCCAGAAGGTTATCTTTTCTCCGAAGTATCTCGTGATTGTGAAATTTCTTCACGTGTTAATTGTGGAACACGGTTATCAGCTTTTTTCGATACTGATAATAGTGTAAATAGTGACAGTAAAATCCTTTTCACCATGAGAACACCACCACCACCAACCACTACTACTACTACTACCACCACCACCACCACCACGACAACAACAACAGCAAGCACAACTACTACTACTACTACTACTACTCGAAGAACAACTCCATCAACATCTTCAGTACGACTGCAAGCAAATATAGTTAATGGAGCATTAGAGTGTGTTTTGGGTGCTGATGGTTATTATGAAGATCCGTTATATTGTAATGTATATCATCATTGCCTAGCTGGTATCGATTATATTGAACATTGTCCTAATCAATTAGCTTGGAATGAAAAAAAGAAAATGTGTGATTGGTAAGTGGGTCACTGTTATCATGATCATCGAACTTATTTGTATTGTTGACTCTGATCAATACTTTTTTTTCCCGTTCTTCTTTCAAAGGACAACCAATGTGAACTGTACTGGTAAAACTATGCCTGTTGTTCAAGGTAAAACATCATTTTGTACTAATCGACAAGATGGTCGTTATAGCTCTGAAACATATTGTAATGCTTTTCATCATTGCATTGGTGGTACTGATCATATTGTACGATGTACTGGAGAATTACAGTGGGATGATAGAAAAAAAGAATGTGGCTGGGAATCATTCGTACGCTGTGGTTCACCGAAAAAAATGTTGCCTCATGAAAATAAATTTAATTCAACGTTTTGCACAGGACGAAATGATGGGTAAGACGATAAAATTAAATAAAACAAATAAGAGTAGATGAATGCCGAAAATATTATTATAGTTATTTTGATATCTAACCCACACATAGTCTATAGATAATCATCAACTTTGTTTTTCATCATTCACGCCTTGAAACCAATAATTTATTTTTATATTATCCTGTTGTTCTCAAAAGAAAATAAAAAACTTGTAATATGAGTGTCACAAAGATGACATCAATAGATTATCTAGAGAGTTCAGTTTATTATAATTGTAGGAGAATTATAATTTTTTTCAAACGTTTATTGAAAATCGATTCGTTTATTGAATGCAATATTTGAAACATTTCGAGTAGTGACGGTTCGAAAACAATATCGAAACAAAATTTCGATGATCACTCTCTAAATTTCCTATTTATTTTACAATCTATTTCAATGTATTGATTTTGACGAAAATTCTTGAAAGTATGCATATGTAATACTATAGTTTTTATTTTGTTATTCAATCAAATAGATCCTATTCACATGAAGAATATTGTAATGTTTATCACGTATGCGAATCGGGTGCTGATAATATGCGTCAATGTCCACATCAATTATTTTGGGACAATGAACAACAAAAATGTGAATGGTCAAATAATGTTCGTTGTACAGGACGTACACTTGTTGCACTGTCGATGGAGTCAAGTTTATTTTGTATGGAAAAAACCGATGGATATTATATTGATCCAATTTGTAAATTTTATTAAAACATAATTTTGTTTTATCATTACTTTAATTTTCATTTAATATAGATTGTAATGTTTATCATCAGTGTATGGCTGATATTGATGTTAAATTGCGTTGTCCTGAACGTTTAATTTTTAATGAAACATTAAAGCGTTGTGATTGGCCTGAATCAACAATTTGTAAAGGTGGAAACATATTACTTGAAGGTGAAGCTAATAATGGCTTTTGTACAGATAAAGTAAAGAAAAAACCAGAGAATAACTTAAATGAAATTGTTTGAAAAAATAATGTTTTTTTTCTTTCTCATTAGCCAAACGGAAACTTTCCTCATGAACAATATTGCAATCGTTATTATATATGTCAAAATGGAAAAGATGTTGTATTTACATGCCAAAACAATTTAAGATATTCACCAGATAAAAATGAATGTGATTGGGCTATCAATGTTGATTGTCATGGTAAACCGGATTATATGTGGGACGGTATCAAAGAAAATTTTTGTAAACGTTTAGTATGTGTTCTATTCGTGATATATATATCACATAACTATTGAGTCTCGTATTTATTTTAATTCTAAATAGCCCGATGGAAATTATCCAGATATAAGATTTTGTAATATATTTCATCAATGTCAAGCAGCCATGGACTATCCAAAACGATGTCCAAATAGACTTATGTTCAATGAAGAAACAAAAGAATGTGATTGGGAAGATAAAGTTGATTGTAAAGGTCGAGAAAAATTAATTGGTTTGTTTTGTTTTCATTTTAATCTTATTACACGAAGAAATTTTTGAGTATAGATACTGAAGGTCTTGACGACGAAGTACGTCCAGGTTCAAATAATACTCGAGGACGTTCAACTAAATTTTGCATGGTAAAACAAAATGGTGATTATGCTGATTCATACTATTGTAATGTTTATCATAATTGTCATGGTGGTTTTGATACAATTCAATATTGTACAAGAGGTTTAGTAAGTTAAATTAGAATCTCACCATTGTTTTTATAAAATTCTGTAAAATTGGCATACAATATAGACATTTTGATAGAATTCTGAAATTGAGACTACATGAGTCAAAAGAAAAGAACAGATTCTTTTTTAAAAGCTAAAAACAGTATCATAAAAATCTTCGGCTGTTAGGTTGAGTTCATTAGTACATGATGTTGTGGAATCTTTCGTTTATTTCTGCAAATATTTCTTTGATTTTGCATCATAATATAGATATAATAATGTTGAACGTCCTAGATGATTTAGAAAATTAGAACTTCAGCAATAGTTAATTTTTTTTATTAATTTCAATTTGATGTCAGAGAGTTTCTAAATTGTCTTAGTCTTGAGAGTCTACGTATTTTCTGAGACCTCAATCTACTTTCTTCTGTCTTTTATATGTGAGTGATGTATTCTCAAAATAGTATCTGATGATGATGATGATGATGAGAAAGTAAAACTATAAATGAAAGAGTCAATCTACTCTATGAGTGTAGAAAGAGAGAAGATTGAAAATGTATAATGTAAATTAACTACTAATACAAAAAAAACGACTATTAGTTAGATTGGTGTGTCACATGTGAGAACTTTTTTTCGTTAGAGGAATACAGTTAATAGAAAAATTTACTGACTTACTTATTTAATTAATCATAGGTATGGCGTCAAGAAACTGAAACAATAGGCAGATGCGATTGGTCTAAGGAGCGATCACCGGATGGAGCAGATTGCAATGGGAAAACTGTGTAAGATGAAAATGCAAAATAAAATACGTTGCAAGTCGAATATTGTTTTTTTCCCGCTTTTTCAATAGGTTTTTTGTCGAAAAATTAGCTGAAACTGATATATTATCGAATTTGCGTTCAGATTTTTGTATAAGTAAAGGTTCTGGTCTATATGAACATCAACGCTACTGTGATCTTTATTTACAATGTAATGAACAAGGTGTTGGAGTCACTATGGAATGTAGTCGTATGTAGAATTTTTCGTTATGTTAGTAGATAATTGTTTTTTCTTGTTGAAAAGCTGGTCTTGTTTTTAATGAAAAGAAAAAAGAATGTGATTATCAAGCCGACAGTAATGATGAAACAAAAGGTACATTATGTTTGACACCTCGAAGTTTTCTACGTTCGAAGCCAAAAGCTGAACACGCCTCAATATTATTCGAAGGTGTCGATGCAACCGGACAATTTCCGTAATATATAAAGAAAAACAACTTAATAAGCATATTTTTTTGCCTCCTCTGTATGAGTTTAGAACACGCTTTGATTGTATAAATAAGGATCAACAAAACATGTTTGCTGACTTGGATTGGTGTAATATCTATCATGTATGCATTGGTAATCGAGATAATATATTTTTATGTCCACCTGGTACAATATTTAATGATGCAAAACAAGGTTGTATGGATCGGTTCGATGGATCAAATTGTAATGGAACACGTTCTTATTATAAACCATTAACAAGACGACATAAACGTATTGATTCATCATTAATTCAAAAAAGAGTGCCATCAATGAATTTTCATTTAGCCAATTTTAAACAACCATCAATTAATAATAATAATCAAAGAACTCCGTATGAATGGCGAAAACCAGAAAAACCAAGACAGGTGATTTTTCTTTTGTGTTAACATTGCAGAACTCAATTTCTTATTTGACTTTATTGTAGTTTGATGACAACCTTCTTGAATGGCGACGATATCGTCAATACTAATTATTGTTCTATTGCACAAAACAAAAACTAAACAAATAATTTTTATTAACTACTATTTCTTTGCTTTTGTTCGTTTTATGTAGTTATTTCCTGAATTTTGTCACCTGTACGTGAATAAACCGAAACAGTTTTTTTTCGTTTTCTTTTAACTGAATAGACCCAAAGAAACCCTTATGAAAACGAGACAGATTAGCTAATGTTAATATCAATCTTGCGCTTTTATTCGTATATTACAGATTCAAACAATTCGATCAACAATTTAATTGAGAACAAATTTATTGACTTTTCTCAAATTTGACGAACATTAAACTTATCAAATATAACTGTACATAATGAGTAGATGTACAATTGAAAGTTGTGCTGAATTGTAAATTTGATTTCTAAGCGGAGCTATTTTTTTTCTTCTAAAAAAGAGACTGATGAACTGTACGATGCTGGATTTTCGTCTTTTAGGATAGAACAAATTCTTTCTAAAAATTTTGTGATGATCATTAAATATAATTATTGAAATTGATTTAAAAGTAGTTTTAGAATTGAATTTGTCAAAAAGTCACTACTATTATATTTAATACTATCGATGTAACAGTACTATTTTTACTTCTGTATCAATATAGAGCATTTCATGAAACATAAAATGCACTTTGAAAATTTTTTACCAATTGGTTTGGCATTTCTTTTTCGAAATGATATTCGTTCTTTGGTCGATCTAATTCAAACTATTCTACTGTTTCATTTTAACTTCTATGATAATCGAAGTATTGGTTTTCGTCGTTCAGATTATATTATCGACTTGATTTAAAAAACAAAGAATCGAATAAAATGCAAACAGCAAACATGAAAACCAGATACACGCATGTTTCAATATAATTATTAAGAAAAATACCAATTATTTATGTAAAAGTAAAAAGGGAATCATCTACATATAAAATATTAATAGTATTAATGATCTACTACAGGATACTTGAATACCAAATCATAAATCTCTTTCCAAATTTGTAAAGGAATTTTCAAAGCTAATTGTTTATCAAAGGTCCATAAACTGTAAGTATCATATAAAGAATGAACCGAGAAGCGAAAATTTGTACTGAATTCGTTTTCGATATATTCGGGCTGTTGACTGTCCAAGGATTTTCCACTCCGTTCACTTGAATATTCGTCACGTTTAATGATAAAGATTTTAGTCCAATGGAGAATAGTTTGAATTGTCAAACTAAGAAGTAAATTAATCAAATAATTGATTAAAAAAAACAAAATAAGTAGAAGCGACTTCTATAACTAGAATACATACTAATGACCATATCGTAATAACATTATACAAAGCACTTGAATATAAGACGATCCTGTGCTTGGGCTTCGTTTTGATGCTTCATTTGCGCTACAAGAATAAGCAACAAGCATTTTTGGTGATAAATCATTCTGTTGTACGCCTTCACGTTTGTTAGATTGCATATTTTGTGGCCATACTGATCGGCATGCTTGAATAAAAAATATACGAGTTTTTCCAGCCCAAATAGTTGCTACTGATGAATCAGCATATCGTGTTACAATATCGCGTATTATAACTTCTTTTGAATCAGCTGTAAAAAATGAATGTAAAAGTCTAGAGAGGAAAAAAAATTCTCGATGACAAATAGTCAAGACTTTGAGAGTACCACTAAAAAATAAACTTACCCATGAGACATAATAAACATAATAAGACAATCAAATTCTCCATATATACTTTGATCATCGATGTAATTTAATGCTCTATCAAGATCATCTTTTTTGAAATCAATTTTACATTCTAATATTGTAAAATTTAATTTATTAAAAATTATTTTAATCAGATCAACATCTTTATCTGATCCTGTTCGATTAGGTGTATCAACAGAATCAGATGAAATAAATTGTCTAATATTAATTATAACACATAAACCTTTTCTGGGTACGTTCAATGATAGTGATATTGCCGATTGATCAACAGTACGATGAGGCACAGGCTCGCTTTGAGCTTTCTCTACAGGCGACGATGGGACTGAAATTATTGTGAAAAATGAGGTCGTCTTTTTTTTGGTTAGATTTAAAACAAAACGAATGTTTACCTAATGGTTTTATATTTTCATAATTAGAGGATTTAAGTTTCATCATAAATGATGAAACTTCATGAGGATCATTTTGATTTATTACAGCATCAGTTTGTGTATTATTGTTATTATTATTTCCAGCATCTGATAGTAATTTATAGTGTTTTTCAAATGTGACTACAAAATCTTCATATCTTTTAATGAATGATTGAAAATTTCGTACAACTTGATCAACAGCAACCAATTTTTGTGCAAAATAATTAGATTCAATTAATGATGAAAAAAATGTCGGAAAATTTTTCCCTAAATTTTTATAAATATCAAATAAACTATCAACCGGCTGTCGAATATTCAATAAAAACTTTATGTCATTCAGTTTCTCGTGTGATAAACGATCATCGATTTGTGCTAATAAAAAACAGTATGCTAAATTTAATTCATCATCTATCGAAAATACTACATTCGATTTCAATTGATTGTTATCATAATCTACCGTCGATTCAGATAAATATTTTTCTTTAAAATGAATCATTATTGCTAATTCAATTCTTGTTAATGGTGTATCATTATTTTTTCCATCATTATCTATTTTAGTTGTCAACAAGTTTTCAAATTTCTCTTTTAAATTATTTGATAAAAAAACCAATTGCGAAGCATTTTGATGATGAAATAAACTTACGAGTAAATTAACAGTTTCACTATCGAATTGTCCAAGTGTCAATGCACACTGACTAATAGATTCTTTCGTGATGTCCCACATATCTATAAATAACGTTTTAGTTTTAATTCAGCTTTTACATTGACATCTCTTTCTGTATTCTGTATTTATTCAAAACTTTGTTGTTGGTTTTTAATTAAAGAAGAGAAAAAAGAAAAACTCTTGAGAATAAAAGAACTAGAATAAATAACATCCAGTGATCGCCGAAACTACATACATAGTACGCATCGGAAAATTTGCATGAGAGAAGAAAAAAGAACGAAAGGGTAACAATAAAAAAGAAAAGAGAAGAGCAAAAAAAAACAGACATGCTTTTTCTTTATTGTTTGGCAAGAAATTAAATTATACAACGATTGTATAACATATGTAAAGCTGCAATTCTAAATGTATGTATATGCCAGATAACAGGTCTCGTTACGAATCGCTAAGAACTATTTGATGTTTTACTCAAGACTAGATTTACAAATAGACACAAAAAAGAACAGAAAAAAGTGTATGTATCATAGAGCACCACGTTTAGTATTCGTCGTACATAAATCAAATCTTTATTTATATATATATATCATCATACAAATGTCGATTTAACGACAGCAAGTAATACAGTTACATCATCGGGTTTACCACCTACATAAACAAAACAAAAAACAGAAGATATAATACGAAATTGTAAAAAATGAATAAATATGAATATGAGATTGTTTGTCTTGTTTAATTTAAATTCATTCTTTATTCTATCAAGAAAGTTAGGATTTTATACGGTGATTAGTTACGCTACTAATCTCAAACATATATATTTAGCGATTTTACACTATTGTCTAGGCAGTTGTGTTTTTTAATCATAACCTTATTATTTATTTATATGCTCATGTGTGCGTGTGTGTGATCTGTTTCGCTGATAAAATGCTTGGATATCTTAATTATTATGACCGAAAAAGTTCACAATTAAAGAAAAACGATTTAAGCCTTTCTTGAGGGTGTTGATTGAACCGGCAAGGTTGCGTGAAAATTGATAGAAAAGCATTTTCTATACGTCAATCCAATACGAAACAAAGCAAAAGAAAATCATTTCAAGATTGAAGTTTTTTTTAAATATATCTATAATGGCAAATTTTTGCAACTAGAAAATAATCTTCAGAAATACAAATCTTCTTCTTCATACGACTACTATAGAATTTGAGTGTATTTTTAACTGTGCACATTATATCAGAGATTATTAAAGAAACGTTTGCTTGTCACAATAGATAATATATTGTTTACAATGATATTGTCATCTGTTTGTGATATAGAACAGACTAGCTTATCAATTTATAGTTAAAAATACAAATGGAATCTTTTTTTTTATATCTATCTTATGATAGAAACTTATTCTTGATCTAGAGCAAAGAACAACAAAAGCAAACTAATTCATTTTTCTTACCACAAATATTAATTCCCAATGATCTTTTAGCACTTCGAGCAAATGGTGAATAAAAATTTGGATCATAACCATTTTTCAGTGCACGTTTGGCTAATTTATGTGCTATTCTCTGTAAATTATCCAATGTTGGTTCCTGAAAAAAATAAAATAATTCAAACTATATATTAATATTCTATATTTTATTCTCAAGAGATTGCTTATTCATCAGCTCCCGTTCTCTTTTCTTCTTCTCTTGTTCTTTGGCATCCCCCCTGCCTAATCAAATTCTATTTACAACATGCTGGCAAAAGCGGCGTCTTCTGCTAGTAGCATTTCTCGCATGTCAATCAACTGCAATCGGAAACAGCACGATAGTATATACAAGAACAGCCGGAATAGAATAGTCTGTCTAGTGATGCCTGCTTCAGTCTTACAACGAGATCTAGCACTGAGAGGAACATGATGAATGAATGCCAAACACTTTGTATATAACGCTTCTTGTGTCTTTTCTTCATGTACCCAAATAACGATCTATCAACTTCCTGTAAATCATATATCTAAGCACTTCGTTTTAGTAACTATAACATAAGCACAAAAAGAAAGCGAGTGTAAGTGTCGGCATATTTTGTTGTATTATGAATATGCACATTCCGAAATGGTTGTTTGCTGCACTTATCGGTGCAGCTCCAATGCTTGGACTTGTATTTTTTATACTATTCTCATGTACTCTACTTGGTCTTGTACAAAAATGTAAAATAAATTTAACAAAATCCTATGCGAAACGAAGAGAAACTATAATGCATGATCAAATATTAATTGACAATGAAGATGTAAATACATCAACATTATTTAAACCAGAATCGAATACTGTTATTATTTCACCATTTGATGATATACCCATGAGAGATATTGATGCTGAATCCTCATCCAAAGCATATTCAGAGCCCAAAGGTAATTTATTAAAATATTTTCTATTTAATATAAATTAATTAATTTCTATCAATTTTCATTTTTTTTCTTGTTAAAGATGTTTCAAATCCTTCAAAACTACGACGCAAAAAAAGTATTGACATTTCTATGGCAGGATCAGATTATGATAATGGCTCCTCAAGTATTTTTAATGATAATGATTATGAACAAGATCGTTTGTCACTTATTGAAATATCATCACAACGTAAAAATGCAGCGAAGCAAATAAAATCGCCAGACACAATAGTTCATATTTAAAGTTAACTTACTTTAATTTGTTTCATTTCTTCAAGTATTGTAGTATCAGGTAAATTATCCCATAGACCATCTGTTGCAATAACAATAAAATCATTTTCTTCGACATGAAATGAAGTGACTGATGCTAAGTCGGGACTATAAAAGAAGAAATAAGCACAATTTTTTACTTGGAAAACTTTTTTTGAAACTTGCATACATTTTTCAAGAAAATAGTGAGTGTATATTTAAAACAAGATCTATTGCAATTCTTTCCGTTTCTAGACATTGACAAATAGACAAATAGCAGGCGACAATGTCGAAAGATCACTCAATACATTTCTCTAGCAAATATCATCTAAAACATTTTCTTCGCACCGATAACCGAGAGGCAATGATAATAACAGCTAGTATTAGACTGTAATAAAACATTACAAAGTCTTTGTCAAAATTTGAATAACAATACTATATTTGTGCATATTCTGAGTAGTTCAATTTACAATCGTCTTTTTAGAGCTTAAAACTGAAAATTGACATATCAAAACGGGTTCGACATTCCTCAGCTTATTAAGATGAATAGTAGTGCACGGAGACGTACTATATATACATAATAGATATGTACAGCAAGATTATTTGCCAATTAAATTAATAATAATGTTAACTGAGGAAAAACGGAAGATAAAAATGAAAAGCAAGAAGGCCAACAGAAAATAAAATGGCAAAAATAAAAGAAAAAGGAGAAAAATTCTATTCAAGATGTTGAAATAAAATAAATCATTTCTTTGGCAATTGATTAGTCCTGAAAAATAGACTAGTGTCTTTGACATTTCTCAATTAAGCTATTTTGCATTAGTATAATGAGAATATAAAATACATGTCAGTCCTATATTATAGCCCCAAAGAATTTGATCGTACAAGTTTTCTATATGAAAAGTAAACACAATTGTAGCAATGCTTTCGTTATGCAAAAAGAATAAACAAAAAACATTTTTTCTTGCTTTTCTTCCGTACAATTACCTACGAATATTGATCATTACTAATATTAAAAAAACATGAATCTTATGATAATATACACTCTACGTAGAATTTAATCAAATAAAAAGAAAACTTATGAAATATTCTTTTATTTTTTTTAGCATACCTATCAGCAATTAAACGTGGATCTTTAATGGTTGGATGAATGGCTAATTGAAATGGCGAATTGAAATAATGCTGCTGTTCTTGTGATCGATGCACAATTGTGTTTCTTCGTATAACTACAAATCCACTATCACCTAAATTAGCTGTATGTAATATTCTTTCTTCGTTATGTAATGCAACAATGCACGCTGTACTACTGCCTAAATTAGAAAAACATTTGATGCATTATTTTGTTTAGTTTTCTGCTTTTAAAAATAAGTTTCATTACCAATAATGCATTGTTTATCTTCTAATAGCTTTTTATAACCTTTTGATAATAATTCTTTCAATGTTAACGGATTTAAATCAATGAGTTTATTATCAATTAAGGATTTACAGGCATCCATCAATGAACGAGAAAATAATGATGGATCAATACCATGTTCACGCCATCCACCAACACCATCAGCAACACCTTAAATTTTAAAATGAATTCAAATTTTATTCTCTAAAATTTTACATACCGAGAAAATCTCCTAAACGATGTCTTGTTACAAAAAAAGCATCATCACCATACACATTTGATGAATTTGATTGTTGTTCTATTAGAGAATTTTTTCGTTTTGTTTGGGTTATATATTCAAGTTCATTGTTATCATGACTTGAATAACCAGATGATACAGTGACTAGATGCACAGCGTGTTTGATTGCTGTTGATGGACATGTTATGGCAAGACTATTGGAAGATTGTGTTACGTGAACAGACGATGAAGATAAACGTAATAAACCATTAAAAAGAATATTTTCAGCTTCTGTACTACTAATAACACGTGCAAACAATCGAGCATAAACAGATAATGATTGCATAATTAAAATAAATTTATCTAGAAAAATAAAAACGAAATGAATATTAAATTAAGAAACAAGAAAAAAGCAGAAAACAAACTTTGAAAGAACTTTGGACATCGGTAATTGAATACCTACAAAGAAAAAGAAAATTGTGTTGTACTTTATTTCTATCTAGATACACCTACTGGTGACGTATTTCGTTTAATCATAGACAAAGACATTTAGAATGTTTTTTATTCAAGTACCACTTTTACTCGTTTTCTTTTTCCGTTCTCTTAGTTGGAATACGGACTGTGTGAAGTGCTGTAGCAGCAGCAATTGAAGCAGTATAGCGAACCACTACGTATTGAAAAAAAAAATTCTTTTTTTCTTTCTCTCGTTTTCACTTCGAGGTCAATATACGCATGTCATAAATAAACAGCTATATGCTTATAGCCAATAATCAGATCACAATCACCAACTGAACTATTCAATATGGAAGAGATCGGTTATGTTTGAAAAGAAGTACCGACGCAGGTGAATAGGAAAGAACACAATAACAATGTATACTCTCGCAAACGAAATGGTAAAAAGCAAGTTGGACGTATAAACGATAAAAATCATTTTCATACGTATAAAAAGTACATATACCTTAGGGCAAATATCTATTAACACCATACACATACACATATGTAAAAATACTCTGAGAGTTAAGTGACATATTATTTTCTTCCATGTATATAAATATTAGAAAGTTTATTGATCATAAAGACTTCGAAATATTGATAAACAATACTGTTTCTTTCTTCTCAACATGAACAACAGAAAAGTAATTTATACTTCATACACATATATTTCGATATGATGCTGTCATCACGTCGAGCTCTAACAGTCTCATTGAATAGACTACTATTTTACATATGTTGCAGCAAAAGAAACAATACCCTAGGGAAAAATTGTTTTCTATATGTCTGAAAAATTGACGAGCAGAGTCTATCAAACGAAATTGAGTTGTCTTCTTCTCACAGTCAGACATCTTGATAACACATGTAAATAGAACATTCCTATGTTATGATTTTTCATGGCAGTCACCGAACGATAGAGAGCAAAGTTTAAATAAATATGCACTAATAATAGATGTTGTTGAAACAAGCCTATTGGTTTCTATATAATACTTTTTAAGGTAGTGCATTTATGCACATCAAACTTCCTGCTGAGAAATTTCATTCAAAATAGCTGTACATATTGATTATGAACCGCAAAAAAATTGATGATAGGTTGACATTCTATGTCAGGCTCACCAAAGTCAAAACTCGAGCAGGACAAAAATCCCATTTATTATTACATGGTTGGATAGAGTTCGATGAGTAGATCATGCATATCACCTTTAAAATATTTCTACGCTTCCGTTTTGATTGAGAAATTTTCAAAATACAAATTGCACCTGAAGAAGTGAATATTTCACTTTTTCCAAGAAAACTCGAAATTTACCTCGTTTAACAATCTTCTAAGTTTCTAAAACTATCATCATCGAATTCAACATGAAAATCTGAATCTACTGATGTAATTTTGACCATTAAAAAGTGTACGCTTCATGTTTGAGGAGCTCCACTAGGTCACCTTGTAGACACGTTCAAATTGATGTCTCGCAAAATCATCAAGTATTTTTTTTGAAAGCATATCTCGAACTTTTTCATGTCATTCGAACCGTCAAGCAACAGCGGACAAAATTATATATTCAGTTTTAAAATTATTGTTCTGTCTCTAACAAAATCGAGTTTTACTACATCGGTGGCTGAAGCTGAACGAATTACTCTCTTATTTCGAGATTTCGAGTATCAAAACTCAACTTTCATGCAAGATAAACATCAGATCCGGAATCAACACGAAAAGTACATTGACTATCATATATAATTTATCAAGAAACTAATTTTCATCAAAATTGCAGCCTACTCCCACTCAGTCATTTCTTTCTTGATTTTGTCCTGTGATCCACCACAGATAAAATTTTGATGAAAATTATTTTTTCATAAAATATATGATAGTCAATGTACTTTTTCGTGCTGATTCCGGATCTGATGTTTATCTTGCATGAAAGTTGAGTTTTGATACTCGAAATCTCGAAATAAGAGAGTAATTCGTTCAGCTTCAGCAACGGATGTAGTAAAACTCGATTTTGTTAGAGACAGAACAATAATTTTAAAACTGAATATATAATTTTGTCCGCTGTTGCTTGACGGTTCGAATGACGTAAAAAAGTTCGAGATATGCTTTCAAAAAAAATACTTGATGATTTTGCGAGACATCAATTTGAACGTGTCTACAAGGTGACCTAGTGGAGCTCCTCAAACATGAAGCGTACACTTTTTAATGGTCAAAATTACATCAGTAGATTCAGATTTTCATGTTGAATTCGATGATGATAGTTTTAGAAACTTAGATGATTGTTAAACGAGGTAAATTTCGAGTTTTCTTGGAAAAAGTGAAATATTCACTTCTTCAGGTGCAATTTGTATTTTGAAAATTTCTCAATCAAAACGGAAGCGTAGAAATATTTTAAAGGTGATATGCATGATCTACTCATCGAACTCTATCCAACCATGTAATAATAAATGGGATTTTTGTCCTGCTCGAGTTTTGACTTCGGTGCAGCTTATAACAAACGCTCATGAATGATTCGGTTTCTACTATTTACCCATGATTACTTATTCAAAATCGAAAAATGGGAAGGAAAGAAAGAAATAATAATCAATAGATACTAACCTGAATACTTGAATATTGGCTAGATAATGAAGTTTACACTGTTTATCCGTAATGTTAACAATTAAAGATAGATCTAAAATATCAATAATAAAAATATTATTTTAATCATAACAAATTTCAATGTTACAATGCAATATAAGCAACTATTCATACGATAGTAAATCGATCGACTAAAGAACAGGAAAAAAACGCATAGAATACACAATTATAGTATGCTATATGCTAACACGGCATTCACGTGCTTTTCTTGTCATGCTTATATTATAGTTTGCCTCTTAATATTTTTTTTTGTTCTCTTTGAAAAAACAATTACGTCATTTCTATTGAAAAGAAAAAGAAAAAGAAAGGAAGTATAAATACAGACACTTAACTACAGATAGTGTACGACAAAGGAAAAAAACAAGTACAACGGTTGAAAAGCTGTAGCTCTCGCGTTGAATTTATCTTATAGATTTATTTTTTGTTTCATAATGAAACACAATACTAAATTATTTATAAAAGCTCACATTGAACAATAAAAAATTAATTACTGTGGGTAGTTAAGACTCACGTACTTTTTACATTATAATCATGTTTAATATATGTTCAAATGCTAAGATTAGAAATTATTTTTCTCTAATCCAGCCGTATTAAATTCTATCGCATAGTACAACAACAACAAGAAGCAATACGATTGCGAACCAGTAAGCAGTAGAAAAAAGATTGTCTGATTTATCGAGTGCAAAGAATAGAGTAGAAAAAAAGAACATAGATGAATAAAAAAACGAAAGAGAAAGAAAAGAAAAGAATACTGGATGGGGCAAAGTACACTCATTGTTAGTCAGCAGAACAGAAGAAACAGTTCGAAATAGCAATAAAAATAAAATAAAAGGACATAGGTATCCTCATTATCAATTCAAATTATAGTAATTCTGAAATGTCCCATAAATCATAAATAAATGTAATGTTGTCAGTTTTCTTTTATTCACCTACGATTGATAAATAAAAAGAAGAAGAAAAAAAACGAACAGAAAGCCAAATAACAATTATTAAGCATGCTCACATACACATTTAACAAACATAAATAAAAACAAAGCTATAATTAAAGAGCCTCGATGAGAACTATATGTTTTTCATTCGATTTCCTTTTTTTTTGCAATAATTTATACAAATTATAATTCAACTTTTTTTGTTTTATCATCATTCTCTTCATCATCCAAATTGACATCACTGAGATCAATATCTTCAACAAAATCTAATTTTCCATCTTGACCATCCCATGGTTCACTATCAATAATAGTTGGTAGTTTTCCTTCAGCAACGCCGGCCAATGGTACAAGTGGGCTTGTCAAACGACCAGCTGATAATTCTTTTAAGAATCCACTGATACCTGTTTGACTAAATGCACCTTTCAATACAACATATTTTCCTTTGCGTGCATTTATAGCAACTTGTGCTGGATAACCAAAACCTCCAATACCAACAGTTTCTTCAAGTTTTGGTTGACGAAATGCTTCAACCCAAAGCCAACCCCAACGATTGCGTTTGTAACTTTCAGCAAAATTTTTTAACATTGTTAAATGTTCATTACGACATTCTGATTGACAATCAAGAATATTTGGTAGAAATGATATTATACACAATTGTTTTTCGGCACAACTATCATCTAAGACAGTTTGACTTGTTATTTCAAGAACATCTGGTGCTGGAACATTTGCTTGAGATTTATCCAATGCCCAAGCAACAATATCCTATTGAAATGAATAGGAAATAAGAATGATATAGTCTTTTTTTTAAGTTTTCATATGTATAAATAGATAGCATACATTTGATGATCGTCCACCATCGTATTCATCAGCTTGGCCATCCTTTTTACCAGACGGAAAGAATTTTATTGTTGGAAAACCTTGTACTCCATATCGTTGTGCCAATTGTGTATGGACAGTTGCATCTACAACACCTAACTTAACTTTACCTTTAAGTTCTGTAGCAGCACGAGCCCATTCTGGTGCTAAATTCTTGCAATCTATGAAACACAAACGTATGTAAAAGCGAAAAGAAATTATTTCGAAAAGAAATACTTACGACCACACCATGGAGCCACTAAAATGATAAGAAAAAAATAGAATTATTCACAGATTTTGTTTTAAGTTAAAATATCGAGCAAATTTTCATTTGAAACAATTATATAGAATCATATGAATATTCAAGTTCATAAAAAAGACTGTAAGAGTAGTAACTGAATATTTATGAGACGTCCCTATTTTCATTCACTAATCGTATCCTTTAATTTGTTTTTAAAATATCTATTGTGTGTGTGTGTGCATCCGACGTAGCAGAGTAAATATAAATCAGCGAGAAACATAGTAATAATATGTAATTGAAATATCAATTATAATAGATCTATTATTGAGATAACTTTCAAATTGAAATTATATGCTCGATTTGTTTGTCAGTAAACAAGAGTTGATACAAGAAAATTCAATGTCATGAAAGATCAATTTTTAGATTGTAAACTTACTAAATTCAACAAGCCACATATCTTCCGAATCGATAACCGTTGACTAGAAAAAAAATAAAGAAAAATAATTAGAAAAAAAAAGAATTGAATTTCAAAAAAACTTGTTTACATCGAAATTGCTATCTGTCAATTCGATTGTATCTTTTCCTCCATTTCCGCTGTCGCCACTTCCACCACCACCACCACGTTTACCCAAACGTTCATTGACAATTGCTCTTAATTGATTGAGAGCTTGCTCAATGATAGCATCAGCTGTTCGTCCACCTTGATAATCTGTTGGTGAGCGTTTATTATTTCCGAATACTTTTATTGTTGGAAAGCCTGATACTCCATATTGTTGACCAAGAGATTTGTGTGAATCAGCATCGACAGCACCTATTTTAACAATGCCTTTCAATGCTGTTGCGGCACGTTTCCATTCGGGTGCCAGATTTCGACAATCTAAATATGAGCAATAAAGAATTGATTATAAATATGCATAAGCAACAAACTCAGATACTTACGACCGCACCAAGGTGCATAAAATTCTACAAACCATATATCAGAACTTTGCATAACAAGATGATCGAAATTAGATGGATTGAGTTCAATAACATCATCAGCCGAACTATAAAGTCCATATGTAGAAGCAATAAAACCAATGATGACAAACAATAGAGATGAATGCATTTGTGATCTCATCTACAATGTCAATTGAAATATGTAGAAATAAAATGTGAGAAGAGAAAAAGGCCCAGTGATCTAACTCTAATCCTTTCAACCAACATTGAGCTTACACGATCTTTTTTCCAATTATCTACCTCCTCTTCCCCAATCACTATTCAGCGCGTTTGACCGATGTGATGGACCAATGAAAAATAGCGTTTTAGTCTCTACTATGGTGTTTTGAAACGATATAAAAATTTTGATTTTCCTTAAAACGAAGCTTTCTTAATTTTTTATATGATTTTATTCTAAAGAAAATTTTTTCACTTCTTGATATACTTTCAATGGGTTAAATATAGCATTTTCTATCATTGGTTGAACTGAAATAGCCAACTCATACGTGTAAATAAACAAATCTTAGTGATCTCGATTACATTATTATTTAGAATATTGAGATACGTTTTCCATTCTCATTATTATATTTTTCAGAACATCTAAGAGAACAAAATCAAGAGAAAGGAAAATAAAAATGAACAAATCTCCAATTCTACTTGGCTCTCTTATTTCAAAAATTAGCCCAAATTTTATTCGTTATGCATCAAGTGCTAGAGCATCAGGAAGTTCTGTATGCTATTCACAAATATTCTATTTTTCGTCTATTTTATTCTCGTTGCTTCTTTTATTTTTAGCAAAGAAAAGTTGCCGTTTTAGGTGCTGGCGGTGGTATTGGACAACCACTTTCTTTATTACTTAAGCTAAGCCCCTTGATCAGTGATTTATCACTCTACGATATTCAGCATACAAAAGGTGTTGGCGCTGATCTTAGTCATATTGAAACACGTACCAAAGTCCGAGCTTATGTTGGCAAAAATGAACTATCAGATGCACTAAAAGGAATGGATCTTGTGGTGATTCCAGCAGGTGTACCACGCAAACCAGGTAAAATAGAATGCTCGTTATTTTGTAAGATCGAGCTTCAATTGGATTCAGATTTTCTTCTGTTCATTTTGCAATAGAAGACGAGTCTATTTCATCTTTGTTACAAAAGAAAAACAATGAATTATTTGTTTAAGGTATGACACGAGATGATTTATTCAATACAAATGCAACAATCGTTGCTGATCTTGTTTCTGCTTGTGCTAAAAATTGTCCACGAGCTATTATTGCTATTATTGCAAATCCAGTTAATTCAACAGTTGTCATTGCATCGGAAATTATGAAGGCACATAATGTATATGATGAAAAAAAAGTGATTGGTGTTACAACATTAGATGTTGTTCGTGCAGCAACATTCATTGCTGAAGCTAAAGTTTGTTGATTTTTCTGAATAATTATACGTTTACTATTTTCTTGTCTACGCGAAGGGCCTTGATCCAGCAAAAGTTAATATTCCTGTCATTGGTGGTCATTCTGGAAATACAATAATTCCATTACTTTCACAAACATCGCCACCAGTTTCATTCTCTCAACAAGAATTAGAAAGTTTGACAACTCGTATTCAAAATGCTGGAACAGAAGTTGTTGAAGCTAAAGCTGGTGCTGGCAGTGCAACATTATCAATGGCACATGCTGGTGCAAGATTTTCATTTGCAGTTCTTGAAGCCTTAAGTGGTAAAGAAGGTGTTGTTGAATGTGGTTATATAGCATCACGGGAAACAGAATTTAGTTATTTTGCTACACCGCTTCTCTTTGGCGTATGTTTATTTTATCATTCTTTTTGTTTTGTTGATCTATTGATTTATTTTTCAAAATTCATTTTTAGCGTAATGGTGTTGAAAGAAGCATGGGTGTTGGCAAACTTTCTGATTTCGAAAAGAAATTAATTGAAAAAGCCAAAAAAGAACTCAATGGAAATATTGAAAGTGGTCTCACATTTGCTAAACAATATTTAGCAAAATCGAAATAATGTCAAGAAACCATAACGCCTGATTATGACTTGTGTTTTTGTTTTGTTTTGTTCCATCTAACCTTATTTTCATGAGCAACATTCATCACTTTCATCTTTTAGGGTAGTCTATGTATAGAAAAGAAAAGTAGAAAAAAAATAAAAATATACCTATATTATGCTAGTCGAGCTCTTTTATTCTTCAGATTCAATTTCATTAATAATAGAAAAAAAACCAAAATGGTACGATTAAATGTTGACCAAATGAGCCGCTATGTTAGCCCAGTTAATCCAGCTGCTTTTCCGACACTTAGCATAGTTTTATTAGGTAACTAAAACGAATCTAAAATAAATAGACGAAGTCAAACAGTATTTTGATTCATTTAGGTATTGGTATATTTTTAATGTCATGGTTTTTTGTTTATGAGGTTACAAGTACAAAATATACTCGAGATTGGAAAAAAGAAATTCTCATTGCTCTGTAAGTTCTATTTGAATTTTTCAGCGGTAAACAATAATCGATTTCTTATTATATTGTAGTGTGGCATCATTTTTTCTTGGCTATGGCGGTTTATTTCTTTTACTTTGGGTCGGAATTTTTGTTTGAATTCATACAAAAGAATGACAAAATGGGCCAAAAATAAATGAAAACTTATCTCCTCTTTCTTTTTTTCGTCTTTATTGTTTATTATTATATTAGTTGATTCATTGTTGTTATAACTATGGGCTTGTTGATTATTGTCTTTTTTATTTAAAAAAAGTCTTATTATCTGTTTACAAGAAAACAAAAAATAAATTTGCTCTTGAGTTTTAGATAATTTTAAAAAAAGTAATTTAATCTTAAATGTATATATTTAACAAATTGTACATATTCAATGAAAAGGTATGTGAATTAATCAATGAAGATCATGACAGGATATTCTTTCTTGCTAGTGTGATCGATAAGTTTTTTTACATTTATTTTCTCTAAATAAATACAGAGACGATCAGTAGCTTGCTAAAATATGATAGCATCACATTTTGAAGACAAACGCCTACGAGAAAAAAAATAAAACATCAGCTGATTTTATGAGAAAAAGCAAAAGAAAAAACATAACAGAACATACTTTGGTCTCTATGTTAACAAAAAAATCTGAGAGCAGTTTTTTATATGTTCGAATCACGCATTAGAAACGTGACCAGATCGGAAAAAGAAAGAGCAAACAAATGCACGATCAGCGAAAACAACCAGTAAGCTATTGTACAAGCTGACATCATTCGACATAGATGTATGGATGCCTACTAGTGACCTTATCGAAATTGATATGATTTAATTTATACAACGATTGACATTTCTATTTTTTAATTCAAAAATGAATAAGATTTTATCTAATCAGTCTGCTATTTTTTTGCTTAAAATTTTATCAAAATATGATACATATTTACGTAAATTTCTACCTATTCGATTATCGTACGATATTTTATCTTTATTTTATTTATCAAAACACTGTACAGCAATCATAAGTAAGCATACCGTAAAAAAAATCATGTTAATATATTACTATTAGCCTTGAGAACCCTAACTTTAACTTTACAGAGTTCGATGTATAAGAATGCACTTTCTTAAGTATAGATGTAATACATCATCGATGTGTGCTTTCCAACTCTATATCTCGGTTACCATCTAACTTTTTTTATATACGACTGCAATAAACTAGGGTTGTTTTACAAGTTGAATGTTGTTGGGTTTTAAGGGGAGTAAGAACAGGAAAAAAAAATGTGAATATAAGTCATTATCACATGATGATGTTTTTTTCTTTGCTCGTTCTTCTCAACTTTTCCTTCTGATTCTTTACATACAAAGCATATACTCAGCTGCTGGCTGATTATGTTGTGTTATAGATATTCTATGCACATGAGACGACATATAAGCAACATTACTGGAGTTGTTGATAATTATGCGCCTGACTTTATGCAGAGAATAGGCAACCCATAGATGTTTCATATAAATGATTATATTGAACGAATGAATACATATGTACAACTAAAGCAACGATTGCATCATTTTCTTGACTCATTTTATATTCAATATTCTACCGTAGAAATACTATTTTCTTTCGTTCCTATTGTATTTTATCACCATAAATTTAACCAGAACTATTTGGTTTTCTTTAGACGACATATTATCTTTAGCTATTGTACATGATTTAAACATATATCTATATTTATTAACACAAGAACAAATAAGAAAAAATTAAAGATGCCGGAAACCATTGGTGACTATCAATATAGCAAACGGGATTTAATTGGACATGGTGCTTTTGCTATTGTATTTCTTGGTCATACAAAAAGTGTATGTGGTCGGAATACATCAGTTTTAGTATATATATATCTATCTTTTTGTTGTTGTTTTTTATTTTTAAAGAATCCTGAACAGCAAGTCGCTATTAAGCAGATAACAAAAAAGCAATTAGCAAAATCACAAAGTTTATTGGAAAAAGAAATTAAAATTCTTAAAGCAAGAAAAGAAAACAGACTTTAATATTTTAGTTAAATTTTTATCTTTTTTAGGAATTAACTAAACTGAAACATGAAAATTTAGTTGCACTACTCGATTGCAAAGTAATATTTTAAATTCCTTTTTATTTCTCGTATTTGATTGTATGATGATTTCTACTTTTTTTTCTACCAGGAATCTCAAAATAATGTTTATCTTGTAATGGAGGTTTGTTAATAATTTTGTTTTTAAATTTACATTGATATACTAATAAATGTTGCGTTTTTATTGAATTTAGTATTGCAATGGAGGAGATTTAGCCGATTATCTTCAATCAAGACAAACTCTTAGTGAAGATACAATTGCTATTTTCTTTCGACAAATTGGTAAGAAATCATGTTTGTCTAATTCATTATAATTAATTAATTTTTATTAGCTGCTGCAATTCGCGCCTGTCATGAACATAATGTTGTAAGTATATTTGGTTTTATTTACATATTTCATGAAAAACAAATCTATATTACATCGTTAAGGTACATCGTGACTTGAAACCACAAAACATTCTTTTATCACATCCAGACAAAAATAATCAACGTGTACAAGATATTATATTGAAAATAGCTGACTTTGGTTTTGCTAGATTTTTATCTGATGGCGTTATGGCTGGAACATTATGTGGCTCGCCAATGTATATGGCACCGGAAGTGATTCGATCATTACAATATGATGGTAAAGCTGATTTATGGTCAATCGGTACAATTATGTATCAATGTTTGACTGGTAAAGCACCATTTCAAGCACAAACACCACAAGCACTTAAACAATTCTATGAAAGAAATGTTAATTTATTACCAGCGTAAGTTTGAATTGAATATTCTTTCAACATTTTTTTTCTATACACATATAAAAAATTGAATCTTTCTATGTTTAGAATTCCACCAGCAACTTCACGAGAATTAACTGATTTAATTGTTAGAATTTTAAAAAGAAATCCAAAAGAACGTATTGATTATGAGGATTTTTTTGATCATCCATTTTTAGCGAAAAGTATGTTTGAGAAAAAACAGAAGCCAAATTGCAATCTTAATTATACTTAAATAATATGTTATAGGTCAACCTATACCAATATCATCAGGTCGCGCACAAACATCAGCTATGAGTATTATTAGTTCATCGCCATTACGTGAAGGAATTTTATCTCAAGTACAAGATTTTGTAAGTTTCATCTAGATATTTCCTAGAAAAAAAGAACATATTTTATATTGTCGTCAAAAAGGATTTAACAATGCCTCGGCAATTCAGCCGTCAGATTGATCCTATTCCTGAATATGAACCAGATTTTATACCAACTATATTACCCACTACAGTACAATCACCAGCAAATAATCATCGTTCACCATCGCCAAATTCTGTAAATAATTTTGTTCCAGCTATTAATACAAATCGATCAATAGTTAAACATGTATCGAATCCAAGTATACCAGTATCTACAAAACAAGATGATTTTGTACTTATACCTGAACATGTTCCTATTGAAAAAACTCTTCCAATTGGTAAACTATTTCAGTATAATTAATATGAGATAGAAACTTTTCTTTTCTTTTCTCAGGTGGTCATACATCATTTGCGCAACTTTCAAGAGAAAAACGTCTTATAAGAGAACAGCATCGAACATTATCGGAAGGCATTTTGTAAGTTATTTTACAGATGAAAAAAACAAAAAATTTGTTATGTTCTATGCGTTAAAGATGCTCAGAAGAACTGTCATCACAACGACCGGATAATCTTGCATTAATGGCTATAGAAAATACTGCTACAGTAAAAGACAATCGAACTTCCAGTATTACGCAACCAATACCAGTTCCATCACAAATTCATAATTATGAAAAAATGCAAGAATCTCGAGATCGTGTGAAAAATGTTGGTGCTACATCAGCTACTAGCCCAAATAGTAGTCCATATGATGGTATATCTAATTTCGATTTTCACAAAAAGCATCTTTGACTATTTTCTTTTTTAATTAGACCGTCGTACATCATTAGATCGACTACGTCAAGCAAGTATTGTTTCATCAAATTCGGATTTAGCTAATTCGATTAGCCCACCTGCTGTACGATTTACGATCGATCCTACAAATGCATCAGCAAACCCATTTAGTTTAGTACCATCAACTCGTCGAACAGGTAACTATTTTTATTTGAATATTTTTAAAAATCGAATCTGTCCTAATTTAAGATGCTACATCATCACCATCACGAACCATTCAACAATCAGCATCAAATTCAAGTATTGCTCAACAACAAAATTCGAAATTGATTATTGATGTATCGCCACTTAAATCACGACAAAAACTAACTGATATAGATAGTAAGCATTCACTTTTTTGTTTCAAATTATTTTCATTGAAACTTTTTTATCAGATCCACACGATCGATTCTTTGAACAAGAAAATAATACTGTTTTTTTTGCAACGAATAATGATCAGCAAACAGCAACCGGACAACTTCGTCGACGTGTTACTTCTATATTTGGTGATGCCAATCCTGACGGCCGTTATTTCGAACCTCAAAAAATTACAGACGATGCATTGATGGATGTATGTATTAATATAGTATTATTTTTCTAACGAGAAAAATTATGCTTTTATTTTTGTAGAATGATCATCATGATACATTGAATAAGCTAGAATTTATTCTTCAACTAGTCGATTATATATTAACTTTAGCAAGTTCACGAACAAGTTTATTAACAGAATCGTTCAGTTTAAATAATAAGAACAGTAATAATAATATACCACGACCTAAAATGGATCGTCTTAGTCATGTGGACAATTTATATAAACGTGCAGAACAATTAACACTTTATGTTAAAGCAATGCATTTTCTTAGTTCAGCAATGTGTCTTGCTCGGTAATTTAGTTATACCGTTGAAGATTTTTTGTTTTTTTGCATATTGGAATGCTTTTTTTTTATCATTCTAGTGATACGCTCAAATCCGGAAAATTACATCCAACAGCTAATGTTAGGTAAGAAATTATAATAGATATGCATATAATAGGAGACAAGCGCACATTTCTCTACAACGGTTTGTATATTAGAATGGACTATTACAGTAGATACCATGAGTTTTTTTCGTTCTAAATTTATTTTATATCGCTTATGTTTTGGGGTCTACTCGCTGTTTATGTCGTAAGATACAACTAAGGTAATAGCGTACATCTTTAAGATAGTTAAATTCGATCAGTAGCTTTATCATCATTTCAAGCATTGATTCATAAATGATTTTTAGAATTTATTATGTTGAATTTAAGTCCATAATGCTTATGTTGACATGACTAGAGGAGTATGACATTTTGATTAAATTTTATGAGTAATAAAAAGAACAACTCTCAATAGCTTCTTTCTCGTCCTCTGTATGTCGTATTTCATGCATATGTAATATGATATGTGATAAGTGTTTAATTCTCCGAAGAGACAGTTTAAATCTGATTAATCTTATTTACATACATAGTAGTGATCTCGTCTAATCTATTTCTCTTTGAATGATTGACAAACAAATTTTTAAATAAAAATCACTTTTCTAAAAATGCTTTGCTTTCTTTTTCTTACAATAGAGATGCTGTTAGTAATTTAAATAATAAATATAAACATTGTTTAATAATGTGTAAACAATTAAGTGCACAAGAAGAATTATTAACACATGATGAAATGAAAGGTGTTACATTAACGGCCGATAAATTACTTTATTTGCATGCAATTGATCTTTGTTTAAATGCAGCTAGTTTAGAATTTTTTGGTAAAGCTCAAGAAGTAAGAGAATCATCTATTTCTTAGTAATATAATTTTTATTGTTTTTCCTTCTAGTGTATTGGACCATATACTCAAGCGCAAGTTTTGTTTCATAGTTTAAGTCAACAAGCAACAACCGATTGTGATCGATCAATATTACGACAATATCGTGAAGCAGTCGAACGACGTTTACATTGTCTTCAAAATCAGGGACTTGTTGTACTTAATGAGCCATCAAGCGCATCTTAGTGTTTTCTACCAAAGTTTTCTTTTGTGTGCTTCTGTTTATTAATTGCTTACTCTCTAGTCATTTATGTTTATATATGTGTATCTGTAGATCTGTTATTGTTGTAGGTCATTGAGAGAGAGAGAGAACATGTCTATGAAAACAGTAGAACAATTCACAAGAGACAGATCATATAAATAAATAAATAAATAAATAAATAAATATGTGTGCATGGGGGGAGGGGGGATTTAGCCGATTCGCTGAAATTGAAAATGTATCTTTGTAAATTAAAAATAAAATTCTTTGTCTATTTCATTTCTTTGAATTGAGCTATTCATTTTCAATATTTGTCTCGTTCAGATTTAACGATGTATTTCTATTCGAATCTTGTCCTGTCCTTTACTGTGATTTGTCGATTTCAACGTTTTTTTTCTCTTTTTGTACATTTATCCTATCTAATATATATATATATATATATATATATATATATATATATATATATAGATGTATGTATACCCCTGGTGGGTATAACGCCTTTCTTTTTAATATTTATTTAATGTTGAATGTATGTGTGTCTATTGAACAATTTGCTTCAATTTCTTCTCTCTTCTTTTTCTATTACTTTGGCGATTTCAAGCAACAAACAAGCCACTTTAATATATTTGACATGTAACTTTTTTTTTCTTCTTCTGTAGATGGGACATGGATGATATACAAAGAGATCATGTTAGAACAACGAAAACTATGTCCGTTGGAATATATGGATGGAGAAAACGTTGTTTATACTGTCTATTGTTTGTTTTAACAATAGTTGTTTTGATTAATTTATGTTTAACATTTTGGTTGTCAGTTGCTTTGGGTCTTCATTGGGTTTGTTTTGTTGAAATTTATAGGATTCTATTCATTGATTCAAATAAATATTTTTTTAGGGAAATATTGGACCTATTACAATATTTAAAAGTCATGTCATATTTCGATCGCCAGTTGTATTTAAAGATGGATTTATTGCAAACAAAATATCTAGTGGTGATCAAGTGAGAATGTCATTTAAAAAGCGGAATAGATTTACATATTTGTTTTTTGATGATTTTTCTTCTATAGTCGTTAAGTATTCAATCAGATAAAAGTGTGAACATTCAAAGTGGATCAGAAAATAAAAATTCAAAATTAACCATTGGTAAAAAATAATTTTATTTTTCAAAAACCGTTGTCCGTAATAAAGAAGTTTATCTTTTGTTTTTGTTTTATTATAAAATTAGATCAAAATGGAATTCATGCTAATTGTGACCAATTTCAAATAAATGATCGAACTGGTTCAAAACTTGTCGCTATTGATTCATCACAAATTCAAGTATATACTGATGATCTTTCAATTATGTCGGGTATGATTTATTGAATACTAAATTTTCTTTTACATTAACTAGTATATTTTAGACAAGAAACGATTGGAACTACCAAATTTAATAACAAATTCAATCAGTTCAGATAAAAATCTAAGGTAGATAAGCATTTAGATATCAATGGAAGTATTGTATATTTTCTTCATATTTAGTTTATCAGCAGATGAAGGTCGACTTATATTATCATCTAACAGTAATATTGATATAGCCGCTAGACAAACACTTGACTTCGTTGGAAATGATATTACTATAAAAGCACATACGGTAAATAGTACAAATTACTGAACATACTTTAATATTTAATTTTATTAGATTCGTCTTCAAAATGAACATATTTATTTTGAAAAATTACGTTTTTTTGATCGTGCTAAAGGACCAATAACCGCTCGTAGTTCACAATCCTACTCCGTATGTATATGCGAAAATGGTCTGGTCTTTGCTGCAGTTGATTGTCGTCAACATGCTTTCGATTGTCGCGAGTAATAGAAATATTTTAGTTCTGATATTTGTAATTTTTATATGCATTTATTCATAAGCAAAACATGTTTTTTCCTCGTTGCTTTAGTTTTCCTTTGTTTTTTTTTCTGTTGTATTTCTGAAATATCTCAGGCAATGCTTCACAAAGATTTATTCAATAATTAGTCATTTTTTTTGTATCTGAACTCTAAATTAATATTTGTCTGTAATGTTTTCTTAGTTTTGATAGTTAATAAAATTCAATATTGTATCTATATCTATGTTTTTAAAATTAGAAACAATTCGAAAAACATCTTAGATAAATGATGGGAGAATTAATTGAATTGCAAACACTTGAAGCATCGGATGATCGAGTATGGTGTGTTGCTTGGAATCCAACAGGCACATTGTATGGTTCAACAAGGGTGTTATACAAGCAATGATTTTCATTACTTTTTTTTAGACTTGCTTCATGTGGTTCAGACAAAATCACCAAAATTTGGGGACGTGAAGGTGATCATTAATAAAATTTACTTTTGATTTAATTGATTCAGAGAAAACCTAGTTATGATTATTCAAAAGAAAATAAATGATGATTGATTTTTAATGAGTAGATCAGTTTAGTATTGATAATTTATTGTTTTTGTTTATATATTCAGGAGAACGAAATTGGGTATGCAAAAGTACACTCAGTGACGGTCATACACGATCGATTCGTTCTGTAGCTTGGTCATATTGTGGTAATCGTATTGCATCAGCTGGTTTCGATGCTAAAGTATCAATTTGGGAGCGACAAGGTCAAGAATTTGTCTTACAAACAACATTAGAAGGTCATGAGAATGAAGTTAAAGATGTTGCTTTCTCGCACAGCGGACTTTATTTGGCAACATGTGGTCGAGATAAAAGTGTTTGGATTTGGGAATGTAAACTAATGTCTTTTTATTGTTTTGCTTTATCATATTATCCAATATGAATATACTTCTTTTTTCTTTTTCTATGAAGATAATGAAGAAGAAAATGATTTTGCTTGCGCTGCTGTTCTAACAACACATACACAAGATGTTAAACATCTAAAATGGCATCCACACAAAGATGTAAAGATTTCTTTCTAAATTTTATTCACAATATAAACTATTTATTCAATCAGGTTTTAGTCTCGTGTAGTTATGATGATACAATTAAAATGTTTATTGAAGATAATGATGATTGGTCTTGTGTATGCAGTTTAGGTATAAACACTATTGAATAGAATCATATTTCTGAACTAAAGTTCCTTCACTTTCTTTCGAACGAATAAGATTCACATACATCAACAGTTTGGTCTTGCGATTTCGATGCTACTGGAAAACGACTTGTTTCATGTAGTGATGATAAAACAGTTAAAATATGGCATGCTTATGAAAAAAATAATCAAGAAGGTAAAATGATTAATAGAAATAATAATAATAATAGTAGTTTACGTCTTGATTGAAATCATAATTAAGGTATTCGTTCACCAAATGGTGTTTATCCAGTATGGAAATGTGTATGTTCAATTAGTGGCTATCATAAACAACCTATTTATGATGTGAAATGGTAATGTATTTATCTCTTCTTTTTAAATATAAAAACCATTATTATTATTATTATTATTATGGTTTTTGAAGGTGTCCTCTAACTGGTTTGATCGCAACAGCAAGTGGTGATAATAGTATACGTATTTTTCGCGAAGAAGAATCAAAGCAAAGAGATGTTCCACCAAGTTTTTCATTGATTGCTTCAAATGCGCATGCACATTCACAAGATGTTAATCGAATAGCGTTTAATCCAAAAGAACCTGGTCTTTTAGCATCATGTTCTGATGATGGTACGGTTAAGCTATGGCGAATTGAGCAAAAATTAATGTGATTGATTCCTTTTTTCTATGACTTTTTTTCGTAAAAATTTCATTATGTTTAGCTAATTTGTTTTTTAAATAAAATAAAAAGAAACGGTGCATAAAAAAAAGATGTAATAATGTTTTCATCTATCGTATACAAACAAATATGGAATAAAATGAAAATGTTCTAGTTCATATCAATCAGTACTGCATCATGTTTCGAGTCAGCATTTAAATGCATACTTGAACGCTAAAAAGAACCAAGTGAAATGTGTAGTTTTCATATGAAAAAGTTAAATACAATTTAATCTACTTTTACTGGTATTTCACATAATTGGCTAGTGTTGTTTGATGTTTCAGACGAACGAATACTCAATCGAGTTTTTATTTCGCTGAGTAAATCAGATGCTATATTCATGTGTGGGCTTCAAATGTCCGAAAAACATTTAGGTGACAAGAAATTTACTGCATGCTTACCTTGGTGATTTTGTTCGACTGATATTCAAACGTATCGTTTGTGGAGAATCTGTAATATCAAGACCTTGTCCAAGAGTTTGATTGTTAAGATATTCTTTTGAATTTAATGGGCATGGGCGTTTCGGAGAAGGAAACGTATAGGACACTGTTGCTTCATAAATATTATTTGTACGAGTAGATGATCCTTTGACTTTTCGATATCGATAAAAATTCGGCAATGGTTGTTTCGTTTCACTAATAACATCAATTTTTTATAATCACTAGAAAATAAAATATCTGATTTTACTTTCGAGATTTGTTAGCGTTTCTACAATAAACATGACAATAACAAATAAAAATAATAATTAATAATAATGCTAATAAAATAGCAAGTCCAATAAAAAACCAATGTAGATAATCAAATGGAACAAGTTGTGCGAGTTGATACAATTTATTACTAGATTGCATTGTTGCTGATGAGGCTAATTTAATAAAAGTTTTTGTTGTTGGAATCGAAGCGATGGTTGTATGTGGTATCGATAAAATTTTTGTCTTTCCCGATGATAATAATTTATAATTATCTTGATAATGATACGTTTCAGGTTTATCATCATAGAGATCGTTATAAGTAAAAAAGCCCCTCGTCGTCATTTTCATGTGTTAAACAAATATCAGATGCGCATATATAAATGTTTCTTTTCTTTTTCAAACCAAACACGTTTTATGCATAAATACCCTGGACAGTATTGGAATATATGGAGAAGAAACATCATTTTCTTTTCTTTATTAGCTATTCATTTCTTGTTTTATATTTGATAGTTGATATCATAAGCATACTGACATGAATGTTCAGTTTTTTTTTGTTAACTTTGCAAAGATTATCAATAATACATGAGAAATTATCTATCTTTGTTTTCGATTATAAGCTTAGAAATAAAAACAATTTCATTCGTCTTTCTTGTTTGTATGTTATTGCTATAAACTTTTATTTTAGTACTTAATTCGAAGGGATGCTTAGCTCAACAAGTGCTTAAATTTTGTTAAAAATCAAGTAAATCTTTACAATGGATTAAATAATTATTTATTTATTCATAAAATTGTTACACTTATCTGATTTAGAAATATGAGTTGACTTATAAATTTTCTTTCGTGTACATATTATTCAAAAGAGAAGAAAACCGATTTTTCTATCATTGAACCGTATTGCACAGAGGAAGAAACAGGTCAAAACTAGATTACTCTCTTATTGTGTGAATTTCCATAATTTCACAAACGAAAGCATTTTTCTTGAAATGAACAGATATTCAATGCATCCGATCAAAGGTCTTTATAATCAATTTAATGTCACATATGCTACAATGAAATTATTTTAAATTTATAGTTTAAATTTGCCTTACCGGAAAATTTCTATATTGACTTTTCTACTACTTCTCTTAGTTTTTTATTTTCTATACCAAAACACAATATTTTTTCACTAATATGCTTAAATACTTGTAGAACCCAAAATTCTTCATCTTCGCTCGGTTAAACACTACATTTCTAGAAAGTTTCAAATAATTTTAAAAGTAAATATATACGAGTTGCTTGAGACCACCGTTTTTGTGACGCATAACCAGACCCCGCGGAAGTGGGGGCCGGGAGGGGTGTACACCTCTCAATAATTGAAGATTTTCAATTTTTCCCAGCGACAGGAGAAGATTTTTTGTAAGTTTTGAGCTTTTTTTTGCAAACTTTGTTGCAAACACCCCCCTTACAGCCCCCCAATATTAGGTCCTTCCCGCGGGCTCTGCGCACATCATGTCTTACTTGAAGTGTTTCGATATTCTTAATATTCATGTAGAGACATGCGAAGCGAATCTAGAAAGTATTTTGCACTTTTGCTTTCACGCTCAATATCTTTTTTTTTACTTCAGATGATAGAAAAATATTTTCTTCACAAAGCATGTAGAGCAAACATTTTTCTTTAATTTTGTGTTTTCAGTTTTTCAAAATCTTGTCGGAGACCGACNAAAGTTTTTGCTTACGGTCAGAAGTACCCTGTCGGAATCTGAACGGGGAACGGGGTAGTTGAACATGCTGATGACGAATGTGCAATTTTTTTTCACCGTAAACATTTTATTCGAAACCAGTCTGGGGTGATATGGTTTTCTTGAACGTGGGTTACTCTCTATGGCCAAAAATTTTTAGCTCATCAATCTCTACTACTCTTTACTACTTTTCTTCTCCTATGAATAGAAATAAAAAAGAAATATTCATTTCGTACAATTTATTTTCATAAAATATACATTAAAACTAATAAAAGTTGCATTAATTTCGAATTTTACCGTGAGATCAAGATAAGATTGAAGAGAAAACTATTCGCATGTGAAATTTGAAGTAGATAAGCTGTAGAATAGCTGAGAACAATTAGCACAACAAACCTTAATGCATGTCGTGCACTTGGCATAAGATCCATTGAGAATTTCTTGATTGCAATGACAACATGTAATGGGTGATTGAGCATATGAATAGAAATCGTTTAAGGATTGATTATAACCATAAGGTGCATGAATTTGAGTAGAATAAGGCATTTGGGGTGGTATATATGGAACGTTCGAGTGACAAGAAATCATTGGCATAATATTTGCATTTGTATCACTTGAAAGCCTCTTCGACGTCGAATGTCTCAAACGTGGGTTTGATAAGTGTTTTTGGTTTTCGCCCACTGAAAAAGAAAAAAATTAAAGAAGTCAAGTGCGTTTATTCTTATTGGTATTTTTATGCACTCTTTTCTCATTAATTTATATTCAGTAGCGGCTTTATTCAACTTGATTAGTGACATTGCTAAGTTTGTGTTTCTATCAAACACCTTCTTGTAACACTTTCATGAATGTCATACCGTTTCGCTGGAGTTTTCCTGGTTTCTGTTGCTTCCTTTGAAGCAGCCGAGATCGATTCCTTGTTTTTAAACCTTCTTTTTTCTTTTTGATTGATTTTGTAAATAGCATTCATTGACGTTAAACTTTCATCGTGTGGTCGTTCAATTATAAATTTTCATTTTTTACTCGGTGATAAAAATGATGGAGTCAAAAAGTTACTAATAACATTAGTAACCACTTCGAAACAACTATTTCGAGAATTGTCGGTTGTTATGTTAGCCGATCGATCAGATATTGTTGTCGATGATTGGTTTAATCGAGAAGATGCGTGCGGTTGATGCACTAATTCAATCGAAGGATTGAAAGGATCATATAGATTTTCATCTAGAAAGTGAGATAAGAAAAATGCATATATTTTTCTTCAAGTGGACTGACTGTTTTCAAATAATTTGATTCCAGTATCATTCCAATTACATTGATCGGGAACAGCATCATATGCAGCATCTAAAAAAAGTGCATTAAGTTACTAAGTTTGTTTCCCATAAGCTTACTAGACAAGTTCTCAACTTGTTCTGAATATAATGTTTGTATTGCATTGCCAATCACTAATGAAATGGATGAGAAATCTAGAATTCAGCTACGTAGAGTCATTAATTCAAATTTTACGACTGTACTTTGAATTTCAGGTAATTGTGACACCAAAATCGATGAGCATCCATGATCGTAAATAGGTAATTGTTCGGACATATCTAAAACAAATGAAACAGGTTAGTTAAGTTGAATGCGATTGTGAAGTCAGAAACATACCACATTGAGTTAATTCAATCGATGATTAATTAATTGGTTCTGGTACTGATGAAATACGTGGTGCTGGTTGAAGTGGAGTAGTAGTAGCATCCAGTGCTATCAAAATATGGTTATGAGAAGTCGTTGTAAGTTTTAACCGGCAAGATCGCATGGCTTGAGATTCTTGTTTTGAATAGCTTCTAGAGCCTTTTGCATATCAGCCTCCGAGTATTTGGATGTAGTTCTTCGTTTGTGATGTCGAACCATATGATTATGATATTAATGGAACATACACGTAAACGAACAATGCATGAACAAATTAAGATGCAACACAATAGAAAGAAAAATGACAATGACGATGGTGACGATGAATTTGTTCTTTTTATTTTAATATCTGATATGTCCATTAGACGGAATGAGGTCACGACTAAGTTCAGTCGGTAACTTTCATCGTCAGTCACAGCGCGATTGTTCGATATCACAATGAGCGTCATTGTTATTTTCTTTTTCCCCGCATACTATTTGTTCAAAAAGAAAACATGTACAAACTAGGCGATGGGTAATAAAATAAAATTTGATTTTTTTCTCAAAAATTTTCCATGATATGTTCGGTCACCAAGAACATGATTACACTATCTAATATTTCTTTTTAATTTCTATACATAGGAGAAGAAAAGTAGTATAGAGTAGTAGAGATTGATGAGCTGACAATTTTTGGTCATAGAGAGTAAGTCGAAAAAACATTATTAAAGAATAGAAAATTTTAATTTTATGAGATCTAGCAAAAATAGCTTATTTTCTAGATTTGGCCCGCTTACTTCCCCAGGTTGATCAAAACGGACTCATTTACGGTCAGTTTATCGATGGTAAACGATGTCAAAGCGGTATATTTACGGCAGTAAATAGGCCGCATTTGCCCGTAATACCTGGCGCAGTAATACGGCACCGTAAACGGGACTGAATTTTCATGGTTTACGGCTGTTTGTGCTCCGTACTCTCATGATAATACGGTCCGTATTACTATGTCAGATATTACGGCAAACTTGCGCCCGTAAAATAGTCGTAAAGTAACCGTCAACGGCCGTATACGGACCGTACTGTTCGACTGGATATATGAGTGCCCGATTTTTTATTTTCGAATTGATATTGTGTAGTTGACCGATATTGATGAAATAATGGTGTGGAAAAAATTTCATGGCAATCGGATTAGCGTTTCAGAAGTTATCGTGTAAACGGCCTGACGGACACACTGACAGATTCTATAGTGTACTCACTTTTTGAGTAAATAAAAAAGACTTTGTACAACAAACATTATTAAGAGATCACAATCTGCCATCACATACAGCTGGTAAGGTTTCAGAACCAAAGTGCAATTTTTTCTAGCAAAGCGTACTGCGTACATTTTGGTTTTTTTAGCAAAGTGTACATCAGAAATAGCAGATGTTCTGTACATTTCGATTCTGCTTGGTACACCTGCTATTGGAAACACAGATTGCCTCGGAAGCACATAATCCTATGATCGATCTAGTTGACATACCACTCAATGTAAACAATATAAAAGGTGCCATTAAGAACTATGACGATATAATAAATGGCTTTCATTTTCGGCGCATTTGCGTTTTTTTTATCACGATAAAGATATAATCTCGGGAAAATGTTCTACTACTGGCACTAAAGTGAAGTTCGCTTGATCAAACAGAGTCAAATTTGACAGTGAACAAATTTCAGAGCCCAAATTCAGGTAAGACTGAGCCTACAGCCTCCGCCGCTTATGCTTTATGTATAAATTATAAATAAGCATAGATACAGCTAAATATATGCCTATCTCTTGCTATTCATACAGGAAAACATGTACATGAACTATAAATGTATATATATATATATATAACGAAAACTATATCTATTCGTATTATACCCTAAAGCTCTCGCTCAAGTATTTTTTTCATCTATTATCAAATTTATATCAAGCATCTGAATCTTCATTTATGTTCGAAATCTAATTGGCGGTGGGGCTCATGGCTGCTTAACTCAGCTATACATCACCGAGTACTATTTGACGTCATCATCAAGAATCGTTAATGTGAAACCGAATAAGTAGTTCATCATGGCTAAGTAGTACTGAAGAATCTTTTTTCAATGCTTTGCTTCAACTTTTACCTAATTTTGGATGCCAAGTTACATAGGAACGAACTAAAAATGAAAGATTGATTGTTTTAAATCATCAAATTCTTCCGATAATGCTGGTACAAGATGGTATCTAAAATCGGTGTTTTCTACTTGAAATTGAGAAATCCCAATATGTACTTCTATAAACAAGATGGTTTTCATTTTCTTTGATTTTAAAGCCAGCCATATAGCAAATGGAATATAATCGAATATCCTTTGTACTTTAAAAAACGAAGTGACCTATGAAACCGAAGTCATTGTGCTTATATTCTGCATATAGATAGTTTTACTGTGTACTACAACTTTTGTAGCAGGACCAACCCGAGATTTCGTAAATTGACATCCGCGTATCAGTTTTTCGATCACTCATTGAAACAGTATGTGTTTTACATTACGTGATCGAATTAGGAAACAAAAATAGCTGGGGTGACCGAGTTAAGAGAAGGAGAGAATGGACAAAATTTTTGAGTAGGTCTCTTTCTAATGACTACTGCTTATTAAAAACTAATTTATTTTGACTAAAAAATCGGTGAAAAGACAGAGAAATATTTTTTCTATCCCGGAAACTAAAAATTAGCTCGAACATACATTAGGAAGAGAAGTTATGAATTTTTTTCTAAAAAGAAAAAAAATGGTGATTGAATTAGGGTTAGGCATTCTATAGTCAAATAAACGTCAATTGTATGAAACATCAAAAGTTCTGAAGAGGCGCAATTCTGATCAGAACGTCAACAAGAAATCTAATTTTGTTGATTTATTTATTGGTAAATATTTATAATTTGTAATTTTAATTTTAAATTCAATCAAAATCTATTTTATTTTATTTATAATTCTATTTTAAATTCATTTTATGTTTACGTTAAGTGAAAATTAAATTTACTTAGTATTTTTATTGTATGATTGATTATTGAATTTTTTTTAATGAAACAATCATTAAGGAAGAGAAAATATTATTATTTTTAGTATGCTATGTCTGAAATAGTGTCATCTCTAAACTACAAACTACAATAAAAAGGGAAAAGGGGAAAATATTGATTGGTTAAAATTTACACCTTGTGTGTGCTTCAGAACGGCAAAAAATGCAAAAAAATCAAGATCCAATATAGCAGAAGTCGGCATTGAACTGTAGTTATTTATACCCACTTTTTTACTGTAAATTCTAGCTGTATTAGTATTCATGAACTGTTGGAAAATGTAGTGGCGCAGCTACCATGGCTGTACGAGATATGATGTTCTCTCTGCAAAGGGCTCCGCGTCCGCTATTAACGCCTCTTATCTAGCCAAAAACGATAGTTGATCCTTCTCATCCCTGAAATTTTATGAAACACGATCTGAAAGGAGTGTTGAAGTATATAGGGTAGACATTTGGACCCACCCCCGCCCCCCTCCCCACAGACCGTTATAGAGAAATTAATTAATTACTAATTAATTTCTCTGTAACGGTCTGCGATGGTCTCTGAAGTCTCTGTAACGGTCTGTGGTGGTTTCTGGTTTCTCTGTAACAGTCTGTGATGGTTTCTAGAGACTCCATACATCATAATACAGACCGTAATAGAGAAGCTCCACAGACCATCAGTGACAGTAATAGACGAATTCCAGAAAAGACGTTTCATCGTGTTTCACACTTTTAATCCCAAAGGGATTGCGCTAACAGCTTTTTTTCTTTCACACACTTGCTCTTCTGTAAAAATTTCCTGTCTGCGTCACTGAAATTTTTTAAAGAGACTTAAATAAGATATATTCTTTCAAGGATAAAAAAGGAAATACGAAATACTTCGTGTATGCTTTGTTTCATATTTATCTCATTTTCTTGTTATCTTCTTATAAATTGTTAGTGTCAGTTTAACCACATTTCTATATTTTAGATTTCTTCATTTCATCAGAATGTCACGTGAAATCAAAGAAAGAATTATTTCTATTATACCGTTATATTTATCAAAAGGATGTGCAGCTTATATGGTAAACTTGTTAAAGCAATTGCAGATATACCAGATGATAAATTTAATCAACTCATAAATGAACCATTCTTTGATATTAATCAACGTATTCATTATTTACTTGATGAAAATTTGTTTTTTTTATCAATCGACATTATCCAATTACTCGTGAACAAGGTTTACAATTAGATTGTTTCATTAATGAAATTAAAACTATTTGTATTAATTTGATAAGAAATAATAAAACAGTGAAAGATGATATTATACGTTTAGAAAATCATATTGAATCTCTGCAAAATGATAGAATTGAAACGGAAAAACTCCGTACAGTAGCTGAATTATTAAGACCATTTGTCAAACAAATTAGAGCTATGATGATTAATCAACATGTACCTGATTGTTATTATTCAAAATCAATAATTAATACATTTTTATTACATTCACAGGGTCAAAGTATATCATGGGAAATAGCTGATTTTAACAGAGATAATCGGCAAAACAATTTTGATATAAATACCCAGGTGAATGAATCCGACAACGGATCTTATCGAATCCTATGGAATCCGACTCCCCTACAGAATCCGATAGGATTCCTGGACGCGGACCTATTGTCGGTTCCGACTGAAAAAATCATTTTCTTATTCACGATCGAATAAGAATTTTGATTCATCAGAGCGCAAGGGTGATTCGTTAGAGTTGGATTCCGTTAAAATTTAACATCGGATCCGATTGAATCCAATACCAAGGATCCGACTCCGACTGTAGGTCCGGGTCCAGGAATCCCATAAGATTTCGTCGGTTTTATTGAAACCCATATGGGATTTGGTATATTCACTGTCTGACCTTTGTTGGAATCCGATAGGATCCTACTGTCGGAATGATTCTCCTAGGTATATTTAATGGTTTTGAATTAATTATCAAACATGAAACTGATTCATTACAAATTAATTGTGGTACTTTACTTGAATTTTTAGTAGATAAAATGGATCGTAATGAAGCTGAGCATGATACTGTAAAAACATTTTTACGTCATGATGCACATGGTAATACATCATTCAATGAATATCTATTGTCCATTGGTATACTTGATGCATATGATATGAATCAAAAGGCATGTTTAGAAAGTTTATATCGTAATCATTTTTTTGCTCATTATCATACTATATAATGACAAATGAATAATCTAAATTACGTACAATTGTTGTCTCATGTTAAACAATTAACATTTTTTTGTGGCTAGTGCGAAATTTATTAGAACATAATCATATTTTTTCATGAAACATGTAGGATTAGTTTTGAACGGCAATTTTCTTGCTGATGCTGATTTCCTTTTTTTTGTCATGTTTATTTCTTTTTTTGCCATGCTTATGTTTTTTGTTTTTTTGCGAAATAAAGCGCATTTGTTTCTTGATTTACACGAAGTTACAGAAACTGTTTCTATCGATCACAGTAGAATGGAAGAAAGAGCAAAGACTTAGCTACATAAGCATATATACGAATACGAATTAGCTATAACAACTCACATACAGATATACTTTTTGATAGCATTTTATTCTCTCTAACGAAGCCAAGAAGAATTTAAGATATGTTACTAAAATATTTTTGATGTTTACACTCTTTTAATCCTGATTTTTGATATTTAAGTAATACAACAAAATAAAGGCTTGTATACATACGAAATGAAGAAAAAAATAGATTAATCAATAAACATAATTTAGTTCGCATGTTTACAAAAAAGAAAAGTTGAACTTATTTGTGTCAATATCTGTTAACTAAAATTAGAAAATATTTTTATTTTGTCAATTGATCACAAATTAATAGAGACCCAGGAGAATCATTCCGACAGTAGGATCCTATCGGATTCCAACAAAGGTCAGACAGTGAATATACCAAATCCCATATGGGTTTCAATAAAACCGACGAAATCTTATGGGATTCCTGGACCCGGACCTACAGTCGGAGTCGGATCCTTGGTATTGGATTCAATCGGATCCGATGTTGAATTTTAACGGAATCCAACTCTAACGAATCACCCTTGCACTCTGATGGCTCAAATGCTTATTTGATCGTGAATAAAAAAGTGATTTTTTCAGTCGGAACCGAAAATAGGTCCGTGTCCAGGAATCCTATCGGATTCTGTAGGGGAGTCGGATTCCATAGGATTCGATAAGATCCGTTGTCGGATTCATTCACCTGGGGAATAGCAGTGTTATCTCTGAAGCGTGCTATTGTAGTTTACGCATTAACGCTGTATTTGAATGTTTAGATGCTCAAGACGGTATTTTTTCTTGTGAATTTTCATTTATTGTTGTAATGGTTTACACGATTTACTTTCGGTTAATTACATGAAGATAATTTTCCAATGAACGATTTTTTCGTACGATGATTTACTTTCCATTGCTTAGTAAAACAAAAAGAAATGAGAAGATAAATATTCAGACGAATACTGATCTGCTCGTTGAGCTAATCTATGGAAAGTAAATCATTGTACAAAAAAATCATTAATCGGAAAATTATCTTTATGCAATTAACGAAAAGTAAATCCTCGATGACAACAATTATAATTTTCTGCAAAAATAAATCCAATTAAAATTGAAAAAAATCAACGGAAATTAAATTGTTACAGTCTATTAAAGCGCATAGTTTTTGTATAGAAAAGGTTGCATTTTGTGGAACTCACACTTATTTTGGAAAAAAATAATGAGTGTAAGTTGTATAACGAGGTTTTTGCGGCTCCCCCTTCACCTAGGCCCAGCAACCAAGTGGCGGGAAATCAATATTTTTCGGATAAATTTTCTTAGTAACCCGAAGGCGGCAAAATAAAACATTATCTCATGAATTTCCATAGTGACGAGAGAATAAAAGCAATAATAATGTTTATATCATTCTGTAAGTCTGTAGATTCTAACTGTTTTAAATTTAAATGTGGAAGAGAAGAGGAGGGACGAGATGAACATTACTGTAGCAAAAGCATTACATTTTGGTGTCAATCAGTAAAGTCATAAAATGATTAGTCTAGCCAATATAGACTAGGAAGATAGGGAAAAGTATAGGCTTGTCCATTGAAGTGTAGCCAAAACTTAACAATATAAGCAAAAAATCATGAAAAGAAAGAATCTAGATTGGGTGATCTAATGAACGATTAAATCGATGTACATAGCAGGCTAATATCGTAGTTAAACCAACAAAATGAAGAGTAGATTAATATTTATACTTCCTTTTGTCATCCATCGTATATGGTATGATTAGGAGAAACAATAAAGTATTCAAAATGTATAAGACAAGATTTACATAAATTTTTTAGTACAACAATACTGAATGAATCAAATTAGTCGGTAGAAAAATAAACATCAATGAGAATAGTTTATAAATAAGAATATTTGAAAGCGCGCATATCAGTTATAAAAATAATTTTAATTTTGAGTTATTTGACATTTGTTAAAAATAAATTATCTTAGGCTATCTAACAATATAGAATAAATTTATTACATCCAAAACGGTGAGTTCCACATTTTAGCACCGACAGATGCTTCACTGACAAGTTTTTTTGCCTAATCTGTATCTTTTCGCTCTCCACTTATTGGAAACCTTTTCAATTTCATCATCTTTGTTCGAAAGAAGTAAATATGCAATAGAAACTAGCGTGACAGAATCAGAGAAAATGTTTGACACATATTGTACAATTGTATACCCAGTTTATTAAAAATATTCAATAAATTTATTCTATTCTCTCAAAAGCCTGCAGACCAGGTCACAGACCAACTAGTTCATTTTTGGCCTGGTCTGTTGGCAGCTCTGTTTCAGACTATATAATTAGTTTTGAAAAATACGTTTTTATTGTAATGATTTAACTGAAATACGGACTGCAGCGATTTTTACCAGGGGTATAAAGCCAGACTCAGACAACCAAATTTAGTCTGGCCTGGCTATCAGCTCTGATGTGAATTCCTTCCATCTTAAGATTTCAACGACAATTTTCAATATATTTGCTTTGTTCAACTTTGCCCAATATTTAACATCTAACAGAAGCTTAGCATTAGAAGGATCCAAAATCTGCATTCATTCCAAAAGTGAACACACTCGATACATTAGTGAGAATTTGTTTTCTTGGTATTGGTTTTCAATAGGGGAATATTTCTGTTAGTCATTTATCAAATATTTTGTTTTTAACTATTTTATCACCAACGATATAATTTATATTGTAAAATGAAATTGTAACACACACAAATTCATTTTTATTCAATAAAATTTCAACTGTTTTTTTCTTAATCTTTCTATTAATGTCAGAAAAATCATGCTGATGTTTCGAATTAAATGGTGTAGTTTCACTCATAATAATATCATTATAAACAGGTATTATGGTTTTCAGTAGAGCCATGCGGAGCGAATCTAGAAAGTATTTTGCACTTTTGCTTTCACGCTCAATATCTTTTTTTTTACTTCAGATGATAGAAAAAAATTTTCTTCACAAAGCATGTAGAGCAAACATTTTTCTTTAATTTTGTGTTTTCAGTTTTTCAAAATCTTGTCGGAGACCGACTCTACGCTAGTTTTCCCAAGAGCCCTAACAACGTTCTAGATTCGCCCCACCTTGGGGTGAGTAAAAAATTAATCATCATATAGTGGGGCGAATCTAGAATTCCATTGAATTTCAACATTATCATAAAAATTAAAGTTTCTCATCTATTTTTTATCCGATTTTGTTCATTTTTTCATTAATGCGTAGCTTAATTATTTCTCTACAAAAGTTTTATTCAATGGATCTCCAATATGTCCAAACACTAGATCTTATTCTGAAAGCATCAAGACCATTCGTTTTATTGATTCGTCCCATATGGGGTGAACCTAGAATCATATAGAAGTAAGCTGGGCGAATCTAGAAAATAAGCTATTTTTTTTCTAGATCTCATAAAATTAAAAATTTCTATTCTTTAATAATGTTTTTTCGCCTTACTCTCTATGATCAAAAATTGTCAGCTCATCAATCTCTACTAGCTATTGAATTGTGTGAATTCAATATAAATTTTAATTTCATTATTTTTCGATCAAATTTTTAAATTTTTCATGATTGTTTATATCACTACAAAAAAAAACTTTTATTTCGATTTAAAAGAAAAGAAAATAACAATGGTAGTAAATTTAAAATTTAACACGACTGTTTGAAAACTATTCATCATCAAAACAATCATTAATAGTTGCTGGTGATGAAAATCGAACCATAGAATTGAGTGCATCACTCAGACTGTCCATTGATTTTTCTAATTGAATGCAATGAAGTATAAAATGAAAAAACGCAAAACATTATACCTGATCTCTTTTGAGTTTTTTTCATCTTTTTGAAATCATGTTGTCGAGTTAGATTAGATCTATGAATTGATTGTCGAATTTCATCATCATATTGTTTATCAACTAAATCAGCAGTTTGTTTTTTCAATAATCGTTTTGTTTTATCCATCGCTTGAACTTTAAAATGAATCTTTATACAATAGAAAAACCCTTAATGCGTTAAGTAAATAAAAAGACTTTTATTTGAATACTTCATTCACAGGTTTCATTATCGATTGAGGATTTTCATCGTCTTCATCCATAGCTTCTGCTATACTATTTTCATTTTCAGATTTGTTTTCTTCTTCATTCATCTCAAGATCAGCTGGTGTTGGTAGTAATAATGGTGATTGATTTGTTTCTGAAAGCGAATTCATTTCTAAATCTTTTAAATCCTCCTCTTCATAATTTAATAAAGCATCAATATCAAATGCTTCTTTCATTTGTGTAACAAGTTCAGTACTAATTATTTCATTTAATCGTTCAGGCGGTTCAGTAAAATAAGTTAATTTACCATTATTCCAATCAGAAAGTACTCGTTGTGCAGCTTTATGAATATCAGGTACACCACCTTTTTTCAAACTACCCATTTTAACAGCCATTTTCAACAAAAAATCATTCACATCTTGAAAATCAGTGAGATCATATTGAAGTATCATCTAAAATTACTAGAATTATCTTACTAGACCAAGAAATAGACACATATCTATTGTAATTCAAAAGCCTTGATCAGTGTTTCAAATACAAATTACTACAAATTATGTATAGTTTATATAAATGTAACAAAAGTCTTAATTTCAGGTCTATTTACTCCTATATATCCTTTTCAATCAGATGAGTTCTATCTGGCAGCGAAAAAAAACCAGCAAGAAACCTTGCTGAGGTTGCTGAGAGAAATTCATCGGAAAATGCATTACTATCAAATATCTTACGAGTCAATCAGTGCATATTATAGGTTGTATGTAGCTGAAAATTATTAGTGAAAAAGTGAAACTTTGAATTTAATCCGATCATATTCAATGTTCTTGAATTACAATAACTGCTGTTCTATTCTGAGAAAAACTAAAGATTTTACTTGTTCTTTTTTACATCGGTTAAGTAATAAATCAATGGCTGGCAATGGATTATCAATAGTTTCAATCTAGAAAAAAAAATGAAAGGAAGAAAAATATGGTTATATTTCTATCCATTGCCCTTACGCGAACACAATTACGAAGAATAAGACTAGCTGGATTTGTGTCTTTTGACATAACAATACCGGGACTATCAAACAATTTAATTAATTTATCCAATTTAACCGTTTGCATCTGTCTATATGAGGGAAGAAAAAAGAAGAATATAATATATTACTTAAAAAGATTTTATTCTTTACTTTGTTAAACCAGGCGTCGAGCCACTCTGACAAACTTGAGTGCGTTTAAGACTATTAATGACACTACTCTTTCCAACATTAGGAAATCCTTGTAGAAGAGAAATTATTTTTTTTTATAGTTTTCATTTTATTTTCAACTGGAGATAAAATTCTTACCAACGATTCCTACAGTAATACTAGTTTTAATATTATTTTTTCGACAATAATTCGAAAGAAGATTCATTAGTGTTGATGCACCAATGCATTTATTTGATGATTTAATTAGATGTTCATCACAAACTTTTATTGATGTTGTAATATGACCCTAGATGAATAATTGTTAAACATATTTCTTTCATAAAGAGAAATCAATGCGTACTAATCGATCACGTTGATTTTGAGTTGACGAACGAAAAGCAATAGTCGGAAATTCATTACGTAGATATTTTAGCCATTTATCAAGATTATCACGTGGAATAAGATCTAATTGAATCATTGGAAAAAAATTTGATAGTTACATGATGAAAAAAAACAGCAGAATACGATATACCAATTTTATTGAGCAGTAAAATTAGTTTTTTATTTTTTCCTGACGTTAAAACAACCTCTTCAACTTGCGAACAACGGCATCCCACTGGATCACGAGCGTCCAGTACTTCAATAATTATATCAGATGCATCGATAACCTATTGAGAAGAAAAAATAACGTGCAGTATCTGCTTAGTGTTAATTTTTACTTTTTTAAATTCTCGATAAAATGTTTTTCGTGATTTTTCTTGTCCATCTGCAGTTTCTGATGCGCAGTGATCTTGTTCGTTCTAAATTAGATGGTCAACGAATAAAAGAAAACGAAACACATTATTATGAATAAAACTACTAAGATTTGTTCATGTTCGAATGCGTTTTGCCGTCGTTCGATATCAAGCATCATTTCTTCTAAAGATTTTGGTTTTTCTTGATCGAACTAAATGTGCTTGAATGAAATATAGTTAGAATCTCTTTAAACAAAGAAACCTGTTTTTTCTTCTCATCATTTGAATGTACCAGATCTTTTTTGAATGGAGGCAACTTTGCAATGTTTCTATCTTTCGTTTTGTTGCCTAAGTATTCAAATAAGAATCAGATACAAATATTTTAATTTACATTGAATTTTTACTTTTGTTTTGAAAGTTTTTTTTTGTTTCCCTACTCATTTTATTATGCTCTATTTGATGAACAGTTTTTCTTTGGATATATATATATATATATATATATATATATGTCAAAGTCGCTTTGTCCTTTTATCAGATTAATAAAATAAAAATCTACAAATAAAGATTGATAAAAGAGTAAATTTTTGTTATGATCATTTATTAGAAAGTTTTGTAAATTGTTTATGATAAATTAGATTTCAGCTATAAAAATGCATCAAGTATGAATACATAACTATATTAATAATTTCGAAAGAATTCAGTCAGTATGAAATCATCTATTCAACTGATTAGAGTAACATAAAACCAATTATATTGACTAAATATTATGAGTATAATGTCTAGTGGCCTCTAGTATTTTCGAGAGATAACTATTTTGGGTTTATCAGAATGATACATTTAAAAGATATTATATGAAGAGATTAGAATAAAAATACTAATCATACATATGTAGCTCATTGAGTAAGTAACATTCCAATATAACGAAACACCTTTTCTATAATACTGCGAATATTTTTTTTCCAAAAAGAACCATGAGACGCTAAATAAATGCGAACTGTGTCATTTTTTAATCCTATTTGTGAATCAAAATGTCTCATAGATGTTGTTTGCTTTTGAAACAATCATTTCAAGTGCAACATGAATTCAAAGTTGTACACTATAGTAAAATAGTTAAAGAATTGAAGTAACAACATAAGTATTATTGGCAAAAATCTGAAAGTTTTCGATAATATCACAAATTTTCTATCCAAAATAGAACTGAAAGAAGAATTTACAAATGAATTCAACTATAATAAACAACTATTTAGTTTCTTCAATAAATCTCCAACAGAATGCATCGAGCATACACTTATTTATTTTACCGGTAAAAAAAGTATATGTTAAACAATTACTGATTTGTTTTTCTTTTCTTTTCATTATTTTTCAAGAATCTGCTGAATAATTTTCCAGTTTCATATCTTTTATTCCCAATAAATCATCTTGGTCATCTGAACGTGGATAATGTTCAACAACTAATTGTGGATCGGGTTCAGGCGCACAAATATTTTGTAAATAACAATTACCAGCTGGATCATCTAAGACGATTGTGACAAATTTTTCACCAGCAATTATAGCTGCAATATCGTCAACGAATAATTTCATGTAATTTTTATCACTTTTTGAATCATGGCTATCTCCACAACTAAATGGCATTACCAAACTTGATAATTCAGATTTTAATGTTGTAAGTATTCCTTCAACTGTAGTAAATCGTCCACCAATTGATCTTGATTCTGATAATTCAAAATCGAGATCAGGTATAGAAAACGATGATGTTTCAGAAACTAATATGTCTCGATTTAAATCAATTGGATCATTCATAATCAAACGATATCGAATGCCTTGAGGTGCAATACCGGTACCAGATTTAACTTCATTCGATTTATGTCCACAAACATCGCATGATGTTGCCATAACAATAACTTCTTTGAAATATGGAATTTCTGTTACTTTCATATGTGTATCACATGCTGAATCACAAGTTGGACAATTTGTTTGAAAATTAAGCACTTCATCTTTTATATTTGCAGGTTCTTCCAATTTAGATGTATCGTCTTTTATTTCTTCTTCCATACCTAAACTTTTGTCCTGTTCTACTGTTCGCCGATATCTTTTTATTTTCATTTGTTCGTCGCGATATGGTGCTTTTGGATTTTCAATAAAACTATTACCACTTGGATCATCAACTTCAAAATGAAATGTTTGTGATAAATTTTTCAATGATTCAACACGATTGATAAATTCATATAACTTTTCTTTTTGTTGTTCAAATTGAGAAATTGTTTGTTTATCATTATCATCAATAGAACTTTCCTTTGATTTTTTATTAAGTTCATCTATTGTTTCTGTGATTTGTTTCATTGTGTTATTTATATTTTCAATAATCGAATCAAAAAATCCTAAAACATAATATTTTATTAAATTCAATTTTATTTTATTTATACTTCTTTGCATACCTTCGATTGTTGTTAAAAGACCGTTTTCACCAGATGAAGCTTGTTCAAAATCTAATTCTTTTATCCGAATTGTTCCGTAGGATGATTTAACAATTTGTCGATTGAGATCTTTACTATCAAGAATCTGAACATTAATTAATATTCCGTAGGGTTCGATACGTTGTGCTGGTTGAATATCATTATTTTTGAAATGACATGAATCGCATTCAAATGAACTGAGTATAACTTCTTTATAATATGGAATACGTGTTAGTAATAGGCGTGTATTTCCTTTTGCATAACAATTCATACAAAGGGATTCCATTTCGGTCAATTGACTTTCAGCATCATCAGCAGATAATGCAGCAAATATTGGACGATTCGCAGTTGTTGTCATTTCTAGTAAATCTTATTGATCTAGAATAGTTATTAAAAGGCTTTATAGAACAACGAATAATGATGTAATATTTCCACATAAGATCGAATTCTTGCGAAATAATAAAATGCAAATGATTGTAACTTTTAGAGAATTTCTCAATCTCAAATTTTCTTTCATCACATTCATATCAGTTGTGCGTTAGAGAGAAAATACTTCTAGAACTATAAACAGTTTATTATGACAAACCAATCATATCGTATGTATTGATGATCATTTTTTAAAACAGCGACCTCTGAAGTCAGAATGTAGCTTCAATCAACCGTGTTACTGCCTTTAATTTTCATATTTCTTTTTTTATGAGATTCGTCATAGAATAAATAGGAATCAGATTACGAGAACAGCTCTTAACTGAATTATAAAAACAAAAGTAACAAATTAGAGTTAGAGTTCACTGAAAATCGTTACTAACATAAAAACAAAGTAGTAGCAACTCCATTTTTTATTAATATGTTAAATAGAATTTTCATGATAATCATAAGCCGAATCAAGTTCACATTTTTCTATGAATGCTTTTATTTCAAATTTTCCTACATAATCAATATTCAAATAATGTTCATCAGAAAGAATACCTTGAATTTTTCTACTACTATCAGTTGACATGGATGAGTATCGATTAGTGACGTTGTATGAGTCAGTAGACAATGAACATACAATATGTGTTTGAATGTTTTCCATTCTCTTCAAGTCGAAGAATGATTGGAGAGTGTTTATTTTTGAAATAATAAACGCAAAAATTTCGACAGGATTCATTTGAAATACTCAACATTCGATGACCAATTTACAGTAGCTATTATTTGATGCCAACAAAGACGTTACGTAATCATAGGGTTTGATAAATATATTTGGCTGATAGGTTGCTTTATCATCGACTACATCTAATAGATCATTTTGTTTAGCAACAATTGATTATTTAATCATAATTTGATTTTGTTCAATCGATTGATTATTGTTTATTAGAACAGTTTCACCATCACTACTAGCAATAACAAAATATTTCTAATTTCAGTGTACTTTCGAATGAATTTTATTCGGATATAGTAACTAAACTATTTGATTAAACACTAAATTAATTTATCGTTAGAGACAAGAAATTCAAAATTTGATTAAAATCTTGTTTGTGCGTTTTATACTTAGTGAGAATGAGATCGTTGATTTAGATTTGGAAATATATTTTATTCTATCATACCGACGCTGCTCTTGTGTTAAAGATAAATTCAAGAGATTTTAATTAGATATTAAAAATTCATGCAATCATTCAGTGAATTGACCATAATTTGACTTACTTTAATAGGAACCGTCAGCTGACGTCTGAAATAATTATATCATTATGACAGAAGAAATCACATTTGTGAAAGTTATGGTCAATAGTTATTTATGATTAGCAATTTCGAATTTTCAAAACTCATCTGTCCACCAAAATAAACGTGATTCATTAGCAAGAAAACTATTATAAAGTATCATGGTTCTGATAGCCGAAGCCAATATGACTTAAATACACTCTATTGAACAAAAGAATATCATGAAACAACAAATATGCAAAACTCAAGTGAATTTAGGCTGGAGGATTATTTGGAAATTGAATAGAAATTAGAAGATTTGAAATAAAAAATAAAACTTCACTGTCTACATATGTACTCTCTTATGTAATAAAATTGTTGCCTTTATTAGATGAATTCAACAAAAAAATTCTTTATTGTCCGTTAAACTGGATAATTTTGGTTGATATAATAACTAGACCTTCCTCATAAACGCATAGATAAAGATTTTTTTCTCTTTTAACAATCATAGGTAAGGTACTGAAGTTCTGGCAGTTATTGTTAAATGCATCACCGCATGACACATCTATCTCTGTTGATATACTTCATGGAATTTTCATGTTCTCGAATTCAATCTCGTTTTGTTAGCAAACACATATGATAGGAATCATATAGATGATTTTATTTATCAATTTTCCATTGTATAATTTTACAAGTAAAACTAGATTTCTGAACACAAAGATCATATATCGTGTAGTAGTAGTAGTAGACAAAAAGAGAATTGTATTTTATTAAATTCAATATGTCCATTAAGACAAAGACACGATGAAAAAAATCTATTATCTACGCGATCGATATCGATCATGCACAGGTGAACGAGACTGTTAACAAAATGAGTGAATTTCTATTCAATTCAGAATTCAAATAAATGACGATTAGGGTAATGACAAATAGAAATAGATTATTGGAATTACGTTTTATAATCTATGTTGATATGAAAGTTAATTAAAATCAAATTAGATTGATGCTGTTATCCATTTACAATTAGTTGTGACTTACGAGAGTCATTCTAAATCGAATTTCAATTTTCTTAACAAAATATCGAACTTAAACGTCGGCATGAAAAAGAATGCACATCATTAGTGTACGAAATTTGATATTTTGCTTCTCAAATAGTAGTCTTTGCCCAGATAAGATACGAAAATACAAATTGCACATGTTATCAATTATTTAAACAATGATAGTCTGATTAACAAAACAAACTACGTAATTATAAAAACAAACTATTCTGAATCAAAAAAAATGAAGCTCTTTATTTATTGTAGACTTTTTACAGTTAAACTATTGCAAATATGACTTTTTAATAATTATACTTCAAATAACAGTAGAGAATTCGTCCTATATTTGTGTCCTAGCTTTTTAAAAGTAATTCTGAAGAGAAAGTAAAAAACTACGAAAATCTTTTCCATATTTCATTCAAGATATCATGAAAAAATGCATTCTAATGCGTATAAGGAATTGCATCTCTTTGTTACTCTCATTTTATCCGCTCAAACCCATATATAATATATGTTCTTACAAGGTAGTCACATTTCACTCAACTGCCCTTAAAACATCAGTATTAAGCAGTCTCGCGGCATCTTCGACATACAACTGAATTTTAAGTTCGAAGGTTATCAGAAGTCTGAACTAGAAAGTTCATGAAAAAACAGCGTTGAATTTTGAAATCCCATATACGATTGATGCATATCCGACAAAATCTGATCTTATGAGAATTTTGCTCAAAAACCAATTCGATACAAATCGTAACAATTCATATCACCTAATGCAAAACATTTATTAATCACATTTGTTTTCTAAATGTTAGTTTTCATTAACCAACTTTTTTGCAAAAAACAATAGTTTAGCAGAGATTTGTATTCGGCGAGGCAACGTACTACATATGAGACAAATCACGGCCTTGATTCATTACGCGGCACAATACCAAAGCAATGTTACCACCTGTTCTCTTTACCACCGCCTGTCCTAATAATACTCTATTTATGTAAGACTATTCTCAAAAAGGCCCCGTTCCCTACTTTTCTTCCTTCGTATCATAGCATGCAAATGAAATCTTTGCGTCGGTTTTATGATATGGCAAATTTAAAACCTTATCATACTAAATTATCATGACCATGCGAAACGTTTAACACCTATATAAACTAATGTAGTTTCTTCATTTCTATTAAAATACATCTCGTCGACTAACAACAATATCAGTATCAGCAACAATGAAAGCAGTCATTGCTCTTTGTGTCCTCTTCGTCGGTGCCTATTGCGCACCTATGCTTGATGAACAGCTCAACAGTCAATGGGCTTTATTCAAACGTGTTCATGAAAAACAATACAACGCCATCGAAGAAGAAACCGCTCGGTAAGATATATAATATTTGAAACTTTCATTATTTATAATTATATTTTTTTTCTTGTTTCAGCCGAACCATCTGGGAAGCTAACCTCGTTAAAATCCAAAACCACAATCTTGAAGCTGACTTAGGTCTTCACACCTACACTTTAGGAATGAACCGATTCGGTGATATGGTATGATCTTACTTCTGTGTACCACATAATACAGTAAAATACATATCTATTCTCTATTAGACTCATGAAGAATTCGTCAAACAAATGAACGGATTCAAAATGTCAGCCAAAGCTGAATCAGATGATTTCGATCGTCACACATTCTTAGCTCCAACAAATATTGCTCTCCCAGCTGCTGTTGGTATGTAGTAAATCAATCGATCGATCGGTTAACTGTAGTCACGAAACATTTTTCTTTCAGATTGGCGCAAACTCGGATATGTTACAAAAGTTAAAGATCAAGGACAATGTGGATCATGTTGGGCTTTCTCAGCTACTGGTTCACTCGAAGGTCAACACTTCGCTCAAGCCAAAAGCCTCGTTTCACTCTCTGAACAAAACTTAGTCGATTGTTCAGACAAATTCGGTAACATGGGTTGTGATGGAGGTTTGATGGATCAAGCTTTTCAATACATCAAAGCCAACAAAGGTATTGATACCGAATCAAGCTATCCATATGAAGCCGTCGATGGTAAATGTCGATTCAAAAAACAAAACATTGGTGCCACTGATACTGTAAGCATTAGTTTATTTGTGGAGGATTTCGCAGTAGTTTACTGAAATCGATCATCTGTTTATATTGTAGGGTTTCGTTGACATCAAATCAAAGAACGAAACTGATCTTCAATCTGCTATTGCCACCATCGGTCCAATTTCAGTCGCCATTGATGCTTCACAAGACTCATTTCAATTCTACAGCTCAGGTGTCTACAATGAACCCGCCTGTTCATCAACCGAACTCGATCACGGTGTCTTGGCTGTTGGTTACGACACAGATGGATCAAAAGACTACTATATCGTNACAGATTATTAGGTACAAAACCAAAGAATTTTTACTAGCATATGAATCACAGACGACAGAATAATTAGATAGTTAAGCATATTATGAAGTCCAAGAAGAGATCTCTATATTCTTTTGAGAGAAATGCAACTGTTGAATAGTCGATAATTGAATATTTTAACTTCTATGGATCAATAACTGAATATCTAAAGTTGTAATCAGTAATAGTTTTATTTCACGTTCAATTCTTAAAATACTACGAGTAAAAAATGGACAGTTACAAGATTACGAAGCAAACCTCTTTTCTTCTTAAACTCATCTTTCACTCAATCAAACGTATTCGATGATCTTTCGCATTCAAAAGGATTCATGCCTAGTTTTATCTGACTAAATGAGTATATAATTATTAATTCAGAATACTATGGACATTTACATTTGCTTTCTATCCTGCATATTGCATTACACAACATAATTAAAACCATACGAACTTGTATATATTCATAAAACTCTGTTTTTATTGGTACAATTAAAATTAAAGCAATATAATTCTCTTCTATAATTTATTTAATGCCGTAACATTTATCTCATGTATGCACTAATAATGCACTATGTACCATTTAATCCCTAAAAAAGCCTTTAAATTAATGACCCAGTATCTCTGAAACTTAATTGAAGCCTGTCATCTGTTTTGAAGCACATCATGATTCGAAATTTCTCTTGATAAATGCATCGTCAATAAGACAAAATAAAATTGAATATCATCATATCGTGTAATGCTATTTCTTTCTTTTTTCTCAAATGATATGGCAAATTTAAAACCTTATCATACTAAATTATCATGACCATGCGAAACGTTTAACACCTATATAAACTAATGTAGTTTCTTCATTTCTATTAAAATACATCTCGTCGACTAACAACAATATCAGTATCAGCAACAATGAAAGCAGTCATTGCTCTTTGTGTCCTCTTCGTCGGTGCCTATTGCGCACCTATGCTTGATGAACAGCTCAACAGTCAATGGGCTTTATTCAAACGTGTTCATGAAAAACAATACAACGCCATCGAAGAAGAAACCGCTCGGTAAGATATATAATATTTGAAACTTTCATTATTTATAATTATATTTTTTTTCTTGTTTCAGCCGAACCATCTGGGAAGCTAACCTCGTTAAAATCCAAAACCACAATCTTGAAGCTGACTTAGGTCTTCACACCTACACTTTAGGAATGAACCGATTCGGTGATATGGTATGATCTTACTTCTGTGTACCACATAATACAGTAAAATACATATCTATTCTCTATTAGACTCATGAAGAATTCGTCAAACAAATGAACGGATTCAAAATGTCAGCCAAAGCTGAATCAGATGATTTCGATCGTCACACATTCTTAGCTCCAACAAATATTGCTCTCCCAGCTGCTGTTGGTATGTAGTAAATCAATCGATCGATCGGTTAACTGTAGTCACGAAACATTTTTCTTTCAGATTGGCGCAAACTCGGATATGTTACAAAAGTTAAAGATCAAGGACAATGTGGATCATGTTGGGCTTTCTCAGCTACTGGTTCACTCGAAGGTCAACACTTCGCTCAAGCCAAAAGCCTCGTTTCACTCTCTGAACAAAACTTAGTCGATTGTTCAGACAAATTCGGTAACATGGGTTGTGATGGAGGTTTGATGGATCAAGCTTTTCAATACATCAAAGCCAACAAAGGTATTGATACCGAATCAAGCTATCCATATGAAGCCGTCGATGGTAAATGTCGATTCAAAAAACAAAACATTGGTGCCACTGATACTGTAAGCATTAGTTTATTTGTGGAGGATTTCGCAGTAGTTTACTGAAATCGATCATCTGTTTATATTGTAGGGTTTCGTTGACATCAAATCAAAGAACGAAACTGATCTTCAATCTGCTATTGCCACCATCGGTCCAATTTCAGTCGCCATTGATGCTTCACAAGACTCATTTCAATTCTACAGCTCAGGTGTCTACAATGAACCCGCCTGTTCATCAACCGAACTCGATCACGGTGTCTTGGCTGTTGGTTATGACACAGATGGATCAAAAGACTACTACATCGTCAAGAATTCATGGGGTACATCATGGGGTCAAAAAGGTTACATCTGGATGAGCCGTAACAAGAAAAATCAATGCGGTATTGCCACAATGGCCAGCTATCCACTTGTTTAAGTCGACGCAAACTCGGCCAATAACATAGAGTGTACACTTTTTTTAATTAATGATTGAACTTTTTTTTTGTATCGTGTTACATCAAAACGCATGATAATAATAAATTGAAAAAGAACTTTAAGTAACTATAATTTAAGAAAATGATCTAGTTTGACATGAGACGAAAGATTGAAGATCAAGTGAGATGTACTATGAACTCTGTGTCGAATAATAATCGCAGGATTAATTTTTTTGTGTGAGGCGTGAAACGTATTAGAAGGACTATCTCTGATAAACGTGTTCACAAGAATATCTAATTCAATTGAAAGAGTTCTTGTAAATTTTTAAAACAAAATAATGAAATGCTTTCTCACTGAACGATATAGGGACATAGAAAGCAATGTATAATAAAAAAGATCTTCTGTCATAATTGGAGAACAGAACATTAATCCGTGTATTGTATCTTATTGGATACGGTTATGTGAATCCTGTACAATTTGCTGTGATTTAACTTTATAGTATATGAGAATTCTAACCGAAAATTTATTTTAGATTGATCGCTCATTTTTTTTCATTTAAAAGACCATCCTTCGCGGATTTTATTCGATTTTTCGTTATTGTTTGTTTATGAATAGTTTAGACTCAGTAACATAATTGGATAAGCTTTTTTGTCTGAGTTCTGATAATGATTTGTCACAATTAGTTAGAGATTAAAGTTAGATTGAAAAGTTTTTCTAAACTGTCTATATGATTAATGATCAGCAGACTGTTAAATAAAGCCATCAGATTTCAGTTTTGATCGGAAACTTCACAAACATGTATTGTTACCTTTAAAACTTTAAAAGTACTACAAAGTTATCAATTGTATGAGGTTATATTCTTATCTATCCATTAAGATAATTCGTTCGCGCGATATTTGAATTTCTATCGTGTCAAACATATGTAGTTTTGATGAGCAAAACAAATGAAACAAATCTTTTCCTATGTTGGTCATAATATAGATCTAAGGAAATTAATGTTAGCGATAAGAAATCTCAATGATAGGCAATAAATATATTTTCTTGTACGAATCATTGAATAAATTTTTCTTTTATTTAATTATTTTCTCGAAAAATAACCGGCATTCATATGAATAATACAAATAACTATGTATTAATTTTTTTCCTTCGATTACAGGAATATATAACTGTGTGTACGATTTATTATCCACACTTCATCTTCGAATAAACCATGGAAACAATCGGTTTTTGATAAATTATTATTTTTGACAGAAAGAAGTATTTAATTTCAACTGCAATTATCTACATTCCATTGGAGAATATCTTGATGAAGTTATTCTTTTCAACTAAGAATGGAATAATTATATGGGATGAGTATCAATGAAATATCTTAAGCATATATTTATTCGTAATCATAAAACTGTTAGCAAAAGTTTTAATTTCGCTTGTGAATCTTACTTGTTTTTCTCGAACTTGAAAATTTTCATTTAAAAAATAGAAGCTTTGGAGAATGTCGATTGTTTTGTTTACAGCCGTCTAACTTGCCTGTTTTTCTGAATCATGAAATAAGACACAGATTTTAGGCTCTACCTTTTTTTGTATGATCCGGAGTATAAAGAACTATCTGTTTTTCATGGATCAATGATTTTTGTCGTTGTAGGATATTTAAGACTATGTAAAAGATAAAAGTAAAAAATAAATTTTCAATTGTAAATGCACAAAAAGAAGATAAAGTACTGTCTCATCATTCTAAAGATTGACAATTTTATGTGTTTGAATTATTACTGACAAAAACTTTATACTGCTAAGAGAAAAAAGCAAACTTTTGATTACAATAAAGCGAACGAAGAATTCAAAACATGCAAGAAAAACACTAGTAGAACTTAATAACTGCAACTTTTAAATTCAATTACAAAAATTTTCAATTATTTACAGATTATTAGGTACAAAACCAAAGAATTTTTACTAGCATATGAATCACAGACGACAGAATAATTAGATAGTTAAGCATATTATGAAGTCCAAGAAGAGATCTCTATATTCTTTTGAGAGAAATGCAACTGTTGAATAGTCGATAATTGAATATTTTAACTTCTATGGATCAATAACTGAATATCTAAAGTTGTAATCAGTAATAGTTTTATTTCACGTTCAATTCTTAAAATACTACGAGTAAAAAATGGACAGTTACAAGATTACGAAGCAAACCTCTTTTCTTCTTAAACTCATCTTTCACTCAATCAAACGTATTCGATGATCTTTCGCATTCAAAAGGATTCATGCCTAGTTTTATCTGACTAAATGAGTATATAATTATTAATTCAGAATACTATGGACATTTACATTTGCTTTCTATCCTGCATATTGCATTACACAACATAATTAAAACCATACGAACTTGTATATATTCATAAAACTCTGTTTTTATTGGTACAATTAAAATTAAAGCAATATAATTCTCTTCTATAATTTATTTAATGCCGTAACATTTATCTCATGTATGCACTAATAATGCACTATGTACCATTTAATCCCTAAAAAAGCCTTTAAATTAATGACCCAGTATCTCTGAAACTTAATTGAAGCCTGTCATCTGTTTTGAAGCACATCATGATTCGAAATTTCTCTTGATAAATGCATCGTCAATAAGACAAAATAAAATTGAATATCATCATATCGTGTAATGCTATTTCTTTCTTTTTTCTCAAATGATATGGCAAATTTAAAACCTTATCATACTAAATTATCATGACCATGCGAAACGTTTAACACCTATATAAACTAATGTAGTTTCTTCATTTCTATTAAAATACATCTCGTCGACTAACAACAATATCAGTATCAGCAACAATGAAAGCAGTCATTGCTCTTTGTGTCCTCTTNAACTCGATCACGGTGTCTTGGCTGTTGGTTACGACACAGATGGATCAAAAGACTACTATATCGTCAAGAATTCATGGGGTACATCATGGGGTCAAAAAGGTTACATCTGGATGAGCCGTAACAAGAAAAATCAATGCGGTATTGCCACAATGGCCAGTTATCCACTTGTTTAAGTCGACGCAAACTCGGCCAATAACATAGAGTGTACACTTTTTTTAATTAATGGATTAAAAAAATTTCTATCATAATCCATTAAAATGTATGATGATAATAAATTGAAATAGAACTTTAAAAAGCTTTTTGGTATTTATATTTGAAACAGTATGATCCATCGAGTTGCATTGACAATGAAGTGAATTCGGATATAAATGTTAATTATAATTGTCTCGATAGAAAATATATTCGAATCGTTAAAAACTTTAAAACGAATGCAGCTCTATTTGAGTAAGTTTTATCTTTCAATAGTATTTAAAGTATTGAAGATTGATATAGTTACATACTACATATGTCAAAGGAATAGCTTGTTAGGGATTTATATATGTCAATATATTATATCAAGCATCGTTTTGAATTTGATATCATTTCCATAATGGTAGCATTCATATTATAGAATAGTAAACAAATGAAATAACTCAATGATTGCCAACATAAGACAACCGGTTCCGGTTGAGGCATCAAGTGTTATGAGAAGGCAATAAGCATTTTTTAAGTTGTTATCACACCTTAATGATGATATATTATGGATATTAGAAGATGCACATGGCAAAAGTCGTACAATTAATACGTTTGAGCAAATATTAGTAATAAGATTCGTTCGTTCAACGCAAAAAGATATACGGATATTTTGTATTCATATGATTTATTTTATTGATGATGTCATTTCAAGTAAGAATGAAATAAGAAAAAAGGATAAACAAACACATAAGAAAATAGAATGTATAACTTTTGAGAAAATGAATCATTGACAAACACAACAGAAAAATAATAAAGATGAGCATTGATACAAATTTTATTGATAATTGACAATGATATATACAAAGAAGTAATGAAATCAATTGTGAACTGTTAGTGGTACCGACTAAAAGAAAAACAGATAGAAATCAAAATGATGTTGTAAAATGAAAATTTTGATTCATTCATACTGGTAAAATATCTAAACGATGTCGGTGTCTTATGAGAAAAGGATTTTCAAGATAAACATTAACATTGCTTTGTGGCTTAAGTCCAATAATATCCTAAATAAGATGATATATTACATAATAAAAAACAATGAAAACGATGAATTCACTTTATCACTGCAATATCGTACACCAATCATTATTTGACCAAAGATATGACCATGTTTTGTTAGAACACGTTGGGCTTGAAGACGTGTTGCAAATTTAGCATGAAATATATTTGATTCATCGACGATCTGAGTAGGAAAATAATAAATAAACAGAGAAAATAACTGTTCATACCATATATTTTTCTATCACTCCAAAGCGACTGAATTCATCGATCAATTTTCGAGCATCTGCATTTGTACGATATCCAAACACTGTCAGCCAGGTGCCATCATTTCCACTTTCATTTGCAAGGCTATAGATATGGCAAAAAAAATAAAACCAATTACTTCAAATAGCAGAAAGAAAAAAGAATTCTTTCTCATAGGTTACTTCTTAGGCAAGAGAACAAATTCATAATATTCTTACTTAGTTCGTTGAGTGGCTTGAATGAAAGTAAAATTATCATTTGAAACACTAACATTGTCTATAGGCTGGTCAATACCACCAGTTTGCGTCATCAATCCAAAGTCATAAGAAGAACTTGTATTACCAAAGAGTATATTCGAGGTTATTCGACGATTATTTTCCATTTCGTCAAATCCACTCATATTACCGCCGCGTCCTCCAACACCACCTGGTCGAAATAAGATCGATGATTGATGTTCATCAACTATGAAACACGAAGTAATTATTATTTATTTAAGATTTCTAAAGAAGAACATACTAGATAGGTCATTATTATTATCAACAAGAAAACGAACACGTTTTTGTTGTCCAGGTGATAAAGGACTTGGTGGCGATTTTCTATTGAATAAAATACTCTTTATATTATTTTCTAACTTTTCATAAAGAAAAATAACTTACGGTTCATCAAACGTACGCTTGCTCATCAATGAAACAAATGGTGAAGTCTAAAATCAATGTTTATCATTTTCTCTAGGAAAGACATATCATAATGAGTTATATACCTTCAAAGTATCACGAAAAAATGTTGATGAATGCATCTGAAAACAAAGTCTTTTTTTAAAATTACTGTTGATATTCTAGTTTTGAAAAATGACATGCTCGATAATTTTTAAAATAGACAAAACTTAATAGGCAGCCCAATTTTTTTTAATTTAAATTTGTACAGATGATGGTCGTTTGAAATCATGCTTTACATATAAAGCAACCCAGGTGAATGAATCCGACAACGGATCTTATCGAATCCTATGGGAATCGACTTCCAGACAGAATTCGATAGGATTCCTGGACACGGACCTATTGTTGGTTACGACGGAAAAAAAATCATTTTCTTATTCACGATCAAATAAGAATTTTGAGTCATCAGAGTGCAAGGGTGATTCGTTAGAGTTGGATTCCGTTAAAATCCAACATCAGATCCGATTGGATTTAATACCAAGGATCCGACTGTAGATCCGTGTCCAGGAATCCCATAAGATTTCGTCGGTTTTGTTGAAACACATATGGTATTCCGTAAATTCACTGGCTGATCCTTGTCAGAATCCGACAGGATCCTACTGTCGGAATGATTCTCCTGGAAATAAGGTTTGTTTTGTAGATTCAATTTTTTTATTTGAAATAATTATGTAATATAATACCGTTGCTACACTAATTTATTTTTCAATTGTAGTAGCCAACTCACTACTGATATGTTATGTTCCATATACTGTCGATACGTGTCAGTAGTAAAGTATTTAAAATGAATTATTACTTTACATTAAAACCCAATTGAATCAGCAATGTAGCTTTAACATTCGACGTTTATTTCTACATATGAAACAATATTTTTTCATATCTGACAAATATAAAAGCTCTGATCTGTCAAATGCAATATGATAAATTTCTTCAAGAAAAGCTCAAAATTATTTTGATAGAACAAGGTTCAGAACTATTTTCGAATGTACAGGAATTCGTTTTTGAAACAATTAATCATGTATGAATATGAACAAAAAGGTGATATCTAAATGACTAAAATCAAATGTACAGCTTTTGTAAATGGTAACAATACCTTAAACGTTGAATAACTTTAATGGAAAGGTATATAGGGGATAAAAGTAGATGTTATCATGCTCCGTATCTGCAAAAGTATGTTCGTTGTATTTTTTTTTCTAAGAACATACATTTTCATGCTAAGTTCAAAAGAAAAAAATTAGTAAAATCCAAAAATGAACAATCAGCTGTTGTCTTATAATTGATGTATTTGATTTGCTGTTTTATTCTCCAATACTGAAACTACTCGATTTAACGATAATATTCAACATCTTATGAAATTCTTAATGAGAAAATCATTTTAAAAATGGTTATTGAATAACTTCTATTACTTATCCTTTGCAAGATTAACTGTCTCTTGAATGTCGCTAGTAGTTCGAAGTACCTATAATCTCATCCTAAAAATTTTAAGTTTCGAAACCCTTGATATACATAGTATTTCGTACTTGAACACTAGAAGAGTATCTAAATTGAACTACTATTATGTCATTTACTTTCATAACAAGTATTAGTATTCTGGCATAATGATAGATTAATGAATACAACCATATAGAAGTGTTTTTCGAGGAGAATGAATAAAAAATTAGATTCTATGAACAAGTTAGCAGTCTTGATTTGGAACAACTTTTACAATGGACGATTATTGACACAAATCGCGAATTAAAGAAATATCCATTATAATCTAATCTAATATTTTATAATTCGATAAATACTAAAAGATAAGCTAGTCAGTTACTAAAGCAGCGTAAAAATGCCTGATTTATTGTTGTATTAAAATTGTAGTATGATTATTGATAGACTTATTCCTTTCATCTCATATTCTTCTTAAATTAAATATTCATCATTCATCGACCAAAGATAGATTTTTAAATGTAATTTCTAAGAAACTTTTAAAATCTATATATGTATAGCATCTTATAATTATTATTCAATGCATATATCAGGGTGGCCAGATCTTCTGAAAAATAGGGAAAATTTCTGAATTTTGAACATGTTTCTGATTTTTTTCTGATCTTCTGATTTTTTCTGAATTTCGAACATATTGAGATCGCTGCTTTGTCACTGAAATTAGGTACGATTATAACCCATTACTACAATAAATCAATACTGTTTCATCAATTTTCTCTATTAATCATCTTTATATTCCTCGTTCGAATTCTGGCGTCGAATTGATTTTCGGTCATGTAAAGCATTTATAGTCCGATTATCGTAATCCGAGAATATAAAACCAGATAATACTTAACTTAAAATAAAATTGAATGGTAGTTATTCTTGAGAAGGTTTTATTAGCATATATTATCTTAAACAAATTTCCTAGAGAAAATTCCAAAAGATACGAAATACGAAAAAAAATACCGAGATGATGGGGTTTAACGTTTTTTTTCTCGTTGGACTTCTTAATCTACGCAGAATGTATTTGATTTAGTTTTGCTCGTTTTTGTGAACGAGTTTTAAATTTAAAACTAAGCTCAACAATAAGTATCTTTTATTGATGTCTTCGTCTTAGCTAAGCGATATATTCATTATATTGTCTTTCGTTTTATTGAAATATCTTTGAAAATAAAGTTTCCAATCAATGAACAGAAGCGCAGCAGAACTTTGGATGTCAGTATTTTAGCGGAAGATGTACGAATTTGTCAAAGACTGTGACTTTCTGATCAATTTCTGACTTTTCAGAGATGTTTTCTGATTATTTTCTGATTTTGAAAAAATATTCTCTGATTTTTCAATTTTTGATCTGGCCACCCTGATGAATATCATTAAAAAAAGAAACGGTATATTTTTACGTAGATTAAACCTCAGAACTAGTAAATACTAGATAGAATACTAATACAATTATTTACTAAGCATATTCTGTACGAGTTCGAAATGATTTGTACAAATGTTTTATTCATATTCAAGCGGTAAATATTCGTCCCATTTTTAAGTCATATAGTGTATATTGAACAACACAACAAAGAAGAAACGAAATAATCGATTAAAAAGAACAATACATTAAAACATGATAAAAATAATACCGATTATTTTTGTTATGAAATATATATATATATCATAAACATGGAATAGAAACAAAAGAAAACTAACGACCATGAGATTGCACTGTCATATTAATTAGTGACCAATATTTAATAGATCCACATCTTCTACACTTTTTTGTGGATTAGAAATACTTTCTTGTTGATCATCATGAAATAGATCATCACCGTTGGCTTCACCATTCTCATTATCAATTTCATCAGCATCATTATTTCCTATTGTACGAAGTGTTGGTATTGTGAGATCGACTTCAATAGGAAATATATCAGCTTCTTTCATAACATCATTACAATCCTTGTGATATTTATCCAACGCAGTAATAAAACGATGTAATTGAAAAACTATATCTTGTACTGTTGAACAAAAAAACAAGAAATAAAAAAAGAAAAGAAAACACTTTTAATCGAGACAAACCATGCTTTTGATCAAGCAGTTCTAATTTCACAAGTACATCTGCACGCATTTTAGCAAAACGTTCACGTGCTAATTGACGACACCGAAGAATTAATCTAGACAAAAGTACAGATATTGATCTTTAATAAGAAAGTATTATGTCAAATAAATACCGATATTCATAATTGCCTGTTTCAACACGATATAATGGTTCTTGAAGTGCTGCATAACTACATTCTTCATCGTCCATTTCTTTAACTTTCAAACAATAAGACTAAAGATATAATAGAATTCTTTGATAGTATTGTTTTTCTCAGAAAGGAACTATTCAAACTCTTTTTTTTTATTTTACAAATTCATATTGTTAGTGGAAGCAGTAATGCTCATACTTTCAAAATATGAAATTTTATACATCTATGCTCTAAAATTTGTTCGACACTGCTGAGAATTTCTAGTATTTTCGTCATTCTGTACTTAATGATATTTTAGTAATTTCGGTACTTTGAGAATATTTGCATTGTGAACTAATTACCAACGTGATGAAAATCTCGGCTGTTTAATTTTTCGGAAATCTTAACATATCTCAAAATCGAGGCATAAATAAGAACGTGTTTGAAATTTTTTCCAGTATCATCAAGTTTTGATTTGTGAGATGATCGGAGTGTTTCTCTTTTGCTGTGCAATATGCAATATCTTACTAAATATTCAAATTTCGCATCTGCATATTTTTCAATAGTTAATTTTGTGTCAGGAATAGCTTTTGTTAAATAAGTATTCAGATCAGCAATCATCTGAAAGAGAATAACTAAATGATTTCCAATAGAATTTATGTATTTTGGATAAATACCGGTTTAACAGTACGAAGTAATGTAATTGCATGTCGATCGATTTGTCGATGGGCTTCACCAAACTTCGTGAATGCTTCTGATGCCTTAAATTGAGGTTCACGGGCGCCTATATTAGCAAATGCATCACCAAAATTACGATGCGTATGCGCTAATTCAAAGATAGCTTTAAGAACAGCACGTGTATGTTCAATTAGGCCACGATATAATTCCGATGTTCTTTCAAGTTCATCTAATTTTTTAATAAGACCATCTAAAACGAAAATGAACGAGTTTTTAACAGAACTTTGATTTTTATTTTATTACCGTTGCAAAGAATAGCACGACTAAGACCAAGCGCATCAGCTGTTGTTGAGCTCATTGTTTCAACTATACGATGTTTCATTTTTTTCAAAACTGAATAAATGAACAAAAATAAGTTATAGATCAATATTTTTAGTTTAAATAAAAAAAATGAACTGACCAATATCCAATGTTTTCCCTTCTTTTGATTGCGCATGTAATTTATTATAATGTATTGTTACTTCAGACTATAAAAATCAAATGAAATCCAATAGAAGGCAAAAAGAAATGTTTACTTTTGAAGCTTGTATAAGTTTCGCTACTTCAACTTTTGTTCGCCCTTTCACTGTTTTTCCATTCACGGACACAATTTCATCACCTATTCCAGCAAAGAATTAACATATTCTATAATAGAACTATTGATTTCAATTACCTGCAGCTAAAAAGCCCTCTTTTGACGCAGGCGTATTGTCGAATATTTGAACTATATATAAGCATGGACAAAGTGGAGCTCCTCCACCAATACTGATTCCAACTAAATTTTGGGCATCTTTTTTCAACGTACATGTTCCAGACGTTAATGTCATGCCACTAGAGAGAAGAGAATACACAGAAAGTTAAATAAATAGCAAAGATCAACTTTATTAGAAACATACAGAGTATCTTCTTCTAAATCTCCGTAATCCATTATGTTGTTTTCAACTTCCTAGATTTTTCAATGTTCTAAACACCGATGGAACAAAATTATGCCGAGAAAAAAATAATAAATAGCCATCATCAGCATATATTTTTTTCAGTCAGTTCAGTATTTGCTGTTGTATTGGATCGATGGATCACGAAAGATGTCGCTAATGGTCGCAAATAGTTTAGTTATTATGGTTTTTAGTAGAGAATATTGAGTTTTTCTTATAGATCTTTGAAAAATAAGTTTCTTTGAATAATGTGAATTGAGTCATGAATAAATACATTTTAATATTACCATAAGTTTCGTAAAATGAATAGAAACAGAACTATTGTTCATTTAGAATTACTATATAGTGTTCGACTTTTTTTAATTTCGACGTTTTTTCTTTCGGCCAATTTTATACCATTCCCCACACTCACACCCACACCCTTATCATGCAAAATCTTTCTAATGACTTTTAGTCAAATCTAAATGAAGTCTACAGAAAATGTTCACTTTTCTCATATATCTTTTCGGAGACAATTAGTTTACCTTGTGTATTTCTACCTGATCGTTATCGTTACGTATTCGCTTCATCTTCGAATGCATCAAAATAATAACAAAGTACTGATTACAAACATCTGTATATCCTGTTTATAGACATCGGATTTGTGAAAATAGCTAGACTAAGAAATAAAATTTATCTTTGCATTTAATTTAATTCTTAGCCCATTTCTTTACTAATCGAGTCAAACTATTTGAAAAGATACGTTAATGCTGAACTTACTTGATCTAATTTTGCATTTATCATTCGAAAAAAAACAATAAAGAAAACAAATTTCCATAACAGTACTAAGAATTCTACAAATGAAATAAAAATATTTGAGCCGAAGAAAAAATTTGAACTATTTCAATTTTTCATAGAATAACATCAAAACCCAATCATTAAAAACATTCAAATGATGAATCCTCTCTAGATCTTTTACTATAACATATAAGAGAAGATGATTTAATTGTGTTTACATGACAGATGTGTCTATTGAAGTAATTTCAATGACTAAACGAAACTTTTGTAAAAATTTATTGAACGCAATATGTTGCACACGATACTAATACTATTAATCTTGCAAAATGACTACTGATCAACTGAAAAGTATTTCTAAGAAAGAAAAACACTTTAATGTAATAGCCATTTGTCATTCTACCCAGATAAAACCTAAATCTACAACATTTCAGAAACATTGATTTCATTTCACCAATACATTTCATTGACTATCTTGTCTCTCTCTCTCTCTCTCGTATATATTCATCAAAAAAAACTAATGTGCCATTCGAACTAATAATCATCAAAGTTCAATCTTTCAATAAGATCAAACTTATGCGTAGTAAGAACTACTTATAAATTCTACTCTACTTGATTGTTGTTATTGTTGTTTCTATGAATAGTTAAATTTTGTTTTTGACCGCTTTCAAGTTGATCCTGTTCGATTATCAAAATAATCTTCATAAAACAAAAAAAATATTGATTTATTCAAAAGTTTGATTTCTTTATTTGAATTTCAAAAATAAATATAATAGTTTTCACTTTATTTTATTCTGAGTTGTTTTATCAATCATAAATGACAAATTTAATATGTTTATTTGTAACTAATCGCTATAAGACATTGTTCACAATGGGTGGTTAACTATCGGTCAAACAATAATTTTAATAATCGCGAATAAATTCATTCGATTACATAATTAACTTCAATTAATTTTTATCATCTACGATAATATAATATATAACTCAATACGAGTATGAATCAATCATATAAAGTTTAGAAAGAAGAAAAATCTTACAATAAAATTTTCACTTAAACATAATCGATGAAGCATTTTTTTCTCCTTGTTGTTTTAGTGGCAGTTTTCGAATAGGAGAAACTGCCAATCACAGAAAAAAATAATAATATTGCACACAAAAAGAAAGATTATACGTGGATAGAAATAGACACATTAAATGGTTAGTCACATTTATAATAATATTGTTCATTCACATGCACTAACATGATTACGTTTTCGTGGAATATAATAATGATTACCAATCAATGGACCACCATGAACTGGTGGTGATAACGAATTACTTCTACTTGATTTATCATATGATCCTCTTCTAACATAAACCGATATTTTTGGATTAATAAATGTATTAAGAAGAATGAGAAAAGCACGAGACGGCAATATACCTTTCACCAATGGTACTAGATAATAAAAGCGTGGTACACAAACCAATTTTCTATTGATCTAAATAGAAATATCATATAGATATCATCAATTTAGAAACAAAAACACAAACCAAGATTCCATGAATAATTTTCTTTGCTGCATAATCAATTGTAAGCGGTGGCACCAATGGATTAAACAATGTTTTCGCCAACTGGTATAAACCTGTCGTGACATAATGCGATACAGCTGCAGTGGTATATATACCATCAAAACCTCCTGCATTGAGTATAGAAAACTCTCGTGTCATTAAAAAAATAGTTTTCTTTTACCTAAAGTTAATTCATGATCAACACTTTCCATAAGACCAACAAGACCAAATTTAGATGTACATATATCAGCAAAATTTCCCAGCCCAAATACAGCGGTTGTACCAAGCATTGTTACTATATGTCCATGATTACGTTTTTTCATCGATGGAAGAATTTGACGAATTAACTAAAATATATGCATAGAACTTCAATGTTTGTTTTTTCGTATTACTGATTGTTCAACTAGTATTCTGATTTAGAAAAAAAATATTTTATTATCTTTTTTTCTAGAAGTATTGTGTGATGTTTGTACGCTTATACCACTCGATAAAAAGTAATATTCAACTCAATAATGAAAATAAACTCGTGTTTTTCAAATAGTTCATTTACATCATATTTTAGAGTTTCTATAAATATATATATACAGACGTATATACAGTTCTTCATCATTACTATCAACTAAACATATGCGTACGATTTGAACTATGCAAGAAAAATAATTGGCATGCCTGAAATTGAAAACATGAATTAATTACATCTTTGATCATTTTCAGCGAATTAGCTTACAGATCATGAATAAGAATACTATTCCAGGTAAATGATCTAAAACTGTCTCATTTGTGTACTCAGTGAATAAAAGAAAACGACAACTGTTAAAGGACTGATTAAAATTTTATACGAAAAGTTTTTGAAATACCTCTATCTAGATTAGAGCCAAACTTAATAATACTCGATTCGGCACATCATGAATGTTGGTAATGTCTAGAAAATGTTTTGCCTTAGATCTGCGGAAAAAAAACTGTGAATTAGAACAAATTCAAATTTCTAAATTGATCAAAAGTATTAATTGCATAACAAAGAAGAAATGATAGTCTATCTTTAAGCAAAACACAAAATTTCTGATAATTATAAATATCTTATCTGTCTAAATAAAAGAAAACGATATACCCAATATGCTGCGAATAGGTTGACATTTAAACATCTTGAAAATTCTTCCTCAGTCATATCTGTAATGGATTTTGATGATAAAATAGCCGCTTTAAATAAAAAAAAACAATAACGAAAATATATTTATAGAAGCATTGCAATCAACAAACCATTATTGATTAACATCGTGATTTCACCAACTTCATTCTGAACTTTTTCTACAAGACGATAAACTTCATCTCGGTTTCCAATATCACATTCATATGCGAATACACGATTGTCATGATGAGTTGTTAATGCTAATTCTTTTTCTATCAACTGAGCTGTTTGTTCATTCGCAGCTTTATCTATATCACATAATACAACAATTGCACCTCGTTTAGCGAGCAGAAGCGCCATTTGCTGACCTAATGTAGCAAATAATCGATTAGTTGAAAAGTAAAAATCTGAAAAGTATCCTTATTTTTTTTACCTAAACCTCTTCCAGATCCTGTTATAAGTACGATTTCATTTCGAACATTTTTTTCTGTTGTTGAAAAAATATAATGACTCACAGCTTGTATAATAGCATGAATGATGTCAATTATGATTCCAAAAAAATATTTAAGATTTTTAAAGTGAGATAACATTCGATTATTCACAATAACATCTAAAAGTCGAGTAAGTATCAAGATTATTAATTTTGCCCAATGAAAACAAGAAGGTTACAAAAAATGATAAAATAATATATTTATCACAGGAAAGAAAACTAGTACTTTTCTTAACTGCAGACATACATAGTCACCTTGGTTTTAGCTGTTAAAGATAACGATAGATACTTTGATATTTATTTGAGAATAGTCTTTTATGATTAAAAACCAACGTCATCATAGATGTCTGGATGATATTCATTTTCAAATCGATTTCTTTTGCAGTTTTTTACAGTTACTACCACATCTTCAAAATAAAAAAAAATAAAACGAAATTCAATATTCATTAAAAGAGCACCGATGAACGACAAAGAGGACACGTATTGTGTTCACTATTAGAAAACCAATCGGATAAACATTTTCGATGAAAATGATGAAAACATGGTAATGTACATATATATGCAGAATTAAAATATTTTTCAAGGCATATTGAACATTGATAGATTTTACTAATGTTCATTTCATTTCGGTTTGAGTTCAACGAATTATTATTTTCATCAGTGTCACTTGCATAAAAATGGTCTTGTTGAGATGTCGAAACAATATTTGTTCTACGTCGATGTATAGATGATTTTTTTAATGGATAATCTTGTTCATTTAATCTACTCGATGGTTCTAACTCAATATCAGAATAATACTCATTAGCACCATGTATTGATTTGCGTCGCCGAATTGAAAAGCGCCAAACTGACAGTTGTCTTAAATCAATTATTCGATGATTTGACATATTTACATTTGAATTTATTGTTAATGATACATATTGATTCAGAAAAAGACTATCTTGTGAAAAATATTGCAATAAACTATTATCGATATGTTCGTTTCGTCTTTGTTGTGAGAATAGTAAACATAAAACTAATTGCCAAAGTTTTGAGCATAATGCTTGCATTTGATCAATCATCATAACATCGTTTGATATCTAAAATAAATGACTTCATAGTAAAATTATACGAATTCATACAACGTTCGATATGAAGGAATACGAAAAAGTAGTCTTAATAATATATCCTATGAAAAATGAACAGAAATAGATTGATAAAAAACAAACGCTCTTCTCTATCCCAAACGAAAACTATTGATAATCATTTATTCATTGTCTTTTTCTAATATTAAACTTTATCAGAAATGATTGCTTTAGTAGTATGTAATGAAATTTTTGTTTCTTTTTTTCTCTAGTTGTACAAAGTAAAATTTTTCTTCCACAAAGGCTAAAGTCCATATCAAATTAGAAGTAAAACCTGGATGAGTTGATGCATACAGTTAAGATAAGAACATGTACATTTGGTCAAAGAAAGAATTTTTTAATAAGCATTGATTTTTTTAACGTGAAGGAAATTCTTTGAAATAGTAAAAACTTAAGAGCAGAGAAATAAAAGAAAAGAAAAAAAATACGTATTGAAATAATCATTTTTTTTCTGAGTTATGCCATCTAATTATGAGATATGATCATAGAATCAATTTGAAACTAGTTTTCATTTTTAATGAACACCATCTTACTATATGCTCATCAGCATCGGTGTATATTTGTATATGACAGTTGAAAGGATAATAGTGATTAATTCATTTCAATTTTAGTTCTATATAAAAAATTACTATAATTATCTTATACAGAATTATTGAATAGTGTTGTGTGATTATAACAATTTTACGAATTCATAAATTTTATTAATATGTCACACTATCGAACATGTATCAACAGATAAATAGTATACTTTACATCATTCAATGTATTTTGACGTTCTCCTCTTAACTTCGGTATATCGAAATAATATCAGAAACTTTTCGAAATGTGTGTGGGTAGACAAAAAACTTCTTTAACGATTCACTTACATCATATGTTGTTCGTCCGAGTCTTTCTTTTAAATACCATCGAAAACATAACCCCATTGCGATATGTAATATAATCATAGTTGCATATAAAATCCATTTGGATATAATAGAATAAAAAAATAAATCGTTTCTTATAAACATTAAGATTGTTGAATATTGAGAAGATTTTATCACATAAAACGATATCATTTGTAAAATATAATCGATAATTTCTGTTGATAAACAAGTTAAACAAAGTAACCATAAAAAAATAGATAAAAGATTAATCATTAAAATTTTTTTTAACACTAATAACAATGATTCTACTAAATAAATATCATAAAAAAAATAGATATTTAATGTAATAAAATAAAAATATATTAGCGTTTGAATACTAATTGTTAGACATGATAGAAATATATTTAATGCACGATATGTATATAATTCATGATAATGGTATGAGTTATTTGCATTACTATAAATATATGTATTTGTTGTTGAATTTTGAAAAGAATACTTTATTTGAAAAATTGTATTTTCTTCCTTAGTTAAACGAAAGTTAACTATAGAACCATAACGATATAATAAAGTAAAATAATATATTGGTGTATTTGTTAAAAATAAATTTGAATTTATTTGAAACTCTAAAGTCGATCGTTTCTCTTGTGGTAATTCATACCAATCGAAATCTTTGTTCATATGATTTTCTAATGTTTTACTTAACCATTTTAATATATATTGATAATTATAATCTTTTATTGAAGAAATACTACGAGAATAAATTTTAATTGAACGTCGATTTATTGATGGAACGAGTAAAACAAATTGTTCAATGTTTACTGCACGACAAAAATTAGAATATTCATTATTTGTACAATTTAATACTCCTGTTTGAATATTAAATAATGATAGACGACGCTCAATTGTTCTCCATTTATCAGAAGAAAGATAAATTAATGATTGACGGAGTTGTTCATTAGGTCGAATATGAACAAACCTATGTTGTTAATTAGAATAAACATGAAAAGACAATCAATGATTAGTTATTTACCAAATAGTATCTTTACAGTCATCTACTAAATTAATTACTTGTTTATATGATGAAAAAATTATTGTTTCATGTTTTGTAGGATCTTCAATAGGTTCAGACAGTTCACTTTTTCGAATCGGCCCTATAAATGAATTGAAAATATGAAATATGACCTAAAGAAACTTGTACGATTGATTGTAAGAAATAAAGTTTTTCAATTGATAAAATTTTAAAGAAATTAAGTTAGCTAAATAGGAAAACCGTAGATTTGAAAAAAATACGTAAAACATTGTTTGAATTTTTCTACACATCGTTTAGAACTTACGACGATACCATTTGATGTGATGCAGCGTGAAAAATGAAAACATTTTCAGTACGTTGTCAAAAAGTTATAAATCATATTTTCTACCAATATTTTTAGAATAGAAATGAAAAATTTTGCATTTGGTATATCGAATTTATTATTTTGACAATTCATATATTTGCATAGAATGTATCATTTAAAATAATATATGACTGACCTAACAGTTTTTCTAGTCATTTATCGTTACCTAGAAGTATCGAAGTTAAAATAAAACTATTGAAATAACACTATTCGTTTTCAATTCATTTCCCGTATATATATATATTGAGATGTAAAAGAGAAAAAAACAATATATGAAACGATTGTTTCACCAGCTTTATACGTAACATCGATTCAATCATTATTTTTAATCAGTAAATAACCCTAGTTTACTTATACTAATAGTCAATATGAATAATGAATAATTATTGTAGTAAAGCTAAAACTGAAATTTGATAATATATTCACCTGTCTGTTCAACGGATTTAATTAAATCATATTTGTCATTAATATTTGCATATGAAATACCTCGCAGATTCACAATATGCTGTAATTGCTTAATATTTAATTCATTTACAGATATAAATTGATTAGACAAGATAGTTTTTGCTGACCAATGAAAACAATATTGGTATAATTCATACCAACGATTGATTAAAATGAAAAAAATAAAGTAGGAACAAACGAATATATAACGACTCATCATCTAGAGCAAAAATTGAAAATAAAACTAAGGCAAATGATTTGTTTTTCCTCGATTGAATTTTATATACATCAGAAATACTTTTTTTTCAGGAAATAGTAGAAAAACACCAGCTCACACAAATGAAAACAAAAAAAAAGAAAACAACTACTGGAGTGTTAAAAGAAAGAGATTGTATGACAAATAAAATAATGTACAATCATATTTGTTGGGCAACCATAAAAAAAATGATAAACAAAAGAAAAATTGATTTATCTTGCTTTTTTTTCGAGTTTCTCTTTTGTTTTATTTTTTATTTTTCCAAAAGAAATGGCAAAATATATAAATTATCAGAGATCAGAATCATCATACATCAATATGTGTGAAATTATAAGACTAGATAAGAAAAAAAACAAAAGAAAATAGTATCAAGAAGAAATTTCACTGTGCTCATGCAAAACAAAAGCTTGATTAGAACAGGCACTGATAATGATTTTATACATTTGTTGTTATTTTTGTCTACGTATCATTCTCGATTAGATTTGATTAAGATAATTTACCGACAAACAACAAATGTTTTCGTTGAATTTGTTGATCTTGTAATATAGACCATTGGTCATTATCAATATTATATATTTGTATAATCCAATGAAAATCTTTTTTTGAAGACTTTTTTTCTTTGGATATTGATAAAGATTCTTTTTCTATATCAGTCAAATTTGATAAACTTACTACACCACTTACAATCAGACGTCGGTCTACCAGTACACATTGACAATGGCTCATGTAGGAATATGGCATTGATTGTTTTAATAGTATTTCATTGCGTACTAAATTAAACCGATAGATTTGTTTCGATTGCCAATAGACAAGATAAAGATCATCATCGTGTGTTACAGGGGAAAATCTACCAATAGTATTATTACGTGGTAGCATATAATAGCCAGCTGATGTTAAGAGTGCATCGTTTACAACAGTGTTATCTATTGATGAACTCTATAAGAAAAAAAAATTAGATGAATAGTATTGCATCATGATTTAGAATCAAATTCAAAATAAAGATTTGTTCTGTGTGTAAATAGAAACTCGTTTTAAACTACCGTTGCAAATCTATGAGAATGCGTAATCGCAATATTTCATGACTATAGTATTTTACTAACTTACTCTGGAAAGTTGTGCTTTATCTTTCGTTGTTGTTGAACCGAATGAAGCTAGTTCATCACTAGACGCATTCATTTTAACTATTTGTCCATTCGTTAATCCATCATGCTGTTGCATTCTCAATTTATATGTATGTAACATTTGTGTATCATTTTTATTTGATAACAATAACCATTGACCAGTCGCAACAATCGGTTCACATTGATACAACGGTACACTTTCACCAAGACATGTCCATGTTTCACTCGCTAGATCAAACATATCTACTGAAGGACATGGATTTGATGAGGATGAAGGTGAAGGTGACGGAGATGATGATGATGATGATGATGATGATGATGTATTTGTAATACCAAAAAACAATAGAACAACATTATGAAAAAGAACACATATATGTTGACCGCGTGAACATGGTAGACGTACAGAAGACATTTGCCATTTAAGTGTTGATAATGAAAATAACCATATACGATCACTTAATTCACCAGATCGTAATTGTCCACCGAATATATATAATGTTGTATTTGTTGATACACATGATACGTGAGAAAATAGTTCAGGTAGACGCCCAAGAAATCGCCAACGTTGTCGGAAAAAGTCATAAGCGTGTAGAAGGCAATACGAAGAGGATAAACGAGAGTCGGGTGATGGAGAACGAGTAGGATGATGATTAAAATTTAAAGAATAATCAAAATTATTTGACTCAACATGACTTAAATAAAAGAAAAACCAAAAGTAATTATTTTAATTATACACAAGCAAGGATATAAACTTTATATTAGGCTTATTCAAATTTTCTCTGTAGGGCGTAATCGATTATCATCTGAAATCTACATTGTAAATTAAATCCATGGAGAGTATTATATTCTATAGAATTATTTTCAAATAGCAGCAAGTCTCAAGATAAGCATATCTATAATTATTTCGTGTAATCGAATGTGTACAATTAATAGTTTTTAAACATTGTTTGACACATGCATAGGATAAATTCAAGTTTTTTCTTTTAAGTAATACAGTGCGGTATCGTCTATTTCCATGTTACTATAAAATTTTATAATAAATCTGATAAGATTTTTAGACGAAGTGAACGAAAGATGACTAAAACAAATTTGTTTTTTTATTATTTGAGAAGATTGTAAGCAGAATGAGAAACTTGATACTGAACAAAAAAAGTTAATTATATCATAAAATTCCTAGACAAATATAACTATGATTTCGTTAAACACTTTATTCTTTACTAATCATGATTTGTGAATTCGTATTGTTTTTAAATAAAAATCCTATTTTGACATAATCAGTTTTATTATATGTAAGTTGTTGTGTACTAAATATTTTTTTCAAACACACTCATATCAAATACAATAAATATATTGATATGTTTCTTATTCAGAAAACTGTACTTTAATTATAAACAATTTCATTGTTTGGTTAACATCCCAAAATACGAATTTGAATAGTTATAATTCAATTTTTTCAGATCCTTTCTTCTTATAATAATAATATTTTTGTTTCATGTTTAAATATGCTCCTGGAGATTTTTCAGTATTTACAGATTAACATACTTACAATGAGTGGAAAATGACTGACGTTTTTTTTCTTCTAACCTTGAAAAATAAAACGATTATTCTTTCTTTTTAAAGAAGCATTGATATGTCATTCACAATCATTCATGCGTAAAAGAAAAAAAAAGAGATTTAACTCTTGAGAGTATTATTCTACTTTGAATAGGAAGCTTTTTTGGCCCTTAAATAAATTTACTTTTGATTTATAACATTTATTGTTGCTGTTGCATCATCAATTTGTAATTGAGAAGAAAATTTTTGATAAAATGCTACGATTGAATCATCGGTTTCGTTAGTATTTGTCACTTGTTCATTCTGATCCTGTTCTTCATCATCATTTTCATCATCACTCGAAGGTAACTCAATCACAATTAAATGATATCTGATCTGAGTGCTTGGTCTAAATAATATTTTTAAAATAAAATGTAATTTATTACATATAAGACAAAAAAATTTAAATACCTAATAGGACCAAGTAAATCTGGAATAAAATTATTTGAATAGAAATCTTTAAGTGTACGTAAACAAGCTGTGTATTTCTGTACTAATTTTTCATTACGCATTGAATTCGTAACAAAATCACTATCACTTATCGAATTTAAACGTATAAATTTAAATAAACTTTGAAAATATTGTTCACGTTCAACTGGACGATAATTAACCCATTGTACAATAGTTAAAAATACATATTCTTCTTTTGGTATGTCCAAATTATCATCAGATAATACTTCCATTAATGTATGCTCATTTAAATGAACAAATAGATGTTTTTCATATAAACACATAAAATGATCAACAATAAACTGTAGTGTTGTACGACGTAAATTTTCTAATGAATATAATGTTGCTAATTGTTCTATTTGAATACAATTATATATATTCATTTGTAAATAAAGAAATTTAATCAGTAGATCAGTTAGTTCTTTTATTGATAGCATAACACTTGCATTAAACATTTCAAATAGATTATCATATGTTATATCTGTGTGGCCCGTATAAATAAATTCAAGTATTCGTTTCATTGTCCATGGAGTTATATCTTGTATACGAACGTTGCCTTCTGTTGATTCGCGAAAATTATATGAAAACATCGCACGAAAATATGGTGATGCTGCTGCTAATATTAAACGATGACAAGCAAACGGCACGCCGTCAACATAAATTGTTACATCAGTAAATAAATCAGATAATCGAAATTGATTTATTGTTGAGAATAATGACGACGGATACTCTAAACAATTTATTGAATGACGCGATTGATTATGTTGTTCAGTTTGATTTGTTGTTAGTGCTACTGAAGATGATGAATGAGAATGTTTTCCGGGCGATGATATGCTTTTACTTTTCGTGTTCGACATCTAAAAAAAGGAAAAGCAATAATATTTAAGATTTAAGATTTGAAGATTGTTTTTGTTTGAAATTCTGAAGTAAAGAACAAAAATTAGTTTAGTCAAATACAAACGTAGATTACTATTGGTTGAAGAGATGCCATTTTTAACGAATTGATCGGTATGCATGCTAATAGCGACATCAATGGTAACGAGAGAAAGAGCGAGCAATAGCGACAATTTGATTTTGTTTATATTCATCAATAACTAAATATTGTTCATATTCATAATCATAATTTTCACGGATAATTATTCATTTTTTTGTTTTATCATATTCTTAATTTTTTTTCACGAGAAAAAAACGAAGCTTCATTATAGTTACTTTTTTCTCATTATCCGGTCTTCAACTAAGAACATTTGTATTGAAGCCTTATCTATATACTTAAAATAAAACCGAAATGATAATTTTGATTTTATCATAAACTTTTTCAATATAAATAGAATTCATTTTTACACCATTTGCAATAGGTAATTATACGAAAGAAAATTTTCTTTCTTATTATTCAACGCATGATTCTATAAAGAATGAGTCATCGTAAAATTTGTTCTTTCTTTCTTATGTGTCTTGCATTCATTCATCGCCGTATTTTGCCGTTTCACAACGTATATATACCAAGTGAAATGAGGTAGACAAACTCATACTTACTTTCCTCTGATCGTCTCAGTGATCAACAATACTGAACATCCAGGACGAGGTTTTGGCATTGCACTTCGCCATAAACTAAATCCTGCTTTCGCTCCACATCGGGGCGAAGAGAGAGGTCAATTTGTTAGCAGCGTCTCTGCGTTCGCGCTCAGGCCGTTTTATAAACAGAGAAAAAAAAACTGTATAAATTTGTGAAACTTCACTAAAATATATAAAAAGAAATAAAACTCATTATTCTTTATTGTCACTTGAACTCGGCAGGTTTTTGTTTTATTGATAAGCTATTCTCATTCGTTTTTATTTCTTTCCATCATGAAAAAAAAACAAGACAATACAGAAAATAACGTCAGTTCGACTTCACTTCCATCAGTCTTGTATAAAATACAATATCCAAATTGTCGTACAGGAATGTTTAGTCTTCGTACACCCTATAAAAATTCTTCTGTCAATGACAATCAACAACAAATTTACACGCCTAGTTCTACTCCTACGGTTATACATCCGGAATATTTACATGTTAATCAAAGTAAAAGTTCGTTTTTTTCAATTAATTTGAAATTTCACAAAAAAATTTTCTTCAGTAACTCAACAAGATCAACCATTCGCTCGTGAATCATTTCAACGAGATGCTGAAGTTCAATGTTCACTTCTATCTCCGGATAGTCATGATAGAATTATTATACCACGACAGAAAATATTTCTAGGAGACTCACACGATAGTGACTATTTAGGTCCTCGTTATCGTGTTCAATTACAGTTACAACCGACACATCCAAATATTTATGAAGTATGGAATGTTGAAACTCCACCTCCACGATCAATTCCAATAAACAAACCAAATACAAATCGAGAACCATCAATACGTATTCGTTCGCCTCGTTTAGTTAACATACAATCTTTGAGTGATGATGATTCTGATTATGAGGATCATGTAGCCTATGCTTATTATCAACCAAGGCCATCATACTTGCCATCCAATGTACGAATGGTATGTGTTAGACAAGATGCAAATACAATCTGTTATTAAAAAAGCAAAGGATAAAAACAACATTCTCTATTTTGCTACGTCTTAAATTTCATTAATGAGCAACAGTTGTTGTTTATTATTGTTATTAGAGAAATAAAAAATAAAAACTGTATCTATCTAACAAGAAACAATTAATTACAGAAATATATCTAATCTGATAAAGTACAACTCATTTTACCAATATCTTCCAGATATAAATGACACATAAGACGAGCATCAATTGATTCAATGCCTACACATGTAAATTGAAGTCGATCATGATTCTAAATAATATGATTTCATCTATTTTTATTTTCATGTAATCTTTCAGTAAACTTACATTATAATGATTTAATTTAACACGAATAAGAAACATTTTTTCTTGCCCACATATACTTGTTAATTTTTGATAAGCCTTCTCTTCATCATCTTTTGATTTCCCATAAGGAAATTGTTCCGGTGGACAACCAAACAAGATTTCACTTTCTTTTTCAAAAAAACTAACCCATTGATAACCAGTTGAGTCTGATAAAAGAATCTATTTAAAAAAGAATATATTACAGATATATTCTATTTAAAAAGAAGACGCTTACACTGGTCATATAAAGTAATTTAAAATCTTCATAATTTAGATCACATTTTAAACAATAATATGTTCCATCATTATTATCTTGTAATTTCTTTTTACAATCAAAACGACTACAAGCCTATGTATATTTGTAATTGTTTAGTTTTTCTTTTCATAATTTTCGATTATTTTACTTTATATACAGGATCATGTCGTACAAATGTACATACAGCTTTAATTCGAAATATTTCACTATTACCAATGGATGCCATACTGGATTCATATTCTGCTACTTGGCCAAATGTTTTCCATGAAACTAGTTTAATTAGAAAAGAATAATAGAGTTTTCTTTTCTTGAATGCAAAATTTACTATTCTCATGTTTATTTGATTGCAAAGTAAGATCTGTCATATCAATATTCATTCCTTCTTCAAGATACCATTTACGGAGTTCATGAGCAATTGGTAAATCAGGATCAATATGTACTTGTGTACTAGCAAGTACAGACAATGTTCGACCTTAAAATAGCAAAGCTCAAAATCTTGCATTTCTTTTTATGGAATAATATTTAAATAGTACCTCCATTGAAATCATTTACACTAGCACCTTTTAACATGATTACAGATCGAACAGTTGACGTTTGAAAATTTTCAGCCTGAAACATGTTCAATTGAAGACTGGAAAATTTGTTTTTTTCTCTTCAGTTTTTACATACTATTCGATACCATAGTGTAGCTGTTATTTGACCAGTTCGATCAAGAATAAGAATATCACGTTTTGTATAATCTTTATTTTGTTTACTTTTTCCATGAATCATATCTTTGATACTAATTATTATGCCAATAACGTCTTAAAATTAAGAAAAAGGCTAATAATAATTTCAAAGTTTATTTCACATACCAATAAATGAATTTGTTTCTATGTTTTGTATTTGATCGATTGAAATAAAATGTAAACGTTGCATTGGTATATTTGGTTGTATATTATCCAAACATGGTTCGATAATTGTTTCATTGTTAAATGTCATTTCAAAGTCATTATTCAGAGTATTGAATTGTTTATTAGCATATTTGATTTGAGCTTGTGTTATGTAATAAATCTAAAATTTAAAATTAATTTTTCTTATATTTTGATTTAATTTTTTGAAAAAAAGAATTAAATGATAATAACATTTCCAACGATTAGAAGTGGCTCGAGCCGGTCACAATCATCGCCAAAACCATTTGCACGTATTTCACTTGTTTCATCAATGATATCACAACTAAATAATCTACCTTCACCATTTGCATACGTACGCATTGGCGTTTTGCTTGAAACACGAACTCGAATCGTCCATCTATAATATTATCTTTATGTTTTCAAGTATGCGGAAGGAAATCTTAATTTTACCTATTCTGAAACGGATTTAATGCTTCAATTTTAAATAGACGATTACTTTTAATCGAATCAACATCTGTTGTCATTGTTGTTGACAATGGAGGTGGAAGTGTAGGTAAGTCATTTGTTATTGGAACTATCGGTTGTTTGAAAACTGAACCTAAACGATGTATAATATAACTTCAATAAGATATGTATCAAAAGATCATCAAATTTGATTGAAACCTCATCAAGTATAAAATTTTGGATGGATTAATTAGAAAATTTTTAGAATCTTTGATATTTACCAGTAACTTTTGGTTGTAGAACATTTTGCGTTATTGACGTTGTTAAAGTCTCATTTTCATTTAGATTAACTGTCAATAATGAAACAGGATTTCCAATTTTATGTGTAGCTATATCCAAAACAGTCACTTGAAGAATTTGTAAAATCATTCTATTAGAGTGAACAAGTTTTTCTCATTCGTAATGAATTTTCTATAGTCATACTTTGCTGTTTGTCCTTTTAGATCACTACGTAAATATCGATCAAGTCGAATAATAGAATATTCTTGTAACTGGCCATTTACCACTAATTCATTTAATTGTACAGTTAAAACGCAAGCTAAAATATTTAAAAAAGAAATGATTGCAAATGTCTTTAATTCTTCTAGTAATTTTTTGTTTTTAGTTACAAGGTAAAAAATGTTTGCCATCCGAAAGAATAAGTCGATAACGTTGAGTTTTTTTATATTGGCTAGCAGTCATTGAAGATCCATTCACTGGTTTTGAATCCATTAATTTAATATTCTAAAATGTATTCATCGAAATATCAAAAAATATTTTCTATTGTTTAATATCTTTTACCAGCACTTGTAAAATAGGCTGTTCACCACAAATACTATTCTTAGCAAAACGCTAAATGAGAAACAAAAACAAAACGATGATATATATATTCAAGTTAAATGTACCATTAAAGTTCCTGTCGTTAATTTTTCCATGATAATTTTTGAAAAAAGTTTTTTTTCTTGATAGAATTTCAAAATAGAAATCTAAAACAAAATATTGCTTTTCTTATTGCTCTTCTTTCGAAGGAAATCCAAAACTAATAGATAATAAATGCTGCTTGTACTATTTTTATTATGTTAGAGATTATCAAAAGAATCAAAATCAGAGACGAAATAAGTATAGGATTCGATTTCAGAAACGAATCTAACCTATTTCCTCTTTGATAAACACTATTTTATGAAACTAGCTTAAACTGTAATGTAATAATACCCATGATTTATCCAGACATTGAAAATTAAATTTAGATTTCTATAGTAAAATTACTATACTATACTCGTTTTATATGAGTCCGATGTACAAAAAAATGTGTATTTCTAAAGTGGCACATGTTTTTCTAAAATACTATTTCTATTCAGTATGTCTACTACTTACTAATGCAAACATGACTTGTAACGGTTAAATTAATTTCGTACGAAATTAATTAAATCAACTAATAGAATATTATTGATATACTAATCATGAATTTCTTTGCAAAATTCTGATTTAATATAATAAAAAAGCATAAAAATTAAAAATTAAAAGATATTTATTATTCGATGCAAAGTTTTCATTTGGCTTAAAAAAAGCCAGCGAACTATTATTAACGCCATCTGTATCGAAATCATTGTCGATTGAATGAATAGCTGAGATTTTTCTTTTTTTTTTTTTATATTCTTCTCCATTTCCTTTTCCTTTGAATATATATGTGTATGTCAGGTATTTTTTGAAAGAAAAACGATGGCACGCTTGTTTGATTTTCCCGATGAACTTTTATGTAAAATACTGGAATATCTAAGTTCATACGATGCACTCTATTCATTTTTTAATCTTAATATTCGTTTTAATCGATTATTAATGCCGTTTAAACATCAAATTGACTTAACCTATTTATCATATGGACAATTTATGAATTTTATCAAGATTATTTTACCCACGATAAATAAAGATGAACCATTATATTCTTTGAAATTAGGAAATGTAAGAACTCCTGGTCAGATTGACTTATTTAACACATTAATATACGATCAAACTTATCGTGATTATTTTGATAATATTAATAAAATTATTATTGAATGTCCACGTTTGAATGAATTAATCATTTTTGTTGAAAATTTTCTTTTATCTCTATCAAACTTGGCATCACTTTCGATTAAAATTGATCATATACGTGATGAAGATTTTCATAAATGGACACAATTAATTGTTAATTCTGTTCTTTCAATTTCAAATTTAGTCAAACTTGAAATTGAAATGCCTACTGGGCTTGTTCTTTCACGCGTGTGTAATACAACTATGTTTAATTCATTAGTTGATCTATCATTAAGTCTTACACTTGTTACTGATTTACTTATTCTGATACAACATACTCCAAATTTAGAAAAACTCTCAATACGTATTGGTTGGTGGACAAGTGGAGATCGTACTCTATTAAAAATGCTTGATGAAATGCGTTTAAATACTGATCGGATCTCATTTTTAATTCATCTAAAAAAATTTCATTTAACTATTGATTCAATATTAACATTTCAATTTGAACATCTCGAACAAGTTTTATATAGAATCTTGAATAATGAGATAACCGATAGCTTCAGTTTTATAATACAAAATTGTTTAAATCACAATAGTGAATTGACACAATTAATAGATGGTCAACGATGGGAAAGTTTACTATCAGCCTATTCATCATTGAATCAATTCAATTTATTTATTCGAATTACGGGATGTCTTCAAGCCAACGAAGAAATATATAATATAAATTCATTTAAATCTAAGTATTTTCTTAAAAAGCAATGGTCTTTTTCTTATTTTAAATATGCACCAAAAGAAAATATTATATTTTATTCGATTCCATATAAAAGTAAAGAATTATTTGATATATCAATCAATAATCATGAAATATTTAATAGTTTTCCAATTAATTACGCATCAAACCTATTAATTGATCAAACAAAGAATGAAAACTATCGATTTAATGAGTCAACATTTGATATCATATTGAAAAAGTTTCCTTCTCTTCAAGAGCTACGATTGATTCATTTTAAGAGTGATCTGTCCATAATCAATCCGATCAGTATTCCATTGTTACATACATTGAAAGTTGAAAAAGAACAAAATGTAAATCTATCTAAACTACTGGAATTACTACCTTTGACAAACACTTTATTTATATCTTTTTTAAGTATTTATGATCGAAATAAACCGCTCGAGTACGTAAGAAGAAAAATAAAACATTTTATTTCTATTATGTAACCAAGTTTTCTTTTCTTTTTTTTTAAATAGTATTTGTCAGTATAATCGAATAAGAGAATTGTCTTTAATTGACGTTCCTGCAAATGATATGAATCCATTTCTGTTATTTTTAAATCAATTTCCGAATCTACATATTCTTCATATTCATATATATAATCAACGTATGCCCGATGAATGTTTATTATCAATTTTGAATAAAATTACTAGAACATTCCCTTCAATTATTTATTTGAAATTACAACTAGAACGGGACATTGATTTATCTATTGATTGGAAGCAACAATGCAATGGTCTAGTGAAAATGTACTTAAAAAGTATCATCTTCGTTGGAATACTTGTACATTTATGGTTTTGAACAAACATGACTCTTTTTCTTCACATTGTCAATCTGTGATTTTACCGTTGATTTTGCCTCTTACAGTAAAAAGAAGTTCAATAGTGAAAACAATAATCAAATAGTAGATTCAAATTGCAATAATACGATTAATTTTAATCGCAAAATTTAAAGACTATCCGAACTGTGCGTTTCATTCGAGAGTTTTATAATCAGCACATACCAAATTTATCGCAAATTTTGTTTTTGATTGCATTGCTATAATAGGATTTTCACTTGGCTGGTCGTTTTATGAGGCCGACATACATCGTTTGTTATGCTTCTTTTTCTATGCAGTATTATCGCTCAGCATCAGAAAAAAAAAGATTCCTGTGAAGAACACTGCTTATCGATCGATTTTCTTTTCAGAACACAGTGGAAATTTTATTATAGAGTTACCGATACAAATCAACTGGAAAGCATTCTTGCATAAATACAGTTGCTTGTATGATTTTTGACTTTCTAGTTTTACCGTATTTTCTACAAATAATTAAAATGAATATTTACTTCATATACAGTCGACGATGAAAGAGCTATGAATATACCATAATATAATGATGCATGTTTAGGGATAAAAATCTTGGTTTCTTACATATGAAATAATATTTCTATTCAGTCTTGTGTTATTTCGCCGATAGAAGATGGAATTTCATCCTTGATCCTTTTACTAAAAATCTAAAAGGAAAAAAAAATATAATACAACTTTTGTATATCTATATTTGATAATAAATCTCATCGACTTTTGTAAAGTTTTATGAGAGTCATCAACCTTAACAATTTTTACAGTAAAATTTTGTTGCTATTTGTTTTTTGTCGATCTTTCTTCTATCATTATCCACTCGTTCTGAATCATCTAAAAATAAATTTCACTTGATCTTCAGAATTCATCTGCCTAAAATTGTTCTATTTTACATCTCTCTCTCTCTCTATTTATATAGCATAAGATATGACAAAGTTAGCAATAAATTATATTATCGTCTATTTGCACGTAAAATATGATTATCAAAATGAAGTATATTTTGTTGCTTTATCCTACTGTTTATTCAAAATAGATAAAACTAATTAATAACGAGATTTATAGTTTTAATTTCAATTCTTTCTGCATAATGTATTCCTAATTCGAGGAATTATTATATCTATGCTTTATGACACAGTTAAATAATGTATAATATCAACGAAGGAAAAAGCAAAATCTACAGGGGTGGATTATTAACTCGAAAGATGGCGGAGAAAAAGACGATTTTTTTTTCTCTCTCTTCGTATATAAATATCATAAATGAGCCGGTCGCATTGCTCGTTTTTGTTACGCATAAAATCATGTGAATCAATTCTGATTGCTATGTCATTGTTATTTTGCAATGTTGACTAGATGCTGCTGATAGCATTGACTAAATGAAACGGATATTTTATGCAAACTAACTATTGTCAAAGTATATACAAAGCCATAAAAAGCAAGGTAAGTGCTAAAATGCCCGACGAAATTGTAACAATTGTCATACAGGAAATATAAAGTAATATATAATTTTTTTAAAATTTTTATTATATAATTATTTGCTTCAATCATGTAAATCAGTTTCTTTTTGTAAAGCAAAAGTGTATATAAATTAGAATGACAATAGTAAAAACTTCTTTGAATCGAAGAAAGAATTAATCGTTTCCTTTTTACTCACTATTTTAACTCAATTAACTTATATGATATATGGATTATTGTTTCATTTTTGTTACAATCATTTATTAAAATGAGAGTGATGAAGTATAATGCACTGAACTAGTCGATTATAGATGCTTTGTTTGTAGGAATAGAACTATGAATTCTAATAAGAAAACAATTCTAACCTTTGTTAGAATATTTCTGCTAGTTATATATTGAAATAGTGAATTTAATGACGAAATAAAAAAAATTTATCTACGGTTTAAACATTGTTTTTAATGATAAGACAGACAATAGCGGATGATTATAAGTTTCTAGTATTCTATAGATTTCGTTATTTCCATGTTTATTTATATATTGTTCATCAACAGGATATTGAGACTCATGTGTGTTGATACTCTGCATAGTTTCAGTGGTAATAATAGTAGTAGTATTGAGCTTAATCCTTTTCAGTTATATATTATGCATCCATTTAATTTCCCGTTTTCTTTTTTAATCTTTGCTTCTGGTTTTTTTTTTCATAATTTCTCTCAGTCATAATATTCTACACCAAGTTCAATATGTGAGTATATGCTAACATGCTTGTTGAATGCAAAACTATGAGTGGAGCCAGTAAAGAATGCTCAATCCAGAACAAAATCTTTAAAAAGAGAAGAAAAGATTACAAAGAAAAAAAGTAGATTGTTAACGTAATCGGAACTTTCTAAACAGATATAAGGGAAGAGACAACAAGGAAGGACGTCGACCGAAGCGAAGACAGTAATACTAAATAAAATAAAAAATAGACACACATAGCCTCGCTTTCTTTTGGCCTCTTGCCTGCTTGTTATCGTTCACATAGTTTTATTTATTGATCGATGAATATATGTAAAAATAATAATTCAAAATATTTGCAAGAGCTATCTCATCTTCGATTCTAAAAATAAGTTTTTTTCTATTTATATCTTTGATTATCGTTGAAAGAATAAAAAACCTGAATTAGAATTAGGATAAAGAAAAATGATGATCATTCTCATGTTGATGACCGAACTTTATAGTTTTGTCTTTAATGTGAACAACAGATACATGAAATTGTTTATCTTGTTCTATTATTTTTTGCTTCTGTAAAGAATACAATTAAAGATTCTATTAAACGCACTTATTGATTGTCTTCGATAAAAATACGAGCACAGTTCATATGTCATTTCTTTTGTCTCTCTCGTCTGTTCCTCTCCTAAATAGTTCTAGCAAAAGAAATATAACTTTTGAAATGATGCAACTTCTTTTATACTATTGTCTATATCGAAATGATATATTTTGTTAAAGATTTCAATTATCCGTTGTTGAGTTCATTTAAATGATCTATTCGTTAATGTTGTTGGTCTATGTTAACCTTCTTTTTCATTTGGCTTTATTTGAACAAAGATGCGTGCACGTATTTGAATGTACTAAAGCAATTTGATCTATCACGCTCTGCCTCCTTCGCGTTCTCCTGGTGACCAGACTGATTTTTCACTGTCTTCCAGCCTGTGCAAGTCATTGATCATGGTAAAAATATAGACTCATCGCATGTATGCTTGCTTTTCTATGTTGATTTAGTGAAAATACTGCTCGTGCACACTTAGCTACAACACAAAATCAACATTCGCTTTTCGCTGTTTTTCTCTTTTCTCGCTTTGCTTAATGCAGAGGCGTGTGTGCAAGCACCCCGCTCGTCGATTTCCTTTTTCCGATTAAAATCCTGCGCGCTAACCAAGAAGCTTGCTCATTGATTTTGCCTATGCTCTTACTTTGTTTATGTTTGTCGGTCGATCGGTTAGCCACCTTCGGCAAAGTTCTATTTCATGGCATAAGTCAAGTTTTTCTGTCTTCACTATATACCTATTTATATACATATGTCTACAGTCAGTCTTAAGCGAGTACATTCACCCTATAGAATTGTATACATGAAGACATCCTTATACAAGATCTTGTATGTTACTTCCAAAGAATTGATCAGAAAAGATAAGGATGCTAGACTGTATATATATATAGCGAGAGAGAGAGAGAGAGAGAGAGAGAGAGAGAGAGAGAGAGAGAGATGTGTGTGTGTATGAGAAAAAATACAGAAGAAAACAATGTTTACTCTATGGATATCTCATTCTTATTCTTTGCTGCTCTTTTCCTCTCTATTTGTAGATGATATTTCGATACCATCACTATATTTGTCACCAACATAGTTTTCCTGGTAAGAAGATATATTCATGTATGGCTGGATAAGTAAGCACGATCTTTCAACCTATAGAACTAGAGAAACATAATGAGATAGAAATTACCACATGGCTTTTTCCCTCTACCTTCTCATTTCTCTATCTTATTGAGTTCTCACCAAGATCAAATTTCTATATTTATGCATGATCAATCTAAAACTGATACTAACGCACACATACAATCAACTTCTTATTAATGACGTCGAAGGTGACCATTGATTGGCTTATCTAAAAAGTAATACTATGCGCATACCATAAAACCAAAAAGAAAAATCAGTGAAAATAAATGAGATATTAATATTTCATTTCCAATCTAATATATAGAAATTAATAACATATATATATATATATAGAGAGAGAGAGAGAGAAGAAGTTGGTGATGATCGTGACTGTCTTGCTGTCTGGATAATGGTCGGTTATGCTATCCATGCTATCCATGCATTTTATGTTTATTCCTTAATCAGTGACAGTACGTGTAGATAACTAGATCAATTTGATTTGCTAGTATTCTATTACAAAGGTTACCCATAAGCGTAAAGATTCTTTGTTGTTCTATATGTTCTTTTATGAAACCGATATAAAGACATACTATGTTTTTTTTTGTGTTCTTTTTGTTGTCATTAGTTTTTCTCATTAACTTTGATGATAATCTATATCGAAAATACTATTGAAAAGATGAGAGAAAACGAACAATTGTGTTATATGAGAAGAAAAAAAGGAAAAAAAAAAGTTGTTTCCCTCATTATTTTTATTCTTGTAAAAGGAAAAACAAATGCGTGAAAGATAAATAAGTATATAATGAGATCGATCATTAATTTTGTTTTATATACATTTTTTCTTTGTTCATCTATCACAAACTGTTTGCGTAAACGATTGATTCTCGTGATCTTTACATTAGTGCACATCTAACAGATATCTATCAATGATTCATTTTATAATTAAAATAAATATACAGATGAACAAGTAATTTAAAGATTAGCATTATTCTCATAATGTTGGACTACAACAAAAAAACACTCCTTCATTTACTGACTAATCTAATGAATCCTTTTTAGTTAGTTTCTATAATAGTTAAATAAAATATAAAATAAGAAAAACTTATTAGTACTAATTTGCAGATCACATTCATAGCTTTCTTTTTATATTGACGTGTTCAAGAATAAATAATTTCATCGAAGTTATGATCTCAATATTTCTAAACGAGTACATTTAGCTAATATTTCCTTGCTACTAAACATAGATTCTTCATATGTAATTCTATATTTTGTTCATGAATAATTAAATCAGCCAATGTGTGTTCGATTTTGTCTCTAATGAATTCACAATATCATAAAAAGAAAAATAAGTAGTTTCTTCTTTTAATTTTTTTATGCAATTTTTTCAACTATTAAGAACTTCCGACTTGAACAATCCATAAGTTCGATAGAGTTAACATATTAACTAGATTTCAAAATTAATTCTAGTTAATTGGTTCCACCTTCGTATTACCTATTTCCAATACAAAACTATATCAAAACATAGCACTTCGCTTTAATGTTGATCCATTAGCACTAGCACTAGCATTAGCATTTGTTTTTTGTTTGAAAAACTAATGCTAATCTGATACCACAATCGCAATATATTTATAATAAGTCAAGAGACAAAAAGATGTTTTGTTCGTTTGTTAAAAAAATACGTTTCTCTAATTATACAAATCCAAAGAAAAGCATGAGAAATATTTTTTCTCTTGTGACTATAGTAAGTAAGGTCGATGACTCGTCAGAAACAGCAAGTATTCTGATAATGTATGAATATTTATTATAAGCATTGGAAAAAAATTTGTTGAAAACAAATGATTATGCACGGGCTTTTTTTAGACAAGTGATTAATGGTTTAGAATACTTTTTTATTTTTTGAATTTTTTCTCAATATGCTAGACGTTAATTTTGAAGATGTTTTTTTCATTTATAATGCGTTATTAAGATTAGATTGTAAAAATAGATACGAATCATAAAAAGATTCTTAGAAAAAAAAAGAACTCCTATCGACTATCGTCTTAATTTTAATGCCTTAAACATTTTTCAACTTAGTTTAGACAAAAACGATTTCCTTTTTATTCGATATTATCATTTTTTGCTTCTCTCTACTATGATCTTCTTGAACAAACAGATTATTGCATAGTCTAGTATCTGAGTGAGTTTTCTTTTGTTAGTTGCATATCTTTGATTTAATATTCGATTATTTACAGTTGTGATGGCTTCTGTTATCTATGTATCTTTGAGAAGTAATATCATCTAAATATTTAGATAATCTGTCGCATTAAGTTATAAATCGACGTTGATCAACCAAGTGCAGCAATTATACAATTGACAATTATCGGTCGTTCTGTCACTACTACTACTACTACTACTACTACTACTTTTCCTATCGTTTTTTCTTTCTGCCATTGATGTATAAAAAAAAAGGGAAAATGCAATGACAAGCACGACTCATGTGCTTGGAGAACAAGAGAGAGCGAGAGAGAGAACTAATCCTCATCGTTTTTACTCTTTTCGCGATCTACCCCTTCTGTTCTCAGCTATTATTAGTCTTTCACCTTACCTTCCTCTCCCTCTCTTTACCCTCTTTTGCTTCTTCTTTTCGATTTTAAAAAGGCGTCTGTTTGTTTTCGTAAGTAACCACTTTATGTTCTCTGATGTGTGCTATGTCACCCTCAACGATCTGCTACCCTCAGCGATTGTTGAAATATTTTCAAAAGACAAATGGTTTGATTCTTTCATTTAACGCTTTAAAAAGTAAGTTTGATGAAGCTCCGCTAATTTATTTAATTAAGTTATCTATACTATAATTCAGATGTTTTGTATTGATGATGATGTTAATATTGCCATTGATCTTACATCTAAATTTTCTGTTTTGTTTTTATTTATTATCACTTTTTCCTTACTAGACTCGAAGAAAAGAGAAAGAAAAGAACAGTCAAACTACGTTTTAAATTTCATACTGCTGTTTGTTCTCCTCATCTTTTCTTTCTAATTAGTACTGCCTATATCAAAGCATTCTAACAATCTTCCTTTAGTTGCTACACCTGGATGCGTATCTGTTTATGTATGACTGACCATGCTTGTCATGGATGATTTTATCTCCTTTGATTGATCATCCGTAATTCAATATTAATAGTGATTGTATCAGTAAGTTATTTTACTGGAATTAGTCAGTATCATTTAACCTTCATGATTCGGTGTATACTATTAAAAATATAATTTCTTCAATGTTTTTCTCAATTTTGTTATGTGTATGAATTTTTAAAATGAGTTAAGTATCAGTTTGGCTAGCTATGCCACCGTTATCTCACCATATACAAAGTAACAGTATTCAAAGTGATTTTGTTGAATGAATTAGGTTCATTTGAGATATCGTTGCTTTTGATAAGAAACTGCAAAACGACGAATCAATGTCTTGAGTTCCTTTTACAGGTATATATACATGGATGGAGACTGCATCTACAAGTTAGAAGAGAGAGAGAGAGAAAGAGAAGGAGAAAAGAAAGAAAGTGCATTTTGTGTATGATGAATAGAAGAGTATTTGTTTTTAAAGCTAATTGACTATCGGTAGCGGCATGATGTGGCGATGAGATTGTGTATATGTGGTTGCTCAGAGGACAAGTAGAAAAAAGAAAAGAAAAGTTTCGCCAAAGACAACTCAAGATCAATATGGAATATTGTTTGTACGCTGGTGCGTTTGTACGAACTATTATTGATTCTGTTTCATGCATTTGTTGAGTTGTTCACTTCTGCATAATTGTGATTTTCTACTTCTTTCTTTTTGTAAAATTTGGCTGATATGAGTTGTTTTTCAACAAACATGAGCTATAATTGTTAACGTGCCTTGTTGTATTTGTTTAGAAAAAAAAGGAAAATATAACTTAATCCATTCAGTCAAGTAAATACTATTCGTCTCTTTCTGTTAAAGAAAAAGAAAAAATTGAGTGAAAACATGTTCAGACTACATTTTGTTCGCAGTTCATTTGATAATTTATGTATGACGTTTATATCTTCATTCCTCTTTAATCAGATGAGAATAAATAGATTTGATTGAGATTTATCTTGGTTTTTCTTTGCCGTCTACAATTTTCTTTACGTTTTGCAGTCACAGGAAGAATATCGCGAGCTTATGTACCATTAAACAAACTTAATTTTCTTTTAAATGATATCTTTTTCTTTCTTTTATTTTAGACAACAAAACTTAAGTTAACAACTGCGCCCTTATTTGTGTTGCCGTAATCCTGTTCATTGTCGTGTGTGTTTTATTTTTATTTCACATGATTGTTTGCTTTCTCGGTGTTTATATTAACATCAGTCGATTGTTAACATTCGCCTGTTTTCTAATTGTTTTTGCTATCGTTCAATCTAAACTGTTACTTGCCGTTGATGCATCTTCTGGTTTTAAACAATTTTCCAATTCATCATTGAACAATACGCTAACATTAGATCAGGCTGATTTTTCACTTAACATAACAGAAATTTGTATAGCTGAAGTAATTAATGAAACTTTACCTTATTATTCATTGCCTTATCGAATATTTGCTGGTGCACTAGTTGTTCCAATTACCATTTGTGCCATATCGGGCAATATTCTTGTCATTCATGTTATTAAACATTATCGTGCACTACGTATGACAGGTAACGTTTTTCTTGCTTCATTGGCTGTCGCTGATGTTGGTGTTAGTACATTAGCTATGACATTCTATGGACTACAATTAATTCAAGGCAGATGGATTCTGGGAGCGGTAAGTGAATCAGATAATTTTTATAATTTGTTAGTTCGAATTCACCATTGATTACTTGGAATTGAATTTGTTTTCTTTTATGCATAAAGATGAAGACCTTAAGCTAAATTGGTCTTACAATCAAAATATTTGTCGTTTTATTTACTATGAATAAGTATGTGCATGAACGAATCAAGCCAAGTGCTTCACTTTCCATCGTCTCGAAAAGAAATAGTCAATAGCAAGTTTTTTTTTCTTCCTTTTTTTTATGAAACTCAAACGGTTGCTTTTGCTTCTGGTTACATAAATCTCTTATCAACATTTATTTAAAATAATGATATTGAAATAGAAGAGAATGACATTGTCTCATTCTATTATTCGACAGATAAATCAATTTAGACGCGCACATAGAATATATTAGTAGAGTGTATCTGTTTTTGAATTTTATGATGGGTATTGGACATCGAGAAAGCGCACATTGATCTCTAAATCCTATTTTTAACTTGATTAAACTTACAATTGAATTCATTCCTTTTATTCCGTATTTTAGTCACCACAGATCCCATAGACTGAAATAGAGTCGGAGAGATTTTGTTCTTATTGACGAACATGTCTAACTATGCTTATCAGTTATGATCTACTACAGAGAAAAAATGACGTGTAACATTTAAAATATTATTTTTAGCTAAACTTCACTCATAAATATTTTTAAAAAAAGAAAAAAATATCTATGTTTATTTTTAAACGTGACACCAGAAAAGAGCTATTTTCAATTTTAGTTTATGTGTCGTTTATGGTTCTCATGTGATGTTCTTTTTTCGACGGCATCAATCATGCATTTAGCTTGTATAGCATTAGATCGTTATTTATCTATTGTACGTCCATTTAAACATGAAAATTCATCATCAGATCGACGTCGTTATGGTATGATAGCTGGTTGTTGGATTGGATCAGCTATACTTTCATTTATACCAATATTTACTGGTATATATACGACAGTTGAACAACGACAAAAGATAAGTTGTTTAAATCGTGTTCGTGGTCGTTGTATATTTGCTGTTAATCAAGCATACGCTATTGTTTCATCGTCTTTTTCATTTTGGGTTCCTGGCGCTGTTATGATTATTATGTATGTCATGTTAATACGAATAGCTGATAAAAAAGAAAGAGAAGCATATAAATTAATGGATTCTTTTGCTCCACGCCGTCGTTTTTCACCACATAATCAATATAATGTTCATCAACGATCTAGTGATGATCAAGCGCTTGTTGAAACAACGCCCACAACAAATCAATCGCGTCGCACTAATAAATTGGCAACAACAGCAACATCACCAGCAGCAGCAGCAACAACTGCATCAGCATCAGCATCAGCATCGGCAACAACAACAACAGCAAACGGTTCCTATAATACCCATCGCCGTTCAGAAAAACATGATAGTTTTGATACAAATATGGAACGACAACCGTCTATTGATTTACCTGGAAATTATCTTGATCCTCGCAATAGTAAATTGAAACATTTAAGACGTGAACGTCGTGCCGTTAAAACGTTAGGTGCGATCATGGTTGCATTTTTAATATGTTGGCTTCCATTTTTTGTTCGATATTCGGCGTGCGAACCGGATCGTTGCAGGTGGAAATTCATGCCAATCATAGAAGATATTGTCTTTTGGGTTGGTTATTTTAATTCAATGATTAATCCGTAAGCTAAAAAAAGGCGAAAAGGAAAGAAAATATTTATTGACTTCTTATTATTCTAGATTTTTATATGCTTTTCATAATAGAGATTTTCGAACTGCTTTTCGAAAAACTCTGTGTAAATATTTTGTCTGTTGTCGTCAACGACGTGCAAGTAAATCTAGTAACGTGCCATTACCACCTGCAACACCTAGTGTGGAAATGCAAAGGACAGGTTCGATAAGACAAAAAGCGAAATCTTGTAAGAATCCAATAAATTCGACAACAAATATACATGAGAAAAAACTTATAAATACAAATAAAATCATTCAAGGAAATAGTGAACTTGAGACACCAAATGGACTTGAGGCGCCAAATGGATATTTGACTGGTGGCCAAAATAGTATACCATCAAACCATAGTTCGATTCTTTAGAGCAGAAGATAAGTGCTTTTTTACTTTTCGTTACACGCACGCATCTATTTTTAACTAAAAACGATGAGTGCATTCACTTGGAAAAAAAGGAATAACAAATACGGAAGCCTACTGTGATTTCTGTTGTAGAATGTATTATTTTTTTTCTTTTTCTGTTTCACTGTATTGAACTTATTCATGTTTGTTTCTTTTCTTCTCTGTGCTGAATCGTTTTCTTTTTGTCATACTCTATTGCCTTTGTATATGCGCTGAGTGTGTGATGCGATGTTTGTATAGCACATTGCAGTCCCGGTGAATGATAATCGTTTTTCATTTTCGTTTCTTGTTTTTTTTTGGCTTACTATTATTTTGTCTTGCGAGAGCTTTTTTAAATGTTACAGTAAAACAAAACAAAGAATGAGTATCGATAATCAAAAACAAAAAGAAAATAATAACAACCCTTCGAATACAGAACGAAATTTCATTCTTTTTTGTGATACATGAACATGTTTTTAGCTTAGTCTTAATCAATTAGAATGCTTCTTGAAAAAAGTATATTTAAAGGACATTTTAAAAATATCTATAAATAATTTTTTAACATGTTTTTCGTCTTCAAATTGTGTGAATTTTCAAGAGTTTAGAGAAGTCGATAAATTTTATTTTTCTTATTAGACAAATAAAAATTCCAGTCAAAAGACAAAAGCAATCTTCGAAGCAAATGTCAACTATTTTTTCTTCAGACTTTTAACTTAAGTAACATGTTTTATTATGTCATTATATTTTGTTCTAAGTTAATCAAAAATAAAATTTTTAAAAATTAATTAGAGTGCTTTACTGAGCACATTATATGTATTCAATTCTTCTACACGATACAATTTCTATACTTTTGTAATGAGCACTAAATTAAAACGAAAATTAATAAGAAATCTATATGAAAATTTAAATGACATCACAAACTTCAAATTATTATGAATCATATTGCATCATAACAAAAAAAGAAGGGAATTTTCAAAATAGTGTTCATCTATGTATTTATATTTGGTTTCTTCCAAAGCAATAAAACTAAATATAGGTTTTCCATAAAATAAAAGGATTCTTTTTCTGATAATCTTCTATTTCCTTCTTTTCATGTTGATTCTTTTATAGAATTCTGAAGAAGAACATGACATGAAAATCAGATTATTTTTAAACCTTCGATTTAAAATAGCTTTGCATTAAAAATAAATTTTCACGTGTATTATTATTCTATACACTCAATGGAGTAGTATTGATTTAAGCACGAAATTTTAAAATGTTTTCATAAATAATATTAAATACTTTAGACGTCTAAAAATAAAAATGTATAAAAAGTTTTATCAATAAATACAAAGACAGGATATTGAATTCATATCGTGTTTTTGATGAAGTTTTGAAAAGAAAAAAACCGATTGTTCGTCTATTACTGTTGTGTATAAGAAAGATTTATACACCGAGAAAAGAAATCATTGTTTTTGAGTCGATCATAACCAAACTATTGTTACGCTTATATTCGATTACTCATAGCGATCTCATTATTCCATTTGAAGAATAAAAGAATGAACTCGTATTGAATAAATTTAAGTTAGTTCGTGCACAATAGGATCAAGTTTTACCAAAGATAAATCGTGTTCAATTTAACATACGTTGAAAAAATAATAATTTTTACAGCTAATAGTAAAAATCACAAATTTCAAAAAACTATTTGTTTAAGATTGTTTTCTCAAAAATCTTCATTTGATTGGTTTAAAATGTGTTGATTATAGCTATATAGTTACTAGAGTATATGGAATTTAGAAAATTATTTTCGTGTTCAATATGTAATGCCTATCGTCTTTTATAGGGTTTCCCAACAGAAAAGTCCCTCTACGTATGTTTTTACTAGCTCGATAAAAGATAATCGTAGCGGCAAATAGAGGTGTCAGCCGAAGGGGTGAACGGCGGCGGTGGGCAACAATTTTCAATTTTTAAAGATTTCCAGCGGCTTATTATTTGAATGAGTAATGACTTCAGGGGCGGCTGCTACAAATTCTTAAATTGTTTTCCACAGCGGCGGCGCCGGTTGATATTTGCAAGTCCTTATGAGACGGCGGCGGCTGAGTAAAAAATTCGCTGATGAAAATTAAAAGAAAAATGTTCGATTCAATCGCATANCAAAATGAACACGAAATGTGTTTCACTAGAAAAATTTATTGGAAAATCTATTATGTGAAGCGAAAATTTTTCAAGAATTGTATAGAATTATACGTTAGAAAATTATTTTCCAAGAAATTTTTGTCTAACATCACGTTATCTAGTTTCTTGCATGGTTAAGTTTTCAATTAAACAACGAAAGTCTTTTATATGAAAAAGCGGAAACTTTCCGCAAAAAGCGGAAGAAGTAGCAACCCTGTTTATGAATTACAACTTTCAAAAACTACGCCGAATCGAACTTTTCTGCAACCACGTTTTAGTTCTTCAAATCAATGTTTGTTTTGATGTAACTTGATTCCAATTCCTTGCTTCCATTAGTTCATCCCAGATACAGTAGTCGAGCGGATTCAAATTCGGGCTATTTGCAGGTCAACGGTCTTTATCCAGAAATGCTAGGAAATTCTTTGGGCAGCTTTCCTGAGTTAAATGATGAATATGCGGCCTAGCCCCATCTTATTGAAATGTCCAATCATTGCCGAATGCCTTATTAACATATTTAAGGGCGACAGGAAGAACTTCGTCAATGTATCGGGCATGATCCAAGGTTCCATTTTCAAAAATGACTAAAGGAGTAATACCCTTGGAGCATGCCCCCAGCCGATTTACTCTACTTTGATCGAAAGGTAAATATGTCGAAAGGTTAAATTGTCGAAAGTAAATGTTTCGAACGAGAAAGATGCCGACAGGAAAATTTTTCGGTAGTAAAATTTTCTAATTAGAAAAACAACGAAAATGACAGTATGAACCGATTGGTAAATACACTAATATTCTCAGGTGAACGAATCCGACAACGGATCTTATCGAATCCTATGAGATTCGACTCCCCAACAGAATCCGATAGGATTCCTGGCCACAGACCTATTGTCGGTTCCGACGAAAAAAAGAGCATTTTCTTATTCACAATCAAATAAGCATTTTGAGCCATCAGAGCGCGCAAGGGTGACTTGTTAGAGTTAAATTCCGTTAGAATCCAACATCAGATCTGATTGGATCCAATACCAAGGATCCGACTGGAGGTCCGTAGGGATGCAACGGTGACGATAACCGGTCCATCCGCAACCGGTCCACCGATAACCGGTCCTTAACGGTAACCGGTACATTTGAATGTGTGACGGATTGTGTTGCTGGCACAAAGCACAGATGTAAATGATATTATTGTAAATGAAAATTAGTTCTTATAGTTATGTAATACGATATAACTGAAATTTTCAGTGTTTAAATTCATCGATGACTAGTACTCTTCCCGATGCTAGTTTTAATTCATTACTTGATCTATTACTCTGCTTCGAATTCAGTTGTATTCTGACTCTTAAAAGGGGTATTTTCACATAGTATGCGTTTGAAATTTGCTTAAGTTTAATAATAACACAAACACTGTTAAAACATGAATATGCGTGCGGTTTGTAAGATATTTTTCAGTTCGATAAACACATACAGTACTATTTCCAGTTTGGATACTCAAATTATATACATTTTTCAGCAACATTAAACTTCAATTCCCATGTATAAATTATCTAGACAATATTAAACAAAAATCTTTAAAACTAAAAATTAGCGATCTTTAAAATGTATATTCTGATTTAGTCGGAGTCGTATGAAAACTACAACATGGAATAAGAGAATCATAATACTGGCAATCTTGTATAGTATTAACGTTTGATGATTTTGTAAGAACTTAAATTCTTTACCAGCATTGAAATTCAGAATGACTTTGCAACACGATCGTCCTTAGCATAAAAGTGGGAGTCCACTAATGGTACATACTAGTTCAAGTAGGACTGCACATATACGTATATGACATCTGTAAATGAGTACTCGATGCAATTAAATCACCTGTGTATCAGCGCCACTATCAGCGATTATTAAGAAGATATTTGAAAAAATGAGAAATCACCAGCTCCATTAATATCTCCTCAATTTAAAATTTTGACTTTGAATAATTACATTTGTGGTAGGTAAAGTGCTGTTGAAACCATGGGAGACCGAAAGTAATTGTTGTCATCAACAACTAGTTCCAATCAGAGCTGGTTTAGTATGACCAGTTACTGTTAAGGGCCGGTTACCGGTGGACCGGTGGACGGTGAACCGATGATTCACCGTCATCGTTGCATCCCTAGAGGTCCGTGCTCAGCAATCCATACGATTTCGCTGGTTTTATTGAAACACATATGGTATTCGGCATATTCACTGTCCATCTTTGTCGGAATCCGATAGAATTCTACTGTTGGAATGATTCTACTGGGTAAATAAGACATTATTTGTACCGATCGATTGTCTTGCAGTACATTTCACATTTTACGTATTGTGTATTAGTAGAATTATACGAAAAATTACATGTGAGTTCCATATTTTAGCCCCGAAGGGCCTGCGCCAACAAACTTTTCTAATCGAATCTGGCGATCACTCCGAAGATACAACATACTTCTTTCCTTTTGCGCTAGGCATGTAGTACATTTTACATGTTCTTTCCACTATCCGATATAGACTTTTAAAACAATTAATTTATGATGGTCTCTGTTTCCTAGCGACTCGCTAGTAGTGCAGCGTCGGATGGACAGAGCCCGCGGAAAGGACCTAATAATGGGAGGGGGGGGGGGGGGGGGGGGGGGTTGTNCCCCCCCCCCCCCCCCCCCCCCCCCCCCCCCCCCCCCCCCCCCCCCCCCCCCCCCCCCCCCCCCCCCCCCCCCTGTGCAACAAGGTTCGCAAAAAAAGCTCAAACTTACAAAAAATATTCTCCTGTCGTTGGGAAAAATTGAAAATTTTCAATTATTGTGGAGGTCTACATCATCCCCCCCCCACTTCCGCGGGCTCTGCGGATGGAATAAGGAATGAATGCATTAAAGTGTTTCTATTGTTTCTTTTGTTAGATAACTTGACCATTAACAATATCTTTTTCTTTTCACACAATTATATGCACAAAAATTTTCTTGTAATCTGACACAATGAGTAAAAATTATTTCATCTGGACCCGAACCCGACGGGCTCTACACCCGATACAAAAGCTACGCAATAAGAAAACACTAGTATTGCACATGTTTTAACAATCTATATCTCACAATAGAAGTCCATTATCTAGTGAACGAATGTCTCCGATACTAATGGGATCCTCTCATTCGCTTAGCTTTATTTCATAGGAATATGAGTACAACCAAGCTCGAGTCCTTGCAAAAACAATGGTTGATTCATGACACTATTATACGCAGTAGGTTTTACTGAATATTCCCATTGTCATCATGATATAAAAATCAATCTTGAATTTCTTTCTACATTTTTCACATTCAGAATTAGTTTTCAGAGATGAAATACTTGCTTATCATTTTTCAATTAATTTAACTCAGCATTTCACTTAACTCAAAGTTTTAAAATTAAAATAATGAAGACTGTCAATCGATGTACCAGAGATAACACAATTGATTATGTTATTCTCAGTTTTTTCTTTTCAATAAAAAAAGAGCATTAGTTGATAAGATGTTTTCTTTGAATCCGTATTTACTGAATCACTAAAATGAACGATTTCATTTGTCCTAATTAGACTATCTTACTCATCGATAAGAAAACAAAGCTACTACCAATATTCATTGTTTTGTGTTGTGAATACATTTCGTTGCTTTTATGCAATCCAGGACTTGTTCTTTTTAAAGAATGCTCTGTGAAGAAACTTCAACAATAATCATCTAACTTGCTTTGCTGCATGGCATTATTGTTTGGGTAGGTGCAAAAAGAACAATATTGTATCGAATGATATCAATTTATAAACATGATGCTTCAAGCAAAAAGTAGTTTATCGAATTTTTGTCACTGTTGCCAGTCAAATTCAGTTCGATTTTTTCATGTAAGACTGATACAGTGTTTCCAATAGCAGGTGTACACAGCAGAAGCAAAATGTACAGAACATCTACTAGTTCTGATTTACACTTTGCTCAGAAAAACAAAGTGAACAGTGTACATCTTGCTAAAAGAATTTACACTGTGATTCTAACGGGTGTCCCATAAAGAATGACCTTCGCAATGTTTCCTCGATAACTTTTTCATTTTTTTTATTTTCTAGGCTCCAATTTGTTTCCAAAAGATCTACTATTTAATTCTACATACGACGTATATGAAAAGCTTTTCTGAAGAATGTTGAGCAAAAAAAGAAAACAATAATATTGAACACGTACACAAGAATCAACTTTCAAATCTCAAAACTCATTTTTTCGATTTTTCTATTAAGCTATTAACGATAAAAATAGATAGAATAACATATAGGCATTTTGTAACCCTCAAAAAGCTCTATCGAACGATTCTAGTTTGAAAATTGATAATGTTCATTCTTGTGACGTTCATCAATAATCTTCTTTTTCAGATTTGTGAGAGTTTAGCTGTTTTAAACTGCCGCTTCGGAGATTTTAAAAAAAGAGGCGTGAATAAGTCAAAATAGCATCTTTTGAGTTCAGATTTTCCTTATTTCGACAAAAAGCGATTATTGATCAGATACAAAGACAAAAGTTAATCTAAATGTACTTGTGTTCCTTCGGTGAAAAATAGTGAGTTTCGGGCATTTTGAATCCTATTATAGAAAGTCAGATTTATTATTCTAGGATATGATTCAAACCAACGTTGCGCTGCAGGACAAGAAAGCGCCAACTTTAATGTACTCAAAAGCCTCTTAACTTTGGTTTTCTTTATTCTAGTATTATAAAAAAATCTTCTGAAGTTTATTTTAAAAATAGGTTTGAATGTTAGTTATTTTCTACTTGTTCAGTATTATTGTTTTACTTTTCTGGTCAACCTTCTTCAGAAAAACTTTTGATACAAGTCTAGTGTAGAATTGGAAGGTGGATCGTTAGAACAAAAGCTGAAGCCAGAAAGCTGAAAAAAATAAAGAAGTTGTTGAGGGAATACTGAGAAGGCCATTCTTTATGGGACGCACGTTAAAATTCACACAACTCTCTACATCATTTTTGCATCGTCATGAAGACGAAAATAATTCATATTTTTAGAATATACTATTTGAAAAAAAATACATATTAACTTTTTGTTTTTGTAAACCTTTTTTTTGTAATTTTGCCAAGGAACGTGTCAGATTATGAGATAGTACGTCTATGTATCATTTATTCATGTATCAAGTATTACTTTATATTTTTTGTGAAAAAAACACAGCATTAGTTTGTGCTTTTTGGATTTTTAAAATTTGCTTTTGGTACACTTTGTACACTCTGGCACTAAAAGCAAAGTGTACAAATACACTTTGTATATATAATCAAAGTGTACATGTACATTTTGTTCTAGATTTCCATTGGAAACACTGGACTGATACATTAAATCTTCCTGCTAATAATGATCAGATTGGTATCCGTTGATGTCAGTTGTGTATTGTATGCACCGAGAAAATATTTTAATTTTCCTTGTCAGCTCAATGTTAATAATCGATCAATTCATCATGAAATGTCTAATTCGAATTCGAATATAAATAGGTCCCCAACTGCATGCTATCAATTCGAAAAAAGGTGATAGAAATAGATTTAGTTTTACTTTTAGTTTTTCTTTTCTCCATTTATATTCGAACTCGAATTAGACAGCTACTCTGGTAAGCTAGTGACATCCATGTACAATGGATTCGAATCATTGAAGAGGTTGATAGCGAATAAATCCTTCGTGATATTTTAAACGAATCATAAATTATTGTCAACCCCTTCATTTTGCTTTCTCTTAATCAAATCTACGGTCGATTTATAATTGAAAAATCTTCTTTTCAGTCTTTCGTACATAGTGTGCGCTTGGTTTGAAATAAATAGTTCTTATGATTTGATAGGATTACCTGCACCAATATTATTAATAGGATTTCGAAGCACAGTGTACGCGTACACCGTACTCTAAGCCAAAAATTTTATTTTCAGAGTGTACTTCATAGGAAAATAAAGTGTAGTCTAAAAAACAGAGTGTACGTACACTTTGCTTTGCTGGGGTACATCAATCGTTAAAGGCACTGACCTGCATGACTGTAAAGTCGACTTTCGAAAATCTTTGCAAAAAGAACATTTTATTTGATGCTTTAGATAACTTCTTTGTTTCATTTTGTTTTCATGCAACTATATATTTTAGATAGATATAAATAAATCTCAAATGTGCAATGAGAGTTTCATAATATATTTTGTTGTTCAGTATTGTACAATATTTTATTAAGAGGTAGGAATCAAACGTTGCATAGATGACGTTAACACTATATTTACGTATCTATATTTAAATTTTCTGTTCATTTAGCTCAAAACCATGACGACTACTAGTCAGACTAGTGATAGTCTCTATTCAAAAGAATCTTTCTCGAATGATTTCATAGATCTTGATGATTGGCTTGTTTCACTGAAGGTATATTTCACTTTCTGAATTTGAGTACCTTTGTTAGCATGTTGTATCTTGTTTGATAGTTGAACATGTCGAGATTGATTTCTCTTCGTCTTATTCAACATAAATAAAATGCTAATGAGGATAATATTTCAACAGTGAAAGATTCTTTCTCTTTTATTATTTTTCAATTGAGTTGCGTGCTAGCAATCAAAGTTTGTTTGAATGCATGCACACATATATGTCTATGTGTGATCTATAATCTTTCTCGATTTTTTGCTTCTGATAACACCGTCGAAGAAACCTAAAAGAAAGAACATCTTTCTTTTTCTGTGGGTTCACTTTTCTCGCATGATGTGCATCGTTGTAGAAAATTAACAAGAAACAAGTTGTTAAGAAATAGTAAAGGTGAGAAGTTGCTTCTTTTCTTCATGCTTTTGTATGTACTCTTATTCATTTTTTTGATCTTCTTTTTTTTTAAATGAAAATCCTCTTATAAGTTTCATATCGTTTTTCTTCCCTAAACAAAGATTTTCTTTACGTTTAGTAGAATAGAAAAAAATTCACAGTAGGTAATAAACCGTATACTTTAGATGTAATAATTTAACATGTCTATTCTTTTGCTTGAGTGCAAATCTCAGTTTGTATCTTCGTCAGAACAATTCAAATTAATAATGCAAGAGACATATATGCTCGTCATCATCTTTTCACTCTTCTTTGATTTATTTATTTATTTATAAATCCATTCATGTTTAAGGTAACATAAATCATATGCCACCCAAACGAAAGAAAGTAGCAACGAGATTGAGAATTATTTTTATGCTCAAAAAAAAAAAAGAGAAGATTATCACTTGTCAGTCAAAACATTAAATCTTAAACAAGAAAGACATGTCGACGAAAGCGACAAAGGTTATACTTGCACACACTGACTATTTCTGAGAGGTGACGTTAGCACAAAAAAAGAAGTAGAAAATGAAAAAAAGAAATTTGTTTGCACGACTGGCTTTCACCCTTTTTCTCTTTTCTCACCGTCTAGGTGTGTATATGTGTCTGTGTTTTAATAAAGAGAACGCATCGGAAGTCGAAAGAGGAGAGAAAAAACGGACTAAAGATGTAGGTCTTATTCTTCTTTTTCTTTTCACTTGGATAGAATGGAGAAGCATCATCAACATCCACTTATAATACAAAGCTTAATGCTGAAATTCATTTGGCTATCACTGCAGAACCTGCAGAGGTATGGATACGTAAATTTATGTGTGTATACCAATATAATATAGTTGTGTATCTCTAGTATGCATCATCACTTTGTGATAATCTCTTCATACTTTATCGCGATGTGCAATATCGATCATTTGTACTGCAATTTCTTCCGTCATTCATCACAACCTACTATGATGTACTTCATCGTCATCCGGAATCGACTGATGTTACTGCTAAGGTAAAAAGAGATGAGAATGTCATGATACTTGTTCATTATGATTATATGTATCTAATAACTGGGTAACACATATAGCTATATCCTTTTCATGAATATATATATATATATATGTATATAAGAAAAAAAAGTGCAGAAAGCTCTTATATAAATTGAGACTAGAGAGAAGAAGAGAAAATCTATGCAAGATAGATAAAGATCGAGTGCAAGCGTATAATGTAAATCTTTTGAGTAAGCAGGTAAAGCCTCAGAAGATAATTTCTTTTTTTTTCTTTATTTTCTCATTAGATGTAGAATAAGTTTTTGCCTGAAGCATGATTCTTTCGTTGAGCTTCCAATTTTAAATCTAATTAAAAATTTTAATAGAGTCTATAATGATAGCAGTAGGTGAAAAAAAGGATAAAACAAGAACACCAGGATTCATCGTGAGATGATGCCATGTTAAAAGTTTTTTTTTTCTATAATGAGAATAATGAGGTAAAAAGCGGAAATGAAAAAGATAAGGAAGATAGTAGCTCAGCTAGTCAAATTTGAAGCTTGTCAAACAAAGCTAATTTTACTTTTCATCATCATTATGAATACATTCGCATTGACTAAGTTCATAATGTGTCTTCCCCTGAAGTTGGCATCATCATCATCGCCGTCGTCGTTCTTATTTCTTGACAGCATCCTATGGTGAATAATTAGACATCTATAGAAGAGACGAACGGCTTTCTTTTCTATTTCTATTTCTTTCTCTCTCCCTCTCTTTCTCCTTCTTAGTCTCTTACCGCTTCATTATCATTATTTAAAAAACACACAGAAACCGAGCATTCCATTTCATTATTCTTTTCTTCATCATTTGATGTATCACACTCTTACTTGTAGGATGTTTGTTCAACAATTGATACGTTCCTTATCGCCCTTTACAATCTAGTAAGTTTATGCACCATAGATCTATTTAATACGAAAAAGACTTTGTCTAAACGGTAGTTAGCTATTGATAACAGTAGTCTTTTACTAATCTGTATCAGTAGCTCTACTACTGAATAGCCAACATATGTCATTATCGACGATTTCTATTCAAAACTTTTTGAATTAAAAATCAAAATTAATTATGTTCCTTTGTAGAGTGTTCTTGACGATGCACATCATGAAAAAATTCATGGATTTCGTAAGTGTATCAAGAAAGAGAAAAAGAGAAAGGGAAAACACTCTTTCCTATTTCTTAGGCATTCCAAATTTAACTGCACCATCAATTTATCATACACCGAACCCTGTAAGTCTTTCGGTTGATTGTGGCAAAGATAAATAAAGTTTATATGATCAAAATGATCTATTCGGATATTTTCAGCAAATATAGACTCAATTATCAATATCGAACTTTTTATAATGATTGTTTAAATATTAAAAGAAAAAAGAAACATTTCGATTCCTTATTTAACTCAAAAAGGCAAAATAGTAAAAAAGAACAACGATAAAACCAATAAAAGAAATAATAAACTAAAATAAAACTCTTGTTCGATAAAGATGTTAACCAAATAATTTTGTAATAAAATATCGACAATAAATTAACAAATAAAAAAACCAAAACCAAAACAATAAAGCTTGATAGAATGATGAAGATAGCGAATATCAAACACACGGCTTTGATTGAATCAAAAAAAGAGAAAAATGCTGAAAGATAAAATTCAAAACATAATTAAATCGAAAGATCAAATCAATATAAATACGAATGAAATAGTTGTAAGAAAAGTTTTATTTTATTTAGGACTATTATGCGCCCACACCGCTTACTCAACATGCAATTTCAAAACATGAGAAAAAATGTGACGTTGTTCGTTTGCATTCATTTTCTCCATTTGATTCAGTCAATGCAACAACAAGGTACATTTAATAACCTATTGATCATCAATTGTTATCTGATATTTTTTCAGTTGTTCAAACATAAGGTTGAGCTATAAGGGGTTTGTTATGAACGAAAATATATTGATGGAGAAGGGAAAAAGATATATTATAGACTTTTTATTTATACATTCTGGGGTGTTCGGAGTTCTTTTTTTTCTTTGCTGATTTTTCTTATTTAACGGAGAAAGAGAATGTGAAGAACAGGGTTCAAGGAATCTAAATCATATATTTCTAGAGTATTTAAATCCTTTATCTTAATGGATTGATGGATTAATAAGAAAACCTTCTAATAGAAAATATTTTTCTTTATTTAGAGAACATATTCTTTGGTTTCTACTCATTCAGTATGGATCAAATGTATCAAACGTGGATATATATTCTCGACATTCATATTTTAAAATGTCAAAAAAGTAGTATAATAAAAATCAATGAATTCTTTTTAATGTTCTTCCTACTATTGATAGATTACTCAGTCAAGGTTTTTCATTCGGTGAAAGTATTTCAACACAAGAAAAAAATTCTATTTTACCACCTAATGGTCGTCGAATACATCTATCGAGTAGAGTCATAGCTGAACTTTTAGGAGCAATATTCTACTTCAAGTAATTAATAGCACAAACAAAATTTTTATTAAATAATATTCAAATATATATATATATATATATACTTCTTTTTTTTAAGAGCTAATTCATCAGATAGAGAAGCATCTGAATGTATGCGTTTATTAAAACAGCGTGCTGAGTATGAAATGTATGCTGATGTGATTTTAGTAAGTATTCAGATGATATAATAACGTTTGCTATAAGTCTTACTTTTTGTTTTGTTTTAGATGACAGAATCGATGAGTTATTTACATGAATTTGATAATCATCAACTTGAACATCAAGATACAATTGGTATTGAAATTGAATTACCACCAACAATGGATATGGTCAAACAAAAACGAACAGCAACAACAACCCGCTCAATGAAAAATAGACAACGTTCAACAAAACGTTACCAACAAAATGAAACAGGTAAAAAGCAAATAATAGAAATGATTGTCAATAAAATATTCAAATTAATTTTTTTATATCTAAATTTTTTAGACAAATTAAAAGTTTTATATTTATAAAAAAAGCAAGGATTGAGACAAAGAGAGAGAGAGAGAGCGAAAGGACATATTTGCTCGCATGTTTTTATTTTGCTGAACTTTTTCGTTTTCTTATATAATTTTCTTATTGTTTAGCTATTATTGAGAATGATTTACCGAATGATACAATAGAACATTTAAATGTTGCTCCGGTACGAACTGATGCTACACCAACAGCAGTAATACCAGCAACAACAACAACAACTAGTCAACTACATAAATCATTACTAGATATATTTGATGAAAGTTCACCAACAGATAAATTTCTACGTTCCATCGACAGAAAAACATCATCATTATCATCATCATCATCAAGTGAACAACATCATGAAAGAAAAGCATCAGATGACAATCAAGATGTAACAACACCATTGATTGATGAAATGAAGACATACATATCATCTTCGATTGGACTAGCAGGATCAAGTTCATCGCCGTCATCAACTCGCCATTATAAACCAATGTCATTGACATCAACACAAGCATATTTTAAAACAATTCAACAACAACAACGTGTTTCATCGCCAAATATACAAAATGTTCAAACTATGTTACATCATGTTGATAATGATGATTCCATTCGACCGCATACATCTAGTATGAGACATGGAGAAAAAAAAGATATTATTACTACAGTTCGATTTCTGGGAACAGATCAAAACGGAGATAATGTTAAAGAAACATTTTTGTAGCAATAGTTTTTTTTCTTTCTATCTATCTTTTCTGTGCTTTGTGTTTTTTTTCTGTGGTGGATACTATCTATCTAATTTAGCCAATGTTCGTACTGGTTTTTTCTCCCTTCTTTGTTTTGTATTATTCAAAATTGTAAGAAAGAAAAGAAACTAATCATAAAATAAATTAATATTCTTAATACAATTTTTTTTATTTTATTTATTTTTGTAAAAGATTCCTTTTTCATTCCCTTGTATATCTACAAAGAAAATGAAATAAGTCATCTTTTTTGGTCGTATAGCGTTATCTCTTTTCCTACATTTAGAATTCAGTCGAATGAATAAAACTTAAAGAATTAACTTGAGACTTTTTTTCTTGACGGTCAATAATTAAAGTCTTTTTTTAAAGCATTCTATTGAAGAAAAAGTAATTTTTATTTGTTAATAACATATGAAAAGCTTTATTAATAATCGTCTGCGTTGTCTAGAGACTCTCTTTTTATTTTATTCTCTTAAGCCACGAACTAGAAAACAATTGAACAATAGAAATGCACTCAGATCAACCTTTCTCTAGACATTGCCGAATGAAAAAATAGGCACTTAAAATAGTTGAGAAAGAAAAATCATGAGTTACTTACATGTTTTTTAATTATTTTCTTAGTAATCGATCAAATAATTATGTAGTCATATGCAGATATATTTATAATTGTCTGTCTTTTTGATCCTGAACTAAAATAAAAATAGTTTTCTACTAGAAACATATTTTAGATGTCCGTTTTTAAAATCAAAAGTTTATTGAACTAGAAAGTACAAGTTTTTCTTAGTAATGGACATTTATTTTACTATTGTAGATTCTATTTGTGAAGAAACAAGATGTACATTGATATATATATATATATGGATCGAATTAATAATAACTATCATCAACTTGTGCAGTTATTTTTTAATTTATGGAAACAAAGATCAAGTTCAAAAATATACATTTAATAAAATCATGTTATTCATTGACATCTTTGCAAAAAACTCGTATACGGATATTATTTGACTTGGCTAATAACAATAAGTATGATTGAACTAAGTTTTTTAAATTATTTCTATTGAAAATCCAACACGTGGCTCAGATTTTATACTTTTGACTATCGAATATACAGATTAAAAAATGAATTGAATCATACGACATTGCTGACCTATCATAATATCAAACAATCGGTCAGTGTCATCTATAATATCACTTTTTCTTTCAGTTTTTATCAAAAGTAAAGTTTTACATATTTGACTATTGATGAATCTACATAGAGCAAAATATTTTTTTTCTAATTAGAAATTAGAAAATTAGCTTTCATCAAATTTAAATGGCTTAAGTAAAAAATTGTAGTAACTTAGAGTAGAGCATACTTATCTTCTATGATATGCAAAGAACACTAACGTAAGTATATGTTTTACTTTGAACACTATAAATAAAGATTAAATTCATTTAGTCAAGTCTACTACAGAATCCTACTAATTATTTCTGACATTTTTGTCATTGACTATTTTTCTCGGATGTAGTTTGCTGTGATTATTTAAAAAGACAAGCAATATTAACTGATTAAGTGCTCAGGATTTTCATAAGAACCAGACTATATCCGATCATGTTAATTGTGGACACATATTTGAGTGGAAACAAAACGTAAATATAATGTATAAGATTGGGTGTGGGTGTGGGGGATGCGCATCTCTAAAGGAGATCTTACATCTCCAGTGGTGAACGACCGGATCTCCCGACTGTGGGTGTCACGTCTCCAGCGGGACACGCAGCATCTCCTGTGGGAGATGTGGTGGCATCTCCAAAATTTTGGATATGTGACACCACTCGTTTCTTTTAGTAGAATTGTAAGAAAACATTACAAAAAGCTTGACTGTTGTTCAAACTACTTGAATTATAATTAAAATGGTGTTTCTTAATAAGAAAATGGAAATCTTCAAAAAGAAATATACAATTTCAGACATAATAACTGGAGATCTCTTCTTTTTAAAAGTTATCGAATTTCTTTGAATTATAGTAGAAAATACAACTGGAGGTGTCAGTCGAGGTGCTCATTGGCGGCTGACTCGAATATTTTGACTGCACGGCGGCGGCGTTGGTTCCATCGTTGATCAGCGGCGACTGGAAGGTTAAAAAAGCACTAGTTTTACGAACAAGAACAGTCTGCCTATTGCAATATCCTATCGTTAATATTTTCAAATAAATATGTGAAACAACTTTATTTTACATCTTGACATAATAAATAAAGTACATTGACATAAATTAGGGATACACCAATTCCTAGTACATGGTCCGAGAGATGATATTTTTGCCTGATGAAGAACGCAGTTATCCGCTGATTTCATAGATTAATCAAGATTAGTGTTTTTCGTTCCATCCGAAGCTGCAGTCGAAATTTATGAAAGATTTTAACAAGGCTTCGGATTTTACCTGGATTTTACATGAAATTAGGATTTCTAAGTTTTGAGCGCTTAAATGCTGAGAAATCCAACTCAATTTAAGACTTGCCGTTTGTAATAGGCAAAATTTAGGAATATATTTGAAGAGAGCATTCAAAACTGAACAGAAATAGTATGAAAAAAGATGCTCGGTCGATAACTCTCAATACTGAAAACTAGCAAACATTAGATCAAAAATTCTAGGATTTGCTTTTTCCCCCTGTATAAAAAGAACATGTTCGTCATTTCGCAGTTATTAACCGAGCATCTTTTTTCATATTATTTTTGTTCAGTTTTGAACGTTCTCTTCAAATCTATTCTTAGATTTTGTTAGCAGCGGAGCCAGGATTTTGCACTGTGAGGAGTTCATAGGCGGCTAAAAACTACCTGAAGGAACTTAATCCCCCTCAGCCACCCCATGGATCTGCCACTAGATTTTGTCTAATAAAAACTCCCAGTCTGAAGTTGAATTAGATTTCACAGCATTTGACCCAATAAAATTTGAAAATTCTAATTTTATGTAAAATCTTCGTAAAATTCGATACATTTTTTAAAATCTTTCATAAATACCCACTATGGTTTCATAGAAAGCGAAAAAACTGATCTTGACTGCTCTAGGGAATCAGCGGACAACTGTGTTCTTCATCAGGCAAAAATGACATCTATCAGACCATGTACTAGGAATTGGTGCATCTCTCTATATATCATATCGAGATGAAAAATGAATAAAAATATCGAAATTCATTAAAAAAAGAAAATATAAATAAAAATTGTCGATATCAATGATAGGGGACAACGGCGGCGGCGACTCAGCAGCGTAGCTGACACCTCTCATTACACCTACGCATTTAGGAAATAGAATACAGCGTATACTTAGCCATACACAACTTCTATTTGTTATACGTATTTACACCAGACTAACGAATTTGATGGTACTCGTGAGATAGATTACAGAAAAACAATTGTGTTTTTTCAATGGAATTCTCATTGAATCTTTTTCTATGCGTACAAACTTCCTTAATCATTTTACATCTTTACATACTTATCGATAAAGTCAACATAGATTCGTATCTGTTTGCTATGATTTCACTGAAATTGAATAGTTTTGTCACTTTTGAAAAAGCTTGAATTGTAAATATTCATAATTTATTTCGATATTATTCAGAAATTTGTAACGAGTAAAACCTAGTGGAACTATAATGAGAAATACGATTTAGCTGTTGTTATTAATCACAATCAGATTGTTTTATCCTATCTATTTTGATATACGAACCTTCCTTCTACTCGTGTTTCTTTCTTGAGAAATGCAATAAGAAAGTAGATCCTATATTGTAGCGAGACGCTATTTACATAATTACAATTACAGATTGTATAACCACGAGTTCTGTTACGTCTAAAGACTAGAAAGAGTATTCCAAGCTGTCTCTGTACTTTAAGGCTTTTCTTTTAAAAAGTATATCTTTCTTCTCCATCGGTATATATATATATTTTTAATGTCAGTGATCATTTTTGTATAGTTAATACATGTTTAAATTACTCGAAAAAAAGAGAGAAATAAAATGATAGGGAAGGATTGACCGGCTTAACACGTATTCGTTTTGTAAAAGTTAAAATGTTAAAAAAAGCTATGACTTTACTAAATATTCGCCCTTTTACTTTATTGTTGTAATATATCCTTTTCACATATAAACGAAACTGACAATTTAGTTTTACATACGTTAAGTAAATTATTAGAAAAATCACAATTCATAAGTACAGATAGCATTGGAACTTTTATTTTTCGTTGTTTCGATATACTTGGAACAAACCAAAAGAAGCGTTAGTATTACTTTGATTTCTTGTACAACACTTGCAGTGAATTTCTTTCTTTTTGATTTGCTGATATCTTGAGGGTGCTCACAGCATAGTGCAGTCATGTTGACTGGTTTTAATACCCTAAATTTTAATTTATTTCAATACACAAAGTCTGTATGATGCTCTAGACCTCGAGTATTATTCAAGAACCTCCCACCTCTACTACCTAGATGATAAAAAGTATCTTGGTTCTATTTTGGTGTTCCCTAGACTCTAAGGTCTCTTTTATTGGTTTGTATAAAAGCAAAATATCTAAAATAGCTTTATGATCTTCTAGAAAAAAACCCAACTCCTGCATAAAAAGAATGCGGTTAAACATTGTTTCACATTTCTTGAAAAATCAATTTTTAATAAGAAAATTCCAGTTTTCTGAATTTAACTTCCAGATATTTTTCCTTGAAAAGTATCTTCTGTATATTTGTGAGAGACTTTAACAACTTTTCCCTAAAAAGAAACACTTTTCTAACAGGAATTCCGGTATTTCGACTTTTCTATTTAAGAATAACAATAACAATATTTTCTAGATGAAAAGTCATATAAGTTCATTTTAATAAGCTATTAGATGTTATAAAAGAAATTGAGTGATAAAAATATATTTAAATTGCTACTTGTAGGAAAACTTCAGATTATATTTTACCAGTGACCTAGGTATTTTATGTAGAGAAATTCTAACTGCATGACTACATTTATTATACTCGTCTAAATTGATCTAGTCTTACAAATTTTATTGAGTAGCCAAGGAAAGGAGAGGGTGATATTTTTGAGTTAAAACCTGATGAACTCGTTTCTCGGTAGATTTTTGTTTTTCTTCTGCTACCAACTTTTTTTTTTATCCTTTCAGATGTAGAGGCGTTTGAAAACTAGAGGATATGAGAGAAATCCAAAGAAAAAAATATGATCTATTATAGGCTCTTTAAATAACATAGAAATGTAGATAATTTAGAGAGAAGTTTTCTTTATTATTTTTTTTTAAGAAATGAGAGTACCGTTATCAATTTGTTTTTCAACTGTTGTATGTATGAGATAATTCAGATTAAATTAAAAGTTTCACTTCATAATATCTTTATGTATTAAGAACTTTTTATCGAATAATATATTATTTTGTTGAACTACTATTTGCAGTGATTGTATTATAAATACCGGAGATGGGCAAAATACTCGAAGTACTCGTACTCGAGAAAGTTCGTACTTGCCCAGCTCTGATAAATATATAACCAATGGCTTTATTTAAAATAATATATTTTCACATGATCTTTCTTTCTCGGCTACGCTTTTCCATCTTGTTGTTGTTTCGGTTCAGCGATTAAAAAATGATAACGAACTAGTCCGTTATTATATATAAATGTCACGAAGGTAAACGTAACATGCTCTTTTCTAGATTGATAAAACGACATATAAATATCGTCTCGTATTCAATACAAAATAGAATACAAGAAACAACAAAAAATGCAAGCTCCATCTAAAAACTCAAGTCAATCTCATAATCCGACAGAGCCGTTGGCCAATGCACCAGCTTACAAATGTGGTTGGCTTTACAAAAGAGGTGCATACAATGAGTATTTTATAGGCTAAGATTATTTTAAAAAACTTAACTAAATCGAATAAATTCTTGCTTGCTTAAAATATTTAATTGATCTAGATTAAACTACATTTTCAATAGATTGTATTATTTGAAGAATAATGTTGTATTTTGCCAGTGAAAAACATTCTTAATTGTTTTTCTATTTTTGGCCACCTTAAACTTTGAAAATTAGTGTGCTGCGCGATCGTGACCGTGATCAAAAATATCAATTACGCGGTACACTATTGACAACAAAAAAATTACAATCACATAAACACGCAGACTCGGCAAGAATGAGTTTGGCTTTCTCAAGCATATCGATACAAGATTTATTGTAGAAGTTTTCTTGTATTATTATAGAAAGAAGTCAAAAAGTTTCTTGAGATGAAACAGTTCGTTTTCGTCTAGAATCAAACAAGTAACTGCGCATGAAGTTTTTTCTTCTAGCGCGCTACTATTAAAGATCTTCAAAACAAAACACATCCATTTTATGTTGAAATAGGTCAGATTGAACTAATCTTATTTAAATCATTATCAATTTGATGAGACAAAGTTTATATAAAATACATTCTTATTTGTGTATGTTTCAGGTGAACATATAAAAACTTGGCGTCCACGTTATTTTATACTTCGTCATGATGGTCATTTATATGGTTATCGTAAGCCTCCAGTTATAAATGATGCACAACAAGAAGAACCACTGAATAAATTTCAAGTGACTGATTGTAGTGTTGTACGTCAAGATAAAATAAAACAAAATGCATTTGTTATACAATTTAATCAAATGAAAATAGAACGATTATTTGCTGCTAGCAGTCAACAAGATCGGTATTAATCAAAGGAAAAACCACTTTCTTTAAGATGCATAGTTTCTTTTTTTTTAAAATCATATCTGTTTAGAGAAGAATGGATAACAGCTATTGAAATAATCAATCGACAAACAGCGCCACACTTACAACAACAGCCACCACCACCACCATCAAATCAAACTATACAAATGGTCACAAATGATGATGTTGACAGTACAGAAAATGATTATCCTGTAATCAATGAAGTATTTTCACGACGACCAGTATGAGAAATAATTTTTATGAAAATATATGAGTTGTATCTTAAGATGATTTTTGTATTTTGTAGCAAATCAATGATTTTGAATATTTAAAAATTCTTGGCCGTGGTACATTTGGAAAAGTTGTTCTATGCCGAGAGAGAACAACACAGCGAATATTTGCTATGAAAATGTTACGAAAAAGTCTTGTTATAACAAATGTATAAATAATAAATGGTCTTAGTTTTTATGTTATAATTTTATATTTGATTCATTAGAATGAAGTTGTACATACTATGGATGAAAATAAAATCCTCAGGCATATTCAACATCCGTTTATTACGGTAATTTTACTTTTTTTTTTACCTTTCTACTACAATAAATTGCCTGCGTAGAATTTAATTTGTGCATTTACAACAAGTGATCGACTTTGTCTCGTCATGGAATGTGTAAATGGTGGTGAACTTTTTTTTCATTTAAATCGTGAAAAACGTTTCTCAGAAGAACGTGTAAGATTTTATATAGCTGAAATAGCTTGTGTTATTGGATATTTACATTCAAGAAAAATTATTTATCGTGATATCAAAGTAAGAAACAGAAAGAGATTATTTTTAGAGTTCTTTTCAATTTATTATTTTCCTGAACTAGCTGGAAAACATTTTACTCGATCGTTTTGGCCATATTAAATTAGTTGATTTTGGTTTATGTAAAACTAATGTACCATTTGGACAAACGACAGTTACGTTTTGCGGTACACCACAATATATTGCACCAGAGGTATGACAAAAGAAACTATATTAATTTCAATATGAAGAGTAAAATTGGATAGTTGACCTAAGAAAGCTATTAGTATAGTATTAGTAAGATTACGATGTGAAAGACGATGTAGTTACGGTCATTAATCATGAAGATACTATTTAGATCTATCTATTTTGCGAGAGATTTCTTCATCAACATTTTACTTCATCCTCCAAAAGTACAATAAATAAATAGGTCATATATTATGATGAGACCATTTTGAGTGAAGATCCATGTCTGTTTATTCGATTACGTGTCACTATCTGCCAAGGGGTAAAATTTTAAATGTTAATCCTTTATACTAATGTATTCTTTTTACATTCTATTAAAAAAAAACGCACGATATTAATCTTTTAACTTGAGCCTTTGAATAGTGTGTTTACTAAAATTTTGTGATGTCTCATATAGTACAAGAATAAAAATACAAAATGCTGATTTTTACATATCAATGAATATAATCTGGAAAAAAAAGAACTTTTCTCCTTTTCGAATTATATTAGTTAGTTTTTGATTTAGTTCTATAAAATGCGCAAAATGATTGCATCCTTTGTTCGTTGAATATAATTGAACTTTATGTCAGAAAGTCTTTTATTAAGTGTTTCATAATAAAATCAAGAGGCACTTCTGTGAATATTTCCTATTCTTCGCACATATTTATTTTATTCATGAAATTTTCATAAAATACAATAATGTTTATTGGAGAAACATAACGGAAAACATATTTTGTGTTGCAACTTTCCAGAGCGAATATAAATGCATTTTTAGACTTCTTTCACTTTAATTTTGTGTTATTTTATTAATGAATCTGAGGTAAAAATTAGTTATAAATCGATTGAAAAAGCAGTGCACTCTCTATTAATTGATAAAAAGCATTGTTTTTAGCATGCTTGATGTGACGAGATGTAAATGTTCATATATTTTAACTGAAAAATATAAATTCATCAAAGCTACATATTTAAGTCTATAAGTATTACATATTTCGAATGATGGCATCGAGTGTTTCATTTCATACTTGAAGGTCTCTAATTATATACCATTCGATCTGAATAAAAATCAATTAGTTCATAAATATCTTCATTTTTATTGAAAATAATAAAGATTCTTCGACTGACATCCTACACAAATGCAATCGATTGGTGGGGTATCGGTATTGTAATGTATGAATGTCTTGTCGGTCGATTGCCATTTGCTGATAGTAACAGTCAAGATGGTCTTTTTCAAAAAATTCTCAATCATGAACCAGCATACCCAGCTCATCTATCATTAGCAGCACTTGATTTAATAAAACGTTTTCTTACAAAAGAACCAACGGAACGGTATGATTAAAACTCAATCCATTCAATACTATTCAATTATTCATTAATTTTAGTATCGGTTCTGGTATTGAAGATGGCATTGAAGTTGAACGACATCCATTCTTTAAGAGCATTCCTTTTCGTTTATATGAAGAAAAAAAAGTTTGTATTCTTATCAAATTGGATATATTTTAAAATACGACTTTTCATGTTCTAGATTGAACCACCATTTAAACCAGACCTTGATTCAGATACAGATACACGTTATTTTGATTCCGAATTTACTAATGAACCCGTTTGCATAACACCACCTGGTAACAAAAAAGCATTTGCTTTCTGTTCGGAATTTATAACAACAATAAATTATTTTATTTTTTTTTTAGGTAGTAATGATTCTTTAAATGGTCTCGGCCTTCCCGATGATGCTTTTGAACGGTATCTATTTTTCATTTTTCTAATTCGTTTTTCTAAAATTCATTTTCATAAAGTTTCACTTACGTTGGCCATGATGGTTTAAGTCATTTTGCGTCACATTCAATATTATCTATGACATCTTCATATGCTGCTCGTTCACAATCAAATATTTATCTTGATGATCCTGATTGTTGCAATCAATATTCAAGTGTTCATAATTTACCAGTTCAATATTCTGTTTCAACAATGAATATGCCATCTATGATTGCCGCTGCTTCATCAGTTCCATCATCATCATCAATGCTAAAAAGTACTACAAGTATGCAACAGTTAAAAGATCCAACAAGAAAAATGAACATGAGAACATCAGATATAAATGATCAGCATAATATGATCATGGATCAAGATCAAGATCATGATATATCAAAACAACAATCAACATTATCCATACCAGATGTATATGAACAACAATTAATGCATGAACGTCTTATGTGTATACAACAGATTATGGCTAGTGGACAAAATTTTGCCTCAATGTTTAATGATGATCCACATTTTGCTCAACAAATTATGTCTTATGCATCATCTGGCGGTCGTTATCAACAACAAGAAGAACCCAAAGTTATTGAAATAATGGACGAATAGAAGGAAAAATAAAAACATTCGTCGCAATTTGTCAGATGCTTTCTATGTTGTTCGTTTGGTCGAATGCCATTAACAAAACACAAAAATACCAGACCCTACTTTCCTCTTTCTCTTTCTTTAACTTATCATAAAATTTATCTCAATTTTATTTCAAATATTTGAGTATTATTTTATTTGCAAAAAAAGAATATATAATTATGCATCAGTATATATTTTTATTATAATTAATTATTAAAATAAATAAGATTGTCAATCATTTTCATATTACGTGCTTTGTGCATATCGAATCATGTCAATAAATTCAGCAAAACTTAGTTTTCCGCTTAAACTCCGATCAGCTTGGCGCATCATTTCTTGAGCATCTGCTTCTGTTATATTTTCATCTAGACTTTGCATTACTCGTAAAAGATCTTTGGTTCTAAAACAACGATAGTAAAAAGAAGTAAAAGACTGTTTTTTTTAACTCTTACGTGATAAAACCGCTGCCAGTAGGATCAAAAATAAGAAATGCTTCTTGTAATTCTTCTAGGTTATCGAATTCAGTCACTTTATATGCAATAAGAGTTAAAAATTGAGTAAATGATATTGGCTGAGATTCTATATTATTTAGAAATTGATAGAAAATTGTTGAATAACAATCAAATTAAAACTAACCATTAATATGATTTCGATCAAGTAATACCTTCAATTCATCTTCTTTGATCACAAATGATTGAAAATTGTGTTCAAGGTATTTGAACAGAGCTGAGACATCTTTAGCATCTACGAATCCATCATTATCATTGTCAAAAGATGAAAATATTCGACGAAGTTCTTTCAAAATAACAAAACAAAGGAAATATTTTATTTCATAATTCATGAAAAACACTAATACATACCAAAGGCATCTTGTTCAGTTAATGTTGGATACTAAAGAACATATAGAATCTTATTTTATATAAAAAAAAAACAATATATTATTCACCTCAACTATAGTTTCTTCAGCCATTCTTGAGGTTTGAAAATTGAAAATACAATTGTTACGAAAGAGCTTCGCTTTATTTCAATGCAAACGCGAAGAGAGAAAGAATAAAAACGTATTATTAGGTTATTATTCGATGAGGTAGAATTGGTGTACTGTCGCTCAATTATTTCTCTATAAGAATATGAAAAATCAAAAGAAAGCAAAGAAATTTCTGTAAATATAATTACCTCTCAGTTGTAACATTGATTTAATCCTAAATGTATTCAAAAGGATGATCAACTTTAGGACGATCAAAATTTGAATGTAACAGAAAAGCTAAAATAGCTTGAGTGAATTGCTCAAGTATAATATAATATAGATATCCTATGAGTCAATAGGACATGGTCTAAATCAAATAGAGATTTTTTGAATCGAAATCACATTGATTAAGATCAATTCTTTGTTAAAACTATTTTTAGACTAACTGATTCATAAATAATTGATTCTATTTTAATAGAGATATTATTGATATAGGAAGTTTTTCATTTTAGAAATATGTGCATTATACTTTGCTACAATATATGGCAAAAATAATTGAGAAAAAATTGATTTAAATTTTGTTTATGATTGATATGGTGAAAAAGTGATGTCAATCATATTTATTCCTATGGGTAAAGAAAAAAATCATTTAACATTCATCAGACATCAAATATCAACACTAATAATGAAGATAAGATGGCAACTGACTAGCAGTTCTAATAATTCCTTCATAGTAGAATTCTCTTTGATTACAGTTCAGATATAATAGTATCTACTATGAAAAATAAATTGATGCCTTTAGATTAGTAAAATTAACTTTCAAAAATAAAATCTTAATAGTACGTCACCTATCGTAAAAAAAAATTAGCTTGTTTCTGACTTCTTTGCCGAATTATTATTGATCGGAGAATATTAGTTTGCTATGTACATTTTATAAGTAAACTCTACCGATAAAATCCATAGTGAACTAATAAATGATGCACAGTAAAACATGATAAGTGCTTAAAAAGTGCACGAAGGAAGTTTTTGTTTGACTCACTAAAGAGACTCTATCTAAGATGCACTTAATTTATTTACATACAAATCGTTCTTTCTGATAGTAAAAGCTTCAATATTGTTTCAAACCGACCGTAGTAATCTATAGATCTATTTCATTATACAAAGTACTTATCTTCATCTAGATAAATTTACAATTACTTTGAGCATAAATCAAATTTGATTCTAATTTTACTCAACTCCTTTTCAAAATATTCTTGTATAGAAAGTAATTATCTGTATTTTCGATGTAGAAAATTAACTATATTATGTTGTTTTACTATAAAATTGTTATGCATTAACTGAGATTAAATTATTAGTTAGATCACTTGCAATAGTTTGTAGATAGCACAAACATATATACGATGCACATAAATGTAATGAAAATATAAGAATTTTATTATATCCAATGGGTTACATATTTTAATTACAATGACAAAGTCGAGGATACCATATTTCACAATGACTATTAAAATTAGTAATATTAGATTAAGAAAGAACTTGGCTTCTTAATAAAGAGTAGCTTCCGTTTATTATTTTAAAACTTTCGACGACATATGCTACAAGCAGTGGCGGAACCAGGGGGGGCT